CGGAGTCCTGCAAGTGGAAGCGAACGCGCCACCCCTCGGGCGCCCATCGGGGCGCCCTATGTGGTAGCCCGCTGGGGATGGCGCGGCACTGGCCATTCCTCTACTTCGCGACGCGCGTCCCCGTTGTGGTTGCGTTCGAATGTCGCGAGGAGCAAGCCCGCCCGGCCTCGGAAACTGCTCCGACCGCCCAATGCCCTCCAAAGATGCAAGGTCTCTGCACGGGGGCCCCAGCCCCCGTGCTCGGACCTTGTTTCTAATGCAAGACTTGCATTTATACGAGTGTGATACTTTTGCACAGGATAAGTTCCGCCACCCGGTTCCACTCCACCTCCTTCTGAATAGAGGACATGATCGCGCGTAACACCCAATCTTCCACGGGGTAGATTTGCCGCAACGTCGCGTACAAATTGTGCGGCTGCTCCTCTTATGAAATGCAAAAGCATCGTTTTCCTACTCGTATGAATGCATTAAGCATGAAAAACAAAATTTGTAATGCGGATTTACCTCGAGAAAAAGAACTGCAATGCATGATTGCAATACGAGTAAGTACGATACTTACTTTTGCAAAGGATACCTCGCGGATTCGCTGTGGGATCGGATTATAGTACAGATGCACATTATGCGACTTTTCGCGCATGACAAAATAAAAGAATGATGATGGATAATGAATCGCGCATGATAGGAACTAAAACGCAAAATGGTATAATGTACCGCAGCCTCCGCGCGGATGTATTGCTGCCTCTCGAGAATTTTCCTGGCTTCTGGCTTGGACTCTGCTAATGGTATCAAGTGCGAAAGCACTTCTTTGTACCCCTGTCCCTCGGCCATCGTGCACCGGGTGTAGATGTCGCAGTGTTTCTCGAGTTTGCGAAGCCTGACAATTTTGCTTTATCTTCCCTTTGAAATTGTCATTTTCTACTTACCGTCATCTACTGTATTCGAAATTGTGCCGTCTTCAGTCATGCAGGAACACCTCCACGCAATGTCTACTACTTTTTGACAAAATATAATCCCAAATAAAACGTTGTACTGAAACAAAGTATACGCTTTCGCCCGCTGTAATTTCAGAAACTGGAGTTTTGCGGACGGCTGCCTCAATTTTGCGTACTCCGCTTCCAGTCGCTCGAATTTCCGGGTTTGCAAAATCCATTCCCGCGTGTTCATGATCTTCTCTATGACCGGAAACTGCTTCAATTCACTATCCGCTGCTAGGGGAACGGCGCGTTTGAACCGTCTTTCTATCAAAAACATCAGCTCGGCTGGGTCGGCCGCGATCTCCCCCTTCCGCCCAGCAATGAGCGACTGGTCTCTTCTCGTGTGCGCCAGCTCTTCCCGCGCCTGCTTGTTCAGAGACGTGGACAAATAATTTTCGCCATCTTCTTTCCCTTTGTGTTGCTGCAGCTGCTCCTCCAGCTCTTCCTGCAAGTTGTGGAGGGCCTGCGCGTTCGATTTCAGCTGCGATATCCTGCGTAAAAACGTCCCCACCCCGTGGTCAAGATGGGAAGTCTGCAACACAAATCCAAAAGTTTTGGGCCTCACGCATGACAGGTATTGCGCTGTATTGGGGTTCAGGTTAGCAATGATAGCCGCATCACAAATCCATCTCGCTATCGTGTTTACAGCATGACAAATGCCACAACACGACTGAAAAATGCCTCTCATGGGGATGCGCATTACGAGTGCTCCTGCGATTGCAAATCTGCATGGCAACTCTGGGGTGGGGACGTTTTTGTTCAGGATATTCGAGTTCATTTCTTCTCGCTCCTCCCTTTCGTCTTCGGAGGAAGATATCACCTCGACGCTACGGCCCTTCTTGTTGGCCGCGCTCTCCCCCTCCCCGCGCGGCGTGCCGGGCCCGGAGGAACCGCTTTCCGCATGATGTGCCGTTTCAGCGAGGATCTGCAGCCGCTCGAGATTCGCGTTTGCGGCCTTCGCGATGGGAGAATCGTCGTCGACGTGGCCACCTCCGGTCGTCGCTGCATTCGCTTCTCCGTCTCCTGTCGCTTCGTCCTCCTTCGCCAGGTCGTGAAGAATGCTCAAGCTGTCCCAATCCCGCTCTGCGATGTGGTCGTCCAGAATCATGCGAAAGGACTTTTTCCGCGACTTCAACGCGTCGGGAGGGACCTCCTGCGAGTCCGCGGACGACATGGTCGCGCCAGCCGTACGGGCCGCGGGAGTTGTAGATAATAGCAGGTGATCGTGATGCTGAAGGTAGTAGTTTTTCTAGCACTGCGTCGCGGAGGTTAAGTAAAATGGCAGTGGTCGCGTGTTCTTGTTTCTGCAAGGCCGGTGATGCTGCTGGTGTTTTTATTCACATTTCATTCTGGGCGATGGCTGGTGGTACGAGTGGTCCTAGCACCTTGTGCACGCGGAAGGCAAGAGGTGGTGTCAAGTTGACATAGTAGAGACTCATGTTAGCGGAGAAGCCGACGTGCTGTATAGAGAATGAATGTGAATCAGTCGCAAGCTATAATCGCTATGACTGCGTGCGAGAGTACCTCCCTTGAGTTGTTTTACGGAGATACAACAAGAAGCGATTTCTCTCTCACTGTGCGAGATAAATTCCGACTCGGCTTCATGCGACAAAAATCCGCTCTCCAAAGATAAGACGTGGCCTCTAAATTTCACTTGCCGCTGCAGAACCAAGCGACTTCCTCTCTCAACATCTTCGGCAAACTAACTCTGTCAGCCTCGCCCGCATCTCAAGATCTTCACTCAGCCACTTCCGAACGGAACAGTCCACGTCCTTTTTGAATCCGCGTGTCTGTGTGCCTCTGCACGGATGCAGGCGCGAGTGATGACAATGGTATTCATCTGAATGAGCCGTCCCGCAGGACGGCAAGGCCGCACACCGAAAAGACGGGACGCGCCGTAAAGCGGCGGCCGAATTTATGAAGGGTCTGGCGCGGGACGACGCACATCAACGCCGGGACGCCAGCCGCAAGAACCACGCGCGCAGGCGCGCCGCTATGTTTGTATTTGCACTGCAGAGGGCGGCAAAAGACCTGCATGCCCAGCGCCGCGCTGGGCTGCGAGCGAACCGGCGGCCAGCCACGCGGCTAGCTGGGCCGGCGCCTATCGTGTGGGCCGGGGCGGGCGCGCGGGTCCTCAGGATCGGCACGCTTGCGGGCGGCCGCCTCCGCAAGGCGCGCGCGCGACTGCAGGGAACTGCTGCGCGTCCTGGCGTCTTCGTTAGCTTGCGGAAGCAAGTACTCTGGCGCGGGCCGTCGTTGTTGCGCGCCTCGAGCAAAAACCGCGCACGGCGAACGGGCTATCGTCGAGACCGCCCCGCCCCTCTCCGGTGGCTCGCAACCCGTGCGCCCTCCTCCCCACGGGGGCCCCTTCCTAGCGCAAGAGCGACGCTAGTAAGGACACGAAGCGCAAAGCATCGCCGCTGCCTGTGCTCGGATTTCGTCGCCGCGCCAGTTCGGAAAAAACCCGTTGTGCATACGCTTACATCATCAAACAATAGGTATTGACTCTCTCTGTCTCATGCTCTTCTCACACCCACTTCCTCTCGCCTGACAACCGTGATCTCTACCCTTCTCTTGATCAAAAGCTACTGACTCGCTTACTCTCGTCTCGCCCTGGTAACGAGAAAGCAATACCAACTACCAAGCGCAGCCGCGTGGAGCTTGAACAATTCGCTTCTCTTGTCGCTGCTCAGCCTTGTTTCGCCTCAAGCCAGTCAGAAGCAGCCGAGTCGGAATTTCCCGGCCGCGCGACAAGGAGTTTTATTTAGTTCTACTGTAAAAAAGTTCTGCGATCATACGTGTCCGCGTTACAACATCTTCCGGTAGAAAACAAGTACAAAGAGTTCTTGCGTCAAAAAGTCAAAACTGAAAGGATTTTGTCCGACTTTGCGTGGACCTCGAGTTTATTTCTAGTACCGCTTTAATCAATAGATACGGAGTTTAAACTTAAAAAATCGACTGGTTACAACAAATACCAAAGGCGGTTTTGATTTTGACAACAATTGACTCAGTCTAATGTAAGAACTTCGCCTCGCGTGGTGACCGCGGTGGGGCGGTCTTCCAAACTCAGCTCCAAATTCGCGGAATTTTCCTTGATCGGCGAGGGTTTGTTGTTGCGGAGGGTCGAAGTGGAGGACTGCGGCCCACCGACAAACGAAGGCTGATAGTGGTTCCCAGAGCTGCCCCTGCTTTTCATCCCACTTCGATTTGGACTATTGTCGTCGAAGCTGTTCAAACTACCCGGCTTCGCACTTATCCTCACGTCCGCCGTCTGCGGTCGCAAGCCGCCCGCTTCTTCAAAGGCCTCAGGAGGTTTGATGAATCAAAATTTTCAGTTTCACTCTCTCACGCCGATTATATTATCATATGAAGTAGTTAATTTGCATACACCACTGCACAACCTTAAGGCTTCACCGATTGGCTTTGCCCTCTCGTGCGTGATCTCTTTCTTGGTACTTCTGATAAAAATCAACAAAACTAATGCGCTGCCACATGATCTGCAACAACCCTAAGTACTACGTACCTTCTTCCTCTTCTGCAACTCGCTTTCCCCCAGGCAGCTTGGCTGCAGGTAGCTCTGAAATTTCTGCAGCAGGTGGTGTATGGATTCCGAGCCGGTGTGGTGCTCTTTCATCCCCAAGTTCTTCCGCCGCTGCCGGATCGCCTTCAGCGGGTTTGTCCCCGCAAACACGTCGTCCGTATTGCTGGTCAGATATCCTATGTAAAAACGTCCCCATCCCATGCTTGTAATGCAAAGCTGCATGCTGAAAAGGTTTCTAATGCGGAGCCCCATGAAAAGCAGTTTCTATTCGTGTTTAGGAATTTGTCATGTCTGTGATGCTGGTGAACTAGCTGAAGCTTGACAGGATTATCCCAAGGAACTTGTCATGCGCAACAGCCAAAGCTTGGGGATTTGTGTAGCAGATTTCCCATCTTGCGCCTGGGGTGCGGACGTTTTTAAACACGATATCAGATCCGAGGTGGTCGCGCTCGTCGAGCTTGTCATGGCGGACGACAACCCGGTCCTTTGCTCCATACTGCTCGCCTGCTGGTCCAAAAGTGACGCACTGTAGCTGGACGTGCTCGTCGGCGGACGGCTGTGGTAGTACGAGTGGAGATGGTAAGAACTGGACGAAGAACTAGCGCTCGAAGATGATCCCGCACCAAAAACTGGGTTGCTCGCGGTGGTGTACGGGCGGTAGGACACCGGCAAGACGGAGGATACTAGAGCAGGAGCCCCGTGCGAGGTTCCCGGTAGTTGATGTACTAACCCGTTCTTAGTAGTCCCCCCGGATCGGGAGGAGCTACTGGTTCCCGGCCTGCTGTTATCAAATGCAAATATGTCTGGGTCTGGAAGAATGTGAGATCTGTGATGCAGTTTTTGCCTGATCCAGATCGTCTGGCATGCAAGCTCTAGCATCACAGATTTTAATGGCCAGGTGTCCCAATTATGCTTAATCCGCATGGCAAATCCCCTCTTTCGGTAACAAGAACTGGGGCCTTTTGCTAGCCATGCATGACAGATTTTGTCATGATGTAGACTTCGCATCACAAATTCGAACTCTTCCAGACCCAGACATATTTGCAACGCATAGCTATTCCAGAAATGCTGCCGCGTCTGCTTGATCTGTTCCACAATCAACTCCCTTTCGTATCAAAGTGAAAAAAGCCCCCAACCCATATCGGAAACGGAAGATGCGCGAATTTGTGACGCTGTATTTGAGTACACAAATCGACTTGTATTGCTAGAAGGCCAAGTGACGAAGCTGCGGCCTAAATTGCAGGTAATCTGTCATGCTGTTTCCCACTTCCAGTTGCCTCCTGTCATCTTGGAGCTGCAAGGCTTTCCCACGCTAGGCAGCCCTACAGTCCGCATCTTTTGCCTTCTAGCATCACAAAGCTGATTTGTCGCCACAAATCTGCATCACAGATTTCCGTTTTGATATGGGGAGGGGGCATTTTTCATTGTAATATTTCGTCCGGTTCGTTCTGGCCGATGCCAGCATGATATCACACAGAAAAAAGGAAGCAGCTCACATGACATTTGTAATACATTTTTGCATTACAAATGTGACCTGCCTGCTTTTTTCTCTGGGATACATGATCCAGGGCTTGTTGATGCTGTTCGGACCCGCCTACATTTTGCTCACCAGAAACTTCTGCGTCCGGACCACCGTGAGGACCACCCGATAAAACGAGTGCAGACGACCCGCTTGGCCCGCTTGTTCCGATTGATGGTTGTTCTCCACCAGTATTATTGTTCACCAGTGTGGTTTATCGAATGCAAATACTCATGTCTGGGTCTGGAGAGACGCGCCGAAATTGTGTTGCTGAGGCATGGATTGCAGCGCGATGTTTTGACCATTATTTTGTACTATACGCATCCCAAATCTTTCGCTTGGTATTGCGAAGAACTCTTACTCATACTCTACCGCGTTTTGCATGACAAAGTGGCTTCCACTTCCAGCACGACAAAAAATATGGCCCATCGCATTCATGCATCACAAAGCCTCGCTGTCCTTCAAATTTCGCATCACCAATCCAGACCACGACATGATGTTTTCAATTGATACAGTTGCCGTCCCCCCACTCGTGAACGTGGTCGTCGTGCCGTAGGAGTTGGAGTTCTCTTCCTATCGACTGCAAAAATGTCTGGGCCCTCTGGAAACCTGTGATCATGCTGGGCGGCGTTGATTGAACACACTCCTGAGTGCAGCCCAGCAGGACACGATTGCTCTCTGGACGCTTCCTCATGCGTAGCGCGAATTGGGAACTGCGTTTTTGCATGACAAAAGAGCGCGCGATGCTTTTGGTCATGCAGTACAGATTTTACAGGAATGTAAGACACGCAGTTGTACAGGTTTCATTTTTTCAGACCCACACGAATTTGCAGGTTTGATACTTCTTCCGTGTTCTCGATTGTGCTTTTGTCGTAGTCCGTCACGGAGTTGTCGCAGGTGGTGGTCTGATCCAGGTGGTTATTGCTCTGCCCGAGAGGAACTCCGCCGGCTCTTGCCGTTCCTGCGAATAGAGAAGTTGCAGGTACTGCTGATGATGATGATGTGTACAGATACTTACTCGCGGAGGTGGCAGGAGTCGTAATCATGTTGGACGATGCTGTTGAAGTAGACGAACTACTTTTTGTCGGTCCCTCCTCCAACGGCATTATAGGCTCCGCACTCGTCCGCGACGACCCGCTTCCGGCCCGGGCCCGCGACCGCAGGCGTGACAAGTCGTTCTGGGTTGCGGCGTCCGCTCGGAACAGCGGGTTGTTCATCATACCATTCTCTTCGTCGCAGCTGCCAACCTCCTCGGAGGGAGAACTCGCTTGGTTGAAGGTGGTGGAGGAGGCCAACAAAGCAGACGGATCCACGGGCGCACGGGAAGACTTGTTGAGACTCGAATCATGCTGCGCTGCTCCGTGGTCCTTACCGGCCGCAGAAGAGGAGGACGCTGCTGCCGTTCCGGCGTAGTTCATCGCCCCGGAGGTAGATGATTCCGCAATCGGCTCGGGGTATGAGAGTGCACAACTACTTCCCCGTCTCCCCCTCATTTGTACACAATGCAGAAACGGTGGAATTCCAGCCGATGCCTTTTGGCACTGTTTGCGTGACAGACAGGTACCAGCGCCCAGAACAGCACGACAGTGTTACGTAAAAAATTATAAATTTGTCATCTACTAGAAAGAGCTCTGCATCGTTGCTTGCGCTTCTGTCGCTACTCTTGCCCTCCAAACGAGGGCGACGTGAAGTTCTTGTGCACGACTCTCATACGGAATCTAACGTCTCCAGCTGCGGCACGACACGCTTGATTTCCGATGCCAGGTCCGGGAACTTCTTATCTGTTATTTGTGGTGATAAAATGACAAGGTTTATTGCCATACGTTCTTCATCATACGTCGAGAAGTGCAACTACCTTCTACAGGTCCAAGTTATTTCACAACGAGAACGTCAAAGCTACGCAATATGTAATCATGAAAATCATTATCCGTCTCGATACAAATCGGGTTGTCTTCCAGCGTCAGTTCCGTCAATTTTGGGCAGCTCGCGAGGTTCTCAAGCTCGTTCAAGTCGGAAACCTGGTTCCCTTCCAGGTCCAAAACTTGCAAGGTTTCGTGGAACTGCAGGCCGGACAGCTCCTCGACCTCGTTGAAGGAAATCTGTCGTGATAGTAGATTTTTCGATTCTCGTCTTCGATCAAATAGCAATATTATCTGGGTGTAGCATGACAGTTTTTATTTCTGCTATGAGGTTAACACGCATGACAAAAGTAAGCAACTAGACAAAGCAGTTTCTACGTAGAGCTCCTCCAGTAATGGCAGCGCGGCAACCAACCCGTCTAAATCCCGCAGCCCGGCCCGGTTCAGCCACAGATACCGGACCTTCTGGAATTTCACGCCCAGCTCCCGAATGTAGAATACCTTGCTCCCGTTCAGCTTCAGGGAGACGAGGTTGGGGAGGTTTTCCCCGATCGTGTCGGCGTGTTGCTCCTCCGCATCGATTTCGATCTCGAGGTTGTGCACCCGGGCTGTTAAGGGAGATGTTGTAGATGTTGTGTCATGCAATGCTCGGCTAGGGAATTAGATTATGTTCCAATGATGATGCGTAAGCGTATGCATGATCAGCATAAGTATAAAAGCCGAAAGAACTGCAGTTGTACTTAAATCCTCCTGGTCGCAATGGTGCCGTATTGTGAGGAAAAATCCCCCCTCCCCATATCGAAAAGGCATGCTTCCGAAAATTTGTGTTGCTGATTTGAGGGCACAAATCACGTCTGTCTTGCAAGAAGACAAGGGCAAAAGCTTCGCCCCCATTATGGAGGCGATTTGTCATGCTGTTGGGCCTAAAGCGGAGCCGTTTGCCATGCTGAACAACTAGACCGATACGCCCCTGTATAGCCTGGGGATCTGGCGGCGATGCCTTCCTGCAATACAAAGCCGATTTGTGTACACAAATCCCGCATCACAGATTTCCATTTCGATATGGGGTGGGGGGATTTTTCCTTTTGATATGCCGCAGGTATTCCTCGGTGACTTCGACCTGCTGGCCGCATTCCTCCTCGATGTAGTGCAGCTGCATAGTGGTCTATCGAACAAAAAAAGTTCGTCACGATCACTCATGCGCATTTTTGCAGTACAAAACTTTCTGTCATGCGTAAAAATGCATCACAGCCAAACTTCCTTAGGGATTTGTTTCCCTAATGTTTCTGCAACACAGAGGAAAGCTGTGATGCTAAAAAAATTTGTAATGCAAAGCCCGCAAGTTAGTGACAGTGACAAACTTTTTTCTCTCCATATGGTCCGCGATTTGATGTCCTCGCCGTGTCCTCGTGACGACCAAACCTACTTCACCTGCAACGAGAAAGTTGACTTGGTCAATTTGACTTGGCAAAGAGACGACGTAGTTCCCTATCGCGGCCCCTCCCGTTATTTCCGCGAGCTTTGCTCTTTTGATAGATTCGGCAGACCAAGAACCTCGTGGATGACGACGAGCAGGGGCACGTTAAACAAGCAAACGCAACGACGCAAAGGATGAAAGCACCAGTACAACGTCGCGACTCTTCATAGTAGTTGCACTTGCTGCCAGTTGTAGAAGTCCATTTGTGTAAGAAGCGTATGAAAGGTTCGCACTTTCATATTTTTTCGCTGAATTCACTAGTACCAGTAGAGCACCAGGCCTGGTGGTGTTCATCTTCTGCCTTTTGGTTTTGCTTTTGCTCTTGGTGCGCAACTTCTCGCTCAAATAAACAAGGCTTCTTTGTTGTCTACTCGTCGACCTCCTCGAGCGCAAGAAGATTAAACTCTGCTCACATACGTTTACTCACGAGCGATGATCCTTGACGGGTTTCCAAAACGACTTGAGGATAGCAGCAGGATGAAGGTAAAAGTAGGCATTAGAAGAACCCGGGTTACAAAGTCAACACTCATGATGCAATTCAATGAATCACACCGCGCTCCTCCCACACGAAACTCCAACCAGCAACTCTCCAGTCGTTGTATTCAGCACGAAAATCTTGTACTATCAACGACAGAAGCAGAAACGACCACGATGAAATGCTTTTTTGCAGCTCATACCGGACAACAGCATGCTACACTTACTTTGGAGACGACATCCACAACATGACTGCATCCTCATCCAAGTTGCAATCAAAAGTCTCAGTTTTTGGTGTGCGGCGCACCAGCTTCTTTTTGCTTCGCAATTGATCTTCATGCACTTGGTTTACTATTGTTCCAAAGTTTAAAATTTTGTGACGGATGCCCAAAGCCAAACACTAAGCTATCGCAGCTTTGAGTCCTCTACTATCCCGCTTGTTTATTCCTCAGCCGCCCTCAATACTGCCATGATCCCCGACGCCGGGCGAGTCGACCTCTTCCGTCTTCGCCGGAGACGACGGTGGACCACTGGTAAGGATCTGCTCCTGAGCACCTCCATCTGCTGCTGGCTGCGTCTCGTCCGCATGTTCTTGGTGATCCGCCGGCGTAGGCAGTTCGGGCGCGACCGGCACCTCATCTGAGACGGCGAGGCCGGAAGCAGCGGGAGATAGGTCCTCGTCTCGTGCACCTTCTGCAGCTACCCCCGCAGGAGCGGCCGGGGTTTCGTTTTCCAGTGGCGGCGCGGCACTTACTCGCACGGAAGTTGGCTTGTTTTTCACGTCGGCGGAAGGCGCTGCCGCTTGCTCTGCTGTTCCTCCTATGCATTGCAAACATGTGGTCCGGGAGGAGGTCTGGATGGATGCAAACTTGCGATGCGCGTTTTAGACCAGACGCAAATCTGTCATGCATAGCAAGCAAAACGTGGCGGATTTCACTTCATGCGGGATAACCACTTAGAAGAAACCTCCTCGCTGATGATGAAACGTGTGATATATGCCATTTGTTGCACGCCAGAGGAAGAACTTCTGGCTCATGCAAGTCATCTTCACCTCCAGTGTTCCAGAACCAGACTCAGACATGTTTTCTGCAGTTGATACCCAAATCCTCCATGGTGGCTGACTGAAACAGCTTGGGATCGACGGTCATGCCTCCCAGAACCGACGTCATGAAGTCGTCCTGCGGCGGTGCTACTATCGGAGACCCGTCTTCCCCCACCTGCGTGCTCGGTGGCGGCTCCGTCTTGCGCCCCATGAACTTGTTCTTCAGATTTTGGCCCGCCTTGGCCACCATCTTGTTGCGCAGAAGATCCTATGAACTGCAAAAGTATCGTATTCGTGTAAATGCATTACAAATTTCCTCAGCATGAGAAACAAAATTTGTAATGCGGATTTGACTCAACAAAAAGATTTGTATTGCATGATTGCAATACGAATACGATACTTTTGAACAGGATAGATCCCGGCCCCGTTGGATGAGCTTCTGCTCCGCATCGTAGGCTTCCAGCATGTCGATTCTGAGAAGCGGTGGGGTTTTCGGTTTTGGAATACTTGTTGTACTTACGCTATGCACGATGAAAGGACCACAATCAAAAGGATAAATTATTACGCAGCAAAAACTTCCCAACTATATCCATCCGTTATTGATACTTTTTTTGCTTCTTGTCTTTTTGGTCTTGCCTTCTTCTCTCGTCCTCCAGCTTGTATTCGATGACCTTCGTTGGCGGTTTGGGTATCAAGACCTTCGTATGGATTGCAAAAGTGTCTCGGTCTGGAAGATAGATTGTAATGCTGTCGCTGGATTCTAAAAAATTTGTATTGCAGGACCAGCAAGAGGACTCCAGTTTGTGCTACGCGGAGAGGGCATTTTTCATGCAGTAGAGGCAACGAAACCGAAAGGCCCTCTAAAAATATGTGATGCTAGGGCATGCATCACAGACATCATGGGTCATTCAAAATATGCATGACAAACTCTAACTCCTGCAATCTTCCAGACCCAGACATTTTTGCAATGCATACTTCGCCGGCTCCACCTTCAGCTCCTTTTCCCGCTCCAGCCGCGCCTTTCGGTCTCGGTCCAGCCGATCGTGCTCGTATGAGAGTGCACAACGCCCCCTCCCCCTTATTTGTCATGCAAAGTACCAAACCCAAGCGTTGCTGCGTGGTACTATTTGCATGACAGATTCCGGAACCCCAAACAGTAAGTACTACACTAGGTGCATGAACTTGTCATGCACAGGCTCCACAGGTGGGGGTGTCTGTATTGCTGTTCATGCAATACAACTGAGGGGGAGGGGGAGTTGTGCACACTCATAGCTCGTATTGCTGGAACAGAAAATCCGCCAGCGCCGACTTGGGCTATGCCGTGTAAAAACGTCCCCACCCCAGAGTTGTCATGCAGATTTGCAACTACAGGAGCATTTGTGATGCGCATCCTCATCAGAGGCTTTTCCAGTCTAGTTTTGAACAAGCTTGTAATGCAATAAACAGGATACGTAAGTGGCGTTGTGATGCTTCTGCACTTGCTAAACTGCACTACAGTACAGAGGGAGCTTGTCATGCGGGACGCCCAAAACTTCTGGATTTGTGTTGCGACATCCCCATCCTGACTCTGGTGTGGGGACGTTTTTCCTCAGGATATGGGCGTTATCGGCTTTTTCGACATCAGGAAGTCGAACATCTTGTCAAATAAAACGGGCAGGTCGTCGTTCTCTTCCAGATATTTTTTCCGCGCCTCAATGGCGTCCGGCCTGACTTCTCTGTTAGAAGATAAAGACTTTTGCTTTTCCTCATGAAAAAATACCAGAAACTTGTTGCTCTAGAAGCAAGACGAGGCCTACTTTTCTTGCACTAACAGAAAAATTATACTAAGTAAAACTAAAACCTACTCATGCGGAAGTAGATGTTGTGCTTGGTAAAGAAAGCCAAGCTTCAGTGGTGTACTTAAGTAGGTGTTCCGAAGACAGAGCATCTATCAATTGAAAAATACTTTTCCGCCCTCCTGCTGAACGCCATTTCTAGCCCGCTGCCGGGGAATTTTCGCTTCTGCCCGGCGACTTCGGTTGTGATCTCGTCGGGATCAATCTTCACCAGATTCAGCTCGTTGTTTGCCCCGCCAGAGCTGCTGCCCTTGCTGCCGGAGCTACTACTGGCCCCGGTGGCGGAAGAAGTCGGCGGCTTTTGCAGCGAAGATCCAATTCTTCCGTTGAAGGGCTCCAGAAGCTCCAGCTCCAGGTTTTTGCTCAGGTCTATCTCGTATCCACTGCAAATATGCCTGGGTATGGAAGATTGAGGGAGTGTGCCATGCAGATTTTGCACGGCCCGCAATGTCGGTGATGCCTGCTCCAGCATTACAGGTTTCGCGACGGCTCGTTCATGCCTATTCTGCATAAGAAATTCATTCCTCTCCGGGTTGCAAAAATCTTGGTGCCTGTTCGTGCTGCTCATGCAATACAGATTTTTGTATGATCGTCAGCTAGCAACATCACAAGTGCCACTCTTTCCAGACCCAGACATATTCTTTGCAAGGCATATCTCAGCCACCTTCCGCCGGAAGGACTTCGGAAAGGGAAAGTGCTGCAACTGCTGGGGGTTATTTTTTATTACAGTGAAAAGTGCCCCCCAACCCTAAATTGCAAAAATTTGTGATGCGAAGTTTGCAAATGAAAACTTTTTGTCATGCATGAAAGGAGTATGAATCTTTCTGATGCAGAATGTAGGTGTGTATCGCATCGCTTGCATGACAAGTGCCGCTCTTGCTGGGGTCTTTTGCAATGCAAATTTTTGCTATTCACGATTGAAAACCTGTGATGCTGATAGATGCAAGAGGGCGAATGTTTCATTTGGAAAGTTTTGCAATACAAATGCTTCCACGTTCGGGGGTGGGGGCATTTTTCATTGTAATATTTTTCAGGCTGAAACTATCCGGCTGCTTCTTCGGCTGCTTATCAAATGTAAAAATGTCTGGGTCTGGAAACTTGTGATGCTGGGTGGCGTATCATGAGGAAGCCATAAGTGCTGGCTCAGCATGGCAAGTTTCTGAGCTTCTAGGTGTTGCCTATTCTGCATGACAAACTGCGTTTTTGCATGACAGGAAAGTGGGGCTCTTGGGTAACCTGCATGACAGATTTAAGTAGTCATGCCAGAGAAGCATGACAAATCGCGCATTCTTCCAGACCCAGAAATTTTTACACTTGATAATGCTTCGCGTACTCGGATTGCGCGCCGGAGGAAGAACTCACGTGGCGGAGCTGTTGTGTGTTTCAGCACCTGATGCTTTCGAATATTAAACACATGATGGTGGTCAATGAATATGTCTGCATCTTCGGGTGATTTATTGCGCGATCGGTCCAACAAAAAAAATTCTTATACCTGAATCACAATTTCTGCGTGTTGGCCCTTATCCACGTGCCCCATCGGGTTGTAGATGCACCGGTATGGAGAGGAAAATGACTTTTACGTAGAGTCAAAAATTGCTACATGCTCGTGCCCTTGTCTCGGAAAAAATTCGTCATGCGTCAGTTTCCCTTTGGGCGGCCTTCGCTTCTTGCAGTAACCATCAGAAAAGCAGTGGCGCAAATCAAATTTCTATTTCACCGCTCTCCTTGACTCGGTGAAAAAAGTTTTTCCTCAGTCGATAAGAGCTTCTGGTAGCGCTCCGTGGGCACGATGGGTTTCGGAGGGGACACCATGGTGGCAGCAGCAGGTCGGCTTCTCTTTCCAAGACAGGGATGACGCGGCCTACCGCTGGATCACAAAAACGCAAAGCACCAGCAAGATAGCACCGTTATTACATCGTCCAGCTTTTTAAGAAAGTGACAAAATTTTCATAATTCATGGAGGTAGATCTTCAAGCATTCCGAAATGATGTGGAAAAGACATCATCGTGCATTTCATTTACAACAACTCCGTACATCCATATCATTGCAACTCTTTTGGTGGCTGTTGTACACGCACTCTAATAAACGTGTTAGTTTATTTATGAAATGTAAAAATGTCTGGGTCTGGAAGATTCTGAGATTTGTCATGCATGTTTTGCATTGGCCATGATGTCTGTGATGCATGCCCTAGCATCACAGATTTTTTGAGGGTTGCGCGATGCCTATTCCGCATGACAAACGCCCTCTCCGCGTAGCAAAAATTGCATTCATTTTGCTGCTCATGCAATACAGATTTTTTTGGAATCCAAGTTCAGCATCACAGGTTGCATTCTTCCAGACCCAGACATTTTTACATTTGATATTATTCAGAAACACCCATGGGGTGAGTTCCAACCTTCTTCTGCTCGTTCGCAACATGACCCCACGTGTACAACGCAAAATTCTTGCAACATCCGGCCAAACAACATGCTCCGCGAGGTCGTTGGCTCCCCTGTTCCTCTTTAGCCACTGTCTTCGGAAACTTTTTTCTTCTTGAGATCGATTTGAAACAATCTGCCAGTTGGTGGGAAACAACTGTTGTCTGTCCGGACGCGAGGACCCACAAAACAATAATTCCTAGTGAGCCAAGTTGCTGTGCAGAAGAAGAAGCCCAGGACCAGGCCTGTACAATCAATGTCCACACTGCTTAACTCGGTTTACGTAAAGCAGAAACAGAAAATTCAGTATGCATGAGGAAGAACAAAGTTTACAGTTGTGTTGAGATACAAGAACTTCTACGGATGTAAGCAGAAAGTAGGGGAAGGGGTGAGCGGGGTGTCACAACGTGTTATTGCAGATGAAACAGACATACAAACTAGAAGATTCTCGACCAGTAGAATAAAGCATTTACACCATTGAGCAGGTGAGTAAACTAGATGTAATAAACTGCCATGATCGAGCGCTTTGAACATTAAACCGGCGCGAGAGAAGGCTCGTGCAAGAAAACCACGCTTTTTCAGAAAAACCACCTCCCCAGAAACCCGGCGATGCCCTTCAGTTCGTGTTGCTGCTTGGCCAAGTTCACGTCGACGGCAAACGGCTTGATCATGGGCACTACACCGTACTTGCACGTGGGTGGCATACCGCGCGCAAAGTACTGGTCGACTGCTTTGCGGTATTTCCGGCTGCAGTCCAGTTCGACCTCGTAGGCGTCTTGCAGGTATGGATTGCAAATATGTCTGGGTCTGGAAGAGCCAAACTTGTGCTGCTGCATTTGGATGCTAAAAAAATCTGTATTGCATGAGCAGCGAGAGGAGTCAAATTTGGCTACGCAGAGAGGGCATTTGTCATGCAGGATGCGCATCGATAGGCGCTCACAAAATCTGTGATGCCATGGCATACACGACAGACATCATGGATCATGGAAAATGTGCATGACAAACTTCTCCCTTTCCAAACCCAGACATTTTTACATTTGATAGCAGGGGCGTGCAGGACTTCGTGTGCATCTGCCGCAAGTGCGCGTAAGCGTCCTGCAATCCTTCCTGTTTGTCCTTGTACGTGGTGTAGGCCGCGTCCAATTATGCATTGCAAAAGTATCGCACTCGTATAAATGCATTACATACAAATTTCCTCAGCATGAGAGATAAAATTTAAATCCTTGAGAAAAAGATTTGTCTTGAGATAATGGTAATGCATGACTGCAATACGAGTACGATACTTTTGCACAGGATACCAATTCCGCCTTTGCTTCCTTGTAGAAATTCAAATTTCTCCGGAACGTGTCCGCCTTTGCTTTCTATCAAATGCAAAAATGTCTGGGTCAGGAAGAGTGGAACACTTGTCATGCACATTTTGCATGAACGATGATGCCTGTAATGCATGACCTAGCATCAGAAATTTTGCGAGGGCTTCCTGATGCCTATACCGCATGAGGAATACCCCCTCCGCGTAGCATAAACTGGACTCCTCTTGCTACTTACGCAATACAGATTTTTTTGGAATCCAAAGACAGCATGACAAGTTCCATCCTCCCAGACTCAGAGATTTTTGCCTTTGATACTTTCGCTTTTTCCGCCGTGGAATCCTTCGAAGCTTCCTTCATTCGCATCTTATCGGATGCAAATATCCCTGGATGTCTGGAAACTTGTGACGCAAGTCATTCAATAACAAATGGACTGTAATGCGCCGCCAACCATGACAAGTTTTCTCGTGCCTCTGTGCTGCGTGTTCCGCATGAGAAACTGCGTTTTGCATGACACCAGGCGAGAGAGGCTCTTTGTGGCCACGCAATACAAAGCTCAGAGTCATGCCAGACTAGCATGACAAATCTCACAATCTTCCAGACCCAGACATATTTGCATTTGATACATCTCAAAGTCTTTCGATTTTGCGGTGTGTGCGGTCAGTGCTCCGTCGGTGTCGTGCAGATTGCACTGGCACTTGTCGCCCTGCTCGGTCATTCCGAATCGCGTATGCATTGCAAACATGGATGTGTGGGTCTTCTGGAAAATTTTTGCAACTTGTAATGCGCAATTCAGACAACATTGAAATCTGTTTTGTCAATCTGCACGAACAGCAAACATGGCCCAAAATTTGGCAAAACAAGAGAGAGATTGTCATGCGGACTAGGCTGCAGTGTTGAGGCACCTTCTCAACAAGACGGGTGAAGAAGAAGATGCTAGACTTGCATGCCACCCCTTCTGGGTCATGCAAGAGTAGCATGCCAAACTACACCTGCACTCATTCCGACCACACAGACTGCATATTTGCATCCGATACACTGGCGGCGGCGGCGTTTTTTTGCTGAGGGACCCCTTTTTTGGAAGCCCGTCGTCCGGGACGTCTGGCTCGGGGGCCTGTTCGTCCGCGTCTTATCAACTGTAAAAATGTCTGGGTCTGGAAGAATTCATGTTTGTCATGTTTGTCTGGCATGACTCTTAAATCTGTCATGCACGTTACCCAAGAGCTCCGCTTTTCTGTGATGCAGAACCGCAGTTTGTCATGCAGAAAAGGCAACACCGAGGAGCTCAGAAACTTGTCATGCTGAGCCAGCATTTGTAGCCTCATCATGAGACGCCACCCAGCATCACAAGTTTCCAGACCCAGACATTTTTACATTTGATACGTCTGCCGCCTCAGGAATAAAGGCGGTTCGAGTAGTTCCCAGACTGGAAAAACCACTACCACGCGCAGGTCTACTATTTTTGCAGCTTCGGATCATGGAGTTGCGAGGTAAGAGGAGATCGCCGCCACTACAACCCGAATCAACATGGCTGTTTATTCCCACAGATGAAGGAGACACAGACGCAAACAGGTCTGGTTGATGCAGTTCGGCTGTTGTACCTGGTAGGCCTCCAAGCTCCTGTGCGGTACAGAAATGATCGATGTGGTCGAAAAATGCCGCGGCTCCGCGACCAGATCTCATTCTTCTTGCGGATTTGCGGTCCGTAGTTTCTTCGAAATTCAAATTAATTGGTTGATGTTGTGTTCCCTCCTCGCAGATGAAGCTTTCGCTTCACATAACTTCCTACACGTCGTTGTAGTGAAAACCGAAAAGTGAGGTTGACAAGTACATGAGTAGTAGTCGAGGAAGATGAAACCAATTTATCAGATCAAGACCTTCAAGTTCAGAGCTGCAACGCGACAACTTACTACCTTCCTTAGAGGCACTGGTGGAACCACGAGAACTTCGAAATAAGGACAGACTACACTCATCTGCAGGCTCTAGTACAACTTCACTCTGACTCAACATCACTCCACTCTCGGTGGCAGAGTAAGTACATGTGCCCCTTCGTACGCCGCTGTAGTAAGCCACGCACACAACCAAAACGAACAGCGGTACTGGCACTAGCACGACACAACTACAAAAGAAGCCAAATTTCAATCATCCGGCCGATAGCGACGACGTGTGGCGATCGATAAACGGTAATTTCTGAAAATATTCGTCATTTTATCTCCGAAATCTTGTTCAACATCAAACCGGTTCCTAGAAGGCGTACCTCCGACAGTGCCGCCGCCCTGACATTGCCATTAGCTATTTGCCAGTTGATGTTGTTTTATTCTTGGCTTTTTCTACAAACAATCTTCACACGTAGACGTACTTTTTGGGTAATCAATCTTCAGCGAGGCTCCTGTAATTGCAATTTATTCGTTCATCTTCAAGGAGGTCGTGCTAGCTTGACTAAATCACTTCTTTGACTTTGGCTTTCTGCCACTGGGCCTGTTTCTTGAGAAAAAAATTCAAATTGAGAAAAGGGCGGCGGGTATTCAGTTGTAGTAAAACGGGTTGAAATAAAACTTAAAAATTCGCTGCCTCCACCGTACCTCCTGATACATTCGACGAGCGCCAGCGTGCACAGTCACACTGCTGGGCGCAAAAAAAAAGTTGCTCGTCACATTTTGAGGTCGTGGGTAAAAAATTGTGTTGACCTTGACACGCAGGAGAGGGGAGCGGAAGTCTTGCGAGTTTCGCTTGTAAAGAAGGTGCTGGGCAGGTTTGACAAGAAAACATCGTAGACAGAACCACTAGTATCATCAAACTTTTTGTGACAAAAAAAGCAGAATAAAACCACAACCAGGTCAGCCGCCCAGCAAAAAGTTAATTGCCTGATTCACGTCGCCATTGGCCTGCACCAATGCTTGGATGTTGGATGGGCGATCCGTGAAGCCCATATTTGCCAGTTGCTCCAACTGGGACGTGAACCTTTCCTCTGGTGGCCGGTTATCCGCCGGTGCTGCGGGCGCACCGCCAGCGCCGGGCATGCCACCTAAGGTCATTTATTTTCGAGACAATTTCTTGAATTTCTGGACACGACCTCCTCCTTCACGATCATGACAAGTACCCGGATGAAACACGGATGAAAAACTTGCTCAAGATAGTTGAAACAACTACCGCATCGAGAGAGGGTGTAGAGATGTCGACGCGATCACCTTCATCTACCAAGAAACTATCATCGATGTATTGGACAGTAATGGTACTAGTACCTCCTGCTCCTCCCAACATTTGCATCAGCGCGGCCATGTTAGGTGGTGGCGCTCCGCCTGGTTAGGTTAGTTTTTGTTTGCCCAATACGTAGAAAAAAGCATAAAGATGAACGGATGCACATGCTCAATCAGAAAATTTTTCGTGTTGGTTCTTGCATGAGGCAGCCGATCAGCCTTCGCTCGTCACATGTAAATGGAATCACGAACGAAGTCATACAGTTTTGCTTTTCGTTTTCGACGAGAAAACAAGAACTATATACCTGGTGCCGCTGCACCCCCTGCTCCGGGCGCTACACCGCCGCCGCTTGCGGGTGGCACCGCCGCGGCCGCGCCGCCTAATGCGGGCATGCCGCCGGCACCCAGGCCGGCCAGGCCCGCGCCGCCCTGCGCGCCACCCATGGCCTGCTGGAGCTGCATCACCTGCTGCATCATTTGCGGATTGTATTACAATGAAAAATGCCCCCTCCCCATATCAAAACGGAAATCTGTGATGCAGATTTGTGCTCACAAATCAGGTTTGTGATGCTAGAAGGCAAAAGATGCGGACTGTAGTGCTGCCTAGCGTGGGAATAAACCTATGCGTCTCCAGCATGACAGGAGGCAACTAGACAAGTGGGAAACAGCATGACAGATTACCTGCAACTTAGGCCGCAGCTTCGTTTCTTGGCCTTCTAGCAATACAAGTCGATTTGTGTACTCAAATACAGCATCACAAATTCGCGCATCTTCCGTTTCCGATATGGGGCGGGGGCTTTTTTCACTTTGATAGATTGGACATCATCTGCATCATGGACTGCATCATGGCGGGATTCTGCATCATCTGCCCCACCATTGGATCCCGCTGCATCATCTGCTGCAGCATGGGGTTCGAATTTATCATCTGCTGCAGCATCTCCGGGTTCTGCATCAGCTGCTGCATATCAACTGCAAAAATGTCTGGGTCTGGAAACTTGTGATGCAAGAAAGGGAATAGTGAACTCACTATAATGCGCTGCCAAGCATGACAAGTTTTTTCCATGGCTCTGAGTTGCGTACTCCGCATGAGAAGCTGCGTTTTTGCATGACAGGGAGGAGGAGCTCTTCGCGGCCATGCAACACAGAGTTCAGAGTCATGCCAGACAAGCATGACAAATCTCGCAATCTCCCAGACCCAGACCTTTTTGCATTTGATACTGCATGCTCTGCTTTGTATGCAAAGCAAAGACGTCATCTCTGTCTGGAACAAGACACGTTGCGACTTATCATGCTAAAACTTTACTTCTGTAGTATCGTGCATCAAAAATCAGTGTTGCGAGATTGTTCTTACCACAAGTTGTTCACGACTTTATTTCTTGATGTCCAACATTTTTGCGGACAGTTTCTCACGCAGACGCAGGAGAGGCATGATAGTAGGGATCTCGCCGACTAATGTTTCATGCTTGGTTGTGTGTGCCAGACCAAATGGATCGGGCAACAACAACATGGAAATCCTGCATGACAAGTCTTGCAATCATCTTCCAGACGACCCGGTGACAAGTTTGTATATGCATACTGCACCATGGGGTTTGACATCATCTGTTGGATCATTTCGGGATTCATGCCCGGCATCCCCGCGGGCCCGCCCATTCCGGGCATTCCGCCTGGTATGGATTGCAATTATGTCTGGGTCTAGAAGAGTCGCGGCTTGTCATGCACATTTTGCATGACCCGTGAGGTCTGTGATGCTGCTGCTAGCATCACAGATTTTTTGAGAGCTTCTTGATGCTAATTACGCAGGAGAAATGCCCTATCCGCGTGTTAAGAACTGACTCGTGGTCTTGCTGCTCATGCAATACAGATTTTTGTAGGATCCAAAATCAGCATCACAAGTTTCACTCTTCCAGACCCAGACATATTTGCATTTGATACCTGGTGCCGCCGCGCCGCCAGCCGCGCCGCCCATCGGAGGAAAGGCGCCCCCCTGTCCGCCGCCGCCCTGAGGAATTTATTGTTCTAGTGTGAAGATGATCATATGAAGAGTCATGTACTCGTTCTCGTTGTCGTTCTACCATAAGTCTTTGTACAAGGTGGCAACTTGTTCTTGATCAAACACGCAAAGCAGTTTATATATTATCGTGGTGAAAATCCGGCTGGCCATGCAGAGCTAATATCAGTACCATCATGCTCATCATCTGCTGCATCATCATCGGGTCCATACCCCCGGCGCCCATTCCCGGCGCCCCGGCCGCGCCCCCGAGTCCCGCCGCTAGCGGATTTGGCGGTGCTGCCGCCGGCGGACTGGCATTTGCCGCGGGTGCAGTTGAAGTCGTCGTTGTAGTGGTGGTTACTGTTGCCGCTGGCGCTGGGCTCGCCGCACTCGCGCCCTTGACGATGTGCATGGTGTGCCCGTTTTCGACGGAATGGTCTTTCAGCGTGTCCTTGTCTTTGAGTATTCTTCCCTTGTAGATGAGCTTCATGCCGCTCGCTGCTATTGAAGTCTTCTCGGAGCACTGCTGCTTCACCTGTAGTGATATGTTTGGCGCTGATAATAAATGCATTGTCATGCAGAATGTGCTAGAATGTCAAGGATTGTCATGCAGAACTACTACACACGAAAAAACATTACCGCTTCCACCGTCGTTTCGAGCTCGAGGTCCAGGGAAAAGGCTTCCCCTATCAAAAGGAAAAATCCCCCCTCCCCATACTGAAAAGGTATATTTTTGGAACTTTGTGATGCTGATTTGTGGCCACAAATCGTGTCGGTCTTGCAAGAAGGCAACTCCGCAGGCTCCGCCGCATTGTGCAGGCGGATTGTCATGCTGTTGGCCCTACAGCGCGGATGTTTGTCATGCTAAGTGCCTATGCGAAAACCTCGCTACTCACGCTTGGCATGGGCCTTCAGTGCTTTCCAGCAAGACAGCGCGGATTTGTGTACACAAATCCAGCATCAGAAATTTCCTTTTGAAACGGGGATGGGGGATTTTTCATTTTGATATCCCCACCCGACACTTTAAAAGACACGGAGACCGGCATCGTTTTCGTCGTGATGTGGTGTATGCATGGCAAATATCTTCCCTGGACGTCTGGATTTGTGGTGCAATATTTGAAGGACCACAAGAACTGTGATGCGTGAAGTACCGGAGCGGCTAGCCTCTTTGTCATGCTGGATCGATTATATGGTAGTTTCTTTATTGCAGCCATGCGTAGTTCTTTTACGAATGAATCGGCAGCAAGCGTCGCAAAACTTCTCATGCAGCTGCTGTGCCGTACGGCGGCCAGCCACTTTGCAATTATCCAGGTACTTATCTTCAGCGTCACAAGCTTATTCCAGACATCAAGGGACAACTTTCGTGATGCGTATTGGTTCCCTGGTGTCTGTGTCAAAGAAGTTTGCTGCTCTACCGGATGAAGCCCGTGCGGAGCTGCTTCCTTAACGGCAGCAAGAAGCCGGCTTTATTCGCTGTCGGGGGTAGAAGTCGTAGTTGTAGTTTTGATCAGGGGTGTATGAAATACACTCGGTTTCCTTCCCTTGTCCTCGTCCTCAGGCAGAAGAAGCAGCACTCACGGTAGCAGGAGGCGGGGGCATCTTTAGAAATTATCTACAACTTCGTCAATGAAACCAGTGCCGTCGTCTCGTCGTATCTTCACGTATACTTAGAAGTGTCTTCTAATTCAGCGGGAGATAAGACGTATTAATTTTCTGTGATTTTCAAAACATCAACAAATTGGCGGAAAAGGGGATCCTGATGGTATAACGCATCAAGTAGTTGTAGTTGTACTAAAAGTTGTTCCAAATAACTTGATAAAAGATTAAAAGACTTTGATTCTTTCATCGCGGTTGTACTCACTGTATCCAAATATGTTGGCTTTTCTTTTCTCGTCGTTCTTTGCGCTCGTTGGGGCGCAAGGCCGCGTTTGTTGACACTTTTATCTTCAAGTTTGACGCCCGATAAGAGTGCTCAATTTCAAGCAACTTCCTGCTGCACGACCTGACGACCTTGGTAAATCGCCAACAACGGGAGCGAATTCGCTGGGGACAAGGCCAACAGCGCTACCCTGCTCCACCCTAGCGCGGGCTGTATCTACCCGGTAGAAGCAGAGCTCCCAAGCTCCCACAGAAGGCCCCCTAGCTACAGGCCCCCCAGGAGGCTGTATCTACCTGGTAGATGCCGGCTCCCCAAGGAAGCTGCATGCACCTGGTAAAAGGAAGCTGCAGTTACCATACCTGGTAGAAGGAGGCGGTGCCTAGGCTGTGCCTACCCAGTAGAAGGCGACTGCATGACGCACCTGGTGGAAAGATATAGGCTGCCAAAGCATGAAGGCTTCCGAGCTACCGGCCCCCAAAGGGGGCTGCGTTCACCTGGTAGATACAGCCTCCGGCCCCCTCCAACTGCTCAGCTCTGTGGCAAGAGGGCTCCTAGTTGCCAGCCTAGTTCAGGGTGCCTGGTAGCCAGAGACCCCGCGCTCCGCTGCAATACAAGTCCGCTGCCGAGAGTCTCAACACCTTGCCCCGCTGAAAAAAGGAGCGGGCACGTTTGGGCCTGCTCTGCAAATGTGGCTACCTCGTCGCTGCAACGCCCTTAGTACTGATGCTACAGTACCTCCGATACGTTTTGTTTTTTAGTGGACGGGATTTAGTGAACGGGAAGCCTGGAGTTTCTCAACTAGTATGAAAAGAAAAACTATTCCTCTGCTTCTTTGCTGATCGCTGTGTGAGTTTGGAAGTTTGAAAGCAAAAAAGTTCGTCTGTCACGTCAACGCTCTATTTTTTTGGTGAAGTAGGTCCATCTTGTAATGTAAAGTTGCTATTTTCTTGCAATGTAAAGGCTTTATTTTCCTGCGCAAAAGTTTCTGTCGTGAGAGTTCAAGCTCTTGGCATTCTGAAAGAAAGCAAAACGAAGCGGCAGCCAGCTGCAGCCTAGAGTTACGCGAGAGCTACAACTGATCCTCGTCCGATCTATCGCCCCACGATGCACATTGTCACTGCGGCGGCGTTATCCTGTGCAAGAGCATCGCACCCGTATAATTGCGATCATGCGTTACAAATCTTTTTCGTAAGGGACATCAGCACTATATACTTTATTTCTCACGCTAAACGACTGCGGCACTTTTGCACAGGATAGGCGTTTCCAGTTCTTGAACTCCTCGGCCCGAGAGCGCTAGCCTGGCGGAAGGAGATGGTCTTCAAACCAGTCAGGCTGCAACTTCTTGCTGCACGTCCTGACGACCTTGGTACGGCATTAATTAAGCAGAACTCGAACACAATTCCGACGGTTTCTTCAGGGGAAAAAATACTTACCCCAGCACGCTGTTGGTCGTCTTTTTGAGAAATGATTGCATCTGCATTGCGGCCTTATCTGTGAAGATCATGCAAACTTTAAGCCGTCCAGGCATGATCATCCTCGTCGTGTTCATGGTTTCACTCCTACACTAGTATCCTCGTATGTTCTACTTCGTCGCGAAAAGAGGTCTGCTTCCTCAATCTTCCATCAGTGTGGTTTCCATTATAGAATTCAGCTTGTTCTGTATTCTCAAGACAAACACGCCGTGAAGTCAGGAACATCGGTGACAAAAAAGCACGCGGCTTCCTTGCTCGAGGATATCTGCCATGCTGCATATGCCAGTTACCTTTACGCCATGTAGTTGCAGCTCCTAGTAGTAACGATAGGAAACACATTCGCGCTGTTTTTTCCAAGCGGAAGCGACGACCCTGGTAGTTACCCCGCCGCAAAATTATTGTGAGGAAAAATCCCCCCTTCCCATACCAGAACGGGACACTTCTCAAAATTTGTGATGCTGATTTGAGGCCACAAGTCGTCTTTGTATTGCAAGAAAACAAATAAAAAACCCCGCCGCGTTCTGCAGGCAATTTGTATTGCTGTCTGGCCTACAGAGGACGCCCCTACCTTGCTAGGCACCTACACCAAGACATCCCGAGTCCGGCTTTGTATCTGTCTGCAGTCCTCTACTGCAAGACAAAGCCGATTTGTGTACACAAATCCCGGATCACAGATTTCCATTTCGATATGGGGTGGGGGGATTTTTCCTTTCGATAAAAATCTTCGCGTATCCTATTGTTCCAGTATTCCGCTCGCTCGTTAGGCACGCAGAGGATATCAAATGCAAAAATGTCTGGGTCTGGAAAAATGCAACTTGTAATGCTAAATCTGAATCATGCAAAAATCTGTGTTGCATGATTGCCACAAGTCGTCCAGTTTTGATCAAGTCGTGAGGGAGTCTCTCATGCAGGATAGGCACGATAGAGATCGCACAGAATCTGTCATGGTAGGTCCTGCATTCCAGCCCTCGCGGGTCATGGAAAAACTGCATGACAAACTTGCATTCTTCCAGACCCAGACATTTTTGCACTTGATAGAGGAGGATCTCGTGCATTTCTAGGTTCTGCACCGGTTTGCAGCCGTAGCCCGCCGTCTCAGCCATAAAGTCGACAAACCTGAAGAGGTAAATGTAAAAACAGTCCTGATATAATTTTTTCATCTCATGCTAGTAGGACGCAGGGGCACAACCAGAGCCGAGGTGCGTAATATCTTGCGACGTGCATGTGCAATGTGTTGCGGGAACTTACTACAACTCCGCTACTCATGTATATTGTTGTATCTCTGACATGATGGCCAAGGATGAAACCTATTTTCATCAAGTGGTAGTGGAGCTACCAATTTCACGTACTCACTGTTCCTACCTGGTATCGCCGTTTGCGAAGTATGGCTGGCTCTCGACGTAAATCAGCGGCCAGTAGGTTTTATCAAATGCAAAAATGTCTGGATCTCGAGATTGCGAGATTTGTCATGCTTGTCTGGCATGACCAAAAAGTTTGTGATGCGTTTCCAAGAAGAGACCCTTTTGCCTGTCATGCAAACACGCAGTTTGTCATGCGAAAAACGCAACACAAAGAAGCGCAGACATTTCTCATGCTTGCCTGTGCATCACAGAGCATTCACTATTCCCAACGCAGCATTACAAGTCTCTAGACCCAGACATTTTTGCAGTTGATAGGTTTGTATCAATTCCAGGCCGCCCTGCACAACCTCTAACTCCATCCCCTCCGTGTCTATCTTGACAAAACTCAACGGCGACTCGTGTTTCGTCTGCTTTTCACACTTGATGCTGCCCCGGTGCCACAGGTTATCACGTATCCCCGGTTGTAACAAGAACGGCCCCACTATCAAATGCAAAAATGTCTGGGTCTGGAAACTTGTGATGCTGGGTGGCGTATCAAGAGGAGGCCACAAGTGCTGGCTCAGCATGAAAAATTTTTGAGCTTCCAGGTGTTGCCTATTCTGCATGACAAACTGCGTTTCTGCATGACAGAAAAACGGTGCTCTTGGGTAGCGTGCATGACAGATTTGAGAGTCATGCCAGACAAGCATGACAAACATGCATTCTCCCAGACCCAGACATATTTGCAGTTGATACCCACAAAATCGTTCCCAGAGTCAAGTATAATATCGGGACTTCCTCGCTAGTACAGAAATAAACAAGCTTAGGCCCCCCATTGCGCACGACAGGGAGGCTTGGAGTCGCAGCGCTGCTCCACCAGTTGTGCCTGGCGGGGGCACCCGCATTGCAAAAACGACGTGCTTATCTCTCTGATGATAGCATGACAAATCCCGATATAATAACTACACGAGGCAAGAACTACAATGTCCCCCCCTCGTCCATGGGGCAGCAGTAGGAGCTCCGCATGAGAAACTACATCCTGCTCCTGTCCTGTGCATCATGCAAATTTGCATGACAAATCTGGGGTGTCGTCGTGTGAGGGCGTTTTATTTACACGGGTTATCCAGAGACTCGACTTCAATTTCCTCCTTGCCGTCGAAGTGGACGTGCGCCAACTGTATCAAATGCAAAAATGACTGGGTCTGGAAGAATGCAACTTGTCGTGCCAAATCTGAAACAAGCAAGGATCTGTGTTGCATGATTACCAAAAGTCGTCCAGTTTTGACCAAGTCAGTAGTAGTGGTAGTACCATTCGACTCCTGGCGGGTGGGCGTTAGAACAGATTTAGCCTCTGCCAATACCTGGGCGCTAGAACAGATTTAGCCTCTGCCGATACCCCTAGGTGGAGACCCGGTCCACATCCTAACTACCACCCGGCTGCACCTGCGAAACCGCTATCGATTGCTTACGCATGGCCGCAACCAGTAGGCGCTATGTGTGGCTGACCTGCCTTACCATCCAAGCCCGCGAGCAAGGTGGAGCTCCAGTATTGCCTTGATGGGGTAGTCTTACAAACTTGCTCGGATCTTACTTCTGTGGCCGGTTGCGCGCTAAAAAATATACAGGGGGTCTATTGATCAGACACGGTGATCCTATCACGATGGCGGACGACCCAACGGCATGCCTCTTTCGGACACTTTTTACCGATCTGCTTCCCGCGCCCTTTTTTATGCGTTTTCAGAGAATCGGCCCGCGGAGCTCCGCATTTGCAGAGCCGCCACCGCGCCCGCCCCGGGGGGGACCCCTTGGGGAAGGGGGGTGCTGCCTTAGCGCAGTCTTTAAATTAGCAACCCTGGCGCCACTTCTTTGATATAGTTCCTTTGTCCTTTCTTCTTGGTTAGTTATGGATAGCAGCGCCTTCAACTGGCGGAGACGATAGGAGAAGCAGCGCCGTGCCCCATCGGCTGGCGAAGACGATACGAAACAAGGACGGGTCGAATCGGGGTTCACGCGCGACCATCTTGTTCCTCTGCTTTCACTCTTGCAGAAATTTCTGCTTTTTGCCCTCGCTCTTCCCTCTGCACCCGCCAGAACACCCCGCATCCGCCTTAGTCTCCCTGAGCCCCTGTCTAACTCTTCTTTGTCATTTTTAGGTCTCCTTTTTTCTGTCTCGTACGAGGCTACTTCCTACCTCTACTATGCTTTCCAATCATCAATCTCTTATATATTTGCGCAATGGTCAAAGTTTCGTGCTATCTTCGTTCATTTTTTGTTACTGTTGTCTTTTTCCTGAGCTCTATACATCTGGGCTAATTCTCTCTGCATAGGGGTTTCATGCTGCATTTGCCTCCTCCTCTTCATTTCTTCCTGTTTTCTTCTCTCGCTTTCCCTTTGTTTCTCTTCCTCCTGCACCAGTATCGCGTCGTCCGCCATTAATTGCTCGACTGTGGGGAATTTAGGAGCCTCCTGCTCTCGCTTTTTTCCCGCGTCCCTGCGTCCGTCCTCGTGGCTCACTTGCTCGGCTTCTTTTTCAATTTTTCTCCTTTTCTGTTGCTCCTGCTCTGCTTCTGTATAGTTTTTGTCTATCTCCGCCTGGTCCTTTTTAATCGCGTCCTTTTTCTCAACCCTCTCCAGTTTTGACCAAGTCGGGAGGGAGTTTCTGATGCAGGATAGGCATGAGAGAGATCGCACAGAATCTGTCATGCTAGGTCCTGCATTCCAGACCTCATGGGTCATGGAAAAGCTGCATGCCAAATCGCTCATTCTTCCAGACCCAGACATTTTTACATTTGATAAACTGTATCCCAGAGCAAAATGCTAGAATGCCATATTGATATTTGCACGGAACAATAGGATGTTGAATAATGCACGACAAAGACCAAATTCTCAACAGTCTCGCGCATAGCATGAGCTTTCGCTTTCGGCTTCGTGTGTACTATGCGTTTTTGCATTACAAATCTGATATGCTAGCTTTCCACTCTGGGATAACCTCTTCCTTTTGCTGGTGGAACACCCGAGCCGCGCCGAGTATCCTATGTAAAAACTTCTCCACCCCATAATCAAGACGCAGAACCTGCTAGACAAATCCACAAGTTTTGGCTGTCGCGCATGAGAAAACTCGGGCTCGTAGTGTAGTCCTGTTATTTGAGGTAGTTGCGCAACCCCCGCATCACAAATCGACTACCTCATCCTGATTCGAGCATGACAAATCCCAAAACAGCATGAGAAAGCGCTTCTCATGGGACTGCGCACGAGAAGCGTTGTAGGTGTGCAGATTTGCATGACAACTCTCGGGAGGTGGGGACGTTTTTACAGAGGATACCGAGATTTATGTAGTCATTCAGGTCCGGGGCATTCACGTGCACGAATTGCGTCACGTTGCTCATGCCCACTTGCCGGGTCACCTGCGTAGTGGTCAAACAGGGTGGAGCATAATAAAGCTGTCAACTACATACGCAGACTTTATTGTACGAGCGAGCTCTAGCTCCACTACTACTTCTACTTCTGTGCAGCGTCATAACTCGTCCGTCCCATGCTTGTTCTAGTACCCACTGCCTTGCACAGCATGCACCTCCTTGATGCTTAGAAGGCTTCTGAACCAACGACGAGGCGTTGACAAAGAGAAAGAAAGAAAATCAGCAAATAAACTAAGTCTGTACCACATTGCCAAATCCCTGCAAAGCTACATTGGCGTTCAAGATGTGAAAGATTTTCCGGAAGGGTTCGTAGGCGTAGACCAGCCCGTTTATGCCCACCTCATCTGCTATTACCACGGTGTAGCTGCCAATGTTGGATCCGATCTCAATCACGCAGTCGTCTTCCCGAAGCAGTTATCAACTGCAAAAATGTCTGGCTCTGGAACAAGAGTCATGCTGTTTCTGCATGACACAGAAGGCCTGGCATGGAAGCTCTAGCATCACAGGTTTCGAGAAGCTTTCGCAATGCCGAATCCGCATGACAAATCCCCCAGATTGGTGACAGAAAGTGGGCAACTTTTGCTGCCTATGCATTGGAGATTTTTCTGTGTTCTGAAATGCGCATCACAAGTTTGTATTCTTCCAGACATCCAGGGATTTTTGCAGTTCATAGCAATCTCCGCAGCACGTGCTCTTCCGCCGCATCGTACACGCCCGAATGCTTCACGAACCCGCCCACCACGAAATCTAATGCGGGAATGAGGAAATATCGGCTGAGGTCGGGCTTTGCGGGGGTGAGCAGAACCGGGTACTGTCGGCCCATATGGATGTGTCAGGGTTGAAATCGACAAAGTTGAAATAACTTGTAATGCTAAACCGACTAAAACCACTTGTAATGCATAAAATCGATACCCATTGGAGTTGGACCCACAGTTTCTAGTCAGTGCATGACAAATTTTGTCCGTACCGGAGGCCAGTTTATTATGCTGTTTCGGGCAAAGGGGCTGGGGCTCCTCTCTGTGATGCTAATCAGCAGCCCGATTCTCGACCCTTACCAGCGCCACAATCTGCCTCCCTTGCGTCCTCTGCAATAGAGGCAATTTCTGCGTTGCATTTTATGCATGACAAACTATTATTTCAACTCTGACGCTTGCGATCCTGACACAACCCTAGCCCAACGCGACCGAGTACGCCGGCTTGTCTATACTCTCCAGGTATCAAATGTAAAAATGTCTGGGTCTGGAAGAGGAGAAGTTTGCCATGCACATTTTCCATGATCCATGATGATGTCTGTGATGTATACCATAGCATCACAGATTTTTTGCGCGCCTATCGATGCGCATCCTGCATGACAAATGCCCTCTCCGCGTAGCCACATTTGACTCCTCTTGCTACTGATGCAATACAGATTTTTTTAGCATCCAAATGCAGCATCACAAGTTTGGCTCTTCCAGACCCAGACATATTTGCAATCCATACCAGGTACTCCTTCGCCGTGAAAGCGTCCCGCCGGACGTACTTCACGCACTGCGCATACTTTGCCCATTCTATGGAACTGTCAGGATCGAAATTGACAAAATCGAAATAATTACTATTTAAACTGCAGCAAACCAGAACTTTTGAAGCTTTTGGGTGTGTTCTGGGGTATGCAAAGTGGGTCCGTAGCATCGTGATTTGCAATTTGCAGGCCACACCCCGAACACACCCCGAACACACCCCGGACACACCCCAGACACACCCCAGACAGACCCCCGACACACCCCCCCCCGACAAGAAGTGCTGAAGCTTTGGGGTGTGTTCTGGGGTATGCAAAGTGGCTGCGTAGCATCGTGATTTGCAATTTGCAACACACACCCCGAACACACCCCGGACACACCCCAGACACACCTCCGACACACCCCCCCGTCACACCCCAGGCAGAACCCCGTCTCACACCCCCGGAAGACACCCCCGACACACCCCAGACAAACCCCCTGCGCGCCCTCGGCTACCACATCTAGAGCAGGGGGCAGAGAAACTGAATATCCAGAGCAGAAAGCATACGTGGATCCGAATCGAACAAATATCCAGAGCGGGCTCAAGTATCCAGAGCGGGTTTCTCGTACGGCCCAGGGGCAAACGCCCTAGGTCAACGCGGGGACTCGGTTGCCGCGTCATGACCTAGGGGCCAGCTTCGGGCGTTTCCCGGAAACTAACCGCGCGGCCCACGGGCGAAAGCCCTAGGTCAGCGCGGGGACTCGGTCCCCGCGTCATGACCTAGGGGCCAGCTTTGGGCGTTTCCCGGAAACTATCTAACCGCACGGCTCAGGGGCAAAAGCCCTAGGCCAGCGCGGGGACTCGGTCCCCACGTCATGACCTAGGGGCCAGCTGTTGCGGGCGCTTCGTTCCCGGAAACTAACCACACGGCCCAGGGGCAAAAGCCCTAGGTCAGCGCGGGGACTCGGTCCCCGCGTCGTGACCTAGGGCCAGCTGCTGGCGCTTCCCGGAAACTAACCGCATGGCCCAGGGGCAGAAGCCCTAGGTCAGCGCGGGGACTCGGTCCCCGCGTCATGACCTAGGGGCCAGCTTTGGGCGTTTCCCGGAAACTAATCGCATGGCCCAGGGGCAAAAGCCCGCCTAGGACAGCGCGGGGACTCGGTCCCCGCGTCATGACCTAGGGGCCAGCTGCTGTGGGCGCTTCCCGGAAACTAACCACACGGCCCAGGGGCAAAAGCCCTAGGTCAGCGCGGGGACTCGGTCCCCGCGTGATGATCTAGGGGCCAGCTTTTGGCGCTTCCCGGAAACTAACCGCACGGCCCAGGGGCAGAAGCCCTAGGTCAGCGCGGGGACTCGGTCCCCGCGTCATGACCTAGGGGCCAGCTACAGACGTGGCGCCGGTGCTATCGGCACCGACCCGGCCCGGCGCCAGCTTCTTCCTTTCTTTTCTTTTTGTTTCACTGTTCGCGGTGGGCCAGCGGATCTAGTGTGGGCAAGCAGAGGAGCTCCGTCCGTAGGTCTGTCGCGGATCAGGGAGCGCAGGACACACAGAGGCACCGAGCTGCAGGGGCCTGCCCGCCCTGTGCCAGCCACCACAACCCCCGATGAACTCGTCCCAGACAAATGCCGGAAGGTCGCCGCGCGGGGACTCTGTCCCCGTGCTCGGACCTTGTTTGTCATGCATAAAATGCATGACGCGAAATACGTGTGATGCAGAGCAGGCAAGTGAGGCCGATTGTAAGCCTCTTTGGGGTTATAGCTCGAGCTGCTAAAGCAGCATGAGAGAATCAGTCTTCTTTGCCTAAACAGCATTGCAAACTGTATTCAGGTACCACCAGAATTTGTCATGCGCCACTTAGAAACTGGGTTCGAGCTGGAATCTATTTTATGCATGGCAAATTATTTCGATTTTGTCAATTTCGATTCTGACACTCCCATACATTCGAGCTGCACGGTAGAGTTGTTTTCGGGATCGGCCTTGGACAGCACGGGCTGCCCGTCGATTTCATCCTCGTAGAGACCGAAGTAGAAGTCATTGATGGCTTCCCTGCACGTGTCCACCACTCGAGCCTCGGCCAGAAGCTTACTGAGTTGCGTGAGCAAGAGACCACAGGGCGCAGCGAGGACTACACGCACGAACGGCAGACGAGGCATTTGAATCTCTGACCTTGAAGTCTTCGACATGCACGGAATACTCTACTCGCGTGTCTGTACGAGCTCGAATTTTTTCACCTCGGTACGTCCAAGTCAGAAGGCCGCCGTAACCTTTTTTTCATCTTCCCACACAGATCAAAAAGTCCCTTTCATGCGGAATTGGCGACAAGCGTCAAGCATGTATGATCCTGAGCTCCAATGGTTATGACATCAAGGTGAACACGGGATCCATCTGGGTGCAGCTCCTGGAAAAATAAAAGAAAAAAAAGCTCCTCTTCGAACCAAGATATTAGGAACATCGCTTCTACATTCTTGACCACGGCAGCAACCCTTGAGGCGGAGATCTTCGCTCCGGACAAAAGATCCACGGTACCCGCTGGCTAAAAGGCCAAAACAAAAAACTCGGACTCAAACGCGACTTGCGACATGACCGAGGAGACGAGGAAGACTTGTCAATAAAGTCGCTGATCCATTGGAACACTTTCTCGGCCTGCTTCGGGCTGCCACCCAGCAAAGTCGCACACAACTGGGCTTGTGGTGCAACTGTGCGCTTAGTACATTTTTAGTTTTTTTTCACTGCGCTTGCGATTTACGACAGCACTGGCAGGATATGCCCGCAGTAATTCGCAACGCGCAGTCATTTTATATCATACCATTGTAGAAAAGAGTTTGGGTCTTGGTCTCGATCTTGGGGGGGAGGGCATGTGGGTGCATTTCCGCACCCTGCTGGAGGTTCTTTTGCACTTTCCTTGTATGATTTCGTCTAGCCGAGGCTCCTGTCGGGCTACGTCGGGGGCCTGCTATTATCTAGTGCTAGTCGGGAAAGACCTACGCTTCTTAGGGGATGTCGGAGTGGTTGTTCGAAGCTTTGTTTGCGTCATTCCTGCGCTACTGACTATGTAGATTTCATTGATCTACTTACATAGGAGTGGAATCTTCAAAACAGTAGAGTATTTTCCATGATCCTCTCCTGCTCCTGGTACAGCAGACGGAGCAAACAAACACTTCGCTTCACGAGCAAGGGTTGGGGTTGGGGCAGGGTGGAAACACGTACTTAAACGAAAACGGGGGGAAAGCATGGCTAGGGTGCTGGAGTCACAGCGCTTCATCCGAAAGTTTCTTCTACCGCACCAGTACCGCTGGCATGTTGCTAGCCGAATCTGGTCACGGGCGAAAAAGCTTCTGCTTCAGTCTGAAAGCGCTAGCGCTCCTACGTTTGCGGGTTTCGAAAAAAATTGTGGGGGAGGGAAAGTCTTGAGCTTGGGGCAGTTTAGTTCAGAACGAGGGGAGGAAACTCTAGAGGCTATAGAAAGTCCGACAAGATGTCGATGCTGTTCATCCCGATGCAATTTGGATAAAACTGCAAGAGCGCCCGTGTGACAATTCCTGTACTAGTAGCTTCGTGATATCTATTGCCCCGGAGGTTGACGCTCTGAAGCCGGATTCTTAGTCTTACTTCTTACTAAAACTTTTAGATGACCGAGGCGCATATCAGCAGTACTAAAACAATAGTATGCGTTTTGCGTGTCCCGACAAAATGAGGACCTCCTGGTTAGCACACGGGACACCAGCCGGTGGCTTCGTGCTTGTTCCTTTCGCGCCGCTGCTACTTTTCAAAGTAAACTTGTTACGTACCTAAGTTCGATTTATAAAGCAGGTCGGAGCGCGGTAGTGTCAAGCATACCTCTACTTTGGGAACTCACTTGAAGTTGCTGAAACATCCGCATCTTGCTGCAAGGCTATTGCGTGGACTGTGGTATAAATGCGAAAAAAGGAGTAGGTCGGGATAGCTGAGACTCAGATAAAAACTTTTCTGGAAGCTGGTGCCTGCATTTTGGATCGGGCCTGCAGCTGCACTTTGCACTTCAAAGCTGTTGATGCTCCGCACAACCAGTGTATTTTTTGGGTTTTTCTCATATGTAATTTTTTTGTGTTTTTCTCATATGTAGTTTTTTTGTGTTTTTCTCATATGTAATTTTTTTGCGTTTTTCTATGTCTCCGCTATTCATCTTTGGCTCAAAAGGGAAAAGCCGTGACTGGAGACATTGCATTCGCTGAAAACTACGTTGTTGAAGAGCATATTTTTTCTCTTTTTGCAAGTAGAGACATTTGGGCAGTACAATAAAAAGCAAAAAGATCGGGAGGCAAAAATAAAAACGAGTCGCGTGAGCCGCCAACTGGATGGCACTCCACCTCTGGCCTGTATTCAATAGGGCTACTAGTATTCCGCGCGGCTTTAGCGAACGTTACAAAGTACGGGGAGATCGGGATGCTTTATTGCGCAACACTGGGGTGGTGAAGCGTGCTCGCTTAGGTTCCAGGTCGTGACTGTGTCAAGACTGAAAGTAGGCCGTGATAAGTAAGTAGAAGTCGTGCGGTAGTGTATTGTAACTGATTCTGCAGCGTGAAAGAAGTAGAAGACAGATTGCTCGCTATGCTGAAAACATACATGGATGAAGCTCGAAGTAGTTTTGCATTTGCCAGAAATCGCTTTACAGTGATGATTTGATTGAGCTGGCTCGGCACCAATTGCAGTGCGCAGGACAGTGCAAAAATTTGCGTGGGTTTCTGAAAATTTGCCACATAATCTTCAATCGACATCAAGTTTATCTAGTACTTGTGTCGTATTGCGACATATGTAGTTTCTCGCCTTGCAAAATATGTAAACAAAACTTAATCAAAGACTGAGAATGAGTTTGCAACAGAGACTGAGACGCGTAGACTGAAAATGAAAAACACAACAGCACACGTAGTCGCCGCATTAATATTTTATACAAGGCACGTGCCTAAAGAGGTTTTGTGTTGAAGTTCCATGAGGTTTCGTGGCTGCCATGTCCAGTCGACAGGGACGAGAGTCTCGTCCCATGTCCACGAAAAATCTTCATCCCCGCCGACCGGACGGCAAACTCCGGACCCGTTGGCAGCTCCATGCTCCTGCCAGGTGCATGCGTACTGGGTCTCCGGCCCGCAAAAATCGCCCGTCTCGTCCTTTACATCTTCATTGTATGTATCACAATCATCAAAAGATGTGACACACTTCGACATCGTCTCATCCCACTTGCATGACGCCATAGGGATCCAATCGCATGCAACGTTCTTAAACTGGACGGTCGCCATATTGCAAGTCTCCGCTTCAGTCACTTGATGGCAGTTTTCCTTTTCACCGGCGATGCGCTTCGGATCACAGGATCCGTTTGCTTTGATTCCGAAGTTTCCGCTTCCGAAGCGCTGCAGAGTGCCAGCGAAACCTTGCCAATTGTCGCAACCTGGTAGGTTTCGTGTCTTCCACAGCTTGGGTGCATACATGGGCTCGTCTTCTCGCAGTTCTTGCCTGACGTGTTCGCGCGAAACAATGAAAGAAGAGGTCGGCGTATCATATTGCAACTGTCACTTCCCTCCAAGATCCGCTGAGACCCCAGTTCGCGAGCACACTCGCCGTGCGCGTTCTCTACCGTGAAGAACAACAAACAAAAGAGCAGTATCAAGATCCTGTGCCGATCAGCCACAGAGGTTGATAACAAAAGTACTACTTACTCTAACTCTATTCATCTTTGCCTAATTCCCTGCTGTGCTGAGAGAGACAGAGATACTACACAGGAACGGTGGGATAAAAAATACGCTCTGAAGTAGTCGTTCTCGTTGGACGACGAGGTAGAAACTTGTTAATACTTCACACACGACTACTTCTTCATGCTACGCCTATACGTAAAGAGTGCTAGCACGATAGTAGAATTCGTGACCGTACAAGATGAACATAGGATGGGTCTTCGCTATAAACTTTCGTCCCACGAGACAGAGAGCGAAACGACGTACGCAAAAAAAAATTGTCACCGTGTCCTAGACTTTTCTGACAAATGACTGGCGAGTCACACTCTTGACGAGCGCAGTTTCCTTGACGAGTTTTGCAGAAGCAACGAACTCAAATTCTTTTCCTCCAGACGCAGTGCGAACAACTTCATCGCGAGCAATACTAGCCATGATTCATCAGCAATCAAGTACCTATATGTACTTACTTATAAATATTTCGTCGTCTACTTTAAGCAGCGCCGATTGCTCTTTCCAATCTTCAAGTGCTTGTCGTACTTCCCCAGCATTTTGGCGATTTATCTTATGGACGGGGAGACGAGAGTACTGACATGATAGTAGTCGTGACGTGACATCCACGGAAACAAGAAGGTGCCGGAACTTCTACCGCCTTCTATGCACAGAAGACGGAAATCTATCGTCATGCCGCAGAAGGTGTTGCAAAAAACATACGTTTTCAAGGACAGAAGGAAGACCAGATCATGTCATCTATCAAAGCGGGTGCAGTATAGAACATCACGCAACAGGAATTCCGAAGAAGCACCGTCGACTGAAAGGACCGGGCGGACAAAATGGCGAGAGGGAGCGATCGGGTTAGAATGAATTATATTAGAAACCCGTAAATAGCGCGTGAGGAGAAAAAAAAGTTGGAAAGTCATTTGATTTCTCTTTCTCTATACTCAGCTGCAATCTCACTGGCTCTTTTTTCCCGCCATCCCTGCACCAACTGACCCTACATCTTCTTCGACCATTTCCACTTTTTGCCATTCGTAGTTTTTTCGCACCTCCTCTCAAAAGGAAAAATCCCCCCTCCCCATACTAAAAAGGTATATTTTTGGTGGAAATTTGTGATGCTGATTTGTGGCCACAAATCGTGTCTGTCTTGCAAGAAGGCAACTCCACAGACAGCCGCCGCATTGTGCAGGCGGTTTGACATGCTGTTGGGCCTACAGCGCGGATGTTTTTCATGCTAAGTGCCGAGGCAAAAACCTCTCTGCTCACACGTAGTATGGGCCTGCAGTGCTCTCCAGCAATACACGGATTTGTGTAGACAAATCCAGCATCAGAAATTTCGTTTTGATAGGGGGAGGGGGGATTTTTCCTTTCGATACCTCCACAAACTCTGGGAAGGACAGACAGACGGTTACATCCTTTCCCCGGCCGTAGTTGTCTGCGTACAAAAATCTTTTCGGGCAGTACCGAAGGCAAAGCATCACGACCCAGAAGAGCGGGTGGGTATTATCCTGAGTAAAAACGTCCCCACCCCAGAGTCAAAATGGCGATGGGCACTTTGCAACACGAATCCAGAAGTTTTGGGACGACTCACGTATGACAAGTGTGGTCTTCCAGTGTAATCGTGCGGAGCAACTGCAGCTGCATCCCTAGTCAATCTCGATCAGCTTACCCAGAATCTAGCTTGACAAACTGCCAGAGGGCATTAAAAAAACGCTCCTGCGTATGACAAAGATTTTACGCTTGCACATTTCCATGACAAATAAGTATGGGATGGAAACGTTTTTACAACTCAGGATAGGTCTTTATCGAATAAACAAGCACCGCCCAGGAGTACTTAATGGGAATGCGCAGCGTGCGATAAATATCCAAGAAAAAAACTGTGTTAGCATCCAATTTGTATGGGAACAAACAGCATTACGAATCTGTTGACCACTGTCGGGCATGACAAAAAAACCTCCTTGCCATGCGCAGATAGAAGAGGGAAACGGAAACCCAAACACGGTTGGGAGGACTGTGCAATGCATGAAGACCGGCGCGTAGAAGTTGGCCACCTAATAATTCTACAATTGCTCTGCATGTTGAATCGCATCACAGACTTGCACTAACACAGCTTGTTTCCCCTTCCATACAGCAAAATTCCCTGCACGAGCAGGAAGAGCGCTGTGCAAAAAATCTTCCCCCAAAAGACGCGGAGGCAGGTACCGAAGATTTTTCCGCTCGTGGAATCTTCGAGAGAGGGCAACTGTTGCGGCGTATGCAGGGAAAAAATGACTTTCTAGAACCAAAGCAGACCGGGGCCCGGGAGGAAGTTGTGGCACTGCTGTCCAAAGATAAACTTTTCATGGCAAAAGATTTTGCTCCCATTTTTGGGACAATTACTGTAGTACTACAAAAGTGATCTTCACTATGCGTCCTTATGCCTACACCAAGAAGTAGTTGCCCGATGCAAGATGCAGGTGGAGCAATCCCGTGCGCAGTAATTTCATAATTCTATGCGATTTTGATTTTCGTCGTCCTCCTTGGCCCGGAAAACTTTGTACCAAGCTACAATTTGTGCTTATTTTGTCTGATACAGAAACTCCTGGTACTCTTTACTCAGTCCCTGCTCCTCGGCGCTATCAAATGCAAATGTGTCTGGGTCTGGCAAGGTACCGAATTTCTTGCCATGCAGCTCTTGTCTCAATAGCTAGGAGGTCCGGAAGGCATAGCGTAGCATCAGAGGCTTTATCAAGGTACTTAACAAAAGCGCAACTTTTACCTCTCGCGCAAGACAGATTTTTGTATGACCACAGACAAAGAGCATCACAAGCTTGCATCCTACTTCCAGAAGCAGACATATTTGCAATGCGTAGGCGCCCATTTGCAGCAACTTCAAGTACCGTTCCGCCGGCGGGATGTAGGTCGGAACGACTTTTCCGTCTTTTTTTGTCTTCTTGCTTGCTGTCGTGCCCGTAGCTTCTTCTTTACCTGGTGGACCACCGGCAGCATCGCCTGTTTTAATATTTTCCACCTCCGTACAACAAGCAGGCTTTTCATCTTTCTTCCTCGCCGCTCTGTCCCTGCAGCGCCGCAAGCTGCAGGCTCCCGTGCGCCAGGACAAGTCCCGGACCTTCCACGGCTCTGGCACGTGCAGGGTGAGTGCGGGGATGCGTTTTTTTCCGCCAAGGTAGGCGGAGAAATATGCTAAGTAAAAACGTCCCGCCCACCTCAGAGTCAAGAAGGGGATTTATTTGCAACACAAGCGTAGAAGTTTTGGGACTCACACATCACAAATTGCAGTCCGCAGTGTGGTACAGGTTAGCAGGGACAAACGCATCACAAATCCATCTGCTCATCCTGGTTACAGCATTAGAAATGCCAAAACAAGACTAGAAACGCCTCTCATGGAGATGCGCATTACAAATGTTCCCGTCATTGCGAATCTGCATGACAACTCTGGGGTGCGAAAAGTTTTACAAATGATAAGAAAACTGGATTGTTCTCAACATCGACCTCACAGGAGACCTCGATGACCTGATACGCCTGGTGCTCTGTGGCCACAATTTTCTCGTCGAAGTCTTTTCGGGTCATCTCGATCAGTATGCGTTGCAAAAATGTCTGGGTCTGGAAGGATGCAACTTGTCATGCTAAGTCTGGATAGTGCAAAAATTTGTGTTGCATGATCACCCAAAGGTGTCCACGCTTGAACAAGATTGGCGGCAGTTTGTCATGCAGGACAGACATGATAGAGACTTCGCAGAACCTCTCATGCTAGGTGCTGCATTGCAGACCTCGGGGGGCATGGAAAACATGCATGACAAGTTTGCACTCTTCCAGACTCAGACATTTTTGCATTTGATAATCAGTATCGAAAGCAAATATCGTCCCTGGGCGTCCGGAAAGACACAGCCAATTCGAATTTGTCATGGGATGGTGGTCTACTCTCTTCGTACGACGCACAAGCTAGTACCCTTGTGCGGCGCTTCTTTTACCAGCATGACAATTATTCCGTGGCTTCTTGCGACCGCAGTTGCGTCTAGAACTAGAACCACGAACTGCCCTCCACTACGAGAAGTATCAATCTCGCCATTACTCCTCGTCATGCATCACAGAAAGATCTGAGATCTTTTTGTCCTGGAAGTTTCGCATCACAAGTCCAGACCCAGATGATATATTTGCAAAGCGTAATCAACACTCCTTGCGTTTCCGCGTTCTCCGCCCGCTGGATGTTGGCCCAGGAGGGCTCGCATCAATTGCAAATATGTCTGGTGTTTTGTCTGGAAGCAAGACCGTGATACAGAAGCAGGAAAAGGGCCTCTTGCCTGTCGCGCAAAAACGCAGTTTGTCATGCGAAAAACGAAATACACAGCAGCGCAAAAACTTGTCATGCTGGGCTGATATTGTACTGCGCCCACAATTCGTAGATTTGCATCACAAGTTTCCAGACCCAGACATATTTGCATTTGATAGCTCGGCCAGGGGGAAGCCGGGCAGGTCAAAGGTCAACTATCGTGCGGAAAAATTATCCCCCCTCCTCGACTGGAAACAGCACGGATTTGCAGATTTGCGCCGTCGATTTGATATGACTGTCTTGATGTTGCCAGAGGGCAAATCAAAAGGGTCAGCTGCATTATAATTTGCGCCGTTTGCGATGCTGTTAGGCCTACAGGGAAAGGAGCGTCTACCATACTACACGCCTACGGCAAATAAACCCCGCTCTACCCAGGGTGGGCATCTGCCTGCAGAAGTGCTCTACTGCATGACAAAGCTGAACGGTGTAAGTACTTACACAAATCCCGCGTCACAGATTTCCAGTTGATGCCTCTGAAGAGGGGGAATTTTTCACATTTTGATATCAACTGGTAGTTCCTCAGGATGGCTGGCACCGTCCGATGGGTTGGCTTAGGAAGTTATCAAATGTAAAACTGTCTGGGTCTGGAAGATTGCGAGATTTGTCATGCAGATTTTCCATGTCCCATAAGGTCTGGAATGCAGGTTTTAGCATGACAGAGTCTGTGAGGTCCTTGCCATGCCTATCCCGCATGAGAAACTCCCTCCCAACTTGGTCGAAAGTGGACAGCTTTTGGCACTCATGCAACACAGATGTTTGCATTATTCGGATTTAGCATGACAAGTTTTAATTTTCCAGACCCAGACATTTTTACATTTGATAGAAGTTGTGTGTCAGGGTCGCTTGTTGCAGTTGCAGCTGCAACTCCGTCACCGTCCTTCGCTTTTGATGCTGTCGTACCTCCGGCGGGAATCAAATCGGGTAGATGACCATCACGAATATTCTTATACGTTGCAAACATAGCTGGGTCTCCTGCAAAGGTGCAGACCTGTGATGCCAATTCTGCTTCTGGAACAGCCAAACAAAATCTGTGTTCTTGCGTAGTCCAGAACAGAAGTGCGATTCCTCTTGTCTCTAGGAGTGGGGATTTTTCATGGTGCAGGAGTGCATATCAAGAAGACGCCTACTTCGCAGAACTTCTCATGTTGCTGCTCCATGTGCATACTAGTAGACCTCCTTGCTTTATGCAGGTGCAAAAACTGCAGCATAGATGTCTATTTTCTTCCGAACCCAGAAATATTTGCACTTGATAAAGATTCGTATCGTAGGGAACCACGACTCAGTATCCTAAGGAAAAACAAAAACGTCCCCACCCCAAAGTTGTCATGCAGATTATTTTCTTTTTTGCAAGCGCAGGAATACTTGGAATGCGCCTCCCTGTGAAAGGCACCTTCAGTTGTGTTTTGGCATATGTAATGCTGTATACACGACAGAAAAATGGATTTGGGATGCGGCTGTCCTTGCTAACCTGCACCCCAATACAGCGCAAAATCTGTCACGCGTGACGCCCAGAACTTGTGGATTTGTGTTGCTGAGTTCCCAACATGACTATGGGGTGGGGACGTTTTTACACGGGATACGCAGCCCCCGTTTTCTCGGTCGGGTTCGCAGTCCCGAAGGATTTTTGTATCGCGCGCAAATATGTCTCGGTCTTTAAGGAAATGCAAAACTTGTGATGCTGCCTGCGGATTCTATCAAATATTTGTCTTGCATGAGCAGTCAGAGGAGTTCAGTTCTTGGTACGCGAAGAGGGCAACATTTCTCATGCGTGATAACTAAGCATCAAGAAGCTCTCTCAAAAAATCTGTGATGCTAGGACCTGCGCATCACAGACCTCATCACTCATGCAAAATGTGCATGATAAAGACCCTTGCAACCTTCCAGGCCCAGACATATTTGCATTTGATATTTTCGGCCCTTCAGCGACTTGGCGCCCATATTCGACCCATACCCGAAGTAGTAGATCTGCTGTTCGCCCGCATCAGGTTTGCTGTTCATCCCCCTCTCCTCTGTTTGTTCCTGCCTTTGATGCTCCATTTTCCCCTTTTGTTTATAAGTAGCTCTTATATTATTCCCAATGCGTTGTTCTTTTCAAGAAAACAGTCTCTCACGACTGACAGACAGCCGCCGGAAAAGTCGCGTAAATCGTCGGAAACGTGCTTGTGTGAAAGGGGAAATAAAGTGTAAACTGATTTTCGTGCGCTGGTGAAGTAGACTACGGCTTCTATCTATTTCGAGCCAATAAAACTGTTGATACTACCAAAACCTGGAAAGTACAAACTCTTTGTCACGCACACGTGGTTAAAAAAAGTACAGCAGTCTGGTGGTTGCAAGTGAGGTCTTTTACGTCGTGTACTTTCTATCGCACTAAAAAAATCGATCATACTCATATTTGGCCGAATTCAAGACACAAAAAATGCTACTTTTTTGAAAAAAGCCTGCGCTTTTTTAACAAAAATCCTGTATTTCGGCAGCGATTTTTCTTTTTCGGCGGAAAATTTGCATGGCTTGGAGGTAAGGCCTGGAGCATTCTGCTTGGGCGGCAACGTTGCTGAGCTCTGGACTGGCTGCCTGTAGTAGTTCAACTAGCTACGAGGAGGCGACTGGCGCGGATATGTCGCCCGCGACAATTGTCCTGGCTCTGCTCTTCGGCCTCTTGCCGGCCCCCTCTTACCGGTCCAAGCCCCTCCTCACCTACCGGCCCCGCCGTCGGGCGCTTGTCTCTCATAACTCCCGCTCCCAAGCCTGTCACATGGATGGAGGCAAAGGATCCACGCAGCCTGGCACATGCTCGGCCCAGGAGGAAAGGAATGGCCTTCAGGATGCCAGCTCTAGCCCCGCTGAGACGGTGCTGCGACAAACATGCATGGGTTGTGCTGGGGGCCGCGCAAAAGCCTAAGGGCTGGGCCTTCTATTTTGAGGCGTTCTGGGGTTCTTGGGCAGACCTCCGGTGGCATCCTCTGGCACGCCTCCACAGGATCGCCGCCAGAGCGATCGACCAGGGACGGGACCAAAAAAGGCCATCTCAAACAGCAATTTTCAGTGCGGAGAACGTGGAAAAACGGCCAACAAAACGTGGCAAAATCGGCAAAAGCTGACAGCTTTTGCGGTATGATCAATTTTTTTTAGCACGAGCTGAGTCCGGAATCGATCATATTTGCTGACCTGCGCCGTAGCACCGCGATTGGCGTTTTTTCAAAAACTGTAAATTTGCAAATTTTTCACCATAGCAGCGGCCCAAAAAAATTGATCATATGCCAAAAGCTGCCATTTTCTTTTAGAAAATTTGAAAAAAGTGAAAAAATGGCATTAATCATACTCGCAAAAATGTATGATCTATTTTTTTGGGACCGAGCTAACGGCCATTTTTTGAGGCCGATCGATCATATCGAAAATCGGCATTTTTTCGAACTTCGAAAAAGTGCGAAAATCTTGCCAAATTCAGCTGTGGAAGTTCAGCAAATCGACTCCGCTGATGGGGCGGCCCGGAAGAGGTCTCCGGCGCCCGAAAGTGATATGATCGATTTTTTTGATCCGCATGCAATGGCCGTCTTTTCGAGGCCAATCATGTGCCCACTTTGCCTTAGCTCATCTGGGGCCAGAAAGTGCGCGAGCAGTCTCTCCAGATTGGACGGCGTTGCCGGTCTGGGGGGGGGCAAAGCAGTTAAAATCCCGACGAGGAGCTGGTGGTAAGTAAGGCCAAGGCGGGGTATCGGGCTCCTCGGCATGTGCCCAGAAATGCAGGCCCATGGCCATAACGCCAACGAAATCAATGGGACAGGGCCGCGCAATGGTATTGGTCTCCAGTAGTTGCGCCATCTTCTTTGTGGTTTGTCTGACGGCCCTATTGGAGTAGCATCCGCCTCCTCATAGCTACTCGGCCTGCTGCCGCCTCTTAGTTGCTGGAGTAGCGAAACTACTCCAAGCAGCCAAAGAAGATAGGCCGCGCAATATTTACGTCATAAGAGCACCAAAACAGAAGCGGCTGCCCGGGTCTGCCGGACACCGCGAAAAATTTTTGAAAATAAAAAATTGAAAAAATAGCGATTTTTGGGCTTTTTGCGGCCCTGTATGAGTATGATCGATTTTTTTGGTGGGATACTTTCTGCTTCAAGATCACAAGCCGCCCATTCTCCAGTATCAATCTATTCTCAGATCGTCTCGCTCGGTGGTGCATCAAAACTTCTAGTAGTGACATTTGGCTGCAATAAGGTTATCTATGCTACCTTCCCTCCAGTGCAGAAGCAGATTCACCAATCTTCCGATGAAACCAATTAGATTTCCACAGGAGGCTCCTAAACCGAAAATGGATGCGAGAGCAGCGAGCAGGAAAATGACACAGGCTGCTCGGGACCGATGGAAGTGAGTGTGATTGTTACGGTGCGCCCCTGCACGCGCAGGAAGAAATTGCAAATGATGCCGTCGTGCAACCGATTTTTCGAGTACAACTTCTACTACCTGTACATTGCAGTATTCCACTAGCAACTCTAGTCTAGTACTTCCACTACGTACCTCTGTAGTGATAGAAGAAGATTGCTTTTCTTCAAAGCAATTTAGACCATCCATCTTCTCGTTTTTGTGCAAGAAGAAAAACGCAATCTTGTACCATGCATAAACAACACGCGCTACAGGTTTTTTTGTTGTACTGATGATGATGATGATGATGATCCACATCACACTCATCGAATAAAATAACCGTCGGTACAATTAAATCAGGACTTTTTCGGTAATACCCCTTGGCGTACTACCGACCCCGTGCCGACAACTAAGACTAGATCCAAAAGCCGGCGGCGGTCAGCACGACGAGGTCGCGCAGTTCTTCTCTACTTCCTTTTCCTTAGCACAGCGCGCAGGGTACGAAACAAAAAACGCGAATAGTAAATTTCTCTTTTATTTCTTTCCTCCATCACCAGAAACACGCATTTTCCTCCCCCTTCTACTACCCGGCTGGCTGCGCGTCATCCGGCTGCGCATCCTCTGGCGACGCACCCTCTGCTGCTGCTGGTGCACGACCACCACCTCCAGGAGTGGTACCATTACCCGTACTCACGGTGGAAACTCGGCCGCTGACCCGTTCTGCCACAATCTCCCCCATGTAGCTGAAATCCCCGAAGCGTCGCTCTGGACCGAAGAGCAAAAGCAGACAGGGCATATCAAATGTAAAAATGTCTGGGTCTGAAAGAATCCAACTTGTCATGCTGCTTTTGGATTCTAAAAAAATCTGTATTGCATGAGTACCAAAAGAAAGGCAGTCTTTGCTACGCTGAGAAGGCATTTGCCATGCTGAATACGCATCAAGAAGCCCTCAAAAAATCTTTATTGCTAGGGGATGCATCACAGACATCATGGCTACAACGTGCATGACAAGTGTCAGAATCTTCCAGACCCAGACATTTTTACATTTGATAGGGCAGGTAGCACAGCGACATGTAAACCGAAGTCAAAATATTGTGAGGAAAAATGAGCCCCCCTCCCCATACCAAAAAGGGATAGCTGTGATGCTGATTTGTAACCACTAATCGTTTCTGTATTGCACGGAGGCAAGTCCACAGACTCTGCCGCGTTCTTGTGCGAGAAATTTGCAATCGCCTACAGAGGTTCCGGCTGCCTTGCTAGGCACCTACACCAAAACGCCCCTCCTCAGGCTGCGCACCTGCCTGCAGTCCTCTAGTGCAAGACAAAGTAGCCGATTTCTGTACACAAATCCCGCATCACAGATCTCCATTTTGATATGGGGAGATCGAGATTCTTCATTTTAATACAAAATGGTCAAGAAAATGGCGATGCCCATCTGCTTGAAAAAGGGGGTGATGCTAAAGATCATCAGAAACAGGCCGGCAGAGGCCGAGGTGACAAAACCGGCAAAGATGGTCGGACCCATAAACAAGAAAGCGTGCTCTACGCGCTGCTCCCGTCGGGGCTTCTCAAACGTGTCGGTCGTATCGGGGTCCTCGACCAAGTTTGACGCCGGCGTTGAGGCGGAATACAATGCGCCTTATCCTATGTAAAAACCTCGCCACCCCATAGCTGTCATGCAAATCTGCATGCTGCAAATGTTTCTCATGCTGAGCCCCGATAGAAGCGATGTCTCGTCGCGTTTCGTAATTTGTGATGCTCCAAGCAGCACGCATCGCTAGATCTGTGATGCTGCTGAACTAGCTAAACAGGATTACACTAAGAGAGGAAACTTGTCATGCGCCACAGCGAAAGCTTGTCGATTTGTCTAGCAGATTTCCCATCTTGACTAGCGGGTGGGGACGTTTTTGCTCAGGATACGACTTGTTCTTTCTTTATCTTCCCAGCCTCCACAAAGACGTGGCAGAAATGCAGGGTGTAGTCCATGGCCAGTCCGATCACGATGATTCCCGCGAGGGATTCTAGCAAGCCCAACTCCCAGCCTAAGAGCTTGAAGTAGCCCATCACCTGCATGGTTAGGAAGGAAACGTTGTAAATGGCGAGCACGGACACGATCACATTCCCGCTGGCGAGCACGAGCAAGCCGAAGCACAACGGGATCATCAACAGCAGGCCGCCGAACAGCGTGTTGCGGAGTTCCAGGTTGAGTACGTAGTACCCGTAGTCGCCGATTTGCACGGCTTTCCCTAGTTCCGCGGGTGCGTGTTGGTTTTCCTCGTCCAAAATGTCCTGGACCGCGTGGTAAAGACTATCCATCTCCTTGAACGACACCCCCGCCCCGTCCCCGGAAAGCACCGGCGCAAACACCGTGGTTGCGTACAGTTTAAAGTCGATATTCCGCCAATACGTCTCGTTGAAGGTAAAAATCTTTCGGCTAAAATTCGTTTCCCCGGGGTGTCGGCTGTCGGAGAGCTCCACCCAGTCCACCTCCGCCAAGTTCGCATCTTGCTGCGCTTCCCGCTCCCGCAACGCAATTTCCTCCGTGAGTAAACTGGCGCGCCGCGCGTGCTCCGACCACGAAAAGTCTTGCGCGCGGTAGTGCGCCTCCGCGACGAAAGCGGGTTTAGTGAGGGAAATCGGTTCCCCGGAGGGTATATCAAATGCAAATATGTCTGGGTCTGGAAGATTGCAAGACTTGTGATGCAGATTTTCCATGACCCATGAGGGCTTGCATGCAGGACATAGCATGACCGATTCGGCGAGACCTTTCTCATGCCTACCCTGCATGAGAAACTTCCTCTCACATTGATCAAAACAAGTGGACAACTTGTATATGATAATCATGCAACACAGATCTTTTCACAGTCCGGAATTAGCATTACAAGTTGCATCCTTCCAGACCCAGACACATTTGCAATGCATAGGGTAATGTGTTAGGCGCGGGGAAGAACGGGTGCTGCACAACGGCCGGGTCGCTGTAGTTGAAGATTGCGGGCGTATGAAATGCAAATATGTCTGGGTCTGGAAGATTGCCAGGTTTGTCATGCATATTCTGCATGAAGACCAATGACGCCTGTAATGCATGACCTAGCATCACAGATTTTTACAGGGCCTCCTGATGCTTATCCCGCATGAGAAATGCCCCCTCCACGTAGCACAAACGGGACTCCTCCTGCTGGCTATGCAATACAGATTTTTTTAGCGTCCAAAGACAGCATCACAAGTTGGATCCTTCTCGACCCAGACACATTTGCAGTTAATAGGGCGGTTGCGGGAACAGAACGGCGTCCGGTACGTTGTAATACAGCGCCCCCTCTCAACTGCAAAAATGTCTGGGTCTGGAAACTTGTGATGCAAGTCCGTGAACAATAAAGTGCTCTGTAATCATGCGCCGCCAAGCATGACAAGTTTTTTTGTGTTTCTGTGCTGCGTATTTCGCATGAGAAACTGCGCTTTTGCATGACAGGCAAGAGGACCGACCTCTTGGTGGCCACGCAATACAGAGTGCAGAGTCATGCGAGACTAGCATGACAAATCTCGCAATCTTCCAGAGGACCCAGACATTTTTGCATGTGATACCCCCAGCGGTCCCGGAGTCGCCACCGGGGTGTTGTTCACCCCGACCAACCTGGGTAGGGCCAAATCGTCCCGCGCGGTCGAGTTGACCTTGAACATGTTCCGGATCCCGCACGACATCGCTTCCGGCACAAACAGCTTCCCGGACACGTGCCGCTTTTTGCAGATCGGCCGGTCTGCGCAGGCCGTTTGCTTCAGCCGCTCCCCGACTCGCAGCACGTGGCTCACGGCGCGCACGTTCGTGACGGACCTCGTTTGCGCCACGTTGGGGTTCGGGTTCGCGCCAACAGAAACTGGGTCGCTATCGAAGTTATGGATCGTAAAAATGTCTGGGTCTGGAAGATGCTGAGACTTGTCATGCACGGTTTGCATGAGCCAAGATGTCTGTGATGCATGCCCTAGCATCACAGGTTTTTTGAGGGATTCTTGATGCCTATTCCGCATGACAGATGCCCTCTCCGCGTAGCAAAAATTAGAATCCGTTTGCTGCGCATGCAAGACAAATTTTTTAGGCATCCAAATGCAGCATCACAAGTTGCAATCTTCCAGACCCAGACATTTTTACATTTGATAGAAGTAAAAGTTCGGAATCGCGTTCGTTTTCCAGGGGAACCATATTCTGTGTAAAAACGTCCCCACCACAGAGATGGGAATTCTGCAACACAGATCCAGAAGTTTTGGGAGTCACGCATGACAAGTATTCCTCTGTTCTGTACTTCGGGTTAGCAAGGACCGCCGCATCACGAAGCGATCCTGCTTTCCTGTTTACAGCGTCACAAATTGCATAACACGATTGGAAATGACTCTCATGGGGACGCGCATTACAAATTTTCCTGTGATTGCAATTCTGCATGACAACTCTGGGGTGGGGACGTTTTGACACAGGATAAACCACTTGGAAAACTCATCCGCGTTCTGCAGCGGCTCGTCGGCATTCAGGCCATAGACGATGTGCACAGGCCGGTACTGCTGGTTCCCCCCGCTACTGAGAAACATCTGGTAGCTATGCGAGAGCACGACACCGTCCCCTACTGCCCCTCAAATCTGTTATCCAAACAGAAACCAAAATCCCAAATCTACTGGCTGTCTTGTGGCAACATCTTTTGCATGACAAAGACACCCGATGCAACTGTTAACAGTACTACTACAACACTCGGCGCATGAAGAACTTACGACGCACCGGTTCCACGTGTGCAGTTTGTATTGCTGCTCATGCTTTGCGGTGCAAACGAGGGGAAAGGCGACGTCGCGTTGTGCAGTGTCATACTAGCCGTCCTTCCGAAAACCCACCATCATGTGCGTCTCGGGCATAAACTCAAAGGGCTTGGACGGCGACTGCAGGTCCAGCATGAGCGTCAGCAGCCACACGGAGTACGCCGTTGTTGCCACGACGATCGCTAGGGCGATCGGGTAGAACTTGTATTGTGCGCAACAGTATCAAATGCACATATGTCTGGGTCTGGAAACTTGTGATGCTAAAATGTGCATGATGGAAACACTTCCAAATGCAGACGAGCATGACAACTTTCCGGAGCACTTTCTCATAGGCAGCCCGCATGTCATGAGGAACTGCGTTTTTGCATGACAACAATGGCTGCGGCTTTTGTCGGTTATGCAATACAGATTTCCCAGGAATGTAAAGCCAGAATTACAAGTTCCAACTTTCCAGACCCAGAAATTTTTGCAGTTGATAAACAGGCCGAAGGAGTGGTCCTCGGACTGACGGCGGTTGTAGAAGTTGTAAAACTACCAGGTTGCCCTTTGCTCGCGCAAAACCTCAGTTCCCTCTCGTACTTGGTCAAAAATTTGTAAAACTTGTGCAACGAATTCTGCACTGTGTCCGGCTGCAGCACACTTGTCATCGAAGTGTACAAACGAGAAGGGACCGTTTTACCAACAGGATGATGTTCTTGATCCTCCGCTTGTTCTTTGTGTTCTCCCTCTCCGTCTACAGCTATCGAATGCAAATATCCCTGGATGTTGTCTGGAAACTTGGGAAGCTGGGTGGCCAAGATTGCCTAAGCTGCATCCAAGCATGACAAATTTTTCGGACATCCCCTCCTGCGTAGTTGTGGAGCGCATTAGAAACTCCTGCGCTTGTGCATGACAAAATAAGAGGGCTCCTTTTGATTGTTGATCATGATGCATTATACAGATCTTACAGGAAAAATCCAAGACAAGCAATACAGGCTTCACGACTTTCCAGACCCAGACACATTTGCAATACATAACAGCTACTTCGTGCGCGGGATTCTTGGTCACGGTTTCTTCCACCTCCACATGGTCTGGCTTCGTTGTATATCGCAAGGAAAAACTGTTTTAATGCAGAAGATGTATCTCAGAAGTGTTTGTCTTGCTACACATGCAAGACAATGGATTTTTAGCGGTGTTTTCCCTTGGAAATCTCGCATGGCAAATTTTCTCTGTCATGCAGAACAAACTTGTGATGCAAAACTTGCAAAATCCTTACAGTGAAACACTTTTTTCGTACGATATTGTACTGGCGTCTGCTAGTGTTGCGTCTGGCTTTCTCGTCTCAACAAGGCTCCTGTCCTCGTCTTTGTCCCCTTCCTCCCAGGCGGAAACTGCAGCGGTAGTAGAAGCGCCGAATTTGTTTTGGTTCTGCTCCTGCTCCGGCGCGGAACCAGAGTTCTCTACCTCCGGAAAACTGCGGCCGCCCTTTTCGAAACGGAGGTAGAACAGGCCGATGACCTGCGGAAAGGCGATGACGGCTAGCACGTAGCCGGACACAATCATAAAGCCCGCGAAAAACCCGAAGTGCGCTACGGGGGAGACTTTGGACATCACCATGGAAAAAAACGCCATGGCGGTGGTGAAACTGGTCTCAAACATCGACGCCGACGCCCGCTTTGACGCCCGAAGTAGCGCCAGGTAGAGCGAAACTTTTCGTCTGCTCTTCGTGTTCAAAATGGCCTTCGGAAGTGGCTGGTGCTGAGGTGAAGATGAAGCAGACGAGGACTTCTTGTTCAATACTGTCGCCGACTTTTGGATCATAAGGGAGGAGTTGTGGTCTTGAAGAAGTAGATCATGCTCCTTTTTCATTTCCTTTTCCCCATCGACGTTCGCTTTCTCTTTTTCAATCTTGACCGCCTCCCACATCACAAAAAAGTTGTCCGCCCCGACCGCCAGCATCACGAACAGCGTCAGCTGCAGAAAGGAGTCAAAGTAAGCCAGTCGGGCGAGTAGATAGTACCCGATAAAGCCACCCATCATCGCGAACAGGACAAAAAGAAGCACGAGACAAGCGGAGAAAAGCGAGCCGGTGTGCACGTACACCACGACCCACACCGCGATGAAAGTCAGGGGCAGTCCGAGCGTCAAATCCCGACCCAGCGCGAGCTCCTGCCCCGCCGCGTCTTTCATGAGTGGGTCCATGATGCGCACCTCGACCTGCCCGTGGCTGTTCGGCAGAATATACCATTTCTCGTACAGAAATCTCGGATTGAAAAAGGTGTCTTCCACCCCGAGAAATTCTTGCAGCTTGTCCAAGCCCTCGCCGCCAATTTCGTCTTCCCCGTCCAACCCCGAGAAACCCGACCGCGTCGCCACGGCGTAGCCGTTCGTTGGAAAATCCCGGTCGAGAAAAAACCCGTACCCGTAGTCGCCGCTATTGTACTTCGCGTAGATTTCGTTGTTGACAATCGTGTCCACCTGCTGTTGCGACATGGTCGCGGTCACGTCGCAATCGGTTATCGGAAACGTAAACGGCCGATTTAAGAGATTCCCGGCGTAGATTTGCACCATGCGAGAGATCCGTGCGCCGGACTGGTAGAATTTACTTTTGTATCAAATGCACATATGTCTGGGCCTGCACGAAACTTGTGATGCTAAAGTATGAATAAGCCTGGCGCTCTCAAGTGCAGCAGCCAAGCATTACAAGTTTACCTGACGCAGTCTGATGCGTAGCACGCATGACAAACTGCGTCTTTGTATGCCGCAAAAGCGGAGCCTTATTTGCAGGCTGTGCAATACAGATCTTTTAAAAATGCAACACATGCAATACAAGCTCCACTTTAATATTTTTTCCCGACCCAGACATTATACTTGCGCTGCATATTTTGTCCCCCAGTTTCCCAATCTCGTGCCACACCCGTTCCTATCGATTGCAAAAATGTCTGGGTCTGGAAGGTTGGAACTTGTGATGCTAACTTTGCACTCTAAAAAATTCTGTATTGCATGACCAGCAAGAGGAGTCCGGTTTGTGCTACGCGTGGAGGGCATTTGTCATGCGGAATAGGCACCAGGAGGGCCTCTAAAAAGCTGTGATGCTAGGGCTTCCATGACAGACATTCTGTGTCATGCAAAAACAGCATAACAAATTTCGGATTCTTCCAGACCCAGAGACATTTTTGCATTTCATAGTTCCAGTAGGCACATCGCCTTCAAATTTTGCGGCGTAAAGATCTTGCGGCTACGATCCACCGACCGATAGTAAATCTGCGTCCGGCCGCCGAGCTCCGAGGACTGCACGGGCGCTGGGCCGAAGAGTAGTTCTTTCACGTCGTGCCGAATGGAATCCTGTGGAAAAACCCACGTCGTTCTCCCCGCCCCAGAGTCGAGAAGATGTAAGCGCTGCTTCTATGCAACCAAAGATAGAAGCGTCTGCGAGTTTGGCATGACAAGATTGGAGTGGGGATCGACGTTGTTTCTACAATGGATAAGACGGGTACCGGATTTTGCTGTCCCTCCAGTCAATGTATTCCTGTTCCGTTTCGAACCGCGATTCTGCCTCAACCCACCGCGCTCGGTGGCCCAGGGCGGAGTAATACGCGTCTTCGGTGCGCATAATTTCGTTGTCCCGGACCCGCCACATGTCCACGGAGTCTTTCGATCGCTGATCCTCATCGGGAAAGTCGGCTTTCGTGAGGAAGGCGAGCGTGGTCAGGAAAATAACCGTGAAGATGATAACCGAGAGGGTCAAACAGGGCCGGAGAACGGCTTGGGTGCACAGTTTTTGGTGGAAACCGTGGGAAAATTTCGCCGTGCTGGACCGGCAGGCGGCGAGGCAGGAGGACATAATGGCGCAAGGGCTTGGCTTTCTTCTAGCAAAGAAGTTTACAACGCCGCATGCATTCGAGATTTTGCATCAAAAGGTCAACATCATTCTGTAATAGTACGCTGTAACACAGGCTATGAGTAGTGCATAATGCTTTGTGCAGTTGACAACGGGCGAATCGTTCAGCGGTGCGTGTATCTAGTACCATTCATGGAATTCTTAAATACCGTTCTAATTTCACTCGACGGCGACTCTAAAAATAAACACTCTCCTCTATAATTGCGGCCAGATGGAGAAAGCAAGTTCCGGTTTTTTCCAGGCCGATGATATTCCGCGAATTCATTGCACTGCGACCGTTAGAAGTCTCATCTACTCATCATTTTTGTCTTGGGAAGAATCTTCAAAAGGCGTCTCCGGACAAGCGGACGCACCAGTAGTGCTGTCGCTGTGGTCTCGCAACAAACCCGCAAACTTCTCCACCTCAACACCAGAAGACGACATGTCCACGTAAAACCGTTCTTCGCCGGGGATAGCCCGGTACTGCACTCGCCGATCCGATCCACATCCAGGGGGGTACAGCGTAAATGCGGACCGTCCTCCAACTCGATTGCGCGACAGAACGTTCGCGGAAGCCAGAGCCACTTTTGGCAAAGCGTAGACGCCACGGACGACTTCGTCCACGTGGACCGGAACAACAAGATAATCGAATGGATCCCCGGTGTCCAGTGTAAATCGCTGCACCTCTTTCGTATCCGTTTTCACTTCTGCCGTGGCCTTGACTTTGATTCTTCCGTCTCGCTGTCGTGTGTGGACGCCCGTTCGATGCAACATGCGTGCCGGACCAACGATCATGTCCGAAGCGTTCAACTTGCCCCATTTCGTGACGAAGCTGTACGGGAGACCGCTGGGCTTGTACAGCCTGTCGATCAGCTGCGGAATGACAAGAGCGTGCAACCGGTGCAGCCGACTGCGGACCAGAATTCTCATCCACTCTGCGCACTCGAATCGTGGCAGTACATCCCAAAGTCCAAACAGATTCCGTGTCAAGTCACATGTACTCGCTGTTGCAATATCCGACATCCAGATCGAATTTCGGCACGCTGTGGTCTTGCTCTCGCAGCACGCTTCCAGTTCGGAATGGGCAAAGAGCTGCATCTTGTTTTCACTTGGAGCAACCACGAGGATTCCTGCGTCGGTAGCGGGAACGCCAACGTCCACTAGCCGGAACTTCATCTCCCCCGAAGGTGCTTTCCGCCGACACTCCGCCGTTCGAACTTGAATCGCGCACCATCTTTTGTCGGGCGCGCCGGTGCGGCGAAAAAGCAGGCCGGCAAGACCACCTCGAACCCACAGGAACTCAAAGTCAGAAGTTGCGCCGGTGATCTGCTTGTAAAACTGTTCCTGCGCTACGCGATTATTTGTCATTCCGCGACCGCGCCAGAGGGTCTCGGCGCGCGGCAACTCGTCGAAGTCTTGCACTTTATTGTGCTTGCATTCGTGAGTATACCCCAGCGCGTGCCTCCACGACACCCAACCACGGTCTTTGTACACTTTGTCCGGACAGTGCGGTATCATTTTCGGGCACGACCCGTGGCGGACCCAGTTCTGGTACTGAAGAACGTCGCGGAATTTCAACTCCCGGACGTACTCGCAAAATCCACCGAATTCCAAGAAGTCTGCGCATTTGGGACGCCCTCGGCCAAGCAACGGAGAAAAACGCTTGAACATCTTGTTTGGCGCGGAGCTTCAGCTCTCCTGGTGCTCTCAGCTGGTGACAGGTATCGATTTAAAACTATTTGGACCACACCCAGGTATTTGCACAGGAGCAGTGCATTCTCCCTCCTCTCATGTTTGCTGACCCCGACGTAAGTAACTGACCTCCAACACCATCATGAGGACCGGCAAAAAGCGAGGCAGGATGATATGATTCGATGAGTTGTCTATTAGTTTCAGTGATACTTCTCAAACGTTGCTACTGTTGCATAGATCGAATTAGAAAGTATTTTTGATGTGTGTGTACGGATACGCCCGCTCTCGTATGTAGAATGTCACATTCCCTATTCCGCCACAATCACGGAAAGCCGCTCCGCAGCACATAAATCCTTGGCGTGCTACAGTCATCGCCTCACGCAATCCGAATGGAAGCCGGCACTGCAAATCCGCGCAGCGTTCGTTCCTCATTTTTGGGGCGAGGTAATTGATCAAGTTCAGACGTTGAATTTTCACTCGGAAATGAATGTCGAAGCCGGATTGCTATCTTCCCTAGAGTCGGCGGATGCCAATTGTGCGAGATCACTGCCAAATTCCTGCATGATCCGCTTGAATTGGTTCACTGCTTCAGCTTTTCGTGCTGGAGCTGCGTTTTCTGTTGCAACATCGATATAAAACTTCTCCTCGTCCGGGACAACCTTGGCGATTTTGGGCAAAGTCGGCCGGCTACCGGGCGGACTCAGGACAACGCACGACTGACCCCCTGCACGACTTCGCGACAGCACGCCCGCAGCATCGAGTGCACTCTTCGGCAGAAGGAAAAGCCCGACGAGCAGGTCTCCTTCCCGTACGAAGACTGTCAGAAAATCGAAGGGATCGCTCCTGTCTAAGGTGAACGACTCGAGAACGTTCGCGTCCGTGGTGACGGGGTGGGTTAGCTTGACCTTCACTTTACCGCTATCTCCCGGAAGAAGACACGCCGTGCGGTGTATCATTCGTGCGGACCCCACGATTGCGTCGTAGGAATTAAAGTCACCACGATGACACACGAAGCGTAGCTCCAGGGCGCTCGGAATGTACAGATGCTGCACCACCTGTGACAACAAAACCGCGGAGAGCCGAAGTCGCGTGTTCTGCAGGGAAAGATTTATCCAATGGGCGCTTGGCAACCGCGGCAGTGTGCTCCACATTTCGTCTAGCGTGCCTAACATTTCACTTACATTGACCGCGCGCAGCTCGGGCAACCAGAGGTAAAATCGGGTTCGGTGTGATGCTTCTCGTTCTATGTCGCTGTAGGATTGCAGTTGCATTTTCCCTTCTTTCGCACACGCCGTGAGGACTCCGATTTCGGTACCGCGCCCAGCCAGGCCAACATCGTGAAATCGGAACTCCATTTTCTTGTGGACTGATTCGCGTCGCACTTCGGCCGTCCTGACTTGAATCGCGCACCACTTATCTGCTACCGCTTCTCGCTGACGGAAGAGCAATCCCAGTCGGCCGCCACGCAGCCACAGGAAGTCGTAGTCGCCGGATTTGCTTTTGATCGCATCGCAAAATTGCTGCAGTGCGATGCCGTTCGTCGTTGCGCCACGGCTCCGGGTCATCGTCCGTGACCGCTGCAAGTCACGTACTTCCCGAAACCGGTTGTAGTGCTTCTCGCGTTCATACCCGAGGGCCTTTGTCCACGAAGTCCAGCCGGTATTCTTGTACATAATATGTGGACACACTGGTACAGTTGGCGGTCGCGCGTCTGTATGAACCCAATCCTTGTATTGTCGCACGGACGAAAACTGCAGGGGTCGGACGTAGTCGCAAAAGCCCGCATAGTCCAAAAACTCTCTACCGCCCGACAGAGCGCGCGCCGGAGCGCCCCGCTTCAGCATTCTATCCCGCAGAACAGAGAAACTGACGAATCCTGCCGGGATAGAATGCGCATTGTGACACGAAGCATCTTACTTTTGATCACCATCAACAGTGGCAGCGCGCCTCTCAGTCTCACTCGAAGTGACCGCTCGCAAGGTTTCAGGCGACTCTTTTCCGAACCTTTTACCATTATGGAACGCAATTGAATTTACCACTGCAAAGTAGCAAAGTGCTACTGTGTGCTGAACGCTTTTGAAAACGCTTATCAGTGGGACCTGGAGCCCATACGACCCAGTCATCGATATGAGAAAATACTTCCTTAGTCTCCTCGCGATCCCAAAATCCTTCGAGTTGATATAAACTCGATCGTTCTTGTGGTGAAACAAGAGGAAAAGAAAACGATAAAAAGACGGGCGTCGCATATTTCCTGGATTTCACTGATAACACCCCACCGCTACCAACCTCAATCCTTATCCAGCGCCACTCTCAGCGCCGACTCTATCCTCCCATTCTCCACAGTCCGACACAAAAAATCTTCGTATTGGTCCATCACTTCCGCGGAGTCACTGCTTAGTAATTTCGCGGCGTGGTTGTCGATTTCAGAACTCCCCTTCCTACGCGAAGACGTCGTCTGACTCGTCGAGACATCCTTTTGCAAAATTTGCCGAATCAACATCACCTTCTTCTCCATGCTGCCCCGCGCCTTCCCGAGCTTCTTCAACAGACCGATCAGCTCCAGCTCCTCTTTTGTCATGTTCACCATCTCCCCTCTCGCAACCTTGCGCCGGGCTTCCAGCTTCGTCAGGTTGAAGAGGTCTGGGAGGTGAAAATTTCATCATTTGATGCTAATTCTGTTGTCAATGAAATCAAAATTTTCGTCGTTCTTGCGTTAATTCGCATGACAAAACACCGTTTTATTGCACACAGCGCAACACAAATACTTCCAAACTCCACTCCGAGCACGGTTGTTGGACAGGCGACACAGAAAATCCCGCACACCATGCAAGCGCCCGTTACCAGCTTGCCCCAAGCGGTGATCGGGTAGGTATCCCCGTACCCGACCGTCGTCACCGTCGTTATTGCCCAGTAGATCGCGGTTGGCACGTCCGCATAGGGACTGCAACCGCTGTAGTGGGGCTCGTCCGCGCGGGCAAAACAGCCTCGGGCTTCGTCCCACTCGCCTCGTTCGACGGAAAACATGAGATAGGAGAAGAAAACCTTGGTAGAAGTGGATAGTGCGCGTGATAATATCAATTCCGCATGATAAAAGATGCAAGTCAAGCACGACAAGCATGACAAAAAACTTTCAAACTTGTCGATCAACAACGTACCAGTGCCAAGACCAGAAACGTGGACAACAGCAAGAAGGACGTCCTGCTCTCGATCTATCCACTGCAAATTAATATGTCTGGGTCTGGAAAAAATGGAATTTGTGATGCCAATTTTACATCATGCCAGAATCTGTCATGCATGGCCAACAAAAGGCTCCACTTCTTGTCACAGGAGGAGGGATTTGTCATGCGGATTAGGAATTGGAATACCTGCTCGAATAAACCTGTGATGCTAGGGCTTGCATGCCCAACGATTTGCGTCACGCAAAAATTGCATCACAAATGTCTGCACTCTTCCAGACCCAGACATAGTGGTATTTGATACGATCATGCCCGTGACAATGTAGTTCATTTCGGTGGAATGTCTTCCGAACTTGAACACCCAGAAGAGCCGGAAAATCCGTATACCCCGCTCAGGCATTACAATCTCAAACGTTGCAGTAAAGTCTGGAATTTGTGTTGCAGGAAGTGCATTATCTAGCCAACTCTCATAGGATTGCGCATGACAAGTTCTGGAGCCCCAATCCCCCCTACAATCTGGCGAAATTTGTATTGCAGAAAGTGGAATGCTGTCCGAGTCTGTCATGCTCATCATGCAATACAAAACCCAGACTCTATTGTAGCGTTTGAGATTGTAACGTTTGAGCAGGTCATAATCCGGAAGATGCGCTGGTCGTGGATCCAGTAGCCGTTATCAAATGCAAAAATGTCTGGGTCTGGAAGATTCTGAGATTTGTGTTGCATATTTTGTGTCGTCCATGATGCATGTAATGCATGATCTAGCATCACAGATTTTTAGAGGGCTTCCTGATGCCTATTCCGCATGAGAAATGCCCTCTCCGCGTAACACAAACTGGGCTCCTGTTGCTGGTCACGCAATACAGATTTTTTGGGAATCCAAAGACAGCATGACAAGTTGCAATATTCCAGACCCAGACATTTTTGCAATCCATACCCGTCTTCGGCCAGCAATGACACCCAGGTTGGCACGACGGAAACGACGTCTAAAATGTTCAGCGGGGTGAGGAGGAATTCCCTGTAGGGTTTACTGGTGACGGTCAACCGCGCGAGGTATTCGATCGTGAAAATCGTGACGAAAACCAATTTATGAAATGCAAATGTGTTGTCGGTGTCTGGAAAATTGCAACTTGTGATGCTGCCTTCGGATTCCAAAAAAATGTGTATTGCATAAACAGCAAAAGAAGTCCACTTTGTGCTACGCGGACAGGGCATTCCTTATGCGGAATACGCATCAGAAAGCCCTCTCAAAATCTGTGATGCCAGGTTATGCATTACAGGCATCATGAGTCATGCACAATATGCATGACGAGCGTGGCAATCTTCCAGGCCCAGAAATAAGTATTTGCATTTCATACAATTCCATCGACTTCCAGTACAGCTTGTACCGCTCCTGGTAGTCCTCCATCGTTTCCCAGCAGAATGTCACGGTGGAAAGAAACACGCAGGCCAGCATGAAGGTCTGCATGTAGCGGTCGCTTTCCAAAAACCGCTCAATCTTTTCCCGCCCCTTGTACCGGCACCAATCGACCCAAGATTTCTGCGCCCGGGTCTCGTGGATCAAAGTTATCGAATGCAAATATGTCTGGGTCTGGAAGGATGCAAGCTTTGTCATGCACATTTTGCAGGACTCCTGACTTCTGTGATGCATGCTCTAGCATCACAGATTTTGTGAGGCCTTCCTGATGCCTATAACGCATGAGAAATGCCCTTTCGCCGTGGCAAAAACTGAGCATCTTTTGCTGTTCATGCAGTACAGATTTTTGCAGTATCCAAATGCAGCATCACAAGTTACATCCTTTCAGACCCAGACATATTTGCCATGCATAAAAGTCGCCCTTCGGCGAAACACGTTAGCCGCACGGGGCGAAATCCCGAAACTGCCCGAGATTTCGCGGGAAATCGAGCTCTGCGGAGAAATCGGGGGCGAAACATCTTCGGTCTCGACCCGCTCGGGAGCAGGAGGCATTTTGTGTAAAATGTGAAGATGGTGGTCGTAGGGAGCTTTTGATACAATTTTCGAAAGACGGACCGACGAGGCTAGGAAGATGATATTGTGGATAACGTTTGTGGTTGCACAACTTTGACAGGTGGCCTTATGACTAGGTGTAGGCACATGTATCTAGACATCTCTCTCGCGCTTGTACTACACCTCGATCAGAATTGACAGCTCTCTTGTTCTCTCTTGTGATCCATGCGCGGCGCAGGAGCGAGTTTTTTGTCGCTGCTGCCCCTGCTATAAAGCAAACAACAACGTACTCCACATCACCCGCTGCCACCACGCTCCTTTCCAAGTTAGTAGCTGACTGTGACCACCGCTTGTTCTCCCATGTGGTACTACTACCCAACACCTCGTGCAAACCACAGCCAGGAATGCCCTTCAGAAATACCAAATTTTCAGCGACCATCACACAGAACATCATAACACAAAACGGCAGCATTGTTGGTGCCAGTAGCTCGGTTGGTGCCAGTAAAGAAGTAAGTAGCTCCGGTCGTGTGGTGCGATTTTTTACTAATTATCAAGAGCTGACTTTGTCGTCGCGATTGACGAATTGAAAATGGTGTACTATCAAAGAAATCAGCATGAGAGAATGAGAAGAGCGCGTTCCTTATTACTCGTAGTTTTTTACAATACAGGTTGAATCTTCATCATTTTCCAATTTGTATTTACATTCTAATTCCATTCGGCATGCAAATCTAGCATTCGTTCCCCATTTTTATCAGTTTGTCGTACATCTTCAATCAGCTTCTTGACAAACGCAGACAAGACGTCGACTCTTACCCGGCCAGGAAGCTGAAGAACAGAAAGGTGGGGACCAAAATCGAACTGTAGACCAAGACTTTGTCCATGGTGGTGGTGTAAAACAGCGCCTGGAGGCTGTAGGGCTCGGTGAACAGAAAGTAGAACCTGAGGGATTTTCATTTGTGCACTGCTGAATTTTATGCATCTTCACAGGCAGCGAGGAGCTATGGAAGACTCAAGATTCTCGAACTACATGTCCAGGCATTTTGTATGCAAAGAAAGGAAAGACAATACTTAATCAAGTGGATTTGTAGTGCATGTCAAACAAGGATTCCTATAATACCACTCCAACTGCGAAATGCCGTCCACTGCAGACGGGTCCTTGTCGTATTTTGCGAAATCCGTGTCCAGAAAGCCCTCGGCCCGTATGCTGAGTAAAAACGTCCCCACCCCATACTTGTCATGCAGATTTGCAGTTACAGGAAGATTTGTAATGCGCATCCCCATGCGAGGCATTTCCAATCGTGTTTTGGACTTTGTAATGCTGTAAACAAGCTGACTAGATGGATATGTGTTGCGGCTGTACTTGCTAAACTGCACTACACTACAGAGAGGAACTTGTCATGCTTGACTCCCAAAACTTCTCGATTTGTGTTGCGAGATTCCCATCTTGACTATGGGGTGGGGACGTTTTTCCTCAGGATAGCCCGCTTCGCATGCACATCCAACTCGACGGGTATGATTTGATCCTGTTGCAACTGTTGCGTCGACGACGACGACGCCTCGGTCTTTCTTTCTGAAGAAGCCGTTGCTGTGCTGTTGCTGTTTTCCCCCGTGGAAGCAGCGGTAGTGCTTCCACCAGCCGTTGAGTTAATGCTTGTTGCGCTTCCCGTTGCAATACTTTCCGCTACTTCCACCGCGTCACTCGGGAACTGAAACTCGTGGCACGCCGTGTTGGGCAAGATTTCCCCGTTTTCGCCCTTGATAAAGCTGTTCTCGCACAGCTCGGCCCGCTCCTTTTCCGCTTTTTCCTTGGCGGCCCGGGCCTCGCGTTCCATTTCCTTCACCTGTTCTATTGAGAGGAAAAATCCCCACTCCCCACATCGAAAAGGTATGTTTCCGGAGATTTGTCTTGCTGATTTGAGACCACAAATCACGTCTGTCCTGCAAGAAGACAACTCCGCAGGCTCTGCCGCATTATGCAGGCCGTTTGTGATGCTGTTGGGCCTACAGCATAGACGTTTCTCATGCTAAGCGCCTAGGCCAAAAGCTCTCTACTCAGGCTTGGCAGGAGCCTGCTGTCCTCTACTGCAAGACAAACCTGATTTGTATACGCAAATCCAGCATCAGAAACTTCCCTTTGATATGGGGAGGGGGGGATTTTTCCTCGTGATATGCTCCTCCGCGAGTTTCCGCTTGATTTCTTCTTGCTCCTGCTTCTATGACCTGCTCAAACATTACAATCTCAAACGTTACAATCGAATCTGGAATTTGTCTTGCATAGTGAGCATGACAGACTCGCAGACCATTCCACTTTCTGCAACACAAATTTCGGCAGATTGTAGTGCGGTTTGGGACTCCGGAACTTGTCATGCGCAGTCACATCGGACTTGGCTGCCTGGATTATGCACTTCTTGCATCACAGATTTCCAAATTCTATTGTAACGCTTGAGATTGTAACGCCTGAGCGGGTTATAGCTTCTTCTGCAAGATTTCCTCCTCCTTTTTCACCTGCAAAAAATACTCCCGCGAGGTCACGTCCAGGTTCAGGTGCTTCTGGATCCACAGCTTGGCCATCTCGTGCCCGTTCTTCATCACGACATTGGTTTTACTTCCCTCTACTCCCCCGCCGCGTATTTTGTTCGCGGGAGAAGTAGCAGATTCTTTCGTGCTGAAGTAGTCCTGCAAGAGCAGTTTCAGGTAAAATTTTTCGTCGAAAAACAGGTCCTTGACGAACGTGCGGAACCAGAACTCGGATTTTTTCACCAACAGGTGGAAATTCGACACGGACTGGTCATAGAACTCGATGGCGCTGTCCTCCAATTTTTTGCTCCAGTACAGGCTCCAGAAGTAGCTCGCTTCGCCGACGAAAACCGCCAAATCGACGAAGGGGACGACGTACCCGTAGTAAAACACATTTTCCACGTACAGCTCGGTTGGCTCGACGTACTCGAATTTAAAATAGTCCTTAACCCGGTTCTGCTTCTTGACGTAGTGGAAAAAAATATTCGGCTTGTTGCAGGTCTTGTGCAGCAACGATTTCCGGGATTTGAGGAACTGGGCCATCTCCAACTCGGACAGCGTTCCGTCCTTGTTCAAATCGAAGTGGCTGAAGCCGTGGCGGAGAAACCGCATTTTGCTCCCCTCAAATTTCTGCAGCACGTACGCGTGGAAAAGCGCGACGATGTGGTCGCGGCAGTACAGGGCGGGCTGCGGGGACGACTTGTCGGAGGGAGACCCGCGGAAAGGGACGTTTCTGAAGATGTCGTGTGGGTAGTTCTAGTTGTAGTTTGAATTATAAAGCATCAAATCGAATAAGTTCGGCAGTTCGTTGTGTTGTTGCATTCAACAAAACACGCCCTCAACATGATCTTCAGCATGCCATGAAGTAGCAGCAACAAAAAGAACTTTCTATACTTTTTCACCCCATACAGGATCAATTCCTGCTCACTCATGGTCGCGAGCTTCTCCTCTTCCAGAACCGAATCCCCGCCTTCCCCGTCCTCGGCACCCCCGCCGCCACTGCTCGTATCAAATGCAAAAATGTCTGGGTCTGGAAGATTCCGAAATTTGTCATGCAGTTTTTCCAAGCTCCGCCAAGTCTGGAATGCAGGGAGTAGCATCACAGGTTCTGCAGCCCCTTGGTGATGCCTATTCTGCATGAGAAATGCCCTCTCAGCATGGCCAGAAGTGGGGACCTTTTGCAAGTCATGCAACACAGATTTTTGTATGATCCGCAACACGCATCGCAAGTTCCAACCTTCCAGACCCAGACATTTTTACGGTTGATAGCTCGTGGACCCGTACAAATCAAATTCCGGAAAATCCCCAAGTGTGGGTCCCAGCGTCCCCAGTTCCAGGGTGGGCATTTCGTAGCTCGGCGCGCGGGTGGAGGTTGTGTAGTCGGGCTCGGCTTCGGACTCGTTTTTCAATTGCTCCTTTCGCTGGTCAATCTCCTCGATGTCCTTCTCAAGCTGTCGCAGCAGCGCCTGAGCGTCGACCGTCGGCACGACCGCTGCGTCTGCTGCTGGCCTTATGCAAGAAAAAAACTATGTGAGTGTAAGTTTGTGATGCAGAAATTGCAAAAAAGTGTTACACGTGTCATGCTGGACGTGCGTCGTAAGCTAGTTTCATACGTGTTTCCACGTGCTAGCTGCGCATCACGACAGGTTTTCCCTGTAATACAAAACGAATTTGTGATGCTGCTCTTCCATACACAGTTTTTTTCCTGGATAGGCTTCCTAGAGGGGATAGTACTTGTTCCCCCAATGTCAATCTTTGTTGTCGCGGTCTCCACCGGTAATGTAGTAGTAGGCACGACCGAGGGGGCTGTTACTCCCCCCGTCGGCGGTGCGGTAGAGCTACTCGCGGGGGTTATCCTGAGGAAAAACGTCCCCACTCCAGAGTTGTCATGCAGATTTGCAATGACAAAGACATTTGTGATGCGCATACCCATGGTAGACATTTCCAATCGTGTTTTGGAATTTGTGATGCTGAGAACAGGATGAGCAGATGGATCTGTGACGCGGCTGCACTTGCTAACCTGCACTACACTACGGAGTGCAACTTGTCATGCGTGACTCCCAAAACTCCTAGGTTTGTGTTGCAAAATCCCCATCTTGACTATGGGGTGGGGACGTTTTTACACAGGATAGGCGTGGCGGAGCAGGTGAGGTAGAGGAAGGCAGCGGAACAGGCCGCGACCCTAGTACTATTCCGGGTAGATGACATTTCCGGTGGTTGGCGCACCATCTTAAGTGGGTTTATTTCGCGGTCTGAACTACGAGGGCTATTTTCATACCAGCAAATACATCGCGTTCATGAGCTCGCGTTCAATTCATTGAGATGTAAATCAGGCACTGGCTCGGGACAAGATGTAACTTAATTCCTAAAAGAAAAGGACGCATGCAGTCAAAGAGGGCCAACTGAAGATCTTCTCATCTGTAGTTCTTGGACCTGGTTTTGTGAATGAACCATTTGAGCTACTCAGAACGGGGACAACAAGAACAGAGGGGAGAAAATAACGTCTCGGCCAAACTACACGTCATTAAAACACAAAGCAATAATTCGGGCAGAGTATGTAAGACGCTGGAGTGATGCTGGCGGTAACGGCAGAATGTGCATGCAGCTTCTGTACGGCCGTACATCAGAAATCCGCTCTACTTCTTTATAATGTCGCTCGCGCTCGCTCGCTCTCTCTCTCTCTCTCACTCGCTCTAGTATTGGTAATGGCTCTCAACAGCGGCATACAATTCCTTGCGAGTGTCCTAGCAGAAAGAACAGCAGCCAGCAGGAGTGCGCAATTGTTTAGCAGCGCTTGTGCACAAGAAAACGAAAATTCGAATTTGGATACAGGGGTGGAGCGTTTTACAAGTTTCAATATTCTCAAAATAGTACAAAGCATTCTTAACTGGATGTAGTACTTCTCCGTTACCTTACTCTTTTCCAGCAGTGACCGAAGAAAATCCGGTATAGCCCTGCGGATTCTGTCTTTGATCGGAATAACCTAAATAACAATTTCCTGTGTCATCTCGATAGCTGTCTGTAATCTGTAATCTCTAATCCACAAGTCTGCTGCAGAGGGTGCTTGCAGCCAGGAGTTCTTTGATTCTCATCTAATGTGTCAATTGTAATAGCGACTTTGCGATTTACTGTGATTCAAATAGGAAATAATGGTCTAGTCTTCTTGTGCACCAACACGTGAGCAGTGCTAATGCAACACCGCAGAACAATGGCTCCACACTCTAAGTCCAACTCCCCCTCACCCCTCCTGCTCCCCCGGCAGCGGCACGCCTCTGGCGTCAATCACTTTTACGATCGCCGACAAAACCCCAACGACCTGCGTGATGACAACGTGGAGGCCCAAGTTCCCCGCGTCGCCGCGCTGCTGAAAGATCGAGCGACTGTAGTGCATCACCATCTCGAAGAATTCCCAGAAGAGCAGAGACTTCGCGTCGCACTCGAGGTGCTTTTTGCACACCAGATCGATCGTGTCGGACGTCATGTTAAGGATGTGGGAGAGCTGTAGTTTAAATGGAATAAAGAATTGGTCACAGTTTTTTTGTCATGCTACGCGCCCCTCATCGTCGTCGTTTCTCATGCAGGAGGCCATGATACACAAAACATTCAAGAACTACCCTAAGTAAGTCTATGATAGTACCGCTGGTTCTCCTAACCTCTTCAGCTCCTGTTGAAACACGTCGACATATTGATCGTCCCCCGCACTTTCTGCCGCCAGTGTCTTGCCGTACTCCCACACAAATTTCAAAATGTCCTCGGTCAAAACCCTCTCACCCAGCATGTCCACGTGCTGCGCCAGGAAAGAGTAAATGGACCGGAGATCTGGTGGGTTTTGATTTCGTCGAGGGAGTAGATTTAGATAGAAGCCGTATGCTTTGCAAATTGGCAATTGTCTTGGAGAGTAAGTAGATGTAGAAGTACATGATCAACATGACAAACTCCAACGCCTGCTCAGAAGCTGGCAATCATAATCTGGTATCTTCCCACCAGCACTAAAATTGCTATACTTGGTCTTGCCCTCTGGATGGCGACAAGATTTTCGTGCTGCACGGCGTCTTTCCGCAGCGGATCCTCGTCGTACACGTCCATTACGGGAATTAATATGTCGGTCAGAAACCTTTGTATTTGATTTAACATCGTCGGAACTTCACTTCTACACATTATCTGTTCCAGCATCACAAAACAATCTACCCTACGAGGCTCCGCATGACAAACACGAAAATCAATCATCGCGAAAAGCAAAAGGACTTATTATCTACCTAAACAACCCCTCGTCGAGTGGCATCTGTTGCATCTGCGCGGTTTTCTGCGCGTTGGGGTGTTCGCACATGGTCCAGTGCGCTACTCGGAGGAGAATTTCCAAGTAGTGATTTCGCTGCAGCCTTTTATGGAATGCAAATACGTCTGGGTCTGGAAGAGTCGGGGCTTGTCATGCACATTTTGTATGACCCGTGAGGTCTGTGATGCTGGTGCTAGCATCACAGATTTCATTTTGAGAGCTTCTTGATACTGATGACGCATGAGAAATGCCCTCTCCGCGTGCCAGGAACTGACTCCTCTTGCTGCTAAAGGAAAACACAGACATTTTTAGAATCCGCGGACAGCATTACAAGTTCCACTTTTCCAGACCCAGACATATTTGCAATCCATACCTTTGCGACAAATACGGTTTTCCGTCCCGCACCTGCGTGGTTTCCTATCCACAGTAAATTTCCCGTACAAATGCAGTCTCTGCATGACAGAACTTGCCTTCAATCCTAGTCTAGCATGACAAGTTGTACACTGCAAGTTAGCGAAATTTGTCATGCATTTTGTACATGTACGGGAAATTTACATTGCATATCTCCTGGTACCACTTCACCAAGTCGCCGAACGGAATTGTCCTATGTAAAAACGTTCCCATCCCGTAGCGGTCATGCAGATTTGCATCTACAGAAACCTCTGTAATGCGCATCCCCATCATGAGAACTATTTGTAGTCGCGTTCTGAGATTTGTGATGATGTAAACAGCATAAGCAGGCGTCTTTGCGATGCGGCTAATATCCCTTGCTAACTAGAACTACACTACAGATGAAAGCTTGTCATGCACAAATCCCAAAACTTGGAGATTTGTGTTGCAGACTTACCAACTTGACTATGGGGTGGCGACGCTTTTGCTCACCATAGGAATCGGCATGTGTTTTTTCTCGTTCTGCCCGAGGTTCTTCGGCACGTGGGTTCCCTTAGAGAGCAAGTGGTATCAAATGTAAAAATGTCTGGGTCTGGAAGATTGCAAGGTTTGTCATGCACATTTTGAATGACCCGTGATGTCTGTGATGTATGCACCAGCATCACAAATTTTTTGCGGGCATCTTGATGCCTACCCCGCATGAGAAATCCCCTCTCCGCGCAGCAAAAACTGGACGCCTCTTGTTGCTCATGCAATACAGATTTTTTTGGATTCCAAAAATAGCATCACAAGTTGCATTCTTCCAGACCCAGACATTTTTACATTTGATAAGTGAGCCTGTTGGAGTAAATGGGTGACGTCGTCTAAGCCGATGGTGTATCAACTGAAAAAGTGTCTGGGTCTGGAAGATGAATGCAAGATTTGCCATGCATATTTCTCATGACCCATGACGCCTGTAATGCATGACCTAGCATCGCAGACTTTTAGAGAGCCTCCTGATGCACCTTCCGCACGAGAAATGCCCTGTCCGTGTACCACAAATTAAAATTATACCCCTCTTGCTGGTCATGCAATACAATTTTTTTTAGAATCCAGAGACAGCATCACAAGTTTAGAATCTTCCAGACCCAGACATTTTATTTGCAGTTGATATGGTGTGCGCGGACTGGGCCGTTGGGTCCTCTACCGCCAAGTCGAGTCCCATGAAAGCGTAACTGTCGTAGAGGTCATATCCTGTGTGAAAACGTTCCCACCCCTGAGTTGCCGATGGAGATTTTGCAACACAAGCCTGGAAGTTTTGGCAGTCACGCATGACAAGACTTAGCCCATAGTGTAGTGCAGTTTGGAAAGGGAAGCCGCATGTGAAATCCATCTCCTTATGCTGTCTACAGCATTACAAGTTCCAAAACACAACTGGAAACGCCTCTCATGGGGATGCGCATTACAAATGCTCCTGTAATTGCACATGTGCATGACAACTCTGGGGTGGGGACGTTTTTGCTTAGGATACGTCCACCAGGATGCTGTAGAACTCCTTCAGCACGTCTTTTACTCGGAGTTTCATGTGCGGCTCGATCCACCTGCAGTGAAGGTTTTTTGTCTGTATACTAGCACAGGCTTTCATTGAGAAGGCGGGGTCTTGTCATGCACAGTCCTGCATTTCAGACTCCTTCAACCATCTTCACAAAGATTAGACCCGTTTCGTATTTGTACCTGAGTTTCAGCGAGTCCCAGTCTTCATCAAATCTTGGGTCGACTTCCGCTCCGTCTACACTAGATGTATCCTGAGTAAAAATGTCCCCACCCCAGAGTTGTCATGCAGATTTGCAATGACAGGACCATTTGTAATGCGCATCGCCACGGGAGGCATTTCTAGTCGTGCTTCGGCATTTGTAATGCTGTAAGCAGGATAAGGAGATGGATTTCTGATGCGGTTGGCCTTGCTAAACTGCACTACATTACGGACTGCAACTTGTGATGCGAGACCCCCAAAAGTTCTAGGCTTGTGTTGCAAAATCCCCATCTTGACTCTGGGGTGGGGATGCTTTGACTCAGGATAAGATGCCGTGCTGGGTCTTGAGTCCGCATCTGGAACCGGGTCCGCGGCGATTGGCACCTCCCAGGGAGAAATCAAATGTAAAAATGTCTGGGTCTGGAAACTTGTGATGCTGGGTGGCGTCTCGTGATGAGGCCACAAATGCTGGCTCAGCGTGACAAGTTTCTGAGCTTCTAGGTGTTGCCTATTCTGCATGACAAACTGCGTTCCTGCATCACAGAAAAATGGAGCTCTAAGGTAACGTGCATGACAGATTTAAGAGTCATGCCAGACAAGCATGACAAACATGCATTCTTCCAGACCCAGACATTTTTGCTCTTGATAGGAAAGTCTTCAATGTGATGGGACCCGTCGCCGGAAAGCGTATCTGATATTTTCTTTTGCTTTTGTTAATAGATACCTTCCACGGTGTGCTGCTGCATCACAAATTGGAGGTTGATACCACACTACATCGCATGACAAATAAAATCAAAATCCTAAAAAATCCTACGTTCTGGCAGTGCTTTGCACACAGTCTCGCTCCCATCCTCGAGGAGAAACAAGTACTTGGCGGTCCCTGGTGGCGCGTGCTTGATCTATCCAGTGAAAATATGTCTTGGTCTGGAAGGGTGCAAGATTTGTCATGCATCTCGCGGACCACATGCATGGTCTGGAATGCACACAGACGCATGACAGGTTTTGCAAGACCTTCCTCATGCCTATTCCGCATGAGAAATCCGCCTTCTGCCTACCAAGAAGAGGGGAGCTTCTGGCGTTCATGCAACACAGATTTTTCAGTGATTGAGATTTGGCATGACAAGTTACAACCTTCCAGACCCAGACATATTTGCAATTGATATGATTGCTATCCAGTCGATGTTACCGTCGCCCAAATCCACCGGATCGAGGGGGATTTCGAACTTCCCGCCGAACTCCTTCTGCGGAGTATGCAATACAAATTTGCTCCAATCGCGCTGTGCACGTGCAAAATGCATCACAAATTTCATCGGCAGCAACTTAGAGTGTGATACTACTTGTCATGCCAAATAGCGCTGATATCCATTTTCGGCATGCGGAAACCTCCGTATTTGCACGTGTACGGGACGTTGGACTTTCTTGTGCATACGGAAATATCCCGGTCCACTGACTCGCGACGGTATACTCCCCGCGGATTTTTGTCGGGATCGGCATGTCATACGCGTTACTTGCGATTTTCCACTGGATATCCTACGGAAACATCAGGCAGATCATATTTGTATTGCAAAAATGAATAGACAAAAAGATCTGTATTACGTGTCCTAAACAGCATGCTAAGGGGTCACCCATGCATGAACGATTTTTCTGTTTATTTTGCTTTTGCATTACAAATATGCCCTGCCGGCTTTTTACTCTGGGATACTGGAATTTGCAGATCCGGAGGGAAGAAGACGGACCGTATGCCTCGTCTTGCCTGATTTTTGCCGATTAGTTTAGTTGTACAAGAACTCAGCGGTCGTTATAGTGTATTGCACGTTCGTACTTGCTGCTATCACCAAAGAAAAGCGAGCACTGAAACACAGACACACAAGCGAAAAGTAGAATCCAGATGAAATAACTCAAACTCTGTTTATACCATGTCAGCGTGTAGTCACTGGTCCCCAGCCCGCCCTCTTCTGCGTTATTTGTGTTTTCTATGACAGTGGACAACTCCCCCTCCCCCTCATTTGTATAGCATGAACGGCAATTATACAAGCATCAGCAAGAGTGCCGGTTTTGCATGACAAATTTACACTAGAATGTAGTGCTATTTGGGCTACCACAACTTGTCATGCAAACAGTGCCAAAAGGCAGCGACTAGAGTCGCGGTTTTGCATGACAAAGGAGGGGGAGAGGGAATTGTGCGCTGTCATATTTTCCGCCCCTTCCCGCAGATCTACGTACACCTCCGCTAAGTCTGTCATCTCCTCGCAGAGGGGCATTCTTGGTCGCAGCACCGTGCCCTCGCTGTTCCTGACCTGCACCGGGATTCGGAATTGGTGCTTCAGTTTCTGGTACCGCAACGCCGTGACCAAGCCGAGCCACCTGACGTGCTGTTTTCCATCCCCGATGTTCACGGTGAATTTCTCACCGTGGCAGTGCACGAGGACCCGCATGATGGTCGTGCTTTTTCTTCGACTAGTTTTTTTGGATACCGGCTCCTACGCCGAGGATGAGTACTTCACTGCCGCGTTCGGTTGTTAAGTCCGTGCGCGGGAGGTCGTGTGGACGAGATCGCAACCAACACGTCGTCGGAAGGAGTGCACCCGCGACGTTATCGGCTACTTTTCGCAAAAAATACTGCTTCCTTCACGTGGTTTTTCTTTCCCGATTTTCTGTCCCGTCGGGTTTTCCAACTTTTTTACGCTGCAAGCAGAACTACGGTAGCTGAAGAAGTAAAATTCCGTCCGTGACGTACCTAGTATTCCCGCTGCAAAAGCGGGGTGTACCAGTGCCGTAGTACCCACGAAGGCTTGCTCTCGCGGAGGACCAGGAAATAATTCACTTCGCGCGAGTCCTCCCTTACGGTCAGCGGCTAGAAAAACAGCAAAACTCGGCGCTGTTGCAAGAGCTGGTGATTACCCCCGCAATGATGGTGCGTCGGAGGGTTTTTGCGATGCACCTCCCAGAATTTTCTTCGTTCGCGGAAAGCAACAAACCACTGGCGAAATAACTGCGATCTCCACTATCGCGCAAACCGGCACGAAGAAATTGCCGCTACCGGCAACAGACAATTCGTAGTTGCCGCGGTGTGCAGTAGTTGTGAGGGCACAAGTAACTACCTCTCTTCGCCCCGACAATTCAGCTGCTACGACTTGGTGGCGCCTGTGTAGGCGGTGGAAAGAGGAATTTCACTTCATATCTTTTTTCAACGCATTGTTCTTTCTGTTTCTGTCTAAACTGGACAGGGCGAGGTGTTTTTTTTCTCTTCCCGCTAGAAGTGACGTTTTCATCGACGGAGCCCCATCAGAATCACAAAAGCGCATCTCGGCCGGTCAAAGGTGATATTACGACCACGTTCGACGCGGACCGTAAAACAACCTCCCTCCACTCAGCAAAACCACGACACCGCGACCTCTCACCTTCTCCAAGTGGTGGTCTTCGTAAACATATACAATCCTGAATGATTTTTTCACTCGACGATGAATGCTTTCTCTCTGGTAGCGAAGCTCGAAGGGGAACGAAGATTGTGCACGAATAAACGATTTAAGCAGATGGCGACAAAAATGACGAGAAAAACACAACAGAAGCGTCGAGCACGCGCGGCAGAAATTTCCGAGAGCGAATGGATTCGAAGACCAGCTGGAGGCAGCACACGTTAGCACGCCGGTTTTTGATGTTTTCGTGTGTTTCTGATGTGTCTTTGCAGAAAATTTTCGAATTTTTTCCTGCATGCCGTTAGTCGCTTGTGAAATCTTTGTTCCGCGCGTTTTGCTTTTTGCTGTCGCTTTTTTAAGTATCCATATCCAAGAAGCAAAAGTAAACCCGTTAGGACCAAGTAGATGCTCTGTTAATCAATACATATTCTGGAAGGCCTTTGGATCACTAAGGCCTAATTATTCCGCGGTGTACTGCTCTACCGCGTACCAGATAGTTACTTGAAAACATTTGTTTACCTTCAGTATTCTTAGTCATACTCTATGCCAAACGATCAAGAATCTTAGCTTCGTTTACAAACAACAGGTTTCCTTTCATTCGTACTTAATCTGTACTAGAAAATCGCAATTTATCGATCTGAAGAACTTTTGAAATTTTTTCGTCGCTTATTATTCTTCGCTCTTCCCCGCTAGGAGGAAGAATCACTCGTAGAAGTTCACAGCATCCATATTCTGTCCAAAGGAATAATGTACAATGATTCCGATTGTTTCTACCTGTCGATCTTGTGTGTTCTGAAATGGCAACTATTTTGCGCTTTGCCAAAACTATTGAAAGTCGCCCATTCCTTGCTTGTGTACTAAAACTGTCGTAGTCGCCTCTAGAAGGTGGTGAGAGTCGTTTGTCGCGAGGACGTCGCTGCTTTTGCAGACATTTCCAGCTGCGTCACGTCCGGCCCTGCTCTCCGGACGCCTGGAGACTCCGCGGCGATGCAAATTGGACATGTTTCGCGGAGGCACTACCGTTCGGCCCACCTGGAAGAAGATTATGTTTTCCACTATAATATTGCATGCAAAAGATCCTCACACGTGGACATGACTCATCGTGACAAGCATCATAAGACGACTAGTGTGCCGCTTTTGTTTTTGTTTTTCTTTCGACCGCAACATGTTATAAATCAGTCGAACATCAAAATAGTACCGCCTCCCACCCCGCTCCCCCCTCCTGGCCCTCCGTCTGAGAGCACGGCTTGCTTCAACTCGGCTACCACCGACGCAATCCGCTTGTACTCGTCCAATAATTCAGCTACCTCGCCGACTCTTAGGTCGTCTATGCTGTTCGTCCGCATGAACCGGAGGCTAACGTCGTCTAAAAAACCCCGTTCCACTTGCAAGTGTATATTCACGTGCACGATAGGCTCGCTGTTTGATATTGCACTGTTGTTCTGCTGACTATCTCTTTGATGCTGTCCTCGCAGATTTTGCTGCTGATGCTGCTGACTCTGCCGGTTGTGGGGCTGGAATGAACTTGAGTTATCGCTCGACGTTGGACCGCCATTATTGACACTATTGTTCCCGTTATTTCCGAGCAGATTACTACTATCGCTGTTCTGGTTCACGGTTGTGCTTATGGCATCCTGCTTCATGGCAGACTTGGGAGTTGTGGTCGTAGGTGTGTTTGCCGCGGAATTATTGTTCGCGTTAGAGTTATTTACCGTCGCGCCGACTTTGTGCTTCTGTTTTGAAAAAGATTTGTGATATTGCGGTAGGTCGCATGATCATGCGGGAAAAGATTTGTCATGCTACCGAACGACTTGGCAACAAATTCAAATTTGTATCAAATTGAACTATTTTCTATACCTCCTCGTAGTAAGCCTCCTCCAATCTTGCGTACTTGTCTCGGAGGGGAATCGATGGGAAAAAATCGCTGAGTCAGTTACAACTGAAATTACAATTTGTCACATGCGCTATAATTGTTCCGCAGTGAAGGCACGCGATTCTGTTTCTACTGTCATGCAAGATGCTCCCACGTGGTGGAGCGCGAACACGTATACAGTTTTTTGGAGCGATGAAGCGCTCTGCTTTCCTCTGCTCGTCCGTTCCTTATTGTCGTGTGACTCGTGCAAGATGAAAACTGACTCAACCAAGTATGATCATTTTTTTCACTCCGATACAGTCTTCTTCGGAAATTTTCAGCCTGCAGTTTGCCAAATTTTCCACCGTCAGTTCCTGGACAAACTTCGCCGCCGAGCTGTAGGCCGTGAAGTGGTAGTTCTGTATCCTGAGTAAAAACTACATCCCCACTCCAGAGCCAAGATGGGGATTTTGCAACACAAACCTAGAACTTTTGGGGATCACGCATGACAAGTTGCAGTCCCTAGTGTTGTAGTGCAGGTTGGCAAGACCAGCCGCATCAGAAATCCATCTTTTTATCCTGTTTACAGCATTACAAATGCCGAAGCACGAATAGAAATGCCTTTCGTGGCGATGCGCATTACAAATGTTCCTGTCATTGCAAATCTGCATGACAACTCTGGGCGGGTGGGGACGTTTTTACAAATGATATTCTGTTGCCCCACTTTTCGGAACGGCGTGCGGTAGGTCTCAATGTACTCGATATTGGACCACATGTTGCCGTATGCATTGCAAATATGTCTTGTAGGCTGCAACTTGTGATGCGCATTTTAGATCACACAAAAATTTGTCTTGCATAGTTGTCTATTCGTGGCCATGGTGAGAGCGGATTTCTCATGGAGAGTAGGCATCGCGAAGCGGCCCTCGATGAATCTGTGATGCTGGTCCCTGCATGCCAAACACTCTGGGTCATGCAAAACCTGCACTACAAACGTCTGCACTCATCCAGACCCAGACATATTTGCACTGGATATGCCGGGGTTCGAGCGGATGATGGTGAAGATCAGCAACGGCATAAAATCGTCGGCGCCAAATACCTGCAGGAGTTCGTTGCATCATCATCGCGTTGGTAGATACTCATACTGTCACAAGCATCACAGAGAACCACAGTGATGCGGTGCTGCGCATGACAAAAATAGTATGGCAAACCTGTGGCCCGCTGCTCCCGTTTTTGCTGTTTTTCCGCTCCTGCCACACCTTCTGGATTTATCAAAAGGAAAAAGTGTTACAGTTAGACACTCTGATGCAAGACCAGCAAGACAGACAAGCTTTGTTATGCAGAAAATGCTTGCCAGCCTCATCTCACTCGTGTTTTCCCTTATAGTCTGCGCATTACAAGTTCTCTTTGCCATGCAGAGCAACTTTGATGTGATGCTGCAATTACAACAAATGTGCAACTGTGACACTTTTTTCCTGTGGTAGGATTACGTCCATAATTACTCTGCACCCAGAGTCGATGCAGATCAACTTATTCACGACATTGTGAACCGTTTCTATGCGCGCGAACGCGGCCGCGGCGTCCTCGAGGAGAACTTCCGGACTGGTGGATTTGTCGCCCGAGGTGTTGAAAAGCATGGAGTCGTCGGGGAAATCGAGGTCTTGGAGATCTAGAAACTGCAAACACTTTATGTGCTTGTACATGCGCCGATCCTTTTGCCGGATCTCCCGCGACTTCCCAAACGTATAGGCGTGGACTTTGCCGAGCACCTGAGGATGAAGGATTTGAGAGATCAAACAAATTGCGAACTGCGACTGTGTTGCACAAGAGGGATGTTGTAGTCCGCCGGTGGCAAACCAAACAACGGTAAAGAATGTTGCAGCGCTGTACGTCTCGTTCTCGCGGCGAGAGTTCTTACTTAATTTTCAAACGTCAAAGCTGCACTATAGTTGTACCCATTTCTCTAGAAAGTCGTAATTAGCGTTTTCTTCATCCTCTGACAAGTCTCGGAACGCCTTCGTTTGCATCAGCTTTCTGTGCGCCCGATCCAGCATTGAGTGTAGTATGTCCGCTTTTTCTTGCTTGCTCTTGTTCTCGAAGACATCTGTCGTGTGGAGTTCATGGATATTTTCCCCTTCTTGTTGCGGCAAAAGGTCCACCCACCTCGTTGCTACTTCATCGCTTGCGCTTTTTTTAGAAGTTGTACTTACCTCCTCGACGATGTTCGTAATGACCTGTCACGCTCATGAAGAAAATCAACTTTCCTGAATGATTCAAAAACAATAATATCCTTTACTATTCGCCTCCGCCTGGTCGACGAAATTTTTCAAATCGTGCGCCACCGGCATGCATTCCGGATCGGTTATCAGTTTCCGCTGCCACACCCCATACGGCGTTTCCACCGCCTTGCGGTTTTGCGGGCTGACCGGGGTGGTTGCTGCGGTATTTGCCACCATCGGACTCGTGCCAGGTCGCGGCCCCGTGGAGCTGCTACTGCTGCCTTGCGGAGAAGGGTTCGACGTCCCAGTAACACCAGAGGTGTACTGACTGGGCCACATTTATCTATCGATAATCGCCTTCTTGTTGTAGTAGCCCATCATGCCTCGCGGCTCAATTTGTAGTATCTTCGAGATGATCCATTTTTCGACCGATCCCGGGAGGTGGTGCGCGTCGAAACGACCGGAGCAACCGCTTTTGACCAACGGAGGACCGCTGTTGAACAACGGAGTTGCAGGAAACAACCACTCCCCTGCTACCCAAAGGTGGAAGTTCTTGCTGTGGGGAAAACAATTCCTTCCGCCGATGGCCCGGAAAAGAAATCGGATAATATTTCTCCTTGGTTCTTCCTCAGGCCGGCGGACCCAGGAGCAGCTTCTACCGCGTGTATAAATCCAAGGGGGGGCGGCGATTGCACATAACCACTGAGCGCAAAGGCCCCCAATCTGTCACGTTGGCGGTTGGCCAAGGGCCGCACCACGTTTGTATAGCAGGATCACGAATGGCTGCGGCCGTGGTCGTCGCAACCTGTCGTGAAAATCGGCACGAGGACGTGTGCGGATGGTGTGGCACTGCTCGCTTGGGTAGCTAAAACAAAACACGTTGGGGGGTTTTAGTGTGTGGCCATCTTCGATTCCTGTGCCTGTCGGGAAGATAGAAACCAAGTAGAGACTGAAGATCAAAGTATGCAACAAAGTTCGTTTATGCGAATATTAGTACGGCCAATTTATATTTAATTTACACTCACAAGCATCGAAGGCGTTTCTAATTCATATAGCGAAAACGAGACGTCGTAAGTATCAACCTATGTGGGTAGGAGTCGGGTAAGTTTGGGTAGTTCAACCCTAGGATTTATTTCATGTGGGCTTGGAGAAAGTAAAAGTAGCATTTCTTTTCCGCGAAACGCCATGATACTACGCTGGTAGTAAATAAATCCTCGCCGAGGAGGTGATATCAAAGTGGTCCAACGACAAAAAGAAATCCGACTGATCTCCAGCATGTGGTCTTGCGCGACTGCAAAGAAAAAGCTCGCCAGCCAGTTCCAGTTGCAACTGCAAGCCAACTGATCAAAAAAACTAAAAAAATCTCGGGCCGCGCTGGCTCGTTTGCGCGTGGCCGATTTGGTTCCTCGGCAACTACGGCTGCACCTGGTCGTGGTGTCGCTGAATTGGTATAAAAGAGTGGCAAAAAAAAGTAGAACATTTTTTTCCACACAAAAAGACTGTCGCGAACAACACGCTCTTCAGGCAGATAAAAATGATTCTTTGACGACCTTGTCGACCAACATGCAAGAAAGTTGTATCTTTTCCAGATTGTATCATGTACTTATGTGAAATAAACTTGATTTTTTCTGCGTGTGCTTTTCAAATCTCCATCTCCTGTGCGCATTTGAGATCGGGATTTTTTTTCTCTCTAGGGTGGTCCTCTCAAAAACAACAAAGAAAAATTTCGGCGGCTCGTCGTTCGCAAGCACATGCTTTTGTGAACAAGCTGTCGGACTCTTCCCGCATAACTCCTCTCCCCCGGCAGCGCAACAAGCTCCCGCGCTTTATTCTGACGATGAGCAACCGGGTAAGTAGGTTGAGGTTCCCGAGCGCGCGAGGAAAAGAGGAACTTCTGCATCCACTTCACAGCGCCACCATGAGCTCCTTGCGCGACACGAATTCTTCTTCCGTCATTCTTCTGGTTTGGTGCGTGCGAAACTCTCTCGGTATAGGTTTGCGCGCGGTCTGCTCGTCGAAGACACCGCAGTCGAGAATCCTGACCGGCATCATCGGCTTTTGTTGCTCTTGAAACGTGCCTGTTAATATTTCATGAAAAAAGTACGGAACAATTGGTCCCGCGTTTTGGAGATGTCGTGCCTGCGACAGTTTGCTGCTCGACGTCCTCTTTGATTTGGCTCTTTGGCGCGGCGGATCTACTTCCCGGGGAAAGATATTCACACAGTGAGAGAAAATGAATACTCAATTCTGTTTATTCACAGAAAAAAAAACTTTGTGCTTTTTATACCTCTTCTTGGTCCCATCGCGGCGATGTCCTCCACCACGCGCATGCCCTTCAAAACCTATGAAGAGGAAGAATCCCCCCGCGCCATATTGAAAGCGTAACTGTCTGAAAATTTGCGATGCAGATTTGTGGCCACAATTCCTGTCTGTCTTGCAAGAAGGCAAATCCAGAGAGTCCGCCACATTATGCTGGCAGGTTGTGATGCTGTTTTGCTTAAAGCGTAGACATTTGTCATACTAGGCGCCCACGGCAAAACCCCTCGGCCCAGGCTTCGCATATGCCTGCAGTCCTCTACTGCAAGACAAATCTGATTTGTGTGCGCAAATCCAGCATCACAAATTTCCTTTTCGATATGGGGAGGGGAGATTTTTCCTTACGATAAAACCGTCCCAAACACCACGTGCTCGCCCTCGCACAACCGCTTGCTGTCCTGTGCAAAAGTATCGCTCTCGTACTAATTGCGTTTATGCATTACAAATTTTTTTCTTAAGGTAAATCCGCACTACAGCTTTCATTTCTCATGCTGGGGAAATTTGTAAATGCGTTTATACGAGTACGATACTTTTGCAATTCATACTTGCAACTCCGCGACAACGTGATCATAAACGCGGACGCCTGGGTGTCGAAGCCCCAGCGACACATCGCCAAATCTCCCTCGTGCGTGAACAAAATGTCGTAACTCTCGTCCGGAAACTGCCGCCCGTAAATGCTGCACCCGTGGCATCAAAAGGAAGAATCCCCCCTCCCCATAATAAAACGCAACTTCTGATGCTGGATTTGTGTACACAGATCAGCATGGTATTGCAGGAAGGTATTGCAATCAGATCCCCAGGCTAGGTAGGGGCGTATGGGTCTAGTTGTTCAACATTGCAAACGGCTCCCCTTTAGGCCCAACAGCATGGCAAACCGCTTCCATAATGGGGCGGAAGCTTCTGCCCTTGTCTTCTTGCACTACATCAAAGGTGGTTTGTGACCTCAAATCAGCAACACAAATTTTTGGAAACTTACCTTTTCGATATGGGGAGGGGGGATTTTTCCTTTTGATACGTGGGTGGTTCCATCCCCCGCGATGACGTCACCGCCGACCACCACTATCGTAAGGAAAAATCCCCCCTTCCCGTATCGAAAGCAACATTTGCGATGCTGATTTGTGACCACAAATCAGCTTCGTCTTGCGTGCAAGGCAAACGGCACCCATGTGGCGCATCGTGCAGCGAGTCTGTCATGCGTTTTCGCCTATGTCAGAGTTGTTTCTCATGCTCAGCTGCTAGCCGGATGCGTACCCAAATGGGCTTAAAATATGCCGGCAAGCTCTTGCTCCAATACAAATTTGTGTACACAAATCCAGCAACACAAATCGTCTTTTGAATATGGGGTGGGGGATTTTTTCACTTTGATAACCACCGCCCCGGGGTTCACGTGGTGGAAAAGCGTGTTTTTGTACCCGATCTTCTTGTCGTTGATCCAAATATGCAGTGCAAACATTTTTGGGTCTGGAGACATGTAAACTTCTGATGCGCATTTGAGACCAGAAAAAAATTTGTCATGCATGGACCGCAAAAGTTGGTCATTTCTTGTCAGCACCCAAGGAGGGAACTTGTCATGCGGATTAGGCAGCGCCTAACCTGCTCCAAACCTGTGTTGCTAGGACTTGCATGCCAGACCTTCTGTGTCATGCACAAACAGCATGATCACACTCTTCCAGATCCAAACATATTCGCAATTGATACTCAAAGCCCTTGCACAGCTGCAAAAAGTTCTCGCTCGTCATGGGGCAGTATCAAATGTAAAAATGTCTGGGTCTGGAAGATTGCCAGGTTTGGTTGGTTGGTTGGTTGGTTGGATAGCGCCTGTCGCCGGTGCAGGTCCCGCCCTCCATCGATTGCGATCCGGAGTAGGCGGAACACAAGGCCCTAGTGGCGCAATCGATCGACGAAGCCCTTGTTCGACGAGGTTTGTCATGCATATTTCTCATGATCCATGATGCCTCTAATGCATGACCTAGCATGACAGACTTGTAGAGGGCTTCCTGATGCACCTTTCGCATGAGAAATGCCCTGTCCATGTAGCACAAACCGGACCCCTCTTGCTGGTCATACAATACAAATTTTTTTAGAGTCCAAAAACAGCATGACGAGTTGCAATCTTCCAGACCCAGACACTTTTGCAATTCATAGACAGTCGTGGCCGTAGAGCCCGAAGATGATTCGTATCAACTGTAAAAGTGTCTGGGTCTGGAACATTCTAAACTTGTGATGCTGTCTCTGGATTCTGAAAAAATTTGTATTGCATGCCCAGCAAGAGGACTCCAGTTTGTGCTACGCGGAGAGGTCATTTCTCATGCTGTAGAGGCATCACAAAGCGCTCTAAAAATCTGTCATGCTACGTCCTGCATTCCAGACCTCATGGGTCATGGAAAAGCTGCATGACAAGTCTCGCAATCTTCCAGACCCAGACATTTTTACATTTGATAATTCGCCCGGCGTACGTATTTCCGATCGCCACATCCATGTAGCATTTTTCCGTGATCTATCAAATGTAAAAATGTCTGGGTCTGGAAGGATCCAAGGTTTGTCATTCACATTTTCCATGACTCCTCCTGTCTGTGATGCATGCCCTAGCATCACAGATTTTGTGAGGGCTTCCTGATGCCTATGCCGCATGACAAATGCTCTTTCCGTGTAGCAAAATTTGGACTCTCTTATTTGCTGCTCATGCAATACAGATTTTTTTAGAATCTAAATGTAGCATCACAAGTTCCAACTTTCCAGACCCAGACACTTTTGCAATCCATATGATCCGTTGGCGGTAGGCTTTAGAACTCCGGTACGTTCCCCGGCGGTCCCACCAGTAATACACCGGGACCCAGGCGCTGCACACCAGGAATCCCTGCTTCCATTTTGGCCAATTGCGGACGGTGTCGACGAGCGCAGCGACGGTCATGTTGACGGTCGTTCTTGTTGCAAGAAAACACAAAGACGATTTTTACACGGGGTCGTGCGCATTTTATTTCCGCAGTTGTTGCGCATTATGTGTTGTTTTCAAAATAAGTTGTCCCTTTGCTCTTCAGAAAGGATGTATGATTCACAGCACTATGCATAGTGTACGAGATAACAGAAACAAGATCACGACCGATCGTCGGCGAGTCCGATAGTACAACGATGTAAGTGGATAAGAAAGCTTACACTTCGACGAAAACGACCATAATTTTTTTCGAACACGCAAAGGACAAAGGACTAGCAAAAGGATAAAATCATGATAACTTTGTTTGTCTTTGTGCTGCCCCAAGCTTGTTCCAAAAGAGCTGCACCGCCCATTCTTTCACTTCCTGGAATAATAATAATAATAATAATAATTTTTATCGCACGCAAATTACGGCCGCTAAAGTAAGATGAAGGCTAGTGGGTTATGTTATGTTTTGAAAATATCCCGACTGTACAGTACAAACCCGACCCCTGCCAGGTGCACCAGAACGATCAGATTAAACTGAAACTGAAAGCTGGTTTTCAGTGTCTTGTGGCGGAAAATCTGCATCGCGAAAAAGGCCGCGGGTGAGCCGCCAATCAGCGTGAAGGTTAAGAGCACCGATTCGGTTTATCCTGTGCAAAAACGTCCGCACCCCAGCCAGAGTCAAGATAGGGATTTCGCTACGCAAATCAGAAAGCTTTGTGAACTCCGCATGACAAATCTGGACGCTTCGTGCAGTAGAGATTGGCAGTGAAAGCCGCATCACAAATCGATCAGCTTATCGTAAGTACAGCATTACAAGTTTCAAATAACCATTTAGAAAGTTCTCCTCATCTGGCTGCGCGCATGAGAGATATCACCAACATGCGATTTTGCATGACAGCTCTGGGGTGTGGGGACGGTTTTACTGGGAATACGGCCAGTCTCGTTGTCATGCTCCCGAACATTGATTTGGCTAGTTTTTTCGGCAACAGGGAATTCGAAAACTTCGCGCAGCACTTGTCTAGCCCGTAGATGGATCAACTGCAAAAGGATCGCACTGCCACTCGTCTTGATACTCGCAATCATGCAGAACAAGGCCAGATAACTTCCTATCTGATGCATTTTTCTGTAAAAAACATCTGGAGGTGCACTTTGTACTAGTACGATCGGCTTTTGCAATGCATAAGATGAAGAACGTGAGGATGTTGATTACAAGCAGGTACTGCAGCACCGCGGTCTTGCTGACCATGTCGAGTATGCAATGCAAAAGTGTACATATCGTAGTCAGTCTTGCATCATAACAAACTTTTTAAGAATCAAATTATACAATTTCTCACGCAGGAACAAAATAGCAAACCCCGCCATCTGTCGCGCAGAAACGCATCTAGTGCCACCACGATGTAAGTTGTACACTTGCAGACGATATCGAGCGACAGGGTGCCATTCTTCCATGCCTCTGCGATGGAGGAGGGGGTGGTGGGTTTAGAGGTGCTACCAGCCATGATCCTGCTCGTTTCTTCTACGGCCAGGCTCGAACGGAAATTTTGCAAACGCTGCGCAGTAGCACCACTAGCAGAGCTGCTTCATTTTCTTGTTTTATTCTGATGCCGTCGGTGGTACAATGGGCGCATTGGTTTTTCTAGTAACCCAGAACGAAAAACAAAGCTATACTTGTTCCCTTGCGAAGGTAGAGAGAAGCTGATCTTGCGAAATGCTTCTAGGTATCCGTCTTTTGATCTGACACTTTGCTACGACCGCAAAAGTAAGTAGATCCTGATCTTTTCCACCGGCGGAATCCTCATGGAGCCTTTTTTACACTTCTTCCAAAGAAATCTAATAAACCGAAAAGTACAACTTCTAAGTGAAAGTGAACTCAAAGAGCAAGCGCGGGGCGGCACTTTCCTCTGCGGCCGTCCTCCCTTGTCTAGTGCAAGAACGGCTGCTGTAGTATAATTGCGTAGTTAGAAGTACAGAATTGAAAAGATTCAGACGAGTCCGCAGTTTTCCCATTGCTCTGTTGTTTGTGATGCAGGTTGTAGAGATGATGCTCTTCACCGTATTTGTTGGTCTGTACAAATGGTCTTCTCATCTTGATCAGCTCTTGCTCGCCAGCGCTTTTATGTACTCCTTGGCCGGGAGCCGCTCAAGGAAGTAATCCCGGTAGGTATACAACAACCCGTGAATTGGGAGCAGGGTCGTGCGAAGATACGAGTGACTCTGGTTTGATGTTGTCTTTCGCGAGTGCGCACCGGAAGTAGATGCCAGGGACTACAGCGTTGAACTGTTTCGTTGACATGCATATAACTAGTATCCTAAAGAGACGGAAAGCATAATGGGTGTTAGCATGGCAAAAAACTCTACTTCGCAGTTCCCACATAGTACTCGTAGCTCACACGGTTAGCTCGTATTTGTTCCATTGCATACTAGTACTCCGTATGAATTGCAAAAGCATCGTACTAGTAGTAATTGCATTACAAATTACCTCAGCATGACAAATGGAATTTGTCATGCTGTTTGACCTTCAGGACAAGACTTGTCATGCATAATTCCAATTAGTACGAGAACGAGTACGATACTTTTGCACAGGATACTCCGCTTCTTTCTGGAAATCCTCGGGGAGTTGCACCACCGTTGGCCCGTGCTTGAAGAACATCTGAGGTTTTTTCATTTGTCTACCATGCTGTAGTACTGCATCAGAAACTTTTACTTTTTCACTGACGGCAGGAGCTGCAATACAAATTATTAGAATCTCGAATATTCTTTATACCATGTTTTCATGCAGCGCCATCCCGACACCGATTCCCGTGCCCAGACCGAACGCAAAGCTCCTGCTCGTCCTGCCCCGCAGCAGCACGATGCTCGGCACGAGGGCTGCGCAGAAGCCGACGCTCGAGGTTCTCGCAGGGAAAAAATGATCTGAAGTCGGTATTAAAACTTGAGCAGTTATTAGTTTGCTGCATGGTCTTGACAAAGACAATAAACACATGGCAGTACTACTTATCGATAGGCGATCCGCTCTACAAGGACGACTTCCAAGCCTTGTATTGTAAGTAAGACCATCTCTTCCCCGAGTGGGGCACGGAGACGCATATCATCTGCATGAATTGCGATGAGGTGCGCAGCACAAGTTTCATCTCGACCGCAGATTTTCTTTTCCCTACCCTTCACTGCGACGTTGAGCGCGCATCGATCGTAGTCCTTGCCGCCTGCCCAGTCGACCATGTTTCCTTTGCTAGCGTTCGACGCAACACCGGAGCTCACAACATGTTACTGATCAGACCGCATCTGGCTCTAATGGTTGCCTAGCGAATGTGCCTGCAACTTCATCGCGCGGGCGGGAGATGGCGAATAAAAACTTCAGTCCGAAGCCCGAGCAGGGCGTGCGCATGCAACGCTAATCCCTAGCATGAACACAGGCGCAAAATAAACGCGGTGTGAGACGACGCAGCACCCGCAGGTGCACAACCCTCGCCCGGCAGGCGGGGTGCGGGGCACCGGCAGGCGGGGTGCGGGGCACCGGGAAGGTAATCAAATCTCGCGCAGGACCGGCCCATCGGCGCCAAATCTTGCGTAGGAGCAGCCCATCGGCACCAAATCTTGCGTAGGATCAGCCCATTGGCACCAAATTCTCGCCTAGGAGCAGCCCATCGGCACCAAAGCTCGCGTAGGAGCAGCCCATTGGCGCTAAATATCGTGCGGGGCCGGCCAATCGGCGCCAAATCTCGCGTGGGACCGGCCCATTGGCGCCAAATCTTGCGTAAGACCAGCGCATTCGTGCCAAATCTTGCGTGTGACCGGCCCATTGGTGTCAAATCTCACGTGGGACCGGCCAATCGGCGTCAAATCTCACGCAGAGCTGGCCCATTGGCGAGAAATCTTGTGTAGAGCCGGCTTATTGGCGCCAAATTTCGCGCCAGGCCAATCAATCAGCGCCAAATCTTGGGTCGGACCGGCCGATTGGCGCTTAATCTTGCCTAGAGCCGGGCCATTGGCACGAAATCTTGTTTTACTGCAGTCTTATGGCGCGATGAGGCGACGACCAAGTCGTCAGGGTCGCAACGCGACCTCAAGCGGACTGCCGCAGAGCAGGCGGAGAGCCTCGAGGACAGGCCGACCGTGCGGGCTGAACCCGAAGCTGCGCGTGACTTCCGCACCGGAACGTCTCGTGCAAAGCGCAGCGGAGATCGGTGAAGGCCGGGTGGAACTGCCAACTACCAACTCCACCCAGCTCTCTGGAGGAGAGGGCGCCAACCGCGGCGCCACAAAGCAATCTCCACCCGGCTCTTCATCAGAGAGCGCCTAGCTAGGCTGCGGGTACAGCATGCGTGCGATCGAGCACAGCAGATCGTGGCGATGGGCGTGCGGGGCGTGCAGCTGCACGGGCCGCTTGAACAACGCGCGAAGGCAAAAGGCGCCGCTCTCGAGGCAAGCCTCAAGGCGGACGACCCACCCTCCGAGGAGGGGCCGGGACGCACGCTCCCGTGCAGGGTGCGAAGCGTCCTGGAACACAACGCGACGGACCTGCCTCGAGAGCTGCGCCAAAACGCCGACAGGACCCTTGGGTCCTACGCATGCTGCAGCGGACCCGCGGCGGCGGGTCATCGAGCAAGCGCGAGCGGTGGCGCGACCAAGCGCCACTAGGGCGTCTACGGATCGTAGACGGCCTAGAGCGGGGGAAAAACGGTTTCCGCGGCGGATCATCGGGCGTCGCATCCTACGCGAGGCGCGTGCGAGCGTGCGGAGGCTGTCTACGGATCGTAGACAGCCTGGCCAAAAGCAAACCGAGCAGCAACAGGGGGGAAGCACATGCTTCCGGCATGTGCGACCGGGCCAGCAGCGGCCGGAGCGGGCGCCGAACCACGGCGGGGCGCATCGTGCGCACGATCAAGCGGGAAACGGGCTGCGTAGCGGCAGCAGCGTCCGATCGAGGACGCGAAACAGCGCCCCTCATCGTGAGGGGATGTGTAACGCAAGTGCAACTAGGGCGCATCAGAACAAGATGCGATCGCCCTACAAACACACCCAGCCAGTGGGGTGGCACAAGCGTACCTGCAGTTGGCGTGGACGGTAAGACCACGAAGAGCCACTGCTGAGAAAAAATCCCAGCAGGAAGACTCCCTGCTGCCAAGGACGAGCGATACGTCGCTCGCGGCCATCGCTCAGGCCCGATGCTGCTCACACTCACGTGCGCGAATCACTCACGCACAGCACTCTCATGCGCTGCGTGTCGCAGCGCAGACCAGGGGGGGGGGGGGGGGGGCGCTCGCCCCCCGTGCATCAGATGCAGTCAAACCGGCTGCATTCGGCAGGCTCACGCAGCTGCACATGTGGCTGGCCAATCCGCGCAAAATCTCCAATGGGGCCGGCCAATCGGCACTAAATGTTGCATGTGTCAAGCCCATTGGCGCTAAATCTTATGTGAGGCTGGCCGATTGGTGCAAAATCTTGTGTGTGACTGGCCGATTGGCGCCAAATCTCGTCTAGGACTAGCCCATCAGCGTCAGATCTCGCGTGGGACCGGCCCATCAGCGCGAAATCTTGTGTGCAACCAGCCAAGTGGTCCCAAATCTTGCATGGAGCTGGCGCATTGGCGCCAGATCTTGCGCGGGACCAGCCAAACTGCGCCAACTGTTGCGTGAATCCAGCCCATGGGCGCCACATCTTGTCTCTAGCCAGTGGATGTGTGGTGAATTGTGCATAGAGGGTGCTATTTGGGTCCAAAGTGCTTGCAGACTCTTCCAATGGCTCCAAATTCCAGGCAGTGTGCTTGTGTATGATCATCAAAAGGGTGACAGATCCGGCATCATGGAGAGTAGAAGGATGTAAAGGTGCCAATCTGTGCACAGGATCAGGCAAAAGCTGCCAGATGTGGTGTAGGATGGGTTTAGTGCAGTCAAATCTTACACCAGACTAGCACAATGCAGTCAAAATTCTCACAGGAGCGCTCTCCAGGCGCGATACAATCCACCGCATTGAGTCGCGGGAACCTAGCATCGCCCTGGTTATAAGGAAGGAGCTAAAGGCTCCCGGATCTTGCGGCGCCGCCGGATGCGGGCGTCCGATCTTGCAGACGACCAGCCGAGCGGGTTCATATCTCGACGCCGGGCGCCCCCCCGTCGTCTCATATCCCGCGCGATAGTGCGCAGGCGATGCAAAATCCCGCCCGGGGCGGGCGCGGAGCGGCGCACAACCTCGCGCGGCTGCGGCGCGCCCGCGTTGATTCGTGCGGAGAAGCAGCACAGCAGTGCGCATTCGCATCGGATGGCCATTCCATTCGCGGGACCACGATTTTGGGGCGTCGAATCTCGCGCGGAAGTTCCCTACTTGCGCCCGATTTAGTGCGCGGCTGGCCTGCGGGCTTGGGGCGGTCCCCGATGGGGGGACAAATCCCGCGCGAAGAGAGCCGAAGGGCGCCACATCTCGCGCGCGGGCAGCGTAAAAACGGAAAACCCCGCACCCTCGCGGCGGAGCAGCCGCAAATGTTACGCGAGGGCGGCGCGCCGGCCGCCGCCGTACGGGCCTCAGGCTTCCGAAATTGCGCCGCCGTACCACTTGGCGGCCTGTCCGATCGGGCCATGGCCGATCTCGCGCCGCCGCATTGTGGGCATTCGGCCAAGGAGCGCGGCCCCCGGCCCCGGGGGACCGAGCGGGAAGACGGGCGCGCGCCCGGTATCAAAGACGGCCCAAGTGCGTCGCCGGAACCAGGCGGCAACTAGAACGGGAGCACCCACCACATTGGGGCCTGAGGGACAAGGCTGCGGCAGCCACCCAGCGCCCAGGGATTTTCAAAGAGCGGCGCCGCTGATACGAGCGGCGCCGCGGGGGGGGGGGGTTCCGGCGCGACTGCCACATCCGATCGCGCCCGCTTCTTCCGGGCCCCGTCCGCGGGTCGATCTGGCGCGGCGAATGGCCCACAAAACCGGCCCCGAGCGGCTTGCGAACTTTCGGCGCGGCCGCAGCGACCTTCGGCCGCGGCGGTGGGTCCCCGAAGGCTAGCGGCGGCGCCCCCCGGGGACCCGTGCGGCGGCCGATTCGGCGGCGCGCAATGCGCGCGAGCATTTCCTTATGGTCCCCGAATACGCCGGGGCCGCGATCTGAGAACGAGAGAGCCCGTCCCACTTTCAAGACCGGGAAGCCTTCTGAGGGTGGCGCAGTAGAGCGAGTTCGAGTGTGAGAGACGCTAGTGAGGTTGGTTCTTTCCCCGTTCGGGTGTGCGCGGGTCCCGCTACCGGCGCCTCCCCGTCCCCCCGGAGTGAACAACCAAGACGCATCAACAATTGGCCAAGCATCGCACGCGCGGCGCTCTTTTTCACAGTGGGTTTTTAGGGTTTCAAAATACTTATTTATTGCTGGGGTACCACTACCACGTTACGCCACTTTTGCTCCCTCCCCCCGCCCGCACCAAGATTTCGCCGGCCAATTCGAAAGTTGTACCTCCCACGGTGTGACAACAAACGCCGCCACCTTTCATCCGACGGACTCCCCTATTGCAACCGGTTTCCCATCCGACCGCGCCTCAAAGTTCGCGGACCACGACGACGTGAAAGAGAGAAATAATAACCACTACTGCTGGACAACGCGTGAAAATAGGCCTACACCCCTCCTACACAAAAATGCCGCCGAAAAAACAAGACGCCGCGAGCAGTAGTCTTTCCGGTGCTACTGCAGCAACGGCTATGAAAGTTCTTCCGTCTTCCACTTCCAAGCAGGACAAAGCGACCACCAGCAAAGCGGACAAAGAACCCGAGCCGTCGAAGAAACGGAAAGCAAGCGACAATCACAATTCCAACGCCGAAGAGGGTTCAGCAGCCGGGGGTGAGAATAATAAAGGCGGGAACAAGAAGAAGTTGAAACGAGCCGAAGATCAGCTTAAAAACGCCAATGGCGATGATGGTCGTGGTCCTGCCGCATCCAGCAAAAACAACAAGACAGGCACGGCTGCCTCGTCCGCTGCTCCTCCTGACAGTGCCAAAAAAACGCCGGCTTCTTCCTCGAAATCTTCAGTAGCTTCTTCGACTATTAAGAGCGGGAAAGTAGACTTGTTGCAGAAAGGGACGACGTCCAGTAGGAAAAAATCGAACTCTAGTAACGCGGGTGGGGTCCGCCAGTCTGTTGTTTCCTCCCGATCCTCCGAGGGGACGAGCAGTAGTAGGTTTTTCACGCCCGGAGGGGTTGATGGTCCTGCATCTTCAGGAGCAGCCGGGTTGAAAACTAAAGCGAAAGGGAGCAATAGGGCGAAAAGCGCGAATCTCGACGACTCGATGGTGTCCGCGAAAAGTGATGGAGAAAACGATTTTCTGAATCTCTCGGTCTTGTCATCGAACAGTAAAAATCTGAACAATTCTGCGATCATCTCTTCTGCTTCTGGAGCTGCAAACGGCGCTGCTGCCCAGGCGAAGAACATGAAGTTTCCAAACAGCAGCAGCTTGTTAGCACCACGACAAAACAAGACCAATGTATCCAAGAAACAAGCATCAAAATCCCTCTCGCTTTCCAAGCTAGAGGCGGCCACCGCGCGGTACTACGAGCATAAGAAGAAGATTCTGAAGCAGTTGGCCGACGAAAAGCGGCAGCGCGCGTTATCGTAAGGAAAAATCCCCCCTCCCCATATCGCGACGAAGTTTCTGATGCTGGATTTCCGTACACAAGTGCGCGCTGCCTTGCTTTAAGGCATCGCAGCCAGATCCTCAGCCTAGGTAGGGGCGTTCGGATCTAGTTGCTTAGCATCACAAACGGCCGGCCCCTAGGCCCAGCAGCATGCGAAATCGCTTCCCTAATGGCGCGGAAGCCTCTGCGCGTGTCTTCTTGCAAGACAGGCACGATCTGTGGTCTCAAATCAGCAACGCAAATTTTCGGAAGCATACCTTTTCGATATGGGGGGGACCTTTCCTCTCAATACGCGTCGCGGACCAAGCCAAAGGCGGACAAATGCAAGAACGAGGCGGATATCAACTGCAAATATGTCTGGGCCTGGAAGGTTGTAACTTGTGAGGCTGTCTTCGGATTCCAAAAAAATCTGTATTGCATGACCAGCAAGAGGAGGCGGCTTTGTGTTACGCTGGGAGGGCTTTTGTCATGCAGTACACGCACCAGGAAGCCCTCTAGAAATCTGTGATGCTAGGTCATGCATTAAAGGCATCACGAGTCATGCAAAATGTGCACCAGACCCACGTATTTGCACTTGATAGCAGAATACGTGCAAGCGTACGGGCCGAAGGCCCGAACCGCGGCACGTTTCGCGCACCAGATGCTGCGGTATGAGATTGGTGCACAACTCCCCCTGCTTCCCCTCATTTGTGTATGGCATGAATAGCAATAGGAGTGCATGACAAGTTCCTGGGCCTAGTGTAGTACTGTCCCAGCTTGTTCCGGAATTTGTCATGCAAACCGCGCCATAAAGCACCCACCGGATTTGGGATTTCGCATGACAAATGAGGGGACGAGGGGGAATTGTGCAATCTCATATGCGGCGGAAGATGCGGGAGCATCGGGAGAACGCCGGGTACGAGCCGCAGAGTTTATCAGACGCAAATATCTCATCTGGATGGGGATGTCTGGAGATGACTTGTGATGCTGGTTGACGAATCGCGAGGGTCGTGCCGCAATTGACAGCCGGGCATGGCAAGTTGCTGAGTTGGTAGATGTAGTCTAATATTCTGCATGAGAAACTGAAACTGCGTTTCATCTTCCGCATTTATTACAGAAATAAAACGAGGCTCTTGGGTTCTTCTAACGTGCATGACAGGCTTCAGACTCATGCAAGTAGCGTCAAAGAAATGACAAACCTTGCAAGTTCTCCTCCAGACCCAGGTCGTATTTGCATTCCATAGAGGCAAAGTGAGGATGAGTGGGGCCTGCTGGAGGAACAGCGCGAGCGGCCGGAGAAGTTTGACAATCCAGATAAAAAAGCGCAAGACGAAGACGAACGGGACGACAGTCGAAAGTACCGGTTTTGGCCCATATGCATTGCAAATATGTCTGGGTCTGGAGTCTTGTAATGCTGCGATGGGAATAGTGAATGCTCTGTAATGCACAGCCAAGCATGAGAAATATGTGCGCTACTTTGTGTTGCGTTTTTCGCATGACAAACTGCGTTTTTGCATGACATGCAAAAGGGTCTCTTCTTGGACACGCATCACAAACTTTATGGTCATGCCAGACAAGCATGACAAATCTCGGACTCAGACACTTTTGCACTTGACAGCCCATCAAATGGTGCGAAATTCCCTATGACGAGGAGGGGCCGGAGTGCGGGGAGCCGTTGGAAGGGTACATACTTGCGCTGTAAGAACGAGCGATACAATGATAACCTTCTTGCTCAAAAAATAGACACTTCACTTTCTTATTTTCCGACAGCGTCTCTGCTATGTGCATGAATCAGTGTTGCTAGGAGTGCGGATGGCAACGGGTCGTGGTGCGCAAGTTGTAGTACTTGATCAACGAAAAAAAATATAGCTGGGAGCACCTGCCCTTGCCGCCGCCCGGCACGAAGAGACTCACCAACGACGAGCTGTATCAGATGTACCGCCGGTATTACGCGGTATTACAGTGAGAAAAGCCCCCACCCCAAAAGTTGCAAGAATTTGTGATGCGAACTTTCCAAATGAAATCTCGTTGCCATGCATAAAAGGAGTATGAATCTTTCTGATGCAGAGTCTAGTCGTATATCGCATCGCTTGCATGACAAGCGCCGCTCTTGCTGGGATCTTTTGCAATGCAAATTTTTGCTATTCATTATTGGAAATCTGTGATGCTGATAGATGCAAGGGGGCGAATGTTTCATTTGGAAAGGTTTGCAATACAAATGCTCCCAAGTTCGGGGGTGGGGGCATTTTTCATTGTAATACGCGGAGTGGCGAATTCGCTACGCCAAGTACGGGGAGCGCATGCTGCGACCGCCCGCCCGGCCCTGGGAGGATCCGCAGCTGTACGACTGGGACTGGTATGCATTGCAAATACGTCTGGGTCTGGAAGGATGCTTGGTTCTTTGTCATGCTTGTCTGGCATGACTGAAGAGTTTGCGATGCGTGTCCCACAAGCAAGAGACCCTTTTGCTTGGCGTGCAGCAACGCAGTTTGTAATGCGGAAAGCGCAACAGTAATCCGCGCAAATATTTCTCATGCTTGACTGTGCGTTACAGATCATTCACTATTCACAGCCCAGCATTACAAGTTTCCAGACCCAGACGTAATTGCGTTGGATAATTGGCGCACATTTTTCGAGCACGACGACGTCAACGAGTTGGAGTGTTTCAAGTTGGAATTTGAAGACGAGTTCAAAATGCCCGCAGGCTTGATCTATGCATTGCAAATATGTCTGGGTCTGGAAGAATGAAGCCTGTCATGCGAAAGCTGGATCACGAGAAAGTCTGTGTTGCATGAACGCCAACAGTTACCCAATTCTCGCTAGGAAAAAGGGGAATTTCTCATGCGGAAGAGGCATGAGGAGAGTCTGAAAAAATCTGTGATGCTTCTGTCTGCATTACAGACCATGAGTGTGGTCCGCGAGATGCATGACAAATCTTGCAACTTTCCAGACCCAGACACTTTTGCAGTTGATATGATCCCCGAGCGTCGGACCTGGCTGGAACGGAAGGTGATGGAGATGGACTATCACACAGGAGAAAAAAGCAAGCATGGCGCATTTGTAATGCGAGAATGATAGAAGGTATCATTTTTACCGTGTGGCGTTTTGAATATGCAGGAAAAAGTTTGCTGTGTTTTAGAAGTTTTTATTTCTGCCCTTTTACAGACGTGATACGCGACCTGTTTTGCTTTTCCCTGGCATATGCAGGACGCGGAGAAAATGGAGGAGGACCACCGGAACGCTATGGCGGTCCAGGAAGAAGCTTCCAAGTGGATGCGTGACGCGTGTATGCGCAAAGACTTGGCAATGATCCGGATTTTGTCCGGATACCCCCTGCCGATCATGGGCGCCGACAAGGGCTTCGACGTTTGGGGCATATGATAGATTGCAAAAATGTATGGGTCTGGAAGATTGGAACTTGTATTGCTACCTTTGGACTCTACACAAAATCTGTATTGCATGAACAGCAAAAGAGGTGTAGTTTGTGCTACGCGGAGAGGGCATTTCTCATGCGGTATGAGCAGCAGAAAGCCCTCGCAAAATGTCTGAAGATGCTAGGGCATGCATCACAGACCTCATGTGGCATGCAAAATATGCATGCCAAACTCCTGCACTCTTCCAGACCCAGACCTTTTTGCGATCCACAGGGCAGAACCCAGTACAACGACACGCCGATTCACGTGCTGCTGAACGACAACTGGGGGCACGCCTGCTGCGTCGCGAAAACCGGGCCGGACGGGGTGAAAGATACCATGTTTAAGAAGGACAAGTACTGGGATTTGTTTGCCTCCGCGACACGGGAGCGCAAGTGGAATAACAACCCGAAATGCAATTACACGAGCAAAACCCTCCCCGAGTACCTGTGCGTCAAGGAATTGCTGAAGTGCAACCGCTATGCATTGCAAAAGTATGATCGTACTCGTACTAGTATTTGCAGTACGGGTGGAATGACAGAGTCGGTTTCTTATTCATATTCAGCGTTATTTCCCTGTGGAAAAATTTGTGATGCTATTTCTACTTGTTCAGTGCGAAACTTTTTGCAATGCATACGCAATACCATATGGTGAATGACGTCGACGCCTGCGGGCGAACGATTTTGCACGTGTGCGCCCTGCGGGAGATGGAAAAGGAGTCCGACCTGCGTACCTGCTGGCTGATCGCCACCGCTAAGCGGTTTCGGTCGCTTTTGAAGAAGGACAAACTGGGCAAGCGCGCGCACGACTACTTCTGGGAGCACGGGTGCTACGACGGCTATGTGATGCTGAAAAGGTTGGCTTACCAGAAGGACTGGGGCCACCGGATTCTGTGGCCGGACGAGGATGAGGACGTCGGAAACGAAGAGAAATTCGACCTGTACTTCAAGACCCAGGAAGAGCGGGTGGCGCTGGGGTTGGCGGTGCGGAAAGACGACGGTTATCATGATTTTTCCGCTGCTGCCCCCCAAGTCGAGGACGACAAAGGGTTAATAGAAGAAAATGACGACGAAAAGTTTCAGGACTTTGACATTGACCGGTCCCGAGCGAAAGAAGCGAAAAGGATTGAAAGACGGATATCCCGTGCAAAAACATTCCCACCCCATAGGTGTCATGCAATTCTGCATGCAAAGAAGGTTTCTCATGCGGAGCTCTATGAGAAAGAGAAGCATTTTCTATTCGTGTTTTGAAATTTGTGATGCTAGGATCAGCATGCTATGCTAGATCTGTGATGCTTCTGAACTAGCTAAACAGAATTACACTACGAGGACAAACCTGTCATGCCAAACAACGAAAGCTACTTGATTTGTCTAGTAGATTTTCCCATCTTGGCTCTGGTGTTGGGACGTTTTTAATCAGGATAACGGAGGCAGCGGAAGGAACGGAGCGAGAAAGCGAAAGAGGAAAGAAAGAAGAAAAGTAACAAGTACCAGGAGGTGCGGGGGGAAATGATCAAGAAAGTCGTCGATCCGAACTTGATTAATGTCCGGGAGCGCTGGCGGGCGAAATCCAAGGAGTGGAATCTGTCCGCGAAAGTGCCGACGCGGCACGTATGGATTGCAAATATGCCTGGGTCTGGAAGGACGTAACTTGTGATGCTGCATTTGGATTCGTCCAAAAAAATCTGTATTGCATGAGCAGCAAGAGAAGTCCAGTCTGTTTTACGCGGAGAGGGGATTTCTCATGCGGAATAGGCATCAGGAAGGCCTCTAGAAATATGTGATGCTAGATCATGCATTGCAGGCCTCATGGGTCATGGAAAACCTGCGTGACAAATCTCGCAGTCTTCCAGACCCAGACATATTTGCAATGCATAGCACGACAAGGTTTGCAATCCCGCGGTCGAGCAGCTGTATAGAAAGCCGTATCCGACCTTGTTGGAATCCTGGTCTACCACGAATCCCCGGACAAAGGAAAAGATAAAATCCGACGTGGTGGACCTCCGGACGGAGAAGTTGATCCCGGATAACGCACTCCGGGAAAAACTTTTGAGTTACCACGAAGAGCAGCGGGAGAAATATGAAAAGCGAAAAGAAGAGAAGATCAAATCCTTAACCAAGCCCAGGACTCTGCGGGAAAGAATGGAGGGCCGGCAGATTTTGACCATCTTGCCGAAACGGGATAAACAGAGGATCCGGATCAAGAATATGAGTTGCTCAAACATTACAATCTCAAACGTTGCAATAGGGTCTGGATTTTGTGTTGCACGATGAGCATAACTACAGACTCGCACAGCCTTCCATCTTTTGCAATACAAATTTCGCCAGATTGTTGTGGGGTTTGTCGCTCCGGAAATTGTCATGCGCAATCCTATGAGAGATGGCTAGGTCATGCACTCTTGCATCAGAGGTTTCCATATTCTATTGCAACGTTTGAGATCATTGTAACACCTGAGCGGGTTATAAAGAACGCGAAGAACTTGGACGCGAAGGTGAGTGCTGTGTTGCAACTTGCGGAGAGGGAGGACATCAACATCTTAAAGTGGGCGATCAACGACTTTGCGAAGAGGGCCTTGAAAAAACCGCCCCCATTCCCGGAAAATAAACCTAAAGGGTTTGAGGAGGGATTGCAGCATCTTGACTGGTTGAAAAACAAAGGTGGGGAGAAGATTTTACGCGATGCGCATTTGAAGGAAATGAATAACGGGTTGGGAGCAGGTCCAAGTTTGGATAGCGAGGACAAGTACTTGAAGGTTTTAGCGGAGTACTGCGGCAAGTTTGATTTGCTGAAGCAGCAGGATTTGCTGCAGGGTTTGGAACTCGAGCAGGTAAGGGCGGAAGAAGAACGGGAAATCGAAATGAAAAAAGTGCCCGAAATTCTCAATTTGGAGTCGAGCGACAAGCGCCGGCGAGATGAAAACGATGTGGAGATGGTGGATGTGCGGGTTACTAGTAGTGCGGCTGCCTCCTGTGCGGCCGGAACAGCAGCGATTTCTTCCGCCGCCTACATGATCTCCTCTTCCGAAGCCGCGTCCTCGGCAAAGAAAACCATGAAGACGTCGGAAGAAGCCCTATCCTGTGTAAAAACGTCCCCACCCCAGAGTTGTCACGCAAATCTGCATGCTGTTCTCCGATGAGACGCATTCTCTGGTCGTGTTTTGGAATTTGTAATGCGCCAACCAGCATGGTATAATAGATGTGTGATGCTGCTAAACTACCTCAAACAGCACTACACTCCGAGTCCAAACTTGTCATGCAAAACAGCCAAAACTTGTGGACTTGTCTAGCCGATTGTTCCCCATCTTGACTATGGGTTGGGGACGTTTTTCCATAGGATAAGCCCAGAACGAGGTGCCAGCTGGTGCACCAGAACCTGCGACCATTGTCGATTTGGACAACATCGAGATCGAGGTGGAGGTATCCTGTGCGAAAGTATCGTACTCGTACTAATTGCGTTTTTGCATTACAAATTTTTTTCTTAAGGTAAATCCGCATGACAAATTTCATTTCTCGTGCTGGGGGAATTTGTAATGCATTTATACGAGTGCGATGCTTTTGCGATGTATAAGAGGTGACGGGCGTGAAACCAGCTCCGATCGATTTGACAAAAAACGTGGAAATGATGGATGTTGATGAACAAGTGCAGCCCTCTACTGCAAGCAAGTTACCAGAGACGTCTGGTGTTGCTCTGCAGCAAGACAAAACCACGTCCACTTCATCTAAGCGACCTTTCACGAACTTCAAGTCAGCGTTTGCGCCGGAGAAGGAGATTCTTACCCCCCAGCAACTGATCCAGCACCGGGTGGACATGCTGAACCAAAAACGGGTGCAGTTTGAAAACTACCAAATGCAAAAATGTCTGGATCTGGAAGAATGCAAGACTTGTCTTGCTTGGCTAGCATGACTCTCAAGCGTGTCATGCACGTTACCCAAGAGCCTCGCTTTTCTGTCATGCGGAGACGCAGTCTGCCGTGCAAAATAGGCTACACCGACCACCTCAGAAACTTGTCATGCTGGAACGGCAATTGCGGTACACCAATCATTCGCCGACCAGCATCACAAGTTTCCAGACCCAGACATATTTGCATTTGATAAAAACGGGGAGCAGTTCATTTTCAAGGACTACTGCCGCGAGAACTGTTATGGAACTGTCAGGATCGAAATTGACAAAATCGAAAAATTTGTGATGCATAAAATGCATGACGCGAAACACGTGTGTTGCAGAGCAGGCAAGTGAGACCGATTGTAAGCCTGTTTGGGGTTATAGCTCGAGCTGCTAAAGCAGCATGAGAGAATCAGTCTTCTTTGCCGAAACAGCATTACAAACTGGATTTAGGCACCACCTGAATTTATTTGTCATGCGCCACTTAGAAACTGGGTTCGAACTGTAATCCATTCTATGCATGACAAATCATTTTGATTTTGTCAATTTCGATTCTGACACTTCCATACCTGTTTCCTCACACCCTACGTGGACACGAAACTGCGGACGTTTTTGACCAACAAGTACTTTATCAAGAATTTGAAGTATTGCGACCACGAGACGCACCCCCTGATGCAGAAGAACTTGAAGAAAGAAGACCGGGGGTTAAACAACCCGCAAATCGCGGAAGTGCTCGCCTACATTGACACCGGAATGGTCGATCCGCGGTCGATATGGATGGGAAAAGTATCAGTAACTCGTGCTAGTAAAATGAATTGCAGCCTTGCATTACAAATCTCTCAGGCTAAGAAAATCAGCATCACAAATTTAAGTTTTTGAAAATGCTGAGCAAGTTTGTCATGCGATTTCTACTTACTAGTAAGATACTTTTCGACACACGTCGTGATAGTCGACGGAGCAAATTGAGCGGGACCGGCAATATCACTTGCGACGGTTACGGGAAAAGAAGGAGAGGATTGAAAACGGGCCGAAGCATGACGTGCGGTCGGTGAAAAACCTTGTGCAGGAGCAGAACCGGAAATTGCAGAACAACATATCATTTGTAAAACCTTCCCACCCCAGAGTTGTCATGCAAATTTGCAATAGCAGGAACATTTGTAATGCGCATCGCCAGGAGAGGCATTTCTAGTCGTGTTTTGGTATTTGTAATGCTGCAAGCAAGAAAAGCAGATGGATTTCTGATGCGGCTGGCCTTGCTAATCTGACCTACACTACGGGCTGCAACTTGTATTGCGTGACCCCCAAAAGTTCTAGGCTTGTGTTGCGAAGTTCCCATCTTGACTTTGGGGGGCGGATGTTTTTACTCAGGACACAACATCACGACCCTCGTCCTCGCTCACAAGAAGATGATGCAGGGCTACATTCCACCCATATGGATTGCAAAAGTGTCTGGGTCTGGAAGGATGCGAACTTGTGATGCATGTTGCTAATCATGCAAAAATCTGTGTTGCGTGACTTGCAAAAGCTGTCCATTTCTGGCCATGCTGAGAGAGCATTTCTTCTCATGCACAATAGGCATCACCAAGGGGTTGCAGAACCTGTGACGCCATGCCCTGCATTACAGATTTGGCGGAGCTAGGAAAAACTGCATGACAAATCTCGGAATCTTCCAGACCCAGACATATTTGCATTTGATAACCCATCACCATGATCAACATGTCAGCGTACGACCGGATTTGGTATTACACCATGCTGGAGAAGGGGCAAGCGATGGTGCGCGTCAAGCAGCGAGACCAGTGGCGGCAGTACCGGAAGAACCAGATCTACGCCCTGGAAAACGGGTTGCCGCACCCGAACAAGGTACCGCTAAAGGATTGCGACCACCCGCTGAAGAAAAAAGAGAAGGACCACGTTATGACCTGCTCAAACGTTACAATCTCAAGCGTTACAATAGAATTTGGATTTATTTGTGTTGCATGACGAGCATGGCACACTCGGACAACATTCCAGTTTCTCCAATACAAATTTCGCCAGATTGTAGTGCGGCTTGGGACTCCGGAACTTGTCATGCGCCATCCTATGAGAGTTGGCTACATATTAATGCACCTCTTGCATCACAGATTTCGATATTCTATTGTAACGTTTGAGATTGTAACAGCTGAGCACGTTATACACGTGATACCATTAAGGAACGGAAAAGTCAGTAGCTCGAAGAAGAGCAGCAAAGCGGGGACGAGCAGGTCTAGTACTTCTTTGGGAGCAGCTGGCGATGTCGTGATGAAAGACGCCATGGATGTTGATGTTGCGCAGTCGCCGGACGAGATGAAAAGTGCCACTGCTGGTGCGGGCAAGAAAAACGGGAAAGCGAGCGGCGATAGCGGGAAAGTAGAGAAGACTGTGATAAAGCCCATGAAAAGTAAAGCGGAAATAAACAGTAAGACGGAAAAGACGGCGATGCTGCCACCGAAACTCCCGCCGGTCAAGGGCACGGCAATGAAAAAGGATGGCAAAAAGGAGCAGGACCACGTCGTGAGCACCTCTTCTACTGCGGCCAAAAAATCCGCGACGCAAGAGAGTGCAGCAAAGGCGTCCAACAAGAGAAAGAAAGAAACGAAATGAGCCGGGTTCCTGCTCGGGGGGTGGAAAAAAGTACTACGCGGCTTTCCTTTATTTGTGTTGTTATTTTCTGTCGTGAAGGTGAAAGTATCTTCTGGATTCGTGTTGTAACGGTAAAAGCGGAACAGCTGCGTAATGCCTTAAAATGCAAACCAAAAAACTCTTTCCAAGAAATTGTTGAGGACTTTTTACCCATTTTAGATTTTGTTTGTGATGCTAGCTCATAGAAGATTTTTTGGACCTTCTGTCATTCCGACAAAAGTAAGATGCAATCCGCCAGTGAACCTGGTTGCCACCACTATTGATGAAAGTCAAGTTTTTTTATCTGCTACATTTTGCAAGGATAGAAGTATTTTCGCTCAATTCGAAACTGGCTTGAAATGTTGATGAATTTATCGAAGTTTCCTTTTTTTTGAATTTTTCAGCTGTGTGATCACACAGGAAATAACAAGTGGACTTTTTCCCATGAATATGTCGACGTAAACACGCACAGGATTAATACGGGTTCCCAGAAACTACAACTACGGGCTATAGTAGAATCACTGTTTTTTTCCCACATTCACAACTGCAGAATAGATTCTACTATGATACGTGCTACATTTTGCTCCGATGGATTTACATGGACATCATCTATCATGCGCTTTTGGACGTTTCACACCAAATAACACGACAATGAGAAGGTCGAGTTAGAGAAAGAAAGAGACCATCGCACCTGTACTCGTAATATGATGACGAAATTAATATACTGTTTGACAATATTAAATGCATGTGACTCATCATAAATACAACTACAAGAGCAACTCGAATTCCCACATTGACATCGAAAAAAACACAAAAGAATCCAAATCCGAGTCTCTCGCGGCCTCCAGCTGTCGAAAGGAAAAATAAATGGTCGCAGCTTTTTGTATAGCGCTGACAGGTACTAGTACTTGTTGTATCTGAAAATAAGACTGTAGAGCTATAAGAGATCATTGTTTTATGCGTGAACAATGTGAAGATCAAGATCCGCACGACCCAAGATCTTCCTAATTCAGAGCAATAACTTCGATCCCACGAAGTGATCATGCATCACGTGAATGTTTTGCAAGGAACAAAAATGATTTTTCAACGTCGGTGGAAAGTTATTGACTCTTTTTCACGAACGATAAAGTCCGAAAGTTCACCGCTTGGATCTCATTGCCGCAGTGCAAACCATTCGTTGCCCACCACCTGTTTTTTTCCAATTATTTCGGACACGACAGAGAGCAAAAAACTACTCCAAGCTAATATCGAGGGAAAAGCTGGCTTTGCGCAAAAGCTACTTTATCACTCGTGTAAAAACCAAAACTCCACCACCTAACAAGTTGTAAAATTTAACTGAAAAAGTTTCCAACAACAACAACAAACTGTAGTATATAAACGCAGCTCCGACATCAAACGACAAGCAAATTTAGAAGTGGAAGAAAAATTTCGTTTTCCGAGTTTTTTTTCAACTTCTAACCTATCCTAAGTAAAAACGTACCCACACCAGAGTTGTCATGCAGATTTGCAATGACAGGAACATTTGTAATGCGCATCTTCATGAGAGGCATTTCCAGTCGTGTTTTGACATTTGTAATGCTGTAAACACGATGAGGAGATGGGTTTGTCATGCGACTGCACTTGCTAACCTGCACTACACTGCGGAGTGCAACTTGTCATGCGTGACTCCCAAAACTCCTCGGTTTGTGTTGCAAAATCTCCATCCTGACTCTGGTGTGGGTACGTTTTTACTCAGGATATAACCGTACCGAAAACCAGCTGAAGAAGTTCACGACACACAACTTTTCAACACTGCCAATCGACGACGACCTCTACTTTCACTTACTAGTGTACCGGTAAAAGAAGGACCAGGCACGAAGAAATTCTTTGTCGGCGGCTCTCCGGTACTACTTGGTTCTGTACTAGTTCTGACTAGCATAGTATCACGCTGGTTGTTTCTACTACTTACGTACCACTGATCGTGGTATTTAAAAGTGTGTCCGTATATTTTCCCGTGCCTGCATTTTGAGGCCTCGCAAAGTAGGAAAAGTATTGTCCTTCTCCAGTCTCTACGAGAACTGTGTAAAGTTTTCTATACCATCTCGCGGCTCCTACGTTTGTTGTACAAGAACTCTCGTAGCAGGAGCATCGGTTGGGAGTAACAAGCACCATCCAACAATAAACTCAAACTGTTTATTATTTCTTTTACCGGTTGCTCTCTCGCACGAAAAAAACACACCCGTAGAAGTACTTTTTACTGCTAGCTGTGCTTTGATCAGCAGTCTTGTACTTACTTCGAACTAACCCTTCGTAGCCGTATAATTACCGAAGACGGCAATCGAAATAAACCATGTCCGACGAGGCTGCAGCCATGTTGTTCAGTACCTCTACTATTTGCCAAGAGAACTCCTACGACCCCGATGCACCAGCTGCGGGGGATCATGCGTTTTCTCGTCGACGTGAACCACGGGAAGAAGAAGTAGAAGTCGTCCCCGTTCGCCGGTCGTCGCGTCGTGGTTCTGCGAAAACAAGAGTTGCCACGGGGGCTCTGCTGGCACTGTCGTGTAGTTCTTGTACCAGTCTGGGTGCTTTACTATACTTGCCCGGGGGAGCAGAAGCGGCAGCGGCGGCTGCAGCAGCAGCGACGGCCGCGGGTAGTGGTTCAGCGGATGGTCGTCATGACAGACAAAGAATGTACATAAACAGCCGGAAACAAGCGTATGCGCCGCAAGGTAGTAGTGCTGGGCACTACAACTACCCCCCGGCAGAAAATGCGCCCTTAATGATCGACCCGACAGCGCCTGACTCACCCTTGGAGGTAATACCTTCCCTGCCTCCGGAGAATTTCGGGATGCTGTACGAAGGCGATGCTGCCTTCCCAGGGTTGGAGTGGAACTTTGTGGACCACGGCGGCAGGGCTTCGTCCTGGGCCAGCAAGGACCTGACTGGACTGCGCCGGCACGGCCCCCTGTCGGTGAAACAGCTGTACGCAGATTTTGAGGCAAAGAAACAAGAGCCTTGGTTTGGGGAGGATCGGGCGATCGCAGTCTACACCAAACAAGCGAAGGAAGCTCTGTTGACAAGGAAGGTAGCTAGGATGTTGGGGACAAAAACCGAATACGATGCTGTCATCGGTAAAGGGGGAGATGAGACAGTATTAAGATTCGAGCACTCTTTCACCGACGTGGGAATCTGCCGCTTAAATTGGCACCTGCTCGCCGCAACGGACCGGAACAACTCGCGGCGGTTGGTGTTTGCCAACTACAGGCACGCCGTGCGGTTTTTTACCGAGCTGCAGCTCTTTCTCAAGTTTGTGCGCGTCAGCCCGGTGGGGGAGGCATATTTGAAGAAAATCATCTATCGAGAACATGAAACTCACACGTCGGAAATAAATCCTCTTGCCCGGGACTGCGCGGAGCTGTATTGAAAGGAAAAACTCCCCCTCCCCATATTGACAAGGTATGTTTCCGAAAATTTGCGTTGCTGATTTGAGGTCACAAATCACATTTGTCTTGCAAGAAGACAGGGGCAGAAGCTTCCGCCCCATTATGGAAGCGATTTGTCACGCTGTTGGGCCTAAAGGGGAGCCGTTTGCGATGCTGAACTACTAGACGCAAACGCCCCTACCTAGGCTGGGGATCTGGCCGCAATGCCTTCCTGCAATACACAGCTGATTTGTGGCCACAAATCAGCATCACAAATTTCCATTTCGATATCGGGAGGGGGGATTTTTCCTTTCGATAAGCTGCGGACGGTGTTTAAAAAAGCGCTAACCTTGCCGGAGGCGGTGTGGCCGCACCTGGTTACGGAAGAGCCGAGGTTTATGAATACGCAGCACAGCACAACAACTAGTTCAACAGCCTCCGCCAGCGGAGGCACTTCTGCAAGCGGAATTTCTACTTCTCAGACAAGTGCCGCAGCATATGCACGTCGGGGACGAAGTCCTCCGGGCCGCGCCAAGGACCACCCACCTGCGAGCGAAGCCTCCTCTCGGGCGCAACAACATGATCCAGCAGGTCCGCACCTCATGTGGGTCGATTTCAGGTCCACTGGGGCGGGGGCAGCTCTAGTACCGGAGCCTGCTGGCGGGGCGAAAGAGGAGTTGCTGGCATGGATACACGCGAACTGGAAGGAGTTCGACGCCGGTACTATGATGTCGACGGTTCTTGCAGGAGCTCCTGCAGCTGCTCGTGGTCCTGAGATGGCCAGCGGCGCGTCAACCCCGCGGTCGGGTGGTGGAAGCAGATCTCCCATATGCATTGCAAATATGTCTGGGTCTGGAAGGATGCAGGGTTTGTCATGCTTGTCTGGCATGACTGAAGAGCTTGTGATGCGCGTCCAAGTAGAGACCCTTTTGCTTGTCATGCAAAAACGCAGTTTGTCATGCGGAAACCGCAACACTTAGGCACGAGAATACTTCTCATGCGTGGCTGTGCATTACAGAGCATTCCCTATTTCCAACTCAGCATTACAGGTTTCCAGACCCAGACATATTTCTATTTGATATCCCAGCACGCGAAGCATTGGGAGTTCTTTGAGTGGCGCGTTCCGTCGACGCTTTTCTCCTGGCCGTCAGCAGCACGGAGGCTTTTCATCGTCAACCGGTGGCGACCAGGGAAGTAGAACAACCACACCGCCAAAGGTGACCGCTGCGCAAATCACCGATTTTTCGGTAGACGAAGCGGTTGAGTTGCAGAGAGATTTGCTGGGGAGAAATGAAATCGGGGTTTTGCGGTATGCAGTACGGAGCAGCAGCGGCGACGTCAGGCCAAATTTAGAATCGATCAAAGACACCTTGGGCAACTTTTTGCGCTACGAGGCCACGAGCAAAGACGTTCGACTAGGCTCACCCATCCGGACTGCACCCTTGCAGCCGCAGCACAGCTCACTTCTTTTTCTGCTCGGAGCAGAGGGCCGCAAGCACCTGCTGGACGATGTTGAAACGCTAGCAAACAACACTGAGCGGGCTGCTGCGTTCAGTCCGGTAGACCATCGAACGGACCTTGACACCTACCTGTTGCTACTACTATCAAGTGCATATTATATCCCTGAGGGTCTGGAAGAGTGTAACTTGTGATGCTGCGTTTGGATTCCAACAAAATTTGTATTCCATGAGCAGGAAAGGGAGTGTAGTTTTCGCTACGCGGTAGTAGGGGTATTTGTCTTGCGGAATAAGCATCAAGAAACCTCCCTCAAAAAATCTGTGATGCTACGGCATGCATTACAGATCGATCATGGCTCACGCAAAACGTGCGTCACAAGTCTACAGAATCTTCCAGACATGATCCAGGGGTATTTGCAAGTGATACCTGCGCAGTTTGAGCAACCTCATTCCACTGAAGGAGAACATCCGAAATGCCGTTCGCGAATATCAAATGCAAATATGTCTGGGTCTGGAAGGGTTCGAATTTGTGATGCGAATTCTAGATCGTGACAAAATCTGTCACGCAGGGGTTGTTCCCCCGCAGTAGCACAGTCTAATTACGTCATGCAAAAGGCCCCGCGTCTTGTTACAGAAAGATGGGGTTTGTCATGGGGATTAGGCATTGGGATAGCTCCTCTAAATCTGTGCTGCTAGGGCTTGTATGCCAGACGATCTGGGTCAGGCAAAACCACATGACAAGTCTCGCACCAGTGTTCCAGGCCCAGATCGATATTTGCAGTTGATAGCGAAGGTTTTATTGCAAGTAAAGACAAAGCGGCGAGTGAAGTTATGAAGGACTTCCTGAAAGAAGCGGGCGACGTGGGGAAGAACCTGCGGGAGCTAGATGCTAGATCCGGCGCACAACACAGGGAAGTAGATGAGCCCGACGCACAAGAACACAGGGAAGATGATCGTCCCACGACCCGCATTGCGCACACGACCCGCATTGCGCAGGGCTTTCGGCAGCTGCTTTTCCCCGAGGTGCCCGCAGAGTGGTGGAGTCCACCAGCGTCCAGGACGCCGGCAGATTTGTTCGTGAAAAACGCGTACTATTACGCGTGGGCGCAACGCGTCGCGTGGGAAGCGCAAGCGGCGGAGGCCACGGGCGTCGCTGCGGAGGCCAGGGGCGGCGCTGCGGTTCCGATCGTCCACGGGCTCCGGACCGCGAAAGCGGGTCTGCTACGTCTGATTGGGAAGGACTGCGACGGGGGACTGCTCACCGGATGCGATGCGCCCAAATTCCCGGGGTACCGGCCTGACCACGACGACACGCTAAGTAAGACGAATACCAAGGTGAAGGAGCGTATGGGGGTGTCAGGATTGAAATCGTCAGAGTTGAAATAGTTTGTCATGCATAAAATGCAGCCCACAAAGTGCCTGTCTTGCAGAGTAGGCAAGTGAGGAAGATTGTAAGCCTGCTGGGGAGTTGTAGTAGTAGAAACTGCGCTGCTGAAGTAGCATGACAAAAGGCGGCTTCCTTACCCAAACAGCATGAGTGGCTCTACCCAAATTTGTCATGCGCCACTTGAATTCTGGGTTACAACTTTCATCCATTTCATGCATTACAAGTTCTTTCGACTTTGTCGATTTCACTCCTGACGCTTCCATAGAGCAAAAGGACCGCGGCTCCTTCGATGTGTTGCGGGACGTCAATCTAGGTGATGTCTCCAATGGCCGCGCCGGGATGGCGCTGTTGGCTTCGCTCCAAAATGTGGTCCAGCGCCAGGCCGGGAATAAGCGGCCGGTGAATCGAGGAAACCGCGACCGCGATCCCTACGGTCGGTTTTCGTCTCTCTCCGCAGGCGTGCAAAGCACCGCGGACACGTATGGTGAGCAAAAACGTCCCCGCCCCAGAGTCAAGATGGGAAATCTGCTAGACAAATCGCCAGGCTTTGGCTGTTGCGCATGACAATAAACTTGGCCGAGCAATTTCATCGTATTCAGCTAGTGCTGCAACCGCATCACAAATCTAGCCTCCTATGCTGATTCAAGCATTACAAATCTCAAAACACCAGTAGAGATAAATGCTTCTCATGTGAGGTCTCCGCATGAGAAACATTCTCAGCAGGCAGATTTGCATTACAACTCAGCAGGCAGATTTGAGTAAAGGAGATGGAGAAAGAAGAATATTTTAGGACTTGTTAAAGTTTTGTGAGTTAGAAGCTGCTGATGAGAACTCGATGAGATTGCTCGATGAAGATGTGCGTGAATATTGTTGAGAGGAGGCTGCACCCCTGTCGGTCAAGAGAAAGAAGATGTAAAAAAGATGAAAAAGAACCTTGTGTCGGTACTGATGTCGGTGTGAGAGATTGTCTATGTTGGTGGGTAGCGCGAGAACGATTTTAGAATATCCAACTGTACATACGCGCATCTGCGTGTCGCGCCATTTGGTTAGACTAACTAGAATAAACACCTGCCAACTAAGACGATCGACCACGTGTGCTAATGCCAACAAGGTTCGAAGGTCTACGAAGGAGGATCAAGATCGTAGTGCATGCTAAGGGTGCAGTCTTCAGCTCTCCTGATGTGTCTATCGATTTGGAAAGTTCAAAAATACAAAGAAAAATGAAAAAAAAAGAAGCAGGGAACAGGAACAGGGTGATTGAAAGTAATGTTCTAAGTGCGCAGACATATAAATTTGAGAAGTCGGATAGTAGTGATGGCAAAGTGGTTAGAGAAGAGGTGGCTTTGAGTAGTGATATATGAGTAAGTGCCTATCACCGGTTAGCTTCTAGGGTTTATACCTTTATCGCTCATAGGTTGCATTGTCCGTATCTACATCCTGTTGCACCTTTCAACTTCAATACACAGAGTCTACATCTAGTTCCTATCTTCATCTTCTTTCGATTGCCAATAGATCTAGTACCCTGCCTGAAAAATCAAGATTACTAGTCTAGGAAGAAAGACGCATGGTCTCCCCAGTCGTTTCGCAAACCCAGCCACGTGGCGGGGCAGCTGTTTCGTCCTCTCTTCTTATTGCAAAAGGTGAGATTGACGACATCCCCGGGCACCCGTGACGCATTCAGCAATCCTATGTCAAAGGCATGACAATCTCCTCTAAAGAAGTAATCTTGTCATGCAAAAGAAGAACATGCGGCAGTAACCAAAGTGGAATTTCGAAAATGTATGAGTGGCAAAATACGCAAGAGGATGTTGGTTTAGTCATGGAGCAACAAATAAAACAAATGATATGTGAGCGGCTCCTGCAGCCCTGAGAAATAGGAAAGACAAAAAAAAATGAAAAAGAAAGAATGACATTGGATTGCCAAGGATGCGTACAGAGTGCAAACTATGAGAAAAGGAATATACACTGAAACTCGAAGGGAGCTGAGGCTATTCAGGATCAAAATGCATTTTGTTGCCCCATTCTCCACTCTATGTCTATGTCTGTGTACCCGCGAGTGGTTTTATCTTTCTCTGAATTTGCGGAAGATGAAGATATGTAGCAAATTTGTAGACCAAGCAGAAGAGAAAGATAAAAAAGAAGTAAGAATGAATAGTCTCAGCCATACTTCAGCGCTTTTCAGTGCCACTTGTAGACCCGGAATATGCTCAAGTGCCAACAGGGCGAGAGCCCTGCAAGATCGGGCGACGTGAGTAAGTGCAGACGGGAAAAACGCCAAAGATACCCGCGCCTTCTGCTTAACTGTGTGAAATATTGTGTCGGCCCGGTTCTGCTCAGACAGGCTGGATCCCGTAGATCAGATTTCACATGTTAAGTAACGCACACCGGCCTCCTAGCAAAAAATTAATGATGAATTTATATGAGAAAGAGGGGCCTAATCAAAAAAAAAAAAAGATTTGCATTACAACTCTGGGGCGTGCTGGACGTTTTTCCAAATGATAACACGCCCAGCGAGCTCACGCTGAAGACGGTGCAGCGGGTGGAGAACCCCGCCCTGTGGTCGCAGTACCTGGTGTCGCTGCGACGTGGTCGGGGGCATCAACATGATTCGGGCTCGTCGCTCGGCGGGTCATCTGCCACGGCCCGTTTAGGGGAAGCTCCACTTCTTCCGGAGATATCAAATGCAAAAGTGTCTGGGTCTGGAAGGATGCAAGGTTTGCCATGCACATTTTGCATGACTCTTGATGTCTGCGATGCATGCCCTAGCATCACAGATCTTGTGAGGGCTTTCTGATGACTATACCGCATGAGAAAAGCCCTCTCGCCGTGGCCAAAACCAGACCTCTTTTGCTGTTAATGCAATACAGATTTTTAGATAATGCAGACGCAGCATCACAAGTTGCATTCTTCCAGACCCACACACTTTTACATTTGATAGGAGAAGGAAGAAGCCGATAAGGAGGCGTTCTCGCTCGCCATGATAGACCTGCACTGGGACCGGGAAACGGTGCTGTTTCAAGGCGTCAATCCGGAGACTGCCTACACCATCGCGACTTCGGGCCCGAACGTGAGTAAGTAGACACGAGAACGAGGGGGGCGTTCTGCTAACCGATAACGTGTTCCGAGCGGACGAGGACAGCCGGCCTTGGGATTCGTTCGCCGTCGCAGAAGTCCAGTTTGTGCACAAGATTGAACATCAGGCGGGTGGACGCTCGAGGTCCCCAAGCCCCGAGAGGACCACTGGAGCTCCTGCAGGTCAGGGCCCCTACCACCTCGAGCGGCTGGAGGTCACGAAAACCGGAACCACATCAATCATCGCGTCGGAGGTTCCGTTCGCGGCGCACGCAGACACTCCGGGCGGGAGTCCGGTCCAACCAAGTAAATCTAAATCTTCTACCACTACACCCGGAAGAGCTGCTCATAGCGGGGTGGATGAAACGAAGCACTACGTCGTCCGGGTGTTTGCAAGTAAGCTACAGGACCAGGCGTCCCCGTGGTCTGCCAGCGAACTGAAAAAAGCGGTCCTGGGCGGCTCCACCGCGTCGAGCGTTTTTGGGCCTTCCACGCACGCTGATGTTACAGTATCCACTGCAAATATCGATCTGGGTCTGGAATGATGCAAACTTGTGATGCTGTCTCTGGATTCTAAAAAGCTCTGTAGTGCATGGCCAGCAATAGGAGTCGCATTCCTTCGTGTGAAAAAATCTGGTGTGTTGCATTACCATACAAAAGTCGCAGCAGCCTCGCTTTTTACATGGAAATAATATTAAAACGCAGCTTCTCATGCGGACTGTTTATGAGAAAGCGGCTTATTGAAAAGTTGTCATCCTAGGCTGCATATGGAAGCGCAAATGTTCTTGTCATCCACAGTTCAGCATCACAAATCTGCTCCAGACGTCCAGGGATTTTTGCAATGCATATCCAGTGGTTCAGGACAACTTGTTTCCGGTTGTGGTGTACCGGGTGCGACGGGGCGGAATTTCTTCTGCCGCTCCCGCGAGTGGTGCGACGTCGCCCCGTCCGGAGGAAGTGTTTACGGAAGTGCGGGTAAAGGACACGCGGGACCTGTATCCGGCGTTCGTGTTGTGGTATGAGCGGAAGTTGTACAGCGAGCGGAAGACAGTGCGGTTCGAAGGTAACGAGGAAGATGAGGAACAAACTGTGGGGGATCTTGCGGGAGGTGCCGGACAAGGAGCAACTCCTGTATCCTCACAGCCGGGCGGGCCGCCGTTGTCCCCTTTGTCCGGTCAAGGTGAGGAGCAGCAGGCCTTGCCTCGTCGAACGGCAGGAGATGTTCATCGCCACCTGGCGCCTCCAGCGGAGCGGGGTACCACGGCACAGGCGCAGGCAGGAGGTGGACGCGGCGCAGGCACGGGCGCGGTCCAGGCGCGAGAACGAGGATCCGCGGGTTCTGGTCGTCGCGGTGGGGCTTCTTTCGGAGGTAGGTCAGAATCAGATGATGACCCGTTTGCAATTGATGAAGAGGAAGAGGAACAGGAATTCTGGGAACATCAACCTGACCCGAGAAGTGATGCGGGCTATTGGGGGCACAACAACCGTCCGTTGCAGCGAGACAGCTTGAGGAGACCCAGCTATCTACGACCCGCTGAAGATGCTCGCCGCGGCGAGCAGGGGACCGCATCGCAGTCACAAAGGGGCCCGCAGCACGGCAGGGACGCGGCCACGGGAGGACCGTACAACAGTAGAAGTAGACCTGCATCTTCTCATGACCCCCGCTCCCCGTACTCTACTGCTGGTCAATATAATTCGCAGGGATCATCTCGGCCGGACGCTTCGGCGGGACCGGGAACAGTGACAGGAGCCTTCCACCGTCGTTCATCCGGGTTGACCACCGCAGACGAACCGGGCCGTCAAGAGCAACGTGGAAATAGTGCCTTGCATCCTTCGCGCCACTATCCCCCGCAGCCGCTGCCCCCGGTGAACTATGGCAATGAGGAGCTTGGGGGGAGGCCAGTCCAGCGATAGTGTGCCGGAGATGCTGTGATGTGCAAAATGCCAGTAGAAGAATCGCAAGGACTTGCAAGTAGAACCGTAAATTTTTATCCGTAGTGGCGGAATATTAAACTCATATTAAAGTTTGCCCCTGGACGGGCAGGTAGTAGTGGTAGATTTGTTTTTGCATCGGAACATGGAACGTCCTCACCTTGGGCGCAAGAACAGATGATGGAAGTAGGTCGGTGGAGATGGAGTGTTTATTGCAGGACGCTCGTGAGAGAAGATTAGATGTGGTCGCAACGCAAGAAAGCAGGGTGAGCGAGTGGATTAACGGCGAAAAGGCTGATGAGTTCTACCTTTACGGCGGGGGAGCATGGAAGAACAGCGTGGGCGCTTCCATAGGGGGCGCGCTCTTCGTGATCCGCCAGGGCATCGAGGTCGTGGAATACGATGATGAGCAGTGGGGCAGACATGCTCGAATTACACTGCAGACACCACAAGGGCAGAAGGTTCATCTTCATAATTGTTACGCCCCGACCGATGCGGCGGACTCGGCCACAAAAGATAGTTTCTGGCAAAGGGCGGGCGAGCGAATTTCGCAACACAGCGGGCGGGACGTCGTAGTAGCTCTGGGGGATTTCAATGCAGAAATGACCGGCGGCCCACAGCGGGATTTGATCGCGGCGGGACTCCCGTTCACGAGCGGCGTTGCACGGGAAAAAATGGAAAAGCTCAAGCAGCCGGCCAGGCGCATGGGAACTTGTCAGCGACCCGGAGGCGCTTTTTGAGGTCACCGAATTTTTCTTCTGCGAAAACTCCGGCAAGGAGGAGGCGCAAGTCGGGGGCGTCTGGTTCCAAAAAGAAAGTGATGGCACATACTATGTGCGCTGAAGGAAGCCTTACCCCCGAAGGGAAAAGCAACAAGGATAATAACACACGCACAGCCACGATTTTATCGACTTTTTGATCGGGCAAGTTTTCCTAAACCGACGTTGTCTCTATGCCTAAAAAAGGCTTAAAATAGTCCATCCCTCACGCTGCCGTTGTGCCGGTGGCCGTGGCGTTCGGGCGGAGGTTCGCGGGTGTGCCGGTCGTGCACTAGAAAGTTGTGCATATTAGTGCCGTGGCCCTCCTTATATAGTGCCTGTTCGTGTACATAGCATTCCGCGTATCGCCCTCCCATAGGGTAGGTTTTGTATTAAGTAGCGACACCTGTGCGGATCAGGTGCAGTAGAGTTGCTCGGCACGTAGCGCTGGTGGGGGAGGTAGTTTCGGTAGTTTATTAGTAATAGGATGAAAAAGGTGCTATAGTTTATTGACCCTCTGTTTTTGTTTACCAAAAACTAAGGCGTAAAAAGACCTCACAGCACGCAGTTCTGAACAACAGAAAAGTAAATAACAAGCTGTGAAAAAGTTCCCTACGAACTGGGGCAAGAAGAACTTAGCTTAAGCAGCAGAGTTTATATGCGCTGCACCCAGCCCCGCCGAGCTACATAAGCGCCCCAGTGGGTTAGAGGAGAAGTCTAGCAGGTCCGTAGTGTAGGAAACTGATAACTTAGTGTTTGCATGCTGGGCAGTTGCTGCTGTCCGGGGGCGTCCACACTGCCGATTAGTATTCGTGCGACTGTGGTGCAAAGCATTGCGTTGTTCCCTGCCCCTGTCTATCGAGCTTTGAGGTAAGAGGCCACCGCCACCGCACCCGTAACTAACTAACTAACTAAAGTAGGCGAGTAGGTTAGAACCGTAAACGCACTGTGGAAAACTGAAAAGGGATGTCTATCTCTATGCCAAAAAAAACAAGAGGCTTAAAATAGTCCATCCCTCACGCTGCCGTTGCGCCGGTGGTCGTGGCGTTCGGGCGGAGGTTCGCGGGTGTGCCGGTCGTGCACTAGAAAGGTGTGCATATTAGCTCCGTGGCCCTCCTTATATAGTGCCTGATCGCGTAGTTAGCATTCCGCGTAGCGCCCTCCCATAGGGTAGGTTTTGTAGGATCTTAGAGACACCTGTGCGGATCAGGTGCACTAAAGTTGCTCGGCAAGTAGCGCGTCATGGGGAGGTAGTTTCAGGTAGTTTACTAGCATCACGTCCGGAACGCCTGCCGATTCGCGTTGTGCAGTCTGTGGCGGTGCAACCGCTCCAGCGTGCCTTCGGGTGATTGGGGGTTGTCACGCGTCATCGGCGGCAGCGTGCTCGCGCTAAGTGAAGGAGTGATGAAACAGGATGAGAAAAAGGTGCGTAGTTCAGTGACCCTCTGTTTTTGTTACCAAAAACTAAGGTGAAAACTAAAAACGAAGAAGGTCTGACAACACAAGAGAGAAAAAGTTCATTATGAACTGGGGCAAAAAGAAGTTATCTTAAGCAGCAGGAGTTTATATGTGCTGCACCCAGGCCCGCCGAGCTAGGTAAACGCCCCAGGGGGTTAGAGGAGAAGTCTAGCAGGTCCCTAGTGCTGTAGGAAGTTGATAACTTAGATTTTTGTATGTTGGGCAGTTGCTGCTGTCCGGAGGCGTCCACACTGCCTGATAGTAGTCGTCCGCCCGTGGTGCAAAGCATCGCGTTGTTCCCTGCCCCGGTCGTTCGAGCTTGATGGTAAGAGGCCACCGCCGCCGCCCCACTCCACTCCACTCCACTAAAGCGTAGAACTGAACTGAACTGAACTTGCCCCTGGACGGGCAGGTAGTAGTGGTAGATTTGTTTTTGCTTGCAAAAACAAAAGGACGTGGCGTCTTTATCAGTTTGAGAAAAGTTGTTGTGTAAAAATGAAAAGTAGATGCGGAGAAATGAAAGGAAGCCTTCTTCGAGAATTTGCGTATTCCGAGCTCCTTGCGCAGCCCCTGCAGGTGGTTTTCGAGCAAAGAGATTAGAAGGGGTCCTCGGCCCTCCGTCCTCGAAGGATGTTTTTCGTATTTCTCTCCTTTGGTGGTTTCCGCTTGGTGGAAAACAACTAAAGAACGCTTTTATCTGGTAACCTTTTCGTGACGTGAAGTCATAGTGTAAAATTCAATTAGAAATAAATTTTCAGACAGATATCAAAGAAATGATTAGCGCTAATGCAACAACAAATCAGGGAGACTAATTGTAATTCTAATTCTCCACACGTGTATGATGGAGTTTAATGTAAAAATCAAATCTCCGCTTTATTTTCCTGTTATACAAGTTTTACTTACAACAGAGTCAGAACCCGACAGAACAAATTCCCTGCGCGGCCGGGGACGACGAGAACAGCACGCGCTACGGACGACGACGAGAGAGCTGCACAGGGTCTTAGGTATGATCTATAATCCGGTGGCAGGACTGCACGTGCTGGTGTGTCCGGGCCAGGAACTACTTTTTCGCAGCACTGCTTCGTGTAAGATTTTTGAACGAGAAGAACTCCGCCCAGCATTTGATTGTTCCTCGCTACTAGGAAAAAGAAGTACTATAATGCCACGGCCGCGGAAATTAAGGCTATAGTAAATTTGGAGTTGCAAGTTGGTAGTTTCTGCTGTTCAGGAGGACACTGGTCGAAGATGAAGGCGAGCTTCTTTAAAAATTCGGTGGAGAAATAAGGCGAGAAATGGCACTTACCATGATCAATAAGCAGTGGAAGATCGTTGATTCTGAAGAGCAGAGGAAGATCCGTTTAGTATTCTGAAGATCTTCGTGCTGGTCTCGGAAAATGTATTCTATCGCCTCTCCTTTCGCCGTCTAGAGGTCTTATGGAGGATGACGTACTAGGTAACGCGTGCAGATCTGTCGATGAAGAAAGTAGCCAAGTAATGCCGATCATGAGCGAATCGATTGTAAAAATGCACGCTTGATCATCTTCATACTTACTCGGCTCGGTAGTTTTGCGAAGAACTTCTTCTACCTGTGATCGCAGCAGAACAAAAATGGGTACTTCGAGCAGAATTTGTGACTGCACGACGGCACGATGCCAGCATATGTAAGGTACTTTCCTTCTCTCGGTCAAAAATCGACTCATCTCCACTCGGTATCAAAATAAGTTCACCAATTATGATGGTCAAGAACATGGCCGGCGGAGGATAAGATACGTATACTTAGCTCGGAAGATTAACCTTATCAAGAAATAAAGCAAAGCCTCGTCTTGAACCAATAATAAAGCAACTACATCACGATAATTCCAGTTGAAAAATACAGCTCTGTGCGGGTCGTGTTCAACACCAGAGGTTAAACACCACCAACTACCGATTGGCAATTAGCCTCTCCTTTGACTCGCATTTCTTTTTTCTTGAGTTTTACCTGCTCCCTTTTTACATAGCTGTAGCAGATTCCGGGTCTTCATCGTCGAAATTTAATCTTAACACGCAATAGAATTAGAAGTAGAAAATTATTTAAAAATTTTCGTCGAAAAACTACACCTCAAACACAACCTAGGAGAAAAAGATGCTGAAAAGAGTAACACTAACGAATGCTGTAGTAATCACCACCTTGAGCAGCTGGACATCTTTACTAGAGGGATCGCAGGCAACCAAATTTGTTCAACATCAGCTTCTTCAGAACACGACTACTACAACTCTGTCGTCCCCTGTAGATGATGAAATAAAAACCGCGGCTGGTGGTGAAGAACAAGAAAGTAGTATTGAAGAAGATATTAAAACGACTCCCCCTGGTGCTCTGTACAGAAAGTATCCCCACGAGCGACAGCCCCAGACACGAAAACCCATGTTTCGCTTGGTCCACAAAGTTGTGGATTGGACGCCGCTGCCGCCTCCGGTGAACTGGCTGAAGCTGCTTCCAAGCTACCGGGACGGGAACACGCTGAATCGCATCGAGCGACCACCTGTTTTGCAGGAGAATTACCCCCTCGTTGCCGAAATCTTCTGCCCCGCGGCCCCGAGCGGTCGCCCTGACGAGGCAGGCATAGGCGGAGCAGCTCCAGAACCCCCCTCGTCGTCGCAAAAAGTAGAGGATGTTGAGCATGCGGCGGTGGAAGAAGTCGAGGACCAAGCAGCAGATTCGCAAGCAAAGTCTGGGGGTTCTTTAATGAAGAGCCCCGTTCAACATTTTATTGCACAGGGACAGGATGATGTTCTTGCAGGAGAAGTAGAAGCTGAGCCAAAATTCATCGCCCTCACAATTGACGTATGAACTGCAAATATGTCTGGGTCTGGAAAGATCCAAGGTTTGTCATGCTTGTCGGAAATGACTCTCAAGTCTGTCATGCACATTACCCACAAGTCCCACTTTTCTGTCATGCAGAAGCTCACTTTCTCATGCAGAAAAGCCAAGACTGTAGCACCTCCAAAACTTGTCATGCTTGCCTGTCAAATGAGGCGTCCTCGTCTTTCGCGACTAGCATTACAAGTTCCCAGACCCAGACATATTTGCAATGCACATGACGACGGACTGTGCAGCAACCCGGTGGACCCGGACGAGTGCCTTGCCACGGAGTATCAGAACGAAAAATCCCCCCTCGTCCCCATATCAAAACGAAGTTTCTGATGCTGGATTTGTGTACGCAAATCAGATTTGTCTTGCTGGCAAGGACCACTGCAGGCCCATATCAAGCCTGAGTAGACCACAGGTTTTGGCCTGGGCGCTTTGCATGATAGACGTCTACGCTGTAGGAGGTGCAACAGCATGACAAACCGCCTGTAGAATGCGGCGGCTGTCTATGGGGTTGCCTTCATGCAACACAGAGACGATTTGTGGCCACAAATCAGCAGCGCAAATTTTCGAAAACGTGCCTGGTCAATATATATGGGGAGGGGGGATTTTTCCTTTTGATACTCCGGTTTTCGACCTCTTGAAAAAGTACAATGCGACGGCAACCTTTTTTCTCGTGGAGGCCCATTTGGAGTACGCAAACGCAGATAGAGACCTGAAAAGACTAGTCCGAGACGGACACGAAATGGCGAACCACGGACTGGTGGACAAGCCCATGCACCGGCTGAGCAAGGACGAATTCGAAAAAAGTCTGTTGCAGTGTAACACAGCACTGGAAAAGTACCTGTTGCCGGGTGGGGCTCCTGCTGGGGAGGAGGATCCTCGTGAAGATGTAGTTGATGTTGCCAACAACAAGAAAATGTTGGATGAAAAACAAAAGTCTAAGCGTTTTGTCCAGCGGCGCATCGACCTTTTCCGCAGCCCCAGCGCGATGTACAGTGGGGCGATGTCGGAAGTGCTTCGGAGACACCAGATGCTGCACATTCTCGGGGACACGTACTGCGACGACCTGATGGTGAAAGACGCGGATTGGGTGGCCGAGGCGACGCTGAAACAAGTGGCAAAGAACTGGCGGAGATACAATGGGAGTGATAAGAATCAAGAAAGGGTTCGTGGTAGTAATAACGACAACAACGTCAGCAAAAATCGCAATAATCCAACCGCCCCGATCAGCATTCTGATCACGCACATGCCGGAGCGCTCGCGGCGGCAGCACCTGCTGGAAGCGTTAGATAAAATCCTGTACAAATTGGTGGTAGAGGAACACTACACCGTGCGGTCCGTTTCCGAAATTTTGCAGACTGTAGTGGACAGAGGAGCAGCAGCAGAAGAATCCGCGCGTGAGGACGTGGGGCAGAAGAGTAGCACAACTGGAGGAGGCCATCTCGGCAATTGTTTATGAGTACACAACGACCCTGATGAAATTTTTACCTTCTTGTAACTGAAAAAAACCAACGCCCTCGAGATGAAATTCAGCTTTGAAGACAAATTTCATCAAGGCTACTCGAAACAAAAACAAAAACGATATTAACGAACGAGATATTTTTTCGCTTTTACTTCTTGGAACCAAGCGTTATAGTGTCTGCGAGCGCTCGCGACCCGGTCTCCAATGTAGGAGATGAGATCTACAAACCTTACTAACTAAAGTTTTACAAATGCTCGGCATTGCTCAGCTCCAGACCACACAACTACCCTTCCGCAGGTAGGGTTCAAACACTTCTACACTAGGAATTTTTCATCATGCCAGGCAAAAACAGAAGCATGCGAAAGGAACGTTCGCATGAGACGAGGAGCAGGATAAAGTTGAAAACTTCCGGGTACCACACCACGCGCTGATTTTTCTATGCCGCAGCAAATGATCCTGATCGACGTAAAATAAAACAAAGGCGAGAAAATTCTAGGTCGTAAAAAACACCACATCTTCGGAGCAGCACGATACACTGTTCGCCGTCGCACGATGCTGCTATAAGCAGAACCGCGGCGAGAATTGGTGCCGCCAGGTCCTTCGAACTGGTAGCGTTCTCCTACACTGTTTTTCGGTCATCTCAATATGCTAAGAAGCACGACGACTCGAAAAAAAAAACACGACTCGTCGCAAAAACTGGTCACTCGGATATCCTTTCGCACGTACGCAACACAAGTCTCGGTTTCTTGTTGAAGACGACGACCCACGATGTACTGTGAACGTCGGTCTAGCTGTAGAGATAATTTATGTTCTTGAGAGAAGTTGTTCTTGTCCTTTCATTTCGGTCTACTTCGAATGGTGACACAACTACCACTGCTAGACACAGTCAGGGGTGTTTGCACCTTCATCAATCTATCTTATTCGGTGATGATTTATTGCGGTGAAAAATTGTTGACATTATGATACTATGTCGGTCCTCGTCCATTTTCGTGGCAATTACTTTCGGTTTCGTCCATCGGAACTTACTACTAAAACAAGCTCGCTTGTTGTTGTTCCCAATTCGCAATCTATTCGTACTGGACCTGCATTATATTCTCGTATCGACGCTCGCATCCTATTTTCGTTTACTCGTTGTCCTCACTCGTTTGTCGTCCTCGGACCATGTATGCGTTTTGTATTTTTGTGCGAACTCTGTCCTCCTATGCAACATGCCCTCTGTCGCCTCCGACATAACTAACATGACACTGTGCTTATGCATGATATCTGGGCTGATCACAATTTATAAAAATGCCTTCTGACTTGTTGAAACTTTTGACCTGCTTGACTTTTTTGGTATATCAAAATCAAAATGAAAAACATGGATGTAAAATTGCAACATCCTGATATGTGAGTTTCTCTCTCTCTCGCTTCGTCTACGAGAAAAGAGAGACTTCTCGTTTTCGATATCTCGTTTTCGATATTGTTCGCGTGTCCGTTTCATCATCGAGCGCATATTCGGTTTTGTCGATTCCATCCTATAATCTCTCGATCCTCGAATTCGATTCTCGATTTTTGTCCTCGATTTTCGCTCTCGTCTCGATTTCGCTCTCATTCTCGCTTTCGCTCTCGCTTCGCTCCTCGCGCCCTTCGCTCGCATCGACTACCGTGAGGCTACCTCCGGTCCGAGAGTCGTTTTTTGTTTTTAGTTTAGGAACATCGTCCACATCAGGCGATGTTCCTGCCTTGCCCGTGCGCATACGTACGTAGATCTTTTGGCTTTGGCCAGGAGGTTTAGGGTCGGAGCGCTCTCAGCACTGCTGAAGCTTTAGAACCAGATGGGAGTGCACACCCGGACGGATCAGAGCAAAAGGCTTTATTAGCGCTCTTTGAAAGTAGATTTTACTTTTCCTTCCTTGTGCTGCTCTTTTGCTTTCCCCGGGCCCTACTGGCACCAAGCAGGATTTTTTGTGGTCTGGGACATGACACCCTCCGGTGTCCTATGTGGGTATTTTGCTTGAGTTAGAACCTTTAGGTCTTACCATGCGTTTTTGTGCACACTCTCTCTGATCAGTGCGGTTTCCTGTTCTTCTCCCCCGATTCATCTTCCTACGGCCCGGTTCCTTCGCCAGCGTCGAAAAGGGTTTAGAAGGGTTGGAAGGGTTTATGGATTTAGGGTTCTATTTTGAGTTTACTCGTCGTCCTCACTCGTTTGTCGTCCTCGGAAGTACTTCTATCGATAGGGATACTTTTTATTTTCACTGTCGCTGTCGTTATCGCCAGGTCCTCCTCTTTCATCTCTGCCTATTGCTCTGCTGCGGTAATATTATACCTTTTGTTTTGCCGCATCGAGTAGAGCAGGGACCTGCATTTTTGTAATTTTCCTCAATAATTTGCTAATTTATTCACCATTTCAACTATTTGGATTAAAGTCCCTCATTCCAACTTTCTTGTCATCACCATAGGTCTTATTTTTAGTAACTAACTAACTTTCACCTGATAAAGAACCCCGAATAGTTTTTGTGAGCAGTAACGAAAAAACCGTCACAAAATGGTGGCGGAGGACAGCGTCGTGTCCGATGAGGAGGACGCCCTGCTCGACGCCAAAGCCCTCAATGCGCAGAAGCAGCCGGTGAAGACCCACGCGGAGGCTTCGACCCAGTATGAGACGGATCCGGAGCCGGCGGACGCGGAGCCCGGCGGTATCAAGATGAAAAATCCCCCCTCCCCATATCAAAACGGAATTTCTGATGCTGGATTTGTGTACACAAATCAGCTTTGTATTGCAGAGAGGCATTGCGGCCAGATCCCCAGGCTAGGTAGGGGCGTACGGGTCTAGTTGTTCAGCATGGCAGACGGCTCCCCTTTAGCCCCAACAGCATGACAAATCGCTTCCACAATGGGGCGGAAGCTTCTGCCCTTCTCTTCTTGCAAGACAAATGCGATCTGCGACCTCAAATCAGCAACGCAAATTTTCGGAAACATACCTTTTCAATATGGGGAGGGGGGATTTTTCCTTACGATAGGCGGGATACTAAATTTTGACGCGATGAACCCCTGGAAATTCTACAAGTATTGATTTGTGATTGATTTCATCGTGGTTGTTTACGATGTTTGTTCAAAGAGATTCTAATTGACCACTGGCGTAAATCAAAAGTAGTAGATATTTTTGGTCCAACACCCTTTATTTTATTTTATTTCCGAACGCAACTACATGCTAGGCTGCGTAGTGAATATCAAAAACGCAATGTATCATCGATTTCAAAATTTGTACAACCGAATAAAATTGTACACAATATTAATAACATCAGCCGTTCCAAGCGGATCCTGGGGTGGCGGTTAACCGCTTTGATCTCTATCACTGCCATCACGCTCCGCGGCGCGGCCTACGCCATGACCTACCGGTGTTTCGACTTTGGCATGCGGTTTTACGGGATCGACGGCCCCCGGACGCAGATCTACCACAACATTCTTTCCGGCGTCTTCATGTTCCAGCCGCTGTGGGGGATCATGTCGGAGTCTCTGCCCTTTGTCCACCGAAAGTTGCCGTTTTGTCTCTTCTCGAGCGTGATTGCGATTTCCGCGATTTTATCAAATGTAAAAGTGTCTGGGTCTGGAAGATTAAAACTTGTCATGCTAAATCTGAAGGAGGCAAAGAACTGTGTTGCATGATTGCCAAGAAAAGTTGCGCACTTTTGAGCTAGTCGGGAGGCAGTTTCTCATGCAGGGTAGGCATTGGAAAGGACCCGCAGAGCCTGTCATGCTATGTCCTACATATCAGACCTCATGGGTCATGGAAAATATGCATGACAAATCTTGAAATCTTCCAGACCCAGACACTTTTGCAGTTGATAGATTTTCTACGCGGCCATCCGCGGGAACGTATCAAAGTGAAAAGTCCCCCCATCCCATACTCAAACTAGAAATTTGTGATGCAGATTTGTGGCCACAAATCAGCTTTGTCATGCTAGAAGAGAAAAGATGCGGACTGTAGTGCTGGTTGGCGTGGGAAAGCCTTGCATCTTCAGCATGACAGGGGGCAGCTGGAAGTGGGAAACAGCATGACAAATTGCCTGCAACCGAGGCCACAGCTGCGTCTCTCGCCCTTCTAGCATTACAAGTCGACTTGTGTACTCAAATACAGCATCACAAATTTCGTCTTTGATATGGGGAAGGGGGATTTTTCCTTTTGATAGAACGGCCTGTATGAGCACGACCGGGAGAAGTCGAGCTTCAAGTCTCTATCAATTGCAAATATGTCTGGGTCTGGAAATTTGTGATGCATGTCAGTGAAAAGAAAGCACACTGGTGTAACGCACTGCCAGGCATGACAGATTTTTCCGCAGCTCTGTGTTGCGCATTCCGCATGAGAAGCAGCCACTTCGCATGACACAAAAGAGGTGGAGCTCTTCGCGGTGACGCAATACAGAGCTTAGTGTCATGCCCGACTAGCATGACAAATCCCGCATCCTTCCAGACCCAGACATGTTTGCAGTGCATAGTCTCCGAGTGAGAGCAACCAGTACCTGCGGGAATCCGCCATTCCGGTGATGGTTTTTGTTTTCGCGCTGAGCGCCGGGTTTTTGCAGAACGCGATCTATGGTGAGCAAAAACGTCCCCACCCCAGAGTCAAAATGGCAAATCTGCTACACAAATCTGCTAGCTTTGGCTGTTTCGCACGACAAATTTGGGCTCGCAGTGTAGTCTTGTGTAGCTAGTGGAGCAGCATCACAGATCTAGCATACCGTGCGGATTTGAGCATCACCAATCGCAAAACACCAACAGAGACTGCTTCTCGTGGGTCTCCGCATGCGAAACATTTTCAGCATGCAGAGTTGCATTACAACTCTGCGGGTGGGGACGTTTTTAGAAGTGATACGATCTGCGGGCTGTTTATGGACGCGAGGTACACGGACATCATCCGGAAACGACCCAAGTGCGGGTATCCTAAGTAAAAACGTCCCCACCCCAGAGTTGTCATGCAGAATTGCAAGGACAGGCACACTTGTAATGCGCATCCCCAAGAGAGGCATTTTCAGTCGTGTTGTGGCATTTGTAATGCTGCAAACAGGATAAGGGGACGGCTTTGTCATGCGGCTTCCCTTGCTCACCAGCACTACAATACAGCGAGAAACTTGTCATGTCCCGTAGTTGCACAGTCTGTTTATGTCATGCGTGATTCCCAAAACTTCTGGATTTGTGCTGCAGAGATTCCAACTTGACGTATGGGGTGGGGACGTTTTTACTGAGGATAGTGGGCCGCACGTGATCATGTTCTCGTGGACGCACAACATGATCGGGCAATTACTCGCCATTGGCTTGATCGGGTGGATGATCGAGCGGTATGGGCACTTCCTCCCCATGTACGCGATTGGGGGTTTGTGCGTCGTTTCTCTGATCCCCTTCCTTCTCGGCTGGCTCCGGGAGGGCAAGGACGACGGGGAGGACATTTTTATGGAGGACGCGGGGCGGAAGGGGATATGCATTGCAAATATGTCTGGGTCTGGAAGGATGTGAAGTTGTGATGCGAATTTCACAACACACACAAATCTCTCATGCATAGGCAGCAAAAGATGCCCACTTCCTGTCACGACCAAAGGGGGGATTTGTCATGCGGATTAGGCATTGCGACACCTTCTCGAAACCTGTGATGCTGGGCCTTCAATGCCAGACCTTCTGTGTCATGCAAAAACAGCACGACATCTTCCAGACCCAGACATATTGGCATTTGATAGGGGAGACTCGCGAACAACGTGGGCACGAGCAACCAAGACGAGGACTATCAACTGTAAAAATGTCTGGGTCTAGAAGAATCCAACTTGTCATGCTGATTTTGGATTCTAAAAAAATCTGTATTGCATGAGCAGCAAAGAGAGTCTAAGTTTTGCTACACGGAAAGAGCATTTGTCATGCGGTATAGGCATCCGGAAGCCCTCACAAAATCTGTGATGCTAGGGCATGCATCACAGACATCAGGAGTCATGCAAAATGTGCATGACAAACCTGGCAATCTTCCAGACCCAGACATTTTTACATTTGATAAGGACCGCGCAAACGCGATGACGACCGGCGCGGTGTTGCCGGGTGACGCGGTCGGAACGACCTATGTGCCGTTTCGGGAAAGGAGAGATGAAGAGGCGCCGGGGGCTTATTTGCAAGGTATAGAAGTATAGCGTGAGCTACAGCGAAGTAGTTTTTTCTGAGAAATTGTAGGATGATCTAACTAGTCGAAGAAGAACATGTTTCCTTTTTGCATCAACTTTTGTTCGGTACTTCCGTTAGTCGACGAACTGTTGCATAAGACAAAGCACACGACGCGCCCAATTGTAGGCGGTGAAAAATAAATCCTTTTTTTATACTAACAGACCACTCCGCAACGGAAACCGCTCCCGAAGACCAGACCGGGTACTCGTCCGCCGGCGGTGGCGCCCGAAGCTCCGTTGCAGGGGAACTTGAAGAGAAGTCCCGGATCCCGAACGAAATTGTTTTTCTCTCCCTCTACATCGTCGGCGTTTCCGTGGGGATGATTGTTCTGTCCATCGCGAAGCTCACCCCTTTAAACACCTGTCTGATTTCCTTCCTCATGTCGATTTCCGCCATCGGGGTTGCCGCTTCCGTCCTCACCCCGGTCATCGCGAAGGTGTATCGTATCTAAAAACGTGCCCACCCCATAGTTGTAACGCAAATCTGCATGGTGAAAATGTTTCTCATGCGGGGCCCCATGAGAAGCATTTTCTCGCTGTGTTTTGGAATTTGTCATGCTACAATCAGCATGGTACACGAGATCTGTGATGCTGTTGAGCTAGCTCAAACAACACTACACTACGAGCCCAAATTTGTCATGCAGAACAGCCAAAGCTTGTAGATTTGTCTTGCCGATTCCCCATCTTGAATATGGCGTGGGGACGTTTTTCCACGGGATAAGGTGGTGGTGTTCTTCTATTTCGGCACCTTTTTCACCTTCACGATCGACGGCGCGGTCTTCTACTTCATGATCGACAGCAAGGAGCAGTACCCGGAAGGCCCGTATCAAATGCAAGTATGTCTGGGTCTGATGACATGTAAAGTTGTGATGCTAAATTTGGATCGTGGAGAAATTTGTGTTGCATGAATACCAAAAGTTGTGGTCCACTTTTGACAAAGTTGAGAGACAGTTTCTCATGCAGGAGTGGCATGGGAGAGATTCCGCAGAATCTGTCGTGCTAGGTTCTGTATCACAAAGCTCGTGGGTCATGGAAAACCTGCATCACAAGTCTTGCTATCTTTCCACGGAGATTTGCAGTTGATAGCCCGGGTTTCTCCACCATGTTCGTCGCGACCTGGCTCCCGCTCTTCTCCAACGTGATGAACCTGTTCGGGTTCTGGTTCTACTCCAGCTACATGCAGAACGTGCGGGTGTACACTTTAATGTACGCGTCCTATCAAATGCAAAAATGTCTGGGTCTGGAAGAATGCAACTTGTCATGCTGAATCTGAAGCAGGCAAAAATTTGTGTTGCATGATTACCAAAAGACGTCCACTTTTGAGCAGTTTGACAGGGAGTTTCTCATGCAGGATAGGCATGATAGACACCTCACAGCGTTTGTCATGCTAGGCTCTGCATTCCAGGCCTCAAGGGTCATGGAAAAACTGCATCACAAATCTTGCACGCCTCCAGACCCAGACATTTTTGCATTTGATACGTCCTCCGCGATCGCGATGGTTTGTAACCTGGCGGGGGCGCTTATGGAAGTGTCAGGTTTGAAATCGTCAAAGTTGAAATAATTTGTAATGCATAAAATGCATGACCCGAGGTACGTGTGTTGCAGAGCAGGCAAGTGAGGCCGATTGTCAGCCTGTTTGGGGTTACAGATCGAGCTGGTAAAGTAGCATGAGAAAATCGCTTTTCTTTGCCTAAACAGCATGACAAACTGGATTGAGGGACCACCGAAATTTGTCATGCGCCACTTGAAAACTGGGTTCCAAGTGGCATCCATTTTATGCATGACAAATTATTTCAACTTTGTCGATTTCAACTCTGACACATCCATAGCGCTGCAGTTCTCCCGCGTCATTCCCACGCCCGCGATGGACCAGTTTTTGATCCTCATGCTATCCTGAGTAAAAACGTACCCACACCAGAGTTGTAATGCAGATTTGCAAAGACAGGAAGACTTGTAATGCGCATCCCCATGAGAACCATTCCCAGTCGTGTTTTGGAATTTGTGATGCTGTGAACAGGATGAGCAGATGAATCTGTGATGCGGCTGCACATGCTAACCTGCACTACACTACGGACTGCAACTTGTGACGCGTGACCCCAAAAGTTCTCCGTTTGTGTTGCAAAATCCCCATCTTGACTCTGGTGTGGGGATGTTTTTACTCAGGATACATGTCCGCCGCGGTGTACGAGTTCACGCACGTGTGGTTTCTGATGTCGTTCTTCGCGCTGATGTCGCTACTCTGCCCGCGAAGACTCGAAGCCGTCATGTTCGCTTTGTTGCATTCGGTTACGCTTATGGGATTTGCGCAGGGACGGGCGAACGGGGCGGTGGTGTTGGATTTCTTATCTATTCACCCACGGGCGGAAGAGGGGGAGTCGGCGCAGTTCAAAAATCTCTGGATCGCGGCCTTGATTCACAGCGTGATGTCGTTCATCCCGATCTTGCTTTTACCCTGGCTGGTGCCCAACATCCACCTGACGACCAACATGGCCCAGAAGGACGCGGTTTCCGGGTCGGTGTACCGGTCTTTTTTAGGGTTGGAAACCGAGTTTGACGGGGAGGGCAACGTACTAGGTCACGGGAACAACGACGAGCATCAGAGGGGGAATAACCTGTATCACAGCAAATCGTCCACTCTTATGGCCACTACAAGTCCGGAAGACGAAGAAGACGGTGCAGCTGCATTGCCGTCCCCGTTTGCAAAGAACCGAAAGAAGAAATAAACCGATCTTGAAGAGCAGTATAGGTAGATCGGACGAGGCTGTAGTTCTGATAGGCCGCTGTCAAGATGAACTAATGGTCCTGTTTGATGCCAGAAGCATAGCTATGTGGAAGAAATCTTGAAATTTTCGCTTTCAACACGCAATTATCAATTGTCTATTTATCGTTTTATTTATCCCCGTTGTACCACTAAAATTACGCAGAAATTGTACTAAGATTTTAGGTTTGAAAACCCTTTCTGTATCCCCGCTGTAATTCTTGTACGATTGAAAAAATTCATGAATGAAATTTGTTCGTGAAGAAGTAGAAACGAGCGCCAGTGTCGTGTTTTTCTCCTTTCGATCTTTCAAAAAGGTTGTACCAGTGCTGTGCGTGTAGCTTACCTCTACTGCGTCACCTCGTGCTTGACGTGGCAAGAACAGCACGAGGTTTTGCGAATCAAAGTGCACAAAATAAATCTTCTGAGGGGCGAAGGAGGAAATAGCCACCTTGCGAAAGAACTAAAAAACTCCTTACAATCGTCGCTGAGCACCACCGTGGGACTGCTGTTCCCAGCACCTGCGTGCAGGTGCAGTATCGAAAACATCACTGCTAAGTACCACCTTGCGATGTTCAATACCAGTAAGTAGTCAGTCGCAATAGGAACTACAAACCAAGAAAGAGCGGAGATGATAGGTGCAGACTGATACTGAGAAAAGACTACACTGAGCGGAGATGGTACGAGATTTCTGACGGCACCTTGTGCAGCTTGAGTCGTTTTCTGTCGTCGTTTTGTTGCCTGCGGACCGACTTCTAGTGTTTCAGCTTCTCCTGCAGAGGAACAAGCCTACTTCCAGAGGAAACAACCTGCCGGCGTCAGTGGGCGACTCATATTTGTTACCGCGGAGAGCAACGCAGTACTCCTGCACTACTGCTACGGCTCCTCGCAGTTATCGGACTACGCAGAGGACCACGACAAAATTTAGATTTCTGTGGGGAAATTATACGGTAAGAATAACAGCAGAATAAACATCATGCCTTCCTTCCACGGGAGCAACAGCAGCTCCCAGGCTGCTTTAGACGCGTCTGTGATGCGTATAAAAGTGCACAACTCCCCCTCCCCCTCGTTTGTCATGCAAAATCCCAAATCCAGTTGCTGCCTTGTGGCACTGTCTGCATTACAAATTTTGGAAGCCCAAACTGGACGACACTGAGCGCACGAACTTGTCATGCGCGGCATCGACGTGTGCGGGTTTTCGTATTTCTGTTCATGCAATAGAAATGAGGGGGGGGGAGCTGCGCACTCTCATAGTGCGGCCGCAGGAGACACGGAAACCGTCCACGGTTTCCTATATCAAATGCAAAAATGTCTGGGTCTGGAAACTTGTGATGCCGGGTGGCGTATCATGATGAGGCCACAGGTGCTGGCTCAGCATGACAAGTTTCTGAGCTTCTAGGCGTTCTTGCCTATTTTGCATGACAGACTTTGTTTCTGCATGACAGAAAAGTGGAGCTCTTTGGTAACGTGCATGACAGATTCAAGAGTCATGCCAGACAAGCATGACAGACATGCAGTCTTCCAGACCCAGACACTTTTGCACTTGATATCCTACACCCGGAAACAGTCGCTGGTGGAAAAAATCAAAAAGTTCCAGACGGAGCGAAAATCCGAGCGGTTCTACCGCTTTTTGCACCACGATCTGACCTTCATCCTGTACTACTCCAGCACCCTGTGCGCGCTCTTCCACGTCTTCTACTGCTTGGTCAGGGAGGTATACAGTACAATTAATATTAGAGGGAATCTCAACATCTTCGTGGCCAACGTGCAGGAATCTTTGTGCTTGTAGCCAGCATGGTTTAATCGAGGCCAGAGTCCGATGCTGGTTTAAAGCTCGGTCAGTGATGCAGAACGTACAAACCATCAGAAAACTACAAACTTGTCAGACCGAGCCAAAGTCCGGGTCCAATCTGCAGAAGTTTTGCGACGCGGTGCTGCGAATTTTTTTCTCGGTCTGGCTGTGCGTGTCCATGATCAAGCAGCCCGCGCAGCTGTGGCAAGCCCCGTTCTACTTCTGGATGTCCTTGCACCTGTTCTCCACGGAATCGAGCACCGCGTTTGGAACGCTGTCCGTCCTATTCGGCGTGGTCATGCTGCTCGGCTGCATCGTGCTGTGTGCCCGGGAAGCGCGGTTCTACCTGGAGTCCCCGAAGCTATACAAGGCCTTCTCGACGCACGCGACGATGGTAAGATAAGGCGCTAACTTCGACAAGATGCAGCTAAAGATTTTGTGATGCGTGGAACTACGCTACTTGACAGCAGTTTTTCATGCAAAGTTCGCGTTATAACAAAAAACGAAAACCCCAGGTCGACGAGCGTGGTCGCATTCTCTTCTACCGCAAGACGAAACAAGCGCTGCAGGATATCAAAAGGAAAAATCCTCCCTCCCCATATCGAAACGAAGTTTCTGATGCTGGATTTCCGTATACAAATCCGATCTGTCTTGCAGTAGAGGACTGCAGGCATATGCCAAGCCTCAGTCGCGAGGTTTTGACGTAGGCGCCTAGCATGGCAAACGTGTATGCTCTAAGCCCAACAGCATCACAAACCGCCTGCAAAATGCGGGGCGCTTTCTGGACTTGCCTTCTTGCAAGACAGACAGGATTTGAGGCCACAAATGCGCATCACAAATTTTCAGACGGATACGTTTTCGATATGGGGTGGGGGGATTTTTCCTTTTGATACAGGACGCGGGCGCCTCGTCGGAGTTAACCACCCAGGAATTGAACCTGCTCATTGATTATGCATTGCAAATATGTCTGGGTCTGGAAACTTGTGATGCAAGAGAGGGAATAGTGAAAGCATTGTAATGCGCTGCCCAGCATGACAAGTTTTGCCGTGGTTCTGAGTTGCGTACTCCGCATGAGAAACTGCGTTTTTGCATGGCAGGCAAGAGGAGCGCATCGCGGCCACGCAATACAGAGTTCAGAGTCACTTTTGCCAGACTAGCATGACATCTCCCAGACCCAGACACTTTTGCATTCCATATCGACGGCATGGAGTTTTTCGAGAAATCGGTCGAAGATCCGAGCACGCTGACCGTATGAAATGCAAAAATGTCTGGGTCTGGAAGGATCCGAACTTGTGATGCGCATTTTAGAACACTGAAAAATCTCTCATGCATAGGTAGCAAAAGCTGCCGACTTTCTGTCACCAAAATAGGGGATTTCTCATGCGGGTTCGGCATTGCGGAAGCGTCTCGAAACCTGTGATGCTAGAGCTTCCATGCCAGACCTCCTGCGCCATGCAAAAACAGCATGACTCTTTTAGACCCAGACATTTTCACATTTGATAGACCGAAGAACTGTACATGAACTGGGACCAGTTCGCGCTGCTGTACGAGGGGTATGTGAAGATGCTGGAGGCGGGAATATCCTGTGCAAAAGTATCGTACTCGTAGTAAAAATGGCAGTCATGCATTACAAATCTCCATCCCAAGGCAAAACAGCATGACAAACTCCCTTTGTCATGCTGAGCTAATTTGTATTGCAATTACTACTAGTGCGATACTTTTGCAGTTCATAGGGAAAATTCCCGAACCACGCCGGCAAGGCCGCCGACAAGGCAAAAGCAAAGGCTTTGTATGGAATGCAAACATGTCTAGGTCTGGACGAAAAGTGGAACTTGTAATGTGTGTCTTGCATTCCTAGAAAATCTGTGTTGTGTGAGCAGCAGAGGAGCCGCTTCCTTTGTCATGCGAAAACGCAACTTGTAATGCGTGCCAGACATCAGAAAGCGTTTCAAAAACTTGTCATGCGTGGCTGCCATGGTAAGCGTTGCAATTAGCAGCAAATCTGCATCACAGGTTTCCAGACACATTTGCACTGCATACTATGGACCAAGAAACGATTGGCGCAAACGCGGGAATCGAATCGGTGTCCACCGGGACGGGACTGGGCAACGGACCGATCATCATGCAGGAAGACGGCACGGTATCCACAGAAAGTTTTGTCTTGTAGTACGCGTACAATAACTGCGGACTCTGCATGACAAGAAGTTCCTCTAGTGGCCCATTCAGCATGACAGATTGCACACACTGTAGGTTGCTGAAACAAAAATTTGTGATGCGTTTTGTACTACTACAGGAAAAGTAGATTTGTATTGCATACATGGGATCAGTGCCGGATGAGTCGGTGCTCGGACCCGCGCACGACGCCCGGCTGTCGCACGCGATTATGCACTGCAAATATGTCTGGGTCTGGAAGAGTGCAAGTTTGTCTTGCTTGGCTAGCATGACTCGGAAGTCTGTCATGCGCGTTATCCAAAAGCCACAGCTTTCTGCCATGCAAAAACGCAGTTTGTCATGCTGGATAGACAACACCTAGCAACTGAGTAACTTGTCATGCTGAGCCGTGATTAGTAGCGTCTTCATGATTCGCCAGTCAGCATCACAAGTTTCCATCCCGAGACATATTTGCAGTTGATAGCGATTGGCGGGGGGCAAGGGAACATCGTGCAGATCGAATTGGAGGACGTAGCCATTCACGAAACCGACGAGCCCGATGCGGAGTAACGGAGTAGAGATTGCGTCTGGTTTTCTGGTGGGAAAAGAAGAAACGAATGAGGTAGGAATTTTAAAGATTTTTCTTCGAAACAATTACAGGAAACAAGGAACTCCTGGATCGAGCACGCTCGAGTACTCAAAAACAAACTGCCAATAAACCCTGCTAGAGTGGTCCAACAAAGTCAAAAACGCGATAAAAACACTTTCAAACCGCCCAAGCGGTAGACAAACACTCCAGCTATCACTACAAATTAAGCCCAAAGAAATTCTAGTAAAACAAACGAAACAAAGTCAAAGCATTATCGGCAAAGAACAGCAACATCTCTGTAAGAACCAACCAGCAGCAGTAAGTACAGTAGGAACAATAATATCAATCGCCCGTATTTTTTCTCAACTAAATAGATCAAGCAACGTAGAAAGAAGGAGCTTGCATTGGGATCAAAGGGATTGCGGCTAGCAATAGATTTTTTGACCAAACACGATTGCGAGTGAATTTCGAACACATTTCAATGTACCCCGGGGAGAAGTGATCCGCAGATCTGCAAAGCCAGATCGTAGAGTGTCAATTCTCAAGTTCTTAACGATTCAAGATGAAGATTCTTCAAATGCCCAATTAGTTGTAAACCGCAATGCGAATAATTTGTTGCAGCAAATACAACCGGTGCAGTACTTGCAGGCGCGGCAAGGACAAAGCTGCGCGTCGCATGGTATCTAGCCAAAGTTGACAAAACTGTGTTCACCGTCAGTCGGCAGTGCAGATTGAGAATTCACATATTAGCCAGCTTGAGCTGCGAAGTAAGAAGATCTGTTTGCGACACCTCGAGCGGAAGAGAACAGCGAAGTGTAAATGCGATGACCTCAATCCAGAAATAGAGGCAGAGTGAAACATATCGATTTCATCGGCCACACTGAGTCATAGGATCTTCACGCTGATAGAGATCTTCCATACCAAAACTACAACCCGCTCACCGCAACTCCAGTGTAATCGGCACCCAGATAAGAATTTCAAAAATCTCTTGCCCCGGACAGAACAGTAGAGCTGTGAATTTCATCTGTAAAAACTTCTAAAGCCGCTCTAGTACTGTTCTGTTGATCTAAATTCCTGCCCAGACCGAAAATCCTAGTACAACTACCGGTTTGTCACGATCCAATCGAAGAAGAGTACTCGTGGAGATAGTTCGATGTAAAGGCAGAAGGACTCACATATCTGCATTCATTAATTGAACTTCATCCAACTACCGCCCCAGCAGGATATAGTATCTGTATCTGGATTTAATTCTCTCTTCTCTATCTGAGTTGTAAATCTTCTATCTCTTTATCAGGGTTCTAAACACCACAGCATCACAAACAACAACACAAGATGTCGCAACAGGGTTCCGTCAAGTTTTTCAACGCTGAGAAGGGCTTCGGCTTTATCCAGCCGGCCGAGGGAGGTGAGGACATCTTCGTCCACTTTTCCGCCATCAACAAGGAAGGTTTCAAATCCCTGAACGAGGGTTATCGTAAGGAAAAATCCCCCCTCCCCATATCAAAACGGAATTTCTGATGCTGGATTTGTGTACACAAATCAGCTTTGTATTGCAGGAAGGCATTGCGGCCAGATCCCCAGGCTAGGTAGGGGCGTATGGGTCTAGTTGCTCAGCATGACAGACGGCTCACCTTTGGGTCCAACAGCATGACAAATCGACTCCATAATGGGCGGAAGCTTCTGCCCTTGTCTTCTTGCAATACAAACGTGATTTGCGACCTCAAATCAGCAACACAAATTTTCGGAAACATACCTTTTCGATATGGGAAGGGGGGATTTTTCACTTTGATAAGGGTGAGACCGTCTTCTACGACACTACCTTCGACCAGGCCAAGAACAAAACCGCGGCCATATCCTGAGTAAAAACGTACCCACACCATAGTTGTCATGCAACTCTGCATGCTTAAAATGTTTCTCATGCGGAGCCCCATGAGAAGCATTTTCTAATGCGGTTTTGAAATTTGTCATGCTCCAATCAGCACGAGATACTAGATCTGTAATGCTGCTAAACTAGCTCAAACAGCACTACACTACGCGGACAAACCTGTCATGCCAAACAACCAAAGCTGGCTGATTTGTCTAGCAGATTCCCCATCCTGACTCTGGTATGGGTACGTTTTTACTCAGGATAGGCCATGAACGTTTCTGGTAAGGGTGACGGCATCCCCCGCCAGCAGAAGGGCGGTAAGGGTAAGGGCGGCGGCTTCGGCAAGGGCGGCGGCTTTGGCATGGACAAGGGCTACGGTGGCGGCTTCGACGGTATAATTTTTGATACAGTTTATTTCAGTTTTGGAACGTGTGTTTTATAGTAGTAGCGGAGGAGAAGACCGCTAGCTTCTATAATCCCTCGCGCTTTTTCGGTTTGTGCTTTGAATTCCTCGTTTAGAATTTTTCCTGCATAGTTTTTAACTGTGGTAGTGACATCAGGATCAGACTCCACATAGCTGTTGCAGCTGCAGCTGGCTAGCAAGTCTGTTGTCGGTCTTGTATGCCTGAAGGTGGCTGATGTGATTGCAACGGCGGATTTATTTTCAGCGGGAAAGGACGTCTACACATACGCAATTAGAGACAGGAGAAACACTTTTGCTCAAAGAAAATGTTTTCTCGATAATTCAACAGGCTACGGCGGGGGCTTCGACAAGGGCTATGGCGGCGGCTTCGACAAGGGCTACGGTGGTGGCTTCGACAAGGGCTTTGGCAAGGGCGGATTCTACTAAATGCGTTTCAGCGTCATCGAATGTTTTTAGTATCGAAACTGAACGGAAATGATAATGAAGAAGAAAAAGAACTTACCCCTGATAGGGTTCTCGAAGAGATGACTTGGTTTCCCGGACCAACTTGAGACTACTTAAAGAACACTAAGTGGAGCCAAGAAATCGTTTTCCACCCTATTACACCACCCCCGGTCTAGAAGGACTAAACTACACACAGCAAGAAGTTCTTGTTGGCCCATATTTTGTACACTATTGTTCACACTCTACTCTACTACAATCGGAGCGACGGAGCATTGTTTACTGTTCAAAGGCTGACAAATATGTCGGAGCGACTGTTACAATTTGGATAATGCGACAAAGACTATTACAACCGAAAAACCTTTGTGATGCTGATTTAGAACTTTCGTCAAAGAGCTACGCCTATTCAACGATGCGGTTCGCAACTTGAGCCGTTTTGACCGTTTAGGTGTAGTTCGCCTTGTATAAAGCGCCAGTCAACATCGTGCGCTAGTTTTTCTGAGGAAAAGAGAATCTGGGTGTTGTACTATATCACCGATATTGCCAAAGCTTTTCTGAGATTGAGGTCTGTGTTGAAATCATCTTGTTGCCGCTAGTGGTTCACCAGCTGCGGAGATAAACAAAGGAGCAACAGCCAGAATTTTTTCTTTGGTTGTCGCGACTTCAAGGGCTAGCTTACTTACACACGCGCGCGCGCAGCTGGTGCAACTAGCGACAGTCATTTATTTCAGCCCAAAGAGCTCAACTTTGAGTAAAATTGCGGCAAAAATGTTTTCACTCTGCACGACGGATTTTTTTCAAAAATCACCCATGCGGCAGCTATTTTTCCGCAGTTTTCAGTTATGTCCCTCATCTTTTCGGGAAGTGGGTCATTCACTCTGCGGACTCGGATTTTTAGCTGCGCATAGAAGAAGTAGCTGTACCATGCACCCAATTTATATCACTACCAAAAGAAGCACTATTTTCTACAACAATTGAAGCGCTGGATGGATCTGTAACGGCAGAAAAATTATAGGATCAAATTCAGTCTGTGGCACAGAGGACAGCACAAAACTACCCGCACTAGAACAATACATTCCGTATTTCAAGAAAAGGAACGAGGTGGGGATGAGATGATTTTTCGAAAAATCTCTTTTCTACTCAGAACTGTTGATCGCGGCCCTGACAAACATCATATGAATTCTTTTTTTGCTTTCTAGCTGTGGACAGAAAAAAAGCTTCTCGGTTTTCAAATCTCAAAAGCATATCTTTACTGTGCTATGTAGGACTCTGCTTCTCTATTAAGGACTAACCTTTCGCTGCATTACAGAATTTGTGTTTTGTAAAAATGCCACAATAGGAGTTTGCTACGGAAACTTGCACTACAAGTAGAAGCTATAAGCTCCATATGACAAAAATCCTACCTGAGAACTTTGCTCTACCAAAAAAGGCAGTGTCTTGGCAACGATGGTACGTACCCGGGGGGCAAGAAGAAGTCGCGGAGTTCTTTTGCGGAATTTTCGCTCTTCTGTTTGTCGTCTTGCTAGTACCGTAGTTCCAAAGATTTCGCACGAAACAAGACTCGCAGAACTGAACTATTTCTTCAACAAGCACTACTTAGACTATTCCTTTAGTACATAACTAACACGTCTCGCCGCGTGGTCGTGGGGTAAAAGTATCATCGTCTTCGTGTCTTCCATTCAGACAGCCTCTACCAATGTAGTTGCCTGTTTGGATGGTTGTTCGGATGTCTGGCGGTGCTTCCCCCATGATCTTCCCGCACCACCACCACACTATTGATAGCTAAGGTTGAAAAAATATTGTTTCGATAAGAAAAAACTGAGAAGGAGAGTTTTATTGGGGGTCGAAGGAAACAAGATGAAAATCGTAGGCAAAATAGAACTGGTCTATTTGAAAAATTCTCTACTTCGCACGCGCAGTCTGTACTGATGTTGTCTCTAGATCGTTTGCTACGTTTCGCACTTTGGTTTTATTGCAGATACTTACACTATCGTTTAGAACTATCGTACGTATAACGAGGAACAGCACTACTTTTAGAGCACTACAAGAGCAGGTTAATGGAACGAGGCACTAGAAAAGGTTGTGAATTCTGCTATGTAAGGTGAACAAATGTATCAGATTGTTGCTGCACATACAGAAGATGATCTTTAGGAACTGGGAAAGAAGGATTTAAAAAAGACCACAGGACTGAAAATACTAAAAAAGCCGTAGATAGACATTGCTTCGACACAGTTTCTGCATCTCAACATCGCCTGTGAACGCCATGTCTGGATCAGGCGGGGGGATCGGTTGTGTGCCGAGGTTTTGTTGTGTTTACGGTACAGCATGAAAAACTACTTCGCTTTGCCACAGAAAAGAACTGAAGAACTGTAGTTTCACAGAACTCGAGATTGTTGGAAGTGATAAGTATGTCAATACACAATTCTCCGAAAAAAACAGACACCCATTCAAGAAGCTCTTGATGTACTGTAATACACCTATGCCGCTAGAACAAGAACTTGAACTACGCTGGAAGATGAAATAGGCTGCTTCGAATAAAATTTCAAAAACACAAAAAAAGAAAGAAAACTAAAAAAAAAAGCGGGAAAAAATGACAACTAGAACCAGATGGGTATTTGCGATGATGTGATGCTTCATGGTAGAATTTGCGCTGATAAAAATCCGGATTGAGGTTATTCTCGCGATGCTGATGATTTTTGTTGTGAAAAAATAGAAAGACTGCCGTGACTGTGGATGGCGATACGCCTCCGATTGTAAATGGTGCAAGCAGTTCATCCGTGTTCCGTGCTTGCGTTGTAGTGGTTTGTAGTTTTGCGGAAGGTTTCGAGATCTCCTTCCCTTGCGCAGAGAGAGGAGATCAGTGGCAGCTCCTGAGAGCCCTGCCACAAAATTCGTGTGTGAGAGAGGTCTCCTGGTATGGATGCTGAGGTCTCTGTCTCATGTGTTGAGAGGTGTGGCTACTTTGGTGACTTCGAGTGAGTCAGGTTCTGAGCGAGAGGTGGGCGCAGGACTGGAGAGGCAGAAGACAAGACGCTCGTTTCAATCTACAGGCCTTGCTAAGAAGATTGCGTCTACTGCCAGTAAAGCAAGATGGGAGTGCGCGCCTTCGTTGGTGCCTCAAGCAGGCGGCGTTTTCCGTGTGGCGCTTCTAGCCGCGTTTTCTCCACCTTGGAGCGCCCCGGGCAGCGCAGATGCACGGCGACAGTGCGTGGCCGTGGCCCGCCCGGACTCGTGTCAGTGCACAAAATAGACCGGGGAGCCGCGATACTGCGCGGCCCCCGCCTGGAAGCGGCCGGGCCCGGAACATGCCTGCGCAGCCCCCCCTTGGTACGGGGGGGGGGGCAGCACTTTCGAAGAGGCGCATCGCGGCGGCCGGATAGCCAGGCGGGCCGGGCTCCGTCTTTCGCAGTGCGAGAGCCGACCAGCAGCATGTGGCCACAGGCCCTGTGCTTTGTGTCGCAGCTCGCTATGCCTGGAATCAAAATCAGCAAACACAACTCCGATCAGCAAACACAACTCCGACAACGCCGACAGCGGGAAGCGCATGCTTACAGGCCCCGCATGCCGGGCAAGGGAATCGCGCCGGGAAACTCTGCGGCAGGCTAAAAGCTAGGCGCCACGCAGGCGCCGGCCACAGTCCTCGGCCCCGGGCGGGCCGGTCTGCGCACCGTTATGGATTGGCGCGGGGGGGGCGCCGCGCAGGCCCCTCCACGCTGGCGGGCGCCTCCGCCGCTGCGGCGGCCCGGGGTTTCGCTGCGTTTGCTTTTAGGCGCGCCCCCGCACGCGGCGGCGTGGGGCTCAGGGCATCGCCTGCGAAAGTGCCCGCCCGCTGGCGCGTGCCAGTACTCCTTCGCGCAATACGGGGCTGCGCGCTGCCGCCGCAGTTTCGCGCGCCCGGCGCCCGCCTAGCGCGCCGGCAGCGGGCCACACGGCTTGTGGCGTCCGTTGGCGTTGCCCCACTGCAGGTGCCGTGCCGTTGCCGTGGAGGTGGCCTGCGCGTCGATAGCTGTTGAAGAAGATTGCACTTGGCCCCCCCTACAGAATCCGGCGCAGTTCTCGTTTTTGCCCGTTGCTGGTGTTCGCGGTGCGGCTACCTTCTTCTCCTGAAGTGAGAGCGATCAGAGATATTTCTATTTGGACAGCACATCATGACTGCAGTCGTGCACGCACACGAACTGTTGTTGTTGCCTCACATTTTTCATACAACAGATAGACTTCTCCACGTTTCTTCACAAAGCGATCCGTAAAGTAAGCTGGACACACTACAAGAAGCTTTTGGAAGTAGCACGTCCTTCTTTTTCCTAATCCGAAACCAAATAGCCACCAGTATAATAATCTCCTGGAGTAAAAATCGTCACAAATCTAAAATGTGGCCTCAAGCTCCCTCCGCGCGAACGAGTGAGCGACATAAATTTTTAGTTCCTCTGCTGCACAACGACACTACACGTAGACAAAGCCATGTTCTCCTTTTCCTATACTACGATGCCCTTCAGGTTTCTAGCTATCAGTATCTGTTGAGTTGCTGTCACATTTTGATTTCTGCCCTACACTGCCATACACGTTTGTATAATAAATTCACAATCACCTCCTGTTTCATTTTGACAACAAGCTTCTAATATTACGGAGTAAATTTTTCCAGAACCAGAAACTCTCGTGGTCTCACCAACCGTAGTAGTAGATCACCTTGCATCTTCTCCTTGTCAACAGAGCGCGTTCCGAGATTGATTCCTTCTTGTCGAAGAACGAAGCAAACCAAAAAAAAATGTCTCTGACTGGCACCGTGAAATTTTTCAACGCCGAAAAAGGCTTTGGGTTTATCCAGCCTTCGGACGGCGGAGACGATGTGTTCGTCCACTACACCTCGATCGAAAAAGAAGGGTTTAAGGCGCTGAACGAGGGCGAAACGGTTACCTACGATACCCAGATCGACGTATGGAATGCACATATGTCTGGGTCTGGAAGAGTGGAACTTGTAATGCCGTCTGCGGATTCGAAAAATATCTGTGGTGCATGGGCAGCAAGAGGACGAGTCAGTTCTTGGCACGCCGAGAGGGCATTTCTCATGCGTAATTAGCATCAAGAAGCTCTCAAAAGATCTGTGATGCTAGCACCAGCATTACAGACCTCATGGGTCATGCGAAATGTGCATGACAACGACAAGTCCTGACTCTTCTAGACCCAGACATTTTTGCAGTTGATACGACGAGGCCAAGGGCAAAACCGCGGCCATCAACGTGCACGGAAACGGCGACGGGGTGCCGCGCATGAGCAACAAGGGCGGAAAGGGGAAGGGCAAGGGAAAGGGAAAGGGGTTTGACAAGGGCGGATTCGGGAAGAAGGGCGGTTTCGGGAAGGGCGGATTTGATAACGGATTCGGGAAGGGAGGTTTCGGAATGGACAAGGGATTTGGGGGCGGCTTCGACAAGGGCTTCCAGCCGAAGGGCGGCTTCGACAAGGGCTTCAACCCGGGCTTCGGCGCCCCGCCGATGAAGGGTGGCTTCCCGCCGATGGACCCGGGCTTCGGCGGTCCGATGTACTGAATGTGAGGCGGCTTTTGATGTCGGAAATGAAAAATACAGAATTCAGAACAGAAAACGAGATTTGAGGAGCAAAGTGGTACTAACCTCACACCAGAATTGCGCACCTTTTTTTTTGTGGACAGAAGGAGAAATAGAAGTCCACCGCTGCTTTTGACGGCAATTCTGAATTTAACAAAACTTGACGTGTATGAAGCAAGCTATTTGTAGCATACACCGCCATTGAATCTTTTTACAGCATTCTAATTTATTCACATCAACTTGACAGAACTTCAAAACATCTCTACTCTAATTCGGTTGCGAACAAATTTTACAACTAGTTGAACACTTTTTTCTTTCGCGTTGCGGCGCGATCGGGTAGCTTGTTTGTCGAAATTTTACACCTGCTTTTTTCACACTAAACAAAAAATTATCCGAGTGGCCCACTACAACACTCGAGATGAAAGAATCGCGATTAAGTTTTTTTTACACCAAAACACACATGTCTGGAACTGCACAACGATAACGCACTGAACGACCAAAATAGAAGGGAGCGTCATTTCTATTGCAGCCGGCTCCATGTCTATCTATTATTCAGGTGGTTGTGATAGGAAGGGGTAGAGCAACATGGGGTTGCTGCACGGACGGTTCTTTCTATTCGGAAAGAGAAAATTTCTCACTACAACATGAAGAGGCACGGAGGGACGAAAAACTATCTCTTTAGATTAAGACACCGCACCGCTCTTGGCAGGAGGGCTGTTAACACCGTTGCACTGTTGCGTGACGAGATGCACTACTTTACTCGTTCGGGTCTGTTTCCCAACGAATAGAGCGTGCTAGTACTTACCCCACTCTAGTACTGATATAATTTGGTGAACGGCAGCACAGCCTTTTTTGCCGAGCGGTAAATGAGAATGGTGTTGCGAGTCTTGCTGAAGACTCGCGACAGAAACATGCCATGACTCATTTCTTACCATCTAGATCTGTTAAGAAGTGTATCGGAAAATGGAATTGCACTCTAGCATCGAAGAACTAAAAACTATGGACATATATATAGCGGCACTCTGTAGTGAGTACTACTTGCTACATGTACTACTACTACAACTCAGGAGTCTTAAGACAGAGCATTACTTTCGAAGAATACTTCTGCGGAGCAGCTCCCATCGCAATAAAGATATTTTCGTGGAGACGCGCCGTGGTCTTTTGCTTTCTGGTCGTTCTGGTCACAGCTGTGACGGCAGTGCGGCCGGGAGTAGAGGTAGCTGCTGCGACATCAACATCGAAAATATTAGAACAAGGAAATAATACCCAACGAACAAGACGAAGATTATGGAGGGCAACCGCGGTGGGTTATCGGAAAAGATGAAAATCTCTACCACTATCACTCGTAGCACAGAAATAGAAAAATCTCGCTTGTACTACTGTTTAGTACTAACGCAAGAACCCAGCGATTTCTCGTCACAAGATGTAAAAATCCAGAGAACTACTTTACTACACGCTCAGTTTAGGAAAGCAAGAGTACTCTTACTGCACTGAAAACCAAATTATTTGGAAAGAAGGATGAGAACAGGGCGTGGATGTAAAACAGTATTATTTCTGCTATGGCACAAAGAAAATTTTTTCTCTACAACTTGGAGCAATAATTTCTTGTGGTAAAAAGAACCTACAAAGCATTAAATCGCTCAAGCAAAAGAGTAGAACTCTGTGACAAAATAACTCTGCGGACGACATTTCGAAATTCATCACTTCTAATCGAGACACCGAATTTAGTACAGCGGACGTAATATTGTTATGTAGCTCACACCAGCACAAGAACTCTGTATGAATTTTCGATGTTGTGCGAGAACAGAGTTTCTACTGCTTCTCTGCCCTATATAATTGCTCTATATGAAAATCAACAAAAACCTCCTATCAGCTCTAATAGATCTTCGTGGTGTCATCTTCACCAACCAATAACAGAACAAGGCTGGCCGAAATAATACATTGATTCTCTGCTACGAAAAACTGTGACTCGGGGGCTATTCAGAGTGGCCCAGATGGAAGTAGATGAGCATTGGTTTATTCGATAGCAGCAGAAGCAGTTTGGCGACATTCGAAAGCGCAGCAGTGCCGAGATTCTGTAAATCTAAATGTTGTACCAGCTATGAAGAAGGAAAAAGAACTATGGCGAACAAGAAGAATAGGACGCCGGAAATAAGTAGCACATATTGGCTCTCTGCCATGCCAAATGGCAGCGCAGCGGGTCAATTTTTTTTTCCGTCGTTGCCAAGAAAAAGAAAACCAGTATATTACAGATGAAAAAAAGGACGAGGATGGTAGGCTGTGAAAATAATATACACAAGTTACAGCTAGTGCTTGTGGCATCGTTGCCTCGAGTACTATGGAAGGTTGTGGCACAGTTTTCCTAGCTCTACCTACGAGAAACTGGTTGGAGGCTGTGGCCTCGAATTGTTTGCACTGAGATGAAGATTTTTCCCAGACTAGTCTCATCACTTGAAAAATTGAAAAAAAGCAAAAAATACTTGTCACTGTTTTTGGCAGCTCCTGCCACGTGGCACGTTGCCTGGTTTTTTCTGGAAGGACATCAAGCGTGTTCGGAGGAATATGGATCGCGAGTTGCCTATTCAGTTTCGTGAAGATATGGTGCTGCAAGTAGCGGGCTGCTGCTGGTGAAAGGTGACAAGTAATCACATTAAGATTTTTGCGGCGGTCCAGTGAACAGGCGCTGCTGGTGCCCGGTTCTTACTTTCTTTCGCGGCTTTGCTTGCCGCTCGGGATACCTGGAAAAAGTGATGGCTTGTTGCTGATGATAGAGAGGTAACGAATTGCACGAGTGATGAACAAGATCTAATCAGTGGAATACGAGAATAAAGAACTAGCGCTCCGTCTGTGACGTCTTCATCTAAAAAAAAGTCTTCACAAACCAAGCATCGATAGAACTAGTGCAGTTTCGAATGCGATGTTTTCTTAGTGCCTAGTGTCCAGACAGAGAACAATTAGCTAGCAAGAATAACGAAGGAAATCGAAATTATTACATTTCTCTTCACCCGCGAAGTAAAAATATCCTGAAATCATGCCGCCTGTCCCTGACAACCCCGCGGGCGGGAGCTCTGCCTCCTCGTCCTCGGCAGCCGCCTTGCCGATGAATCCGGATTACCACACATTTGATGCGATACTGGACGGTGCTGCGACATCAAAAACCGGCGACCACGCACCCGGTTCCTCGAGAGGACCAATTTCGACAACATCCTTCCTGGCACAGAACTCCGCCAGCAGGAATAAGAAAAAACCGGTGGACCTCTCGAACCTGCTTCCGGAAAACATGGATCAGATAGACTCAGAGTCGCGCCCCGCGGGAGGAGGGAGGAGTAACAATCTGAAAAATAAAAACTCAGCGGCGCGTAGCGGTCCCTACGGCGCCAAATCTACTACGTCGTCTGGTGCTCCTGCCCAGATGTTGACCACCGCAGGAGAGCAGATGAATACGGCACAGAGAAAGCAGGCCAGTGGGAAAGCGAAAGCGAGGCCGAAAAATAGTAGTAATCTCGGGATGAACAAAAGTTCCACTCGGGGCGGCGGGAATGGAACCTCTTCCAGGACCACGACAGATGTTTACGGGAGTTCGAAACGAAAAATTCATCCCGACACGGTATCATCTGCAAATATGTGCTCTGGGTATGAAAAAGTGGAACTTGTGATGCTTGCCTTGCATTTGCATTTCTGTAAAGTCTGTGTTGCATACTTAGCCGAGGACACAAGCAAAGCGTCTTTTGTCATGCAGATGAAACGGACGCAGCTTCCCTCCTCGATATGCGCACAAATGATGATGACGAACCAGGAGCGGTCTTGTTCTTTCAAAAAACTTGTCATGCTTGGCTGCAGTTAAAGAGATGTGCCAGAAATTTTCCAGAACACGTCGAGAGGACATGTTTGCATTGAATACACGGAGGAGCTTTACAACGCATGGCACGGCGAGCACAACTATGAACAAGAGAAACAGCTCTCCGATAGTCTGAAAAAGTACGCGAATGAAAACATTGACAAGTCCGACCTGCTGCACATGGCTTCGAAGTTCTTGGACATTTTCGACGTGCTGCGGCTCCGCTGCGTCAACAAGGACATGTACAAAATCAAGCCGGATAGCAGGCAGTTGAAAATGAAAATGATCAAGAAGCTCGCCCGCATTTTAGACTTCGGCGCCAACTGTCCCCAGCTGGATTTGAATGTGAAGATGGCAAACGAGTGCCCGGGATTCTACACAAACCACTTTGATCGGGAGGGGACGCCGTATTTTGATAGAATTGGTTTTTTCTTTCTACTGTATGTCGCATCTGTATCAAGAGTGGGTGCAGCTGTCGTGTATCACAAGGAACAAGTCGGGTGTTGTTTTCAGCTGCGGGTTTGTTCAGTACTACCCAGCACAATGTTTTTGACACTTGAATGAAATGTCGACAGAACGAACCCTGTCAGGTTTATGCGCGGTGTCTGCCTGTATACCTCCGACGAGCGAATGCGATGCTCCTGGGTCGAGCGCTTATCAACTGCAAATTGATATGTCTGGGTCTGGAAAGACGCTGCAGCGAATTTGTGTTGCTGAGTTTTGCATGGCAGAGCGATCTTTTGTACGGCGTCCGCGCATCGCAAATTTTGCAGGTGGTATTGCGAGTTCTATGGTGTTTTGCATGACAATCTGAGTTCCACAGCATGACAAAAAAATCAGCTCGATCGTGTTCATGCATCACAAATGCTCGCTATCCTTCAAAGTTCGCATCACAAACCCAGACCGGCATACATATTTGCATTGGATAGCGCTACCTGTTCTCTGATCTGGCGGAGTGGAACCCGGATCCCGCGAAGGAACCTTTCGATATCCATTGCAATAAACATGCCTAGGTCTGGAAACTTGTAATGCTGAGTGGCGATCATGATTGAGCATACTCCTGCTTGCAGCCAAGCATGACAAAATTTTCGAATTCCAGTTCCTCATGCGTAGTGCGCATTAGAAGCTGCGCGTTTCTTGCATGACGGAAGAAGCAGATTCCCTATCCCTTTTGTTGCTGATGCAATACAGATTTTACAGGAATCCAAGACACGCAATACAGGTTCCACGCTACTTCCAGACCCAGACATCTTTGCATTCGATATTCGAATCGCTGAAGCGACTCTGGGACTTTCAGACAAAACGGAAAGTCGGCGGAGTAGCTTCTACTACCCTTTTGCTTGTAATTTTGCTATACTTCTATCTTGGTGTAATCTTCGTCTTCGAATCAGGAAGAATTTTCGGTAATTTGAATTTTTTGTTCGCAAAGTGGTTGCTTGAAGATGCTGTTTGTCATAAGCAGACATGTATGTGCTGTTGTGACTGATCATTTTCGTTCTTCGTTCTTCACAGCGAAGAAGAAGATCATGATGCGGGGAAGAAAATTCAAGAAGCTACGAACGTGTTTTTCTACTAAAACAGAACGACGCCGTGCCGAATCGCACATGGCAAGTCGAGTTTGTGAAACCGCGGCGGTGGCAGGAGATTGTGCAGGCCAGCTGCCCCTGGAAGGTCAAGCTGCTCGCGCTGGTATGCAGGAAGATAGAAGCTATCGTCTTAAGGCACGTTTCAGTTCCCTTCTGGAATATCAGGACTGGAGAGCTTCGTATAACAGAGGTGCGACTTGGGACAGTCGTTATCCAATGTATGCATGGAGGAGAGACGTCGAGGTCTTTCTATTCAGTACTCTCTGCATGATCCTGCATGTTTTGGCACAAGGAGCGCCACAAGTAGTAACTGCATCACCTTGTTCACGAAATTGTACTGAAGACGATGAAAGTTTTGACTACGGGCATATTGCTTCTACCACCACCACGCCAGCAATCCCACGAAAGTCGAAATTAAGCAGACGCTCCTCAACCTGCTCATGCGCGAGATCGGCCACGAGATGCATCTATTGGGGATTTTACTCGATCCGCTGACACAACCTTTGTAGGGGAGAGTAGAAATAAGGACCAAGTGAAATAAAACGCTTTCTTCTTCGCGCCAGAGGACAGATACAGACCCAGACTCCTGTTTTGGGGAAATAAAAGAATCGAGGGTTGTAATTCCCATAGCAGGAAAACGAGAAATAGGAAGATTCCACGGGAGCAATTCTCCTGTAGTTGCACCTCTATCGGATGGTGACACTGCATGCCGCAGAATCTGGCGCAGTAGATAGAAAAGAGGTTGCCACTTTATTCGAGCCGCTCGAATGCTTCTGTTCCGTCGTTGCAGGAGTGCTTCGTGCTTTTCTTTCCTCCATGTAGAATTTAATACTCCTGTTCTTTTGAATGATCATAGATCCAACAAAGAAAGCGAGAAATTATAGAACATGACGAGGAGCGTAAGTAGTTTAAGATATACAGCTGTTCTTGTAACTGTGAAAGTTCTTGTCGGAGTGTGTGTGACCTCACTGTAAATTTCTCAGAATTTTCTTCCGAGAATCTGCCTAATAGTTCTGCTTCTACCCTGTCTTTTACGTTTTTCCCATTTTTACAGCGACACGACCAGTAAGTAATAATTCAATAGTACTCTAGTAGCGACCATACAAACTTCTAGAAATTTGTGCAGGCTTTGATACAACATCAGTAGTCTTTAATTCAACAAAATTAAGTAGTACAAGTACCACCAACGACAGACACGCCCACCCAATGCCCAACATGAAGCTGCCTTTGAAATGGGGGAAGCAAGAATTGACCGTCGACGTCGAAGAGGGTCTTTCGGTCGAGGATTTTAAATCCCTGGTTTATTCCATGACCATATGCATTGCAAAAGTATCGTACTCGTATAAATGCATTACAAATTTCCTCCGCGTGAGAAATAAAATTTGTAATGCGGATTTACGATACGAAAAAAATGCAACACTTGCATTTATACGAGTGCGATACTTTTGCACAGGATAGACCAACGTGCCGACGGATCGGATGAAATTCCTCGGATTTGCCGGCGGTTTGTTAAAGGATTCGGACGACCTGACGGCAAAAATCAAGAAGCTGAAACCGAATGCGAAAGTGCAGCTGGTATAAGAAGGTCAAGTAAGTAGACACGGAGTTGCACTGTTGAAGATCATTTCTCGAGAATGTAGAGGTAGTTGTGCATCATGCACAATTTATTTTCACTGTTGCTGAAAAAGTTGCAGGAGATAAACGAGGAAAATATAATGTGTCCTGAAACCTTGGTCAACCCGTTCCTCACCATCAAAAAATCTTCGTACTATCAGATCGGCACTGCCGAGGGAAAGGAGATCGAAAAGCCGGCTGAGAAAACGGTTTTCATGGAGGATCTCACCGCGGAAGAAAGGGCAAAAATTTTGAAGGAAAAGAAGATCGAGGTGCTCCCGTGCGGGCTGAAAAATCTCGGGAACACCTGCTACATGAACTCCGTTGTGCAAGTTTTGAAAACGGTGCCCGAGTTCAAGGACGGATTGATTCCAAGCTCCTCCTCCTCCAGTTCTTCCTCCTTCGCGGGCAGTCTCGGCGCGCCCAGCGACGGGCAGTTCGTCACCTCGATGCGGAATTTTTTCAACCAGATGGAGTCTACCACCGACACCGTCACCCCGTTTGCTTTTGTCAACACCTTGCGGCAGAGATTCCCACAGTTTGGCCAGGCTACAGGGAACCCGCCGAACTACCAGCAGCAAGACGCAGAGGAGTGCCTGCGAGAAATGTTCTCGGTGATCGGCAACGCGACGCAAAAGGAGGTGGACGGGAAAACAACGAACATAGTGGACTCCTTGTTCGGGTTCCGGATGAAGAGCCAGTAAGAAAAACAGAAGTCGCATTGTTCAGTGATTAGTAAATGATTACTTGTCATGCGTAAAGAGGCAAAAAAAAAGTGGTTTGTCATGCTTGGAGCCATTAAAAAGGATACCAAATCTACTTCGCTGTATCAGGTACAAGTGCCTGGAGTCTGAGGACGAGCCGCCAGAAGAGCGACAAGAGTCTATCGAAAGGAAAAATCCCCCCTCCCCATATCAAAACGGAATTTCTGATGCTGGATTTGTGTACGCAAATCAGCTTTGCACTGCAGAGAGGCATTGCGACCAGATCCCCAGGCGAGGTAGGGGCGTATGGGTCTAGTTGTTCAGCATGGCAAACGGTTCCCCTCTAGGCCCAACAGCATGACAAATCGCTTCCATGACGGGGCGAAGCTTCTGGCCCTGTCTTCTTGCAAGACAAATGCGACTTGTGACCTCAAACCAGCAACGCAAATTTTCGGAAACATACCTTTTCGATGCGGAGAGGGGGGATTTTTCCTTTTGATAAAGTCCTACCGCTTCTTTGTCTGCCACATGGGCTCCACCACCGAGCCTGTGTCGCACATGCACGAGGGGATTAAACACAGCTTGAAGGAGCACCTGGAGAAAAACAGTCCCAGCTTAGGTAAGTACTGATGATTGCAGCATGATTCATTCCTGTTAATCACAACTTCTGCATCACGGTAATATCATTGGCCATAATGCAAGAGAGGTTTTCACTTTAAGAACATCTTCTGTCATGCTGATGCGCCATCCCAACTTTCACTTTCAGGCCGCCTCGCCCAGTATGAGAAATCTACGTGTATGGCGTCGCTCCCCGACTACCTGTGGGTCCAGTTTGCCCGGTTCGGCTACAAGCAGGCCAACACCGTCGCGGGCACCGAGGCCAGCGCGGTGAAGATGGTGCGGAAGTGCGCGTTTAGCTCGACGCTCGACGTCTACGACTACGCTTCCGCAGACTTGCAGAAAGATTTGTCCGTGGGCCGGCTGAAACTCCGGGAAAAGCGGGAGGCCGAGGTGGAGGCAGAGCAGGAAAAAATTAAGAACTTCGGAAAGGAAGAGGAAGAGAAGAAAGAGGCAGGTATTAAATAAACAGTTTACTGTATCATACTTGTCATGCATAGATGGCCTAGTTGTCCTTGTCACCACGATGAAAAACTTGTCATGCAAAAATGACTACTAGCTCTACTTTTGTCATGCAAAATTTGCAATACCACCTATATCGCAGTTGTTCCCATGGAAGTCGACCAGAAAATGAAAGACTTCCACACCGGGCAATACGAGCTGGTCGGTATCGTGTCCCACAAAGGCCGAAGTCTCCAGGGCGGCCACTATGTGGGGTGGGTGAAGAACCACTCCGCAGATGGGAAAGACTACAAGGACGACCAATGGGTACAGTTTGTGCAGTGGTTTCTGCATCAGAGATTTTTTCTGAGTTCTGAACTCTGCATGGCAAAGGCGAGTAATTCGTGAATTGGTTACATTAGTAGATGCTGTGCAATACAAATCACAACAGCTCCTGTTCGACGATGAGGATGTGCTGCAATACGAGTGGAAGCAGATCACCGGAATAAATCTGGACCTGCAGGGCGGCCGCGCGGATACGCAGATCGCCTACATGTGTCTCTTATCAAATGTAAAAATGTCATCTGGGTCTGGAAGAATCCGAACTTGTGATGCGTGTTGCGGATCATACAAAAATCTGTGTTGCATGACTTGCAAAAGGTCCCCACTTCTGGCCATGTTGAGAGGGCATTTCTCATGCAGAATAGGCATCACCAAGGGGCTGCAGAACCTGTGATGCTAGGCCCTGCATTCCAGACCTGGCGGAGCTTGAAAAACTGCATGACAAATCTCGGAATCTTCCAGACCCAGACATTTGCGCATTTGATATCTCTACAAGCGCATCTCCTGCGTGATGCCGGACACGCCGCCGAAAAGTTTCGACATTGTCATGGAAGACAAAAACGCGAAAAAGCCGAAAACCGGGTGATAAAGCGTTGCTTCATCGATGAGAAATAACAACCGATGCACCGCATAACCGGTTGCAAATCATCATCGTTCGCATCTGGCAGTGTAGAGTCCTTAACAATTTTTCAATGTACACAGCAGCGACGAGAAGCGCTGGAAAGATAAGCTCGAAGACAAACGATTTCAACCGACGCGACTTTGGTATCATAGTAGCAGGCAAAATAACACTTCAGGAAAGGATCTTGACCACAGCAGGCAAGCACCTTGTTGATTGGTACTTATCCGCTGTTGCTGCATACGGAGCAGGCGCAGTGAACTGTGTTCATCAGACGCCGTAATTGGGACTGTTATTTGCGTCAATTTTTCCAGCACTGTAATCGTTTTTCTGTGAATCGTTTAAGGTAGATTCATTCGACCTCCGAGCGCAGTTTGGCGTAAAAAAGAACCTCCAGCTGTAGAACTTGCAACCACGTATTGGTCCACTGCGTTCAGTAAGTATCCGCCGAGATGAACGAGACATTAATCTCGTGGTTTACCAGTTTCCACCGCCGAATATCGAGAAGATGATGCTTTTTCTATAGTTGATTCGTTTGTTGACACTGCATTGTTATGGTTTCACGAGCGGCATAATCAATATTCGTTGAGGCACACTCACAAGTACTTCTGCTGTTTGAGCTGGAAGTTTTTGCGAGCTGCGAATTATCGGGTGAGAAAAAGAAATTTCTGCTACCAGCAGCCTGAGCAGTTACCTTGCAGGGAGCAACTGCAACTACTTACGGGAAAGAGTTTTTGTCGCAAATTTTTGATTTGGTGCTAGCAACTTCTGTGTAGTACTATCGAAATAAAGACATCACCATGGCCACCTCGCGCAAACGAAAACGGCCGGCGCGCACCGTTCGCCTCGTGCAAGAATTACGACGCCGACGGCGTAAAGAACCGGAGCTCCAGTGCGTGAATTTTTGTCGGGATTTATTCTAAAGACAAGCCAAAGCTTGACCAAGACATGAAAGCTCCAGGAGTTGTACTAGCACAACCCTCTGGACAAGGTGGTGGCTCAGGTGGAGCCATGGCACCAACACCGATGAAGCCCAGCTTCGCCCAGTCGCTGTCCAAGGACCAGCGGCAGCGATTGGAGCGGGCTTATTTGGTGGTTTTTCTGCTGTTTTTCCCCATCTTGTTCTTCATCATCGTGCTGGTTACGTCAGAATCCACGACCCTTGCGACCTGGATTTTTGTCATCCTCACCTGCTGGCTGCTGTTTCTCAGTGTGTATCTGGTGTACAAAAAGCACCGCGTGCAGGAGAAATTTGAGGCGGAGAAAAACGCGTTTTTGCGAAAACTGAAGCTGAAAGACGACTTCTACGAGGAGAGGGTAAAGGATTTGGAAACGCAGCTGGAGGAGATCGCGGAAGGAAATGAGGAGCACCGGGAACAAATGCAGGACGACTCGGAGGTCGATTCTGCGCTCGAAGACGACAATTTCCGTCGGGGAAGAACCATGAAAAACAAAAAAGCGAAGAACCTGCGGAAAAATCAGCAAAACTTCGTCCCCGATGAGGACCAGTCTTCCGATGTTAGCTCGGAGACGAGCGGGCGGGCGTTTGAGCGGGGACTGCGGGGAAGGAATCCTTTTCAAAACGATCACGCTGGTGGCCCTGGTTCGCAAGCCGCGCAGCAGCAGCAGGAGAAACTGGAGCAGGAAAACACCGAGTTGAGAAAGCAACTGGAAACGCTCGAGTTGATCAAGGAAACGCTCGAGACAGAGCTGGTATGCATTGCAAAAGTATCGTACTCGTATAAATGCATTACAAATTTCCTCAGTATGGGATAATAAAATTTGTAATGCGGATTTACCTTAAGACCAAGATTTGTAATGCATGTTTGCAATTACTACGAGCGCGATACTTTTGCACAGCACAGCTTGTGGAGCTCAACAACGAGTTGGAAGAGAAGGACGCGCAGTTGGCCGCGGGCGGTTCCTCCTCCGCTGGCGTTTTGTCGCCGGAGCAGAATGATGAAAGGGGAGGCGGTTATGACCACGACCTGAGTGCCAGGCGAGTAACCTCCGGAGCCGGATCTACTACTTCGCCGGCGATGCAGCTCACGGACGAGGGGGGAAATAAAGGAAAAGGTGCTGCAGAGCAAAACGCCGAAGTAGAGTTGCAGCTTCTCCGCGAGGAATTGCAGGCGACGACCCAGGAGAGAGAGACCGCCGTGGCGGAGCTGGAGATGGAACTGCAGAATAAATCAATGAAGTACGAAAACATGCTTAGCGAGAAGGAAAATATTTTGCAGGACCTGCGGTTGCGAGTCCAAGAGTTGGAGGAAGAAAATGAAGAAGCGACTCGGTTCAAAACCGCAGTGCTGCAATTTGAAGAGGAAAACGAGAGGTTGAAGTCGAAGGTGAAAGAGCTGGAGCTCCAGGCGCAATTTACCAGCAGAAATAATATGACAATGAACAAATCTTCGCCCGCGACAAGGGCAGCAGCTGCGCAAGAGCGCAATCCAAATGATAGCCACTCTTTCGAAGAGGACGACGACTTCCACGAAGGCCCCTCGGTCGCGTTTGGCACGAGCGTGCTGGCGCCGGTCGAGAAGAGCCCGCGGTTGGAAGATTTGCACCGTATTCAGGAGTTGGAGCTGTTACTCGAGGAAACCAAGGCGGAGCTGGCGAATAGTATCAAAAATGTCGGAGGGGGCATCAAGAACAGCACTTCTCCAGGGGGTGAGCCAGGAGCTGGTGATCATCATCTTGTTCTCGATCATCCGCCCACCAGTCCTGCTAGAAGTACAACATCAACCAAGAGCCTCCAACACCTGGATAGTGTGATGAAGCGGCAGTACCAGCGGAAAATCACGGAATTGCTGAACGAGGTCGAGGCGAGCGAGAAAAGGCACGAGGAGTTCCGTCGGGAGTGCGAAATGAGAACGGCTGAGCTGGAGCATATCAAATGTAAAAATGTCTGGGTCTGGAAGAATGCAACTTGTCATGCTAAATCTGAAGCATGCAAAAATCTGTGTTGCGTGATTACCAAAAATCGTCCAGTTTTGACCAAGTCGGGAGGGATTTTCTCATGCAGGATAGGCATGAGAGACATCGCACAGAATCTGTCACGCTAGGTCCTGCATTCCAGACCTCATGGGTCATGGAAAAGCTGCGTGACAAATCGCGCATTCCTCCAGACCCAGACACTTTTACATTTGATAAAGCAGGATTTCATGCGAAAATTAACGGAACTGGAGATGAGGGGCAGGGGTATCCAGCAGAGCAGTTCTACACACCAGCAACTCGAAGAACCCCATCTCGGGTCGAGCGGTCAGCCGCCGAGATTCACGAAAAGGTCGACCACGGCGATTTTTGCGGTGCTGGACAGCGGCGAGAAGGAGAGCTCCAACTCTGAGGAGGGAGAAGGTGCAGCGCCAGAGGGAGAAGGCCGCGGGGACGAGATGAACAATCTTCTGTCCGAGAGCAACAGTTCCTCGCTCGGGTTTTCCATTTCCGGTGGAGCGCTGGCTGAGGGTCGTGTTGCAGGAGTAGCCCCGGGTGGACGAGCAGACAGTGATCAAAACACACAGCTGCAAGAGCTGCAACCTGGCAGTGCAAACCCAAATCCTCCGTCCTCACCAGCTTCCCCGACGAATTTCGAGCAGCTCCGGTTTGAGGAAGCACTCAGCCAGCAACAACGCCGGATCTTCCAGCTGACAAATGACTTGTCGATTCTGAAAACGTATCAACTGCAAAAATGTCTGGGTCTGGAAGAGTGCATGTTTGTCATGCTTGTCTGGCATGACCCTTAAATCTGTCATGCACGTTACCCAAAAGCGCCATTTTTCTGTCATGCAGAGCCGCAGTTTGTCATGCAGAATAGGCAGCACCGACCTAGGAGCTCAGAAACTTGTCATGCTGAGCCAGCATTCGTAGCCTCATCATGAGAAGCCACCCAGCATCACAAGTTTCGAGACCCAGACATTTTTGCAGTTGATAAAACGAGACTGCAGCAGAAGGAGGACTTGCTTTTGGAAAATGAGCAAGAATTCTTCAAGGAACTGCAGGAGATGGAGAATGTGAAGCAAGAAGAGATTTTCAAGACCGAGCGCACTTTCGAAACGAAGATTGCATTGCTGACCGACTCGGTGCGGAACAAGTCTGACGAGGTGAAGGAAGTGGAATCGCGGCTGTTCAAGCAGAGCGAGGAAATCGTCAAGCTGAAATTGCTATGCTTTGCAAATATGTCTGGATCTTCTGGAAAGTTGTGATGCTAATGTCCGAATAGTACGCAACCTGTATTAGGGAGGCACGCATGCCAAGATTCAGAGCGGCTATGTCTAGCGTGAACCTCCGCATGACAAATGGCCTTTTTGCATGACAAGCAATAACAAGTGGCACTGTAGCGCACCAAGCATGGCAGATCTTTCTGTCTCGTCGCCCAAGCATGGCAGCCTTGCATTTTTCCAGCCCCAGACATACTATTTGCAATGCATAATTGCAGATAGAAGAAATGAAGGAGACCTACAACACCAGCTCCTTCCTCGATGTATAACCTGCTCAGGTGTTACAATCTCAAACGTTACAATAGAATCTGAAATCTGTGTTGCATGAAGTGCATTATCTAGCCAACTCCCATAGGATTGCGCATGACAAGTTCTGGAGTCCCAATCCGCGCTACACTCTAACGAGATTTGTATTGCAGAAAGTGGAACGCTGTCCGAGTCTGTCATGCTCATCATGCCACCCAGACTCTATTGGAACGTTTGAGATTGTAACGTTTGAGCAGGTCATACGATGTGGGCGCGGTTTCCGCCGCCGCTGGTGGCGTGATGAACACAAGTGTACTAGTCGCGGGTGCAGCGGTATCCAAGAAAAAAACTGTGTAAGTGTAAATCTGTGATGTAGAAAATGCAAAACAGTTACACTTGTCATGCTCGACATGCATGATCGGCTCGCTTCCTGTGTGTTTTCCCTTCCTATCTGCGCATCACAAGTTTTTCCTGTCATGGCAGACAGACCTGTGATGCTGTTTTCCCAAAAGACTTGCACTGACAAAGCTTTTTCCTTGCATAAGCGGGCGGCGCGGCGCCTGTCAACAGAGTCCAGCCTCCCCAAACCTCTCCTCACGGTAGTTCGGCAATATTTTCAAATCGGAGCAAAAGCAATTTCCTCACGGTAGACGTTTCGCAGCAGTCCGATGCTGTAGTTCCCCCTCACTCCCCGAAGTACGAGGCCGACCGCTTGGCCTTCCAGCGCATGTGTGAATCCATTGGGATGCCCGTCTCGCCCAGTCGTCCCTCCTCGCCGTCGGGCAGTCCAAAACACGCCGGCAGGGGAGTGAGAAGCACAGGTCGTGGGAGCAATAGCTTGATTCCGCCGAACACCTCCTCTAGCGAGGAAGAGGCCGGGCTATTACTAGAGGAGTCACTCTTTGGCGATAGCGCTGGGAATGCAACTGCGGTTGGAACTACGGAAACTTATGGAGGACGTGGCCAGGATCTCCTGCAAGTCGAGTCCGCGCTGCTGTGGTACTACTACAAGCGCAACTCTCTCACCGAGGGGTCGCTTATGCATGATCGCAAAAGTACTTGTAAATCGCACCAACATGGTATTCTGCATGTGCAAGGGGGCAGCACGGCCACAGGAGATCTAGCACGTTAGTACTCTTTTTGTATTAAACCTACATTTGCGTAGTTTTGAATACATGCACATGCAGTTTACCCTAGATCTAGAAGTGCGATATTACATCTTTTGCGATCTGCATGTCGTTCGTGAAGGGGCCCTTTTTCCGGCGGGAGATGAAGAACTTGCAAAAAAGCTTGGACGATTTCTACCACCCTGACACGCTGGTGAAAATCAACACAGTTATTTCATCCTCCTCCTCATCATCCAGCACCACGCAGAAAGGCGGTGTCGGCAGCCCGAGGGCCACTGCTGGAATTCGTAGTAGCAGTGCCGTAAGTCAACATCTGTTTACCGAGCAGTCCTCTTTTCTCTCCATCACGCGGGTCTTCCCCGATACGGAATCCTATGCCGCCGCATTCAAGGACGATAATAACGACCGTCTGAGCTTCGACGTGGCGTTTGCGGAAGAGGAAAAGCTGCACCAAAAACGGGACCAGGAACTGCAGCTGCAGAATTTGTTGCCGAGCGTCTCTAGTAGTACAACTCCTGGCGTGCTGTTTCCGGAACAAAGTAAGGATCGGGCGGGGTTTGACACGACCCAAAGTCAAATCAATGCGGCGGAACTCCACGTATGAATTGCAAATGTGATGTAGTGTGGGTCTGGAAGATTGTCATGCAGGTTTATTCATTTTCATCGGAAGATGCGGATGTGCCAAGAAGAAGTCTGGAATTCAGTAGGACCTAGCATCACAGATTCATCTCCAAAGCGTTTGCATTGCCTGTCCTGCATGAGAAGCGTCGTCTTTGCTTGGCCAAAAATCGGCACCGCGCAACGCAGATTTCTCCGTGACGCACAGGACGCATGACAAGCGAGCCCAGACCCAAAGTGAAGATATTTGCATTTGATACCACTCCGGGGCCGCCACGAGCCAGGACGAGTCTTCCTCCGAGAGTCGGGACAACAGCGGGAGCCTTCATGCCCTCGGTGCGACGAAAAATTCTAGTTCTGCGAAGCACACAGTGCAAATCAAGTCGCACGAGCTGCTGCACCGGAGCCAGTAGGAAGTGTAAAAGCATCGAGCTAGAAGTACTAATAATTGCACTACATATTTTTAGCTCAGCATGATGACAAAATGGATTTTGCCATGTTGATTTAGTTCAGGAACAAGGAGATTTGTAGTGCATGGCTGCGATTACTAGTACATCGGATGCTTTCGCACAGGATAGGCAACAGATCCAGAATTTGGAAACGCGGGTGCTGTTGCAGAATGCGGCGCTGGTGAAAGCGAGGGGATTCCTGCGCCGGCACGATGTGAAATTGCGGGATATCAAATGCAAATATGTCTGGGTCTGGAAGACTGCAACTTTGTCATGCTTGTCTGGCATGACTCATAAATCTGTAATGCATGAGCAGGATAATGGCCTCTTGCCTGTCATGCAAAAACGCAATTTGCCATGCAGAAAACGAAACTGTAGTTGAAAAATTTGTCATGCTTGGCTGCGTATTGCAGTCCGCCCACCAGTCACATTTTAGCATCACAAGTTTCCAGACCCAGACATTTTTGCATTTGATACGGGAAGTAGTCGAGCAAAAAAACGCGGTGATGGCAAGCGAACGGATATTACAATGAAAAATGTCCCCTCTCCATATCAAAGCAGAAATCTGTGATGCAGATTTGTGGCCACAAATCAGCTTTGTGATGCTAGAGGGCAAAAGATGCGGACTGTAGTGCTGTCGAGCGTGGGAAAGCCTTGCAGCTCCAGGATGACAGGAGGCAACTGGAAGTGGGAAACAGCATGACAGATTGCCTGCAATTTAGGCCGCAGCTTCGTCTCTTGGCCTTCTAGCAATACAAGTTGATTTGTGTACTCAAATACAGCATCACAAATTCGCGCATCTTCCGTTTCCGATATGGGGTGGGGGCTTTTTTCACTTTGATAACGGAAAGAGTTTGCGGACCAGCTGGCGCAGAGTGACAGGGAGAAACAAGAGGCGGAGGCGCAGGTGGAAGAAGTCAAAAGGAGGGAGAAAGAAGGTAGTTATAGCTGTATAGGCTTTTTTGCGCCGTTTATGTGTATAGCGAGATGTTGGTGTTACGAAGAAGTACTTACTGTACCCCTCCTGGTGAGAACAAGGGATCGCGTTTCTGCTGTTCTGTCCCCCATGACCACTGGCGTCATTTCGTTTCCATATGATTAATTGAAATTGAGCCTCTGCGTTTTCCTTGAAATATTTTGAAAATGGGGAAAAAACCACTTGAAAAAATTACCAGCCCTGCTCCTTCTCGATGCCTTTGCCGCGTCAAAGCTGGACGACCCTGACCACTTGGAGAAGAGCACCACAGAGGAGGAGGGGGAGGAGGGCAGTTTTTCTGTTCTGAGTAGCGCAAGAAGTTGCACTTCGGAAGGTGACGGTACGACACTGGAGAAAATTCTGTTCGCTACCAAGAAGCTATCATACCAAAAAGTGTCAACGTTAACGGAATTTGGCATGCAGGAATGCACGAGAAATGTATGATGCCCCAAGTTGTATTGCATAGCATGCATGATAGCGAAAATTTGTCATGTATGACTGCAATGCCCCAAAGCCGTTAACGTTAACACTTTTTTGGTTGAGAGTGGCAGCTAGAAGGACTGGCGGTGAAGTTTCCCGCCAGGACGGGAGGGCCGGCAGCAACTACAACATCAGTGCAGCACGCGCACAAAGCCACCGTCGACCGTTTTGTGGCTGCGCTAGAGGAGAAGTTCGCTGTGGTTCAGGACGATGATTATCCGGAGCAGATGCAGAACATGTCTGGGCAAGAGCACGAGGGTGCCGGGAGTCCGCTAGTAGAACAGGAGGGAGTGCAGCAGCAGCAGCAGCAGCCTTCAACGTTCTTGCCGAGTGAAAACAGTACGAGGGGAAAGCCCTACTCCCCGTCCCCAGATAGGGGAAATTTCGTGTGAAGAGCAGGGAAGAACCGACGAGTCTACCGCGCATGCTTTCAGGTTGCGAATAAAAGAAAGCGCCCCATCGGTCGCGTTTCATACCGGCTAATAAGTTGATATCATAGGGCAGTGGTGTCGTGCTCTGTGCTAAATTTTTCCAAGCGAATGAACCGCAGGTATAGGTCGGGCGTTGTGAGCAAATTCCACACCATTTCTCACAAAAATGTTCACATCAACAGAGGTTGTTTATTTAGACGTTTTTGGTCAGCATCGAATTAGAATTTCTTCGTTCGTTCGTTTGCTAGACAAATAAAGAAGATCAATTTAGTCAAGTCTTACTGTGTGATCCGTCGACCGTCGTGCATTTATTTCCAGCAAACACTCGTCCTGCGGATGTTAAAGTTTTGTCCACCTTTAGAGGGTCGTCGTTTTTTCCATTCCAGTACTGCTCTCGTGGTGCCACCGTGATTTTTTTCCCATCCTCTCGTTCACATGGGGATACTGGGTCGTCACTGAATTCAGCCTCGTTCTCGAAGATTAGAATTTCGTTTGTACAGCAACTCTAGTCTTCTTGCTGTCGTTAAGTGCAGTAATGATAATTCTTTACCCTTGTGGTGGAGAACGAAAAAACCTCCATACAAGTTCGTGTAATTCGTGTTTTTACCATTCCTATCTCGCAGGACCAACGGTTGCTTCCTTGTTTTCTAAAACTGCTTCCACTTGTACAGCCCTAGTAGGGTAGTTCTTCACAAGCTAGTTTCATCATCGACTGTTACCATTCTATTTTTCCATTTTCCCTCACAGCAGGCCTCGTCTTGACGGCGAGCTTTTTTTTTCGTCTAGCCGACGACGTAAAAAAATCTAAATTTGATAAAAAGAGTTGCACAGTGGAACAACCACTACAGGGTTGTTGGGATCATATAAAACTTCACTTTGAACAAGAAGAAAATCGAGCACCAAATATATCATGACGGGCGGCTCGACGTATATTTTCACAAACGGTCTGATTGACCACGTTTTGCGAAACCCGGTGCACTACCCCGGACCCCACAACTATGGAACTGTCAGGATTGAAATTAACAAAGTTGAAAGAATTTGTGATGCATAAAATCTATACCAGTTGGACCCACAGTTTCAAATCGGTGCATGACAAATTTTCCTGGCCTCTGAAGCAAGTCTGTCATGCTGTTTAGGGAAAGATGGCTGCTCCCTGTCATGCTAGTCAGCAGCCTAATTCTTGACCCGTACCAGCACTAGAATCTGCCGCCCTTGCGCCTTCGGCAATAGAGTCAGTCTTTGTGTCGCATTTTATGCATGACAAATCATTTCAACTTTGTCGATTTCAACTCTGACACATCCATAACAACGCGAAGTCGTCGCGTACCACCCGAGGGCTGCCGGAACTCGAACCCTACCGGTATGAACTGCAAAAGCATCGTACTAGCATAAATTGCATTACACATTAGCCCAACATTACAAATTAAATTTGTAATGCTGTTTTGCCTTGAGAAAGAAATTTGTAATGCATAAATGCAATTACTACGAGTACGATACTCTTGCAGTGGATAACCGCCAGCTGGAGCTGATTTGGGACGGGGTGGGCCGGTACCTCAAGGTTTCGATCGAGAAGGGGCTTTCTGTGTACATCTCGAAGTTTATCCGGAGAAAAAAATTTTTGTGTTACTTGCGTTCTTTGCGGTTTTTGTGCATAGGAATTCTTGTATGAAACAGCGCACTATGCTAGTATACTGTGTGTACAAACTTCGCAAGTTTTTGCTATGCAAAACAGCATGACAATGAATTCCGCAGGCGTAACTAACACGTCTATTCACCGTAATAAAGTTCGGCACAATCAGTTTCCGCTCACACCTGCAGGACGCGCAAACCAAATACAACCGACAGTTGCTGCTGGAGCCGTATTTTCAGGTATAAAACTTCCTCGACTTTTTAATTTCGCGTGTGGTACAACAACTGCTATAGTTAGTACAACTGGATTTTTGCATGGTTTTTGTGGAGTTTCTCATGCGGAATGGGGAAGAATGGACAATTTTGTCATGGTGAAATAAACTGAGTATAGGTGAAATTGAAATGTGAACGTACAAAAAAACAGCCCTGTGACGAAATGAAGGAGCACTTGACCAAGAAGGTGATCAAAGTCGTATGCGTTGCAAACATGTCGGGGTCTGGATCTGTGATGCAAAGTCTGCATGATAGGTAAAAAATTTTCGGCGATCATTGCAGTTTGTAATGCTAAATTCACATCATGATGCCTTCGCGATCGAAAATAAACTTTCTTGTGGTCGTGTGCTCATGCCGATGAGCAAGAAGCCGCCGGTACCGCTTTCGTGACAATAAAGTTCGTTCTTGTAATACTAATATCCGGACCTCCCAGACATGATATTTGCATCTGATACCTCGTAACGGAAAACGGCGCTCCCCCAACGGGCATCTACGACATCCCAGCCCGGGTTTCCTACCTGAACGAGAAGCCGATTGTATTACAATGAAAAATGCCCCCACCCCCTAACTTGGGAGCATTTGTATTGCAAACCTTTGCACATGAAACATTCGCCCTCTTGCATCTATCAGCATCACAGATTTTTTCCAATCGTGAGTAGAAAAAATTTGTATTGCGCAAGATCCCAGCAAGAGCGGCGCTTGTCATGCAAGCAATGCGATGTACGCCTAGACTCTGCATCAGAAAGATTCATAGTCCTTTCATGCATGACAAGAGGTTTTCATTCGGAGACTTTGCATCACAAATTATTGCAACTTTGGGGGTGGGGGCTTTTTTCACTATGATAGATTGCGGCGGTCTGCTACCTCCCGCTGAACGTGGTGCATTCGGGCGTGCGGGCCTTGTTCTTATCAAATGCAAAAATGTCTGGGTCTGGAAACTTGTGATGCTGGGTGGCGTATCATGAGGAGACCGCAAGTGCTGGCTCAGCATGACAAGTTTCTGAGTTATTTCGAGGTGTTGCCTGTGTTGCATGACAAACTGCGTTTCTGCATGACAGAAAGATAGGGCTCTTGGGTAATGTGCATGACAGATTTATGAGTCACGCGAGACAAGCATGACAAACTTGCATTCTTCCAGACCCAGACATATTTGCCTTTGATAGTTCTCCGGGATTCTCGATTTAGTGGCGCGCAACTACCCGCTCCGACTGGAATTTAACGAAGTTTGCCGGGTGAGTGTGTTTTTTTTCTCTATTTTGCCGGACTAGTTGAGTTGCAGTTTGTCATGCTCACTGATACCATCAGAACTTGTGGTCGTCGCTTTGTAACTCTAGAAGTCTTATCAACATTATCTTCATAGAAGTTCATGAAGCTCTCAACAATTACAGATCGACCTCGTGGACCGAACTTTCAACTACGAATTCTACCCCTTCGTGCACGCTTATGGGAGTGTCAGAATTGAAATCGACAAAGTTGAAATAACTTGTCATGCATAAAATCGATACCAGTTGGAAGCCCAGTTTCGAAGCGGCGCATGACAAATAATTTTGGCACCAGCTAAATCCAGTTTGTCATGCTGTTTAGGGACAGAAGGCATCTTTTGTCATGCTACTTTAGCAGCTCTATCGAAGACCCCAAACAGGCTGACAGTCGGCCTTACTTGCCATCCCTGCAAGACAGTCACTTCGTGCCTTGCATTTTATGCATGACAAATCATTTCAATTTTGCCGATTTCAGTCCTGACGCTTCCATAACGCCTCTGCGAAGTTTCACGGCGACAAGTTTCTGGGGAAGATTCACGAAGTGCGGAAGCCGCTGCACCTAGTCGGCGAGTCCACGCTACGATCGATGACGCACCTGCGCCCTGACTCGCGGGAAGAGGAGAAAAAACGGGCGTACACGACCTTGTTGCGCAACTACAGTGGAGATCTGAACACCATCTCCAAGATCCATCCACAGAAGACCCGGGACCACGTCGGGTACTAAGCAGTAGAGCAAGGGTTTTTTTTATTGCAGGTCGTGTAGTCGTGGATCCTGCTGGTGACGATGAGGCCTCCTGTTGTGCTCGCTAGGTAAGTCTTCCTTCTTCACGCTGTCATCTGTAAAATCCCAAAAAAAAACATCCACTGTTTGCGACTTTGAAGTATTTCGGCATCAAGCAAAGGTTTTTGTTTTGATTTGATACACTAGAAATAAGTCTCCGTCTGCGACGGAGAGAGTACAAGAGAAGAATCTGTTTTTGTTGTAAATACGGCTTGCCAGGATCAGGATTTTTCTTATTTGACAATTTTCACTTGCACCTTCTTTGGACTTTGATATGACTTTATTTTATTCCATTTGAACAACAACAAATTCAAATTGCAACTCATCACCTGTAACACTACAACTTGTTTCTTGTTTCGCATGATTTGACGCAATCGCTGCATGGCTTTGCGCCCAGCGGACGAGTTTCCTTTAAAAATGTTTGGACAATATTAAGACACCTGTATTTTAAGACGTGCTTGAAGTTGTCCAATGCTTTATTCTCCAAGGTGCAACTTGCTTTCGATATCACACACCTGTATAGAAAATGAAAAGAGCTTGCGACCTCTGTTGTCAGAAATCCATACTGGGAGAGGATGACTCAAATGGACACTGTACAAAGACCAACAGGGTTGACATTGAATATTCTTTCGCAAGCATACAGAATAAAAAAGGCATGCAAGGCATGTCGTGCATAATTGTCATGCTAGCTCGGGTTTCCGATTCCGAGCGTCGTCCTTCACGATAGATAACCAGTTATGTTCGCAAAAATACCACGACAACATGGTAGAAGTTGAAAATTTTCCCAATGGGCACCATGGAAATGGCAAGAGTGCTATCTTGCTGGACTTGGAAGTAGAGCCCAGCTGGCTATGGTGTTTTTTTCTTCCCGTGGATCACTTCGTGATTCAGATGATGCAACATGTTTTTCGTTGATCACATGACTGTAGGTGAAGGTCGGGCCGCTAAAAAGATAAAACGGAGCAAATGACAAGGCCTCCGACGCAGGATCGTCTTTCCGAACGGAACGCTTTCGGTCTTTTTTTTCTCGGAACGGTCGAGTAGTTTGAATGAGAAGTAGCCGTAGATCGTATTAGGTGTTGACGAAGGTGGTCGCAAAGACAAAACACCACGCAGGTAGTTTTACGCACTACTACTATCACTATCATCTACTTGTTCAACGACGTAGAAGTTGCAAGTCTGTGCAAAAAAACGCTTGTCGACCCATATGCCAGAGTTGTTGTCCGCGTCCGCCGTCGCGCCCACGACCATGCCGGCTGGCCAAGCAGCTCGGGACCGATCCGGAAGCCCGGACCGGGACGCGCGAGTGGGACGGAAAAGCGAAAATTTGGCCTCAAGTACAACTAGACCAGTCACGCAGCTGCACCCGCAGTTGCACCACCCGTATGGAAGCCTCAGGTTGGAAATGCTCAAAGTTGAAATGATTTGTAATGCATGAAATGCGACGCATAGAGTGCCTGTATTGCAGAGCACGCAATTGGGGCTGACTATTGTCCTGCTACGGGTTAAGGATTGGGCTGCTGACTAGCATGACAGAAGGGCACCCCTTTGCACTGAACAGCATGACAGACACGCTTTAGGTGCCCCAGAAATTTGTCATGCGGCGACTAGAAATGGGGCGCCAACCGGAGTCGTTTTTTTGCATTACAAATTATTTCAACTTTGACAATTTCCAACCTGAGGCTTTCATAACTCGAACGCCCGCGCGTGGCACGAGCCCACCATTGACGCAAAGCACTTGGTGTACCCGATCTTTGTGCACAACGGCAACAGCGACGTCGACATCGCGGGGTTTTCTCCCAACAAACGGTGGGGTCGTGGCGCTCAGTCGAGTTCTTCAAGAAGCCCGTTTTCCTCTCTGGTCTCCCACCTGCGGTATTTAGTGGAGAAGTGCCAGCTGAAGGCGGTTACGCATTTCAAAAGTGCCACAAGACATAGTAGTACTCGTAGAACTGAAAAATTGCATTATTGCATGACAGATCGCGTCTTCTCTGACCAGAAGCAGAATCTGCACGACAAGTTACCGTTTTTGTTTTTTGCAGAAACATTTCCATTTGTAATGCTACCTGGACTACTATGTTTCCAATGCGGCACTTTTGTATTGTATAGCCGTGATGCTCTTCGGGGTGGTTCCTGACGGCGAGAAAAATTGCACCGGGGACGCCGCGGCGGAGGTTTTTTCCAAGACGGAAAATCCGGTGGAACGCTGTTTGCAAACTCTGAAAGCAACTTTCGGCGACCACCTTCTTCTGATGGCGGACGTGTGCCTCTGTGAATACACGGACCACGGGCACTGCGGAATCTTGAAACCGAGAAACACACCAGAAACAAACGACTCTCCAATTTGTCCCGCGGTTGTGACCTCCTCAGGTGGTAGCAAAAGCAGTGCGCCGTCAGACCCGACGGTGATCGACCTGGAAAAGACGACCAACAGACTCGCGGAGATTGCCCTTTCCTACGCCACGCACGGGTGCGATTTTGTGTGTCCCAGCGACATGATGGACGGGCGAGTGGTGAAAATTCGGCAGAAACTGAACGAAGGGGGATTTTCCCACGTGGGAATTCTGTCGTACACCAGCAAGAAAGCCAGTACCAGCCTGTACAACCCCTTTCGCAATGCGGTGGCCAGTTGTTTCAAGGGCGACCGCAAGCGGTACCAGCAACCCGTTGGGGCCTTCAAATTAGCGCAGAAATCCTTCCAGCGGGACATCGCCGAGGGAGCGGACATTGTGTTGGTCAAGCCCTCTTTATTCTATGCCGACATCATAAAATCCTACGCGGAAAAGGAAGTCTCCCTCGTGGCGGCCTACGTGGTCTCCGGCGAGTACATATCGTATTCAAAAACGTCCCCACGACCACATAGTTGTATATGCAAATCTGCATGCTGAAAATGTTCCTCATGCGGAGCCCCATGAGAAGCATTTTCTAGTCGTGTTTTGGAATTTGTCATGCTCCAAGCAGCATGAGATACTAGATCTGTGATGCTGCTGAACTACCTCAAACAGCACTACAATACGAGTCCAAATTTGTCATGCAAAACAGCCAAAGCGTGTGGATTTGTCTAGCCGATTCCCCATATTGACTATGGTGTGGGGACGTTTTTACATAGGATAGTACAAGATGCTCTTCGACTACGGGACGGCTTGCGACTGCTTGAAGGACGTGGTTCTGGAGGCGCATGTGTCCTTGTTGCGTGCCGGCGCGGACATACTCATCACCTACTACACGCCCCAGATTCTGATGGACCGGTTTGATCTCAAGTCGGATTTTGATTGGGCGGGTACTACTTAAAGGAGCGTGCTGACCTGATTTATTTTCAGGAGTAGCTGCAAGTGGTTCTTGTGGCTTTTTGCACCTGGACCTGTCTAATAATTGTTTTTCACCTTCAAGTAGAACGAGAAAGACTCTACTTAACGTACAGCATCTCCACCTGCACCAGGAGGCCTGTAGTTGTACCTTCTTGGCAATCTTCTTCTGGAGACTTCTGCATCAAGAGACCGATACGGAAGAAAGTGATTGAACAAGATCGGAATGTTTTGTTCTTTGACAAGACGTGGGAAAAGAAAGAAAAAGCGCAAGGAATACTATTCGATAGTACGCAGAGCAGGCGTTTTTGTCTCCATTGCGACAAACCTCCTCCAGCGCCACTGGTAGCTGCTCGGAATTTTTTACACACTTGTTTGTCCTCGTGTGTTCGTGGATAAAAAAGCCCCCCGCGCAGCATCCTTGCTCAGCAGGGGTAGAAGTACGGCTTCGCATTCACTGTCAGAACAAGTCTCCCTATCGAACACGAGATAAAAGATCATCTAGGTTCTCGTGTACATCACTACACCAGCCACTCAGCCTTGGAAATCAATACCCACTTTTGAAAGATGGATGAAGAGGCACTAGAGCCTCTACTTCCCGCAATTCTTGTTCGTGCTGGCATTGCTGGTTGTATAGATTGTTTGCTGCTATTTAATATTCGTTGCGCTTCCTTGCTCATCAAGGTTACCAGTCGCGGTTTTGACATTTTGTGAAAGTTTGATGCTTCATTTGGTTCGATGATGAGTAGCGCAATGACACCACTCTGTCAGAGAAAATTGTTTCGGGAGAAAATAAAAAGGTGGAATATTGTTGAATAAGTAAGTAACCGCACTGATGGACAGGAAGGATAATTTCTGTTGTCGCCAGCTTGCTAGGTACAAATCTCGCCATGTCCACCCGTTAACTCGTTTCTGTGGCGAAACTAGTGCCGAATTATAGCTACCGTGGTGGTCAGCTTTCTCCCCTCCACGCCTGATGTCCTTTGCGAAGACCTGATGCGGCCAACGACTGCAACGGAGTCTAAGACCACGGAGGAGCAGCTACACCAGTTATTCTATGTAAAAACGTCCCCACCCCAGAGTCAAGATGAGGAATTGGCTAGGCAAGTCCACAAGTTTTGGCTGTTTTGCATGACAAATTTGAATTCTTATAGTAGTGCTGTTTGAGCAGGTAGCTCATCAGCATTACAGACCTAGTATATCATGCTGATTGTAGCATGACAAATTCCAAAACCTGACTGAATGATGCTTCTCGTGGGGCTCCGCATGAGAAAAATTTTCAGCAGGCAGATTTGCATCACAACTATGGGGCGGGGACGTTTTTACATACAACACCAGCCCCTGATGAGTCAGTCATCAGATCCTTTCTACGTGGCCAAGGAGGAAATCGAAAATGGCCTCAAAATATCAAATGCAAAAATGTCTGGTTCTGGAAGATTGCAACTTGTCATGCTGTTTTTGGAATCTAAAAAAATTTGTATTGCATGACCAGCAAGAGGAGTCTAGTTTTTGCTACACGGGGACGAGGGCGCTTGTCATGCGTAGTAGGCATCAGGAAGCCCTCTAAAAATCTGTGATGCTAGGTCGTGCATTACAGACATTCTGGGTCATGCAAAATTTATGCATGACAAACCCGGCAACATTCCCGACCCAGAAATATTTGCATTTGATGCAAAAACGTGAAACGGATGTGCCAGGGGTTACGCGGCAACCCGACGGCGACCGGTGGTGGCTCGTCCTCCTCTTCCAGCAGTAGCGCAAAAATCGGGAACGACATTATGACCCGCTCAAATGTTACAATCTCAAATCGGTTACCATAGAATCTGGATTTTGTATTGCATGATGAGCATGACAGACCCGCACAGCGTTCCACTTTCTGCAATACAAATATCGCCAGATTGTAGTGGGGTTTAGGGCTGCTCCGGAACTTGTCATGCGCAATCATATGAGAGTTGGCTAGATCATGCACCTCTCGCATCACAGATTTCCATATTCTATTGTAACGTTTGAGGATGTAACGCCTGAGCGGGTTATAGACATCCTGTCCGAGATCAAGCAGTTGCAGTACGATCTCCAGTATGAACTGCAAATGTGCCTGGGTCTGGAAACTTGTGATGCTAGTTTGTGCATGATGGGCGCACTGCGTTACGCAGCCACGCATGACAAGTTTCTGAGCTCCTAAGTACGTGTTTTGCTTCCCGCATGACGAACTGCGGTTTTGCATGTTAGGTAAGAGGCTGCTTTCCTGCTCATGCATGCGGCATGCATGACAGATTCAAGAGTCATGCGGGACAAGCATGACAAACTTGCATTCTTACAGACCCCGACATATTTGCACTTGATAAACAGGATGTGGAAACCACGATTGGCATCGTCGAGGCCAACCCTTCGAAGTTCAAAGTCGACCAGCGAGAGCTGAAGTCACGGAAAGATTTTCTACAAAAAACCGACGCGGCACTGAAAGAACTGGTCGTTAGATACGGAATGGGAATAATGTAGTGAAAGAATCGCATTTGCAGCTTTTCCCGCTGCAATGACATATGTTAAAAAGGCGGCTCGTTCCTGTGTCTGTCCTGCTGAGGAGCAGCGCAGGAGGAGTGGTTGTTTGTCATGCAAGTTTTCTTTCAGAAGAAAAGTTATATGCGATGACGCTTACAACTTTCGCTCGTGATAATCGCACGCAGTCGGCAATACGAGCGCTGGAGGCGAGTTCTGGAGCGGGCTCCTCCAGCAGCAATGCGCACGCGGTATGATTTATGACCGGTTTTGATACTAGACCACTACACGTCGATAGTAGACCACTACCAGAAGACCGCCCAATAAAGTTGTAGTGTTGACAGAATGTATTTTGTGTATGCAAAAGAAACTGCAGGAAATATTAAAGCCTAAACGACGACCCAAAAACAGGTGGGCAAAAATCGAAGCGACCTGATCTCACCCCTGGACCGCCGACGAGAAATGGACGACTTTGTACAGACTGGCACGGTATCCGATGTGTACTTTCTAAAGGCTGTGTCATAGACGGTGCATTATCATGATCACCTGCCCTCCAGATTATATGGCAACATAGGCGCTGGCGCTGCATTTCGATTTCCATTTCTTGCTTTCCGGAAAGGGAAGTAGACTTTAGTTGCGAGTCGTGGAATTCTCGGTAGAAATGTATGGAGTAAAATCTTTCTCTACTTTGTAGGAATTTTGTGCAGCTCCTATGTTCTTGACACTTCCTTTTACGCATGATAGCGTCAGCAGCAGAAACAGCTGGTCGCAAAGCAGGATGAGCAGCTCAACGAGCTCAGCAAGTGCACCGAGAGGCTGAATCAAACCGCGCTGGTAAGTACTTACTACATGATCGAAGCTTAATATCTTGGTATTCTTTATCAGACGATTAGTTTCAAACTCCTACGGGGCTGTCCAACGTCTGTGCAGGCCGCAAACGCTAGTACAGGCATAGCAAAGAGATTCAAACTTCAGAACCGACTTTACAAAAAAGGTGATTAACACGGAGCTAAACGAGCAGGCGCGCATTATTCCGAACAAAAATCCCTCCTCCCCATATCGAAAAGGTACGCCTCAGGAAATTTGTAATGCTGATTTGTGACCACAGATCATCTCTGTCGTGCAAGAAGGCAAATCCACAGGCTCCGCCACGTTATGCCGGCGGTTTGTGGTGCTGTTGGTCCCACAGCGTAGACTTTCGTCATGCTGGGGGCCTATGTCAAAACTTCTCTGCTCAGGCTTAGTATATGCCTGCAGTCCTCTACTGCAAGACAGATCTGATTTGTGTAAGTACGCAAATCCAGCAACAGAGGTTTCGTTTTGGTATGGGAAGGGGGGACCTTTCCTTTTGATACGCATGCTCACGGAACTGGACGAAGACATCGACCGGGAGACCGAGAAGATGAATTTCGTCATGCGGCGACTGGGAATACTGATGAAAACCTCTAACAGCAAACAATTGTGGACGATTTTGATCCTGTTCTGCGTCTTCATGTTCCTGTTGATGCTAGTGATAGGATGACAACAATGTAGCTGGAACTGGATGCAAAAAAATATGCTGGCGGACCACCGCAAGTCAGCAAAAGCCACATCGTTGTAACATCAAATACGCACCACTCGATGAGTAACGAAATATTTCTAAACATCTGTAGCGATGAAAAGAAGTAGTTGTACAACATCTTCGGGCTTGATTCAGATTCACCCGACATCAACACTGCTGTTCTAGTGGACGACGTGTTTCCCGCTTTACAGGTAGTTCTAGTTCTACATGTCGCAGAATTTTTTTCGTCTCACGTCCTCGTTCACCATTGCATCCTGGAGCTCGTCTCCACCAGGTCTGAATGAAGTCCTCGCAAATTTCGTGCAAAATAATGTCGTAAAGATTTTTGTTTCTTTTTTTCCAGCGGCGCGAACATAAGTCACTGACGTCGTGCTGCAGATCTTCGTTCAAAAAAGACAGTTAATTATCGACGTTGACAATGATTTTTTTCATCGCTGCTCTCCTGGGGCTTTGTCGTGTTTTTTCTTGACCGTGGTTCAAGTCGTCCATTGCTGGGTCGTGCGTTTTTTTCTCGCCTTCCGAACTGTAGCCACACGTGTGCCTGATTCTACTGAAAAGTGTACTAAACTAGAATACAATAAGTTTGTCCGTTGGTTGCTCGTAACAAGACTTGTTGCAGAACAAGAACTACCGAAGACGAATTTTTTTGGAAAGAAACACTTCGTATAATTCCAATTGACGCAATTTTATTTTTATCTATCATCGTCGATATTTTTCGGTATAATTACGTCCCTCCAACCAACCGAAACCAAGCACAGCAACCCACAACAACTTGTTGTATCACTTTCCTCAACCAGAAGTGCAGCTCTTCTGTCATTGACAGTAGCAATCTTCATCTTGAACACGCCAAAAAACATTCGAAGAACACTTTCACTGCAGTACTTGTATCAGAAGAATCAGTTGTTTTTTTCACGACGACAGCGCACGGTAGAAGTTGGCCTTTTTCGATTCAGGACTAAAAGAAGAAGCACTTTCCTCCACAAGAACACCAAAATGGCTCCTCCAGCGCTCGGTGCGGCTAGAGCGGGCATGAGTCCGGCCTCTACCTTGCTTCTTGAGGATGCGTTGCGAAATATCGTCGAGGGCAAGGGCTGGCTCGCGGCGGACAAGCGGGCAGGCTTGGTGCCGATGGGCGCGATGAGTGTGTTTGGCGATTTCCCGCCAGACTACATCCCGAAAAACATCAAGCAGAACTTGAAGGTATTATAACATCTTCGGCATTTTTACAAATCTAGTTGGTTAGGTTTTCGTTTGTAATGCTGAGCCAATTTGTATTGCGATTTTCGCATTCTTATTTTCACCCATCGCAGGCGGCCTCGTCCTCGCCAAAGAAGATGTCGATGATGAGACAAACCGCGAAAACCCGACGGGCCATCACGGTAACCGAGTTCCGGAAGTTTTACGACAGGGGGGATCTGCCGATCCAGATATGGGCTGCAAATATGTCTGGGTCTGGAAGATTGATGCGAGATTTGTCATGCTAGTTTGGCATGAGTGTGAGCTCTGTATTGCGTGGCCAGGAAGAGCTCCTATTGTCTGTCATGCAAAAACGCTGTTTCTCATGCGGAATACGCAACCCAGAGCCACGAAAAAATCTGTCATGCTTGGCGGTGCATTGCAGTGCGATTGCTATTCACCGACATGCATCACAACTTTCCAGACCCAGACATATTTGCGATTCATACGTGATTGACCACAGCAAAGTGGGGGGAAAGCTCCAGTGGAAAATCGACCTGGAGAAATTGGACTACCATCACTACCTGCCCATCTTCTTTGACGGCCTCCGCGAAAAGGAAGATCCTTATCGGTAAAGTATATAGCAGAGTGTTGATCTGTCGTGTGGTCCACTTTTGTAACTTAATAGTCATTTGTCGTGCATAGAATGAATGCTCCTCCGGCGGGGTGTGTTACAACTTATCCCTCTACTTCACGAGGAAGTAGATTGTGCTTTCGCTTCATGCACAGTAAAAAACAATTGTTAATAAAGAACTACAAGTCATCGGCATGGCAGAATGTCCTTGAACTACATTTATTTCCAGGTTTATGGCGGTTTCCGGTTGCTACGACATGATGGCTGCGGGCGGGTCTAAAATTTTGCCAGTGGTGCCCCAGCTGATCATATGCACAAAAAAAGTGTTAAGTACTACAGTTTTACATAGTACACACTGTGTTGCAGGCTAAGCAAGACAGGCACGCTCGGTCATAGGCCGGATATCATGCATAGGAGACTGGTTTTTGTTCCCACGTTTTGTTCTTTTTCCGTGTGTTGATCTCTGCATTCTGCAAGTTTTGTCTGTTTTATCCAGAGCAAGTTTGTGTTGTGCTAATGCTAAAACTTCTTAAAATGCAGCAAGTGTGTTGTAAGTGTAAAGCACTTGTTTTTTCTTGGGATAGATCATTCCTATCAAGACCGCTCTGAACACACGGGACGAGACGATTATCTGCACGGTGCTGAAGATTTTAGTCGAGCTGGTGCAAAGCGGAGAAATGGTACGAATTATTTTCCGACATTTCTTTTTTGTCATGCAAATGTTGCTACGAGAACGACGAGAAGCGACTTTTTGTACTATGTGCATGAACTACTACTCCAACTCCAACTCCCTCTACCAATTTGTGTTTTTCAGCGATGGAAAGAAACCACCTCTACATACAAAACAACTACAGATCGGCGAAGCGCTGGTGCCGTACTACCGTCAGATTCTGCCGGTGTTCAACATTTTCAAGAACCAAAACAAAAATCTCGGCGACGGCATGTTCTACGCGCAGAGGAAAAACAAGTGCCTGGGAGACCTGATTAACGACGTGCTGGAAACCTTCGAGATCCACGGCGGGGAGGACGCGTTTATCAACATCAAATACATGATATGACACTGCACAACTCCCCCTCCCCCTCATTTGTATTGCATGAACAGCAACACCAGCAACAGCAGAAAAGGGGCTTCCGCATGACAAATCTGCAAGCGGATTGTAGTACTAGTTGAGGTTCCAAAATAAATTGTCATGCTGACAGGGCTTACGAGCAAGGTTTGCATTTGGTATTTTGCATTACAAATGAGGGGGACGAGGGGGAGTTGTGCACACTCATACATGATCCCCACCTACGAATCCTGCGTCTTGTCGTAAGGTTGTGTTTATCAAATGTAATAATGTCTGGGTCTGGAAGGCTGGAACTTGTGATGCTAACTTTGGACTCTAAAAAAATCTGCATTGCATGATGAGCAATAGGAGCCCAGTTTGTGCTACGCGGGGACTGCATTTGTCATGCGGGATAGGCATGATCAGGAAGGCCTCTAAAAATATGTGATGCCAGATCATGCATCACAGACATCCTGAGTCATGTAAAATATGCATGACAAACCTGGCAACCTTCCAGACCCAGACATTTTTGCATTTGATTGTGTTGGTGATGCCCTCTTTTGAAGAAATCTTCACAAAAGTTGTACACTAGCAGCACATAGCACATGGGGCCGTGTTTAAGTACTTCATCGACGACCTCACACGACCCGTATGACATTTCAGTATAATTATGCACGATTTCAGTTGTTCAGAAGAGGTACTTACACTAGTATTGTCGTCACGATATTATTTTATGGTTCAGTTTCAGAAGGTGCCACTGAGAATAAACACGTGTCAGAAGAAGAAGTCGAAAGTAAGAAAACTATTGTCAAATGAAACAACGCGCCGATTGGAAGTTCTGTATCTTTGTTTTTACTTGTTTTCATCGATTCACAATCACTAGTAGGCGAGACAGAAGAAAACCGCAAGAAAAAAGGAGAAGACCACATTGCGGTTTTCGAATGAAGAATCGCTACTACACTTGTATGGTTTTGTATGTTACGTATGTTGGACACAGCACAAATTATTCCATTTTTACTCTCAATAGGTACAAATTTTCTCTTGATCAAGCTTTTTGTTTTTGGAACCTTTGAACACACACTTCAAATTGTCAAGTTTTCATGTAAAATTTAAATTATCAGTACGAAAATCTACTGTACTTTTCGACACACAACTTTTATGTACGATATAGTTTTTTGGGAAGAAGAAGAAGAAGAGCACAAGAAAACACGACTAGTACAGTAGCCGGCTTCAATACAATTATTCCTCATCCCTATTTCGACGAGGACGACCAACAGCAACCCGGAAGATTAAGATAGCGCTACTACTAGTAATATCGCGCAGATGACAATGATAACCGTCTACCCACTCTTGAGCCAACCCCTTTATTTTCGAAATTTGCCTTCCGTCGAGTCGCGGCGTCGGCAAAAAAAAACCCCACCATTTTTTCCCCAAAAAGCAGATCCTGCAGCGGACATGAAACCCCTGCCCGCAGTTGTTTTGCAGCGGTGCTCCTACAGTGCTACTTTAAAAAAAAATGCCTTGATGATAGGTGAACTACACTACAACTCTGGTACAACTCTACTTATCAGGCGGAAAGGTATTAGAAAAAGCACGTGCAACGAGGATGGACCCGTAGAAGTCCTCTCCCATACCTTGACATTGAGCACAGTATCTTCATCACGCCAGTACAGCGACTGAATGGAATTATATCGGACGCGAAGAAATAAATCTTTCGAGGAAAACCAAAACTCTTTGCCAATGGCGGAAGGGATGTGGACGATAAGTCTTGCTCTTTTGTTGAAAATGGAAAATCTACAACCTGATCCAATCGTGGCGCTCGAAATCACAGACCAGCACCTGAAAATGAAAAAGCAAAAGAATTGCAAAGATCGCCTGTAGTACTAAGTTGTAAAAATTAATACCTCCGAAGTAGAGAAATTATATCGAAATGCAGAAATAAGGATCCACGTCTCGCACCGCCAAGGCTAGCTCGGCCTTTGAAGATCCGAGTCAGAAGAGAATCGAGGTCGTGATCAGCAAACGAGCAAAAAAAGATCAGAATGAAGTTCCCGGCGACGTGGTTCCTGCGAGAATGGTTGCAGTCTATGGATCCTCGCATGAATACCGGTAGTAGCGAACTCATTCTCATACATGCAAGAAATTTTTGGTGCTCGTCCTGCCCCCCCTGAAATAAGCATGTCGTTTTCAAAATTCTACTTTAGCAGGTTATTACACTATTGTTACGTTGCTGAACGTGCTAGTCGCATCTTCGGCAGGATTATTTGCTTATATCCAATTTATTTGATCATCATATATAAATCAGTATTCTATATCACCATCAGACTAAAAAAAAAAAGCTCCCGTGATTTTACTAGAATTTTCGCAATCATTCACTTGTCGTGATTGGTGCAGGTAAGCATTTTTCTTGACGAGCCAGAACGCGCCAACCATCAGCAACCTTTCTAGCATCAAAGCGCACACAATGATGTCTGTGCGATCGTTGCTCTTCAGCATTTTCTGTCTCACAGGCCCGTGCTTTGCCGCGGTTCCTCTAGACCAGGACTTTATAGCGGCCAGTGTTGATTCGTATCTTCGTCGAGAGCCTGCCCTGCACGCCATCTTTGACGCCCTGGCTTCGAAGGAACATATCCAATGCGACCCATCCGGGAGAGACGGTAATGGAAACATCCAAGAACCCGCAACAATTACGCATCTGAAGGAGCACTCCTGGAATCGTTTTTACCAGCTAGAGCTACTGCTTCACCCCGAGCAGCAGAAGCAGAAGCGCCCGATTCGCTGTGCTAGTCGCCGTTTTCGCAATGTGATCTCGAGCAACCCGCCACCGCAGATGGGTTTCGCGACGCAGCTGCTGTCCTACGTCGAGCCTGATGTGGTCCGTAGAACCACCCCGGACAGCACCTCCATGGAGACGAACAATGTTGGAAGAGCAAATAACGCTGGAGACGCGGCTGCCCCCCCGCTCTTGGATGACAGCTTTCGGCATTTTCTGCATCTCTTGGAAAAGGCGCTGGTGCGCGATGAATTGCGAGACTCTTCCGGCGTTTTTCCGCGCGATGACGGGAGCAATTCGTTCGGAACCGTGGTAGAACTCCAGCTCCTGGGCGAAAGATCGGTGTGGTGCAGCACGTTCCGCGTTCAGACCGGGGGCGTGCCGCTTTCCGACGCCGACAAGGACAAGCTGGGGCGTGCCTTTTTCGACGCCAACTTTGAAAAGAAAGCGTTTCTGCCCAATGCGCCGAGCCTCATTGTCAAAGGACACATCGAGCTGGACGCGGATCGGGATGACCTGTGGACTCTCAAGTTGCGTATTGTTGGCACGGATGATGAACTCAAGACACTAGCAACCCCATAAGCAAAACACCACTTCGGGGATGACTCAAGTAGTATCTAGCGGGGCCAAAAATACATCCTGCAGGCGTTTCAACTTGTTCACACTTTTGGAATGATCTGGTATTTCCGACGCCAACTTTATTAAGCAAGTGTTTCTGGTGCCCAATGCGCCGAGCCTCTTTGTGTACGGAACCATCGTGCGGGACGCGGATCAGGAGGACCTGTGGACTCTCAAGTTGGAAGTAAGTAGCATGTACTAGTGATCGTATCAAGATTCGTCGTAGTTTTGTGGAAACAAGATAAAGAAGTACTGTATAGTTGTTTTTGGGAAGAAGTAGTTTTGAAGGAAGAAGTAGTTTTGAAACAAAGTAGTTCAAATTCAAAAGTCAGAAATGGCGCCTGTGAAACGTCTCTCTAATGTGTATGATCTTTTGTTTTGGAAATTTATCTTCACAGCGTGGCAATCTGCATGTTTTTCACAGAACGTGATACATGAACCGAGACAGTAATGAGGGGATAAGCACGAAAGAAAATGAAACTGACAGAAGGAAACTGACCATAATTGCAACAAAGATGAACAGTCGGTGCAAGATTTGTGAGGAAGATGAAAAGTGGTCTTCTACAAAATGCAGATTATAAAGCCGTTTCTAGCATAGGAACACTTTATAAATGCAAAATTGAAAAAGATCATTTTCTTGACGTGTAATGCTAAAAAGGAAAGATGTTTATTCTACATCACAAGAAAAGCCACTTATTGATACCTGCGAGAAAATCAAGTCGCATATCGACAGGCTGGAGCTACGGGTCTGGTTTAGGCTAGCGCTCAACACCCGTTGTGCTGATCATTCATTGCGCCGTGCAATCGAAGAAGGAAAGAAAACTTTGGAAGAAGAAGGACTTTTTGTTGGACTACTTGAAGCGTGTTCTACTTGCTGTATACGGTGTAATTACAACAAATTGCAGTAAAGGGCGCAGCGAGTACAATCTGTGATGCGTCGTCGGCAATAAATGCAGTGTTTATGATTAAGCAAAGAGTTGGTACTAGAAAAGGCAGAGGTCTTCTAGTCGTGGGAGAGCAAGCCGCTGTGAGATCATGGATCCTCCACTTTGGTAGAGCGCAGCACTTGCGACGCCTCCGTTTGTCCCTATGCCCGTGTGTTGATTTTTGAGAAATGGCCGAAGGGATGCGAAGGAGCGATGTCTTGCTCTTTTGTTGAAAATGGAAAATCTACCTGATCCAATCGTGGTGCCCGAGATCACAGACCACGACCTGCAAATGAAAAAGCAAAAGAATTGATAGGATCGCCTGTAATACTAAGTTGTAAAAATACCCCCGAAGTAGAAAAATTATAATCAAAGTGCTAGCTCGGTCTTTGATCCGAGTCAGAAGAGAATCGAGGTCGTGATCAGCAAACGAGCAAAAAAAGATCAGAATGAAGTTCCCGGCGACGTGGTTCCTGCGAGATTCGTAGCAGCCTACGGATCATCGTCGCAAGACGACCGGTAGTAGCGAACTCATTCTCATACATGCACGAAATTTCTGGTGCTCGTCCTGCCCCCCCTGAAATAAGCATGTCGCTTTCAAAATTCTACTTTAGCAGGTTAGTACATTCTTGTTACGTTGCGGAACGTGCTAGTCGCATCTTCGGCTTGTATCCAATTTATTTGATCATCATATAGACATCAGTATTCTAATATATCACCATCAGACTAACTCTAACCTCCCGTGATTTTACTAGAATTTTCGCAATCATTCACTTGTCGTGATTGGTGCAGGTAAGCATTTTTCTTGACGAGCCAGAACGCGCCAACCATCAGCAACCTTTCTAGCATCAAAGCGCACACAATGATGTCCGTGGGATCGTTGCTCTTCAGCATTTTCTGTCTCACAGGCCCGTCCTTTGCCGCGGTTCCTCTAGACCAGGACTTTATAGCGCCCAGTGTTTGTTCGTATCTTCCTGGAGAACCTGCCCTGCACGCCATCTTTGACGCCCTGGCTAATGGAAACGTGGGGGAACCCGAAGAAATTTTGCGTCTGAATACGCATCTGATGGAACACTCCTGGAAACGTTTTTACCAGGGACTGCTTCACCCCGAGCCGGCGAACCCGCTGCTCTGTGTTAATCGCAGTTTTCGCAATATGATCTCGTCGAGCAAGCGCCAGCAGCAGGCGCACCCGATTCGCCATGCTAGTCGCCTCTTTCGCAATGTGATCTCGAGCAACTACCCACCGCGGATGGGTTTCGCGACGCAGCTGCTGTCCTACGTCGAGCCTGATGTGGGGCCCGCGACGCAGCTGCTGTCCTACGTTGAGCCTGATGTGGGGCCCAGAGCCACCACGGACAGCACCTCCACGGACGTGCTGGAGCGGGCGCAGCGAGCCGGGCACAACAGGCGCGGCTGGCGCTGGCCGAGCGGGCACGCGGAGCTCTTGGATGACAGCTTTCGGCATTTTCTGCATCTCTTGGAAAACGCGCTGTTGCGCGAGCCCTTGCGAGACTCTTGCGGCGTTTTTCCGAACCCTGACGGGGGCGCTTTTGCGAACACCCCGTTCCGAACCCTGGTGGGCATCCACCTCATGGCCCATAGTAGCGACGGTCTACTGACTCCATTGGATAGCGAGGGTCTACCTCCCCCCTCGTGGATGGGAGATTTGACTACCAGCACGTTATTGTGAGGAAAAATCTTCCCTCCCCATGCTCAAAACGGAAATTTGCGATGCTGATTTGTGACCACAAATCCGCTGTGTTTTGCACATGAATGAGGCAAATGGAAGCCATGTCCCGCGTTCTACAGCAAATCAGTCATGCGGCTTCCTCTACTGCAAACCTGTCTGTCATGCCTAGCTGCTAGCCTTTTGCATACCCAAAAGGCCTTCGCGCTCATCTTGCCGCAATACGAAGCTAATTTGTGTACAGAAATCTAGCAACACAAATTTCCTCTTCTATATGGGGTGGGGGCTTTTTTTACATTAATACGAGTTCCACGTTGAGACCAGGGGCGTGGAGCTTTCCCGCGCCGACTTTGACAAGCTGGGGGTTGTCCCTTCCAGCAGTTTTTTCTATAAGGAGGTGTTTCTGCCCAATGCGCCGAACCTCGAAGTGAGCGGAATGATCGTGCAGAGCGGTCGCGTGCCGGAGGCGGGGAATCGGGAGGACCTGTTTTTGCTCAAGTTGACAGTGGGATATATTCCGGGCGGAACGGATGTAGAATATCGGGACTAGATTCGTCGTTGGTACTGACATGCACTTCAAAATCCAGCATTTGCACGAGGAGCGTAAATTTGTGGAAACCAGGTAAAGAAGTACTGTATAGTTGTTTTTGGGAAGAAGTAGTTTTGAAGGAAGAAGTAGTTTTGAAACAAAGTTCAAATTCAAAAGCAGTCGAGCCCAGCCACACACAAAGCAGTCGAGCCCAGCGCCATCTTCAAAGTCACAAATGCCGCCTGTGAAACGTCTCTATGTGTATGATCTTATGTTTTGAAATGTATCTTCACAGCGTGACAATCTGCATGTTTTTCACAGAACGTGATACATGAACCGAGACAGAAGTTTGTTTGTTTGTGTTCGTGCGTGAAGGTGGGAACGCGGTTACACACCTTTTTCCTCTAGTGCTAAAGAGGTTGAATGCATTTGATAAGCACAAAAAAAAACGAAACTCACAAAAGGAAACTGACCACAATTGCAACAAAAATGACCATAATTACAACAGCGAGTTATTGTGAGGAAAAATCTTCCCTCCCCATGCTCAAAACGGAAATTTGTGATGCTGATTTGTGACCACAAATCCGCTTTGTCTTGCATATGAATGAGGCAAATGGGAGCCGTGTCCCGCGTTCGACAGCAAATCTGTCATGCGCCTTCACCTCCTGCAAACCTGTCTGTCATGCCTAGCTGCTAGCCTTTTGCATACCCAAAAGGCCTTCGCGCTCATCTTGCCGCAATACGAAGCTAATTTGTGTACAGAAATCCAGCAACACAAATTTCCTCTTCTATATGGGGTGGGGGCTTTTTTTACATTAATACGAGTTCCACGTTCAGACCGAGGGCGTGGATGTTTCCCGCGCCGACTTTGACAAGCTGGGGGTTGCCCCTTCCCGCAGCTACTTCTATAAGGCGGTGCTTCTGCCCAATGTGCCGAACCTCTTTGTGACCGGACTAATCACGGAGGCGATGGATCGGGAGGACCTGTGGGTTCTCAAGTTGACAGTGCACTATATTCCGGGCGGAACGGATGTAGAATATCGGGACTAGATTCGTCGTTGGTACTGACATGCACTTCAAAATCCAGCATTTGCACGAGGAGCGTAAATTTGTGGAAACAAGATAAAGAAGTACTGTATAATTGTTCTGGGAAGTAGAAGTAGTTCTGAAACAAAGTTTGAAATTCAAAAGCAGTCGGGCAGAACGTCGCTCATTTACCTTTTTTTTTGAAATTACTACGCTGGACTGCCAAGCCACACACAAATGCAATGCCGCCTGTGAAACGTCTCTACGTGTATGATCTAATGTTTTAGAAATTTATCATAGCGTGGCGACCTTCATGTTCATGTTTTTCACAGAACGTGATACATGAACCGAGACAGTAATAAGGGGATAAGCACAAAAGAAAATGAAACTCACGGAAGGAAACTGACCAGTAATGCTAAAAAGGAAAGATGTTTATTCTACATCGCAAATTGGATGCTTGCCAGGCAATCTACTAAGTTTTTTCGGATGGTTGCCAGGCAATCGAGTCGCATGTCGACGTGCTGGAGCTACGGTTCTGGTTTATGATCAATAGGGATTGCTAGCGCTCAACACCCGTTGTGATGATCATTCATTGCGCCGTGCAATCGAAGAAGGAAAGAAAACAAAGGAAGAAGAAGGATTTTTTGTTGGACTTGAAGTGTGTTCTACTTCTATACGCTGTAATTACAAATTGCAGTAGAAGGCGAAGCGAGTACAATCTGTGTTGCGTCGTCGGCAAATGCAGTGTTTATGATTAAGCAAAGAGTTGGTACTAGAAAAGGCAGAGGTCTTCTAGTCGTGGGAGAGCAAGCCGCTGTGAGATCATGGATCCTCCACCTCGGAGCGCAGCACTTGCGACGCGTCCGTTTGTCTCTATGCCCGTGTGTTGATTTATTTTCAGATTGATACACACAGTGCGACGTTTTACTTTGCTGGAACATACAGTGTGTGAGAACAAAGATGAGTCTAGGAATCCATTTGGAGTGTTGACCGCTCTGCTGAGAAAATCAGAAATGCTGTATGGACGAGAAGAAACGTGATTATTTCTCTTCTGGACGAGTCTCTAGTATAATTGATGAAGTGCACGACCACACTCGTCCTGACGAAGGTGCTCCATAGAAGTGGTGTCGTGTGCACCCAGCCAGCTAAACGTTTTGGACCACCAGCACGACCACGTCGGGCTTTTTACAAATACTAGCTTTTTTCGAAATCATAATCATTTTGAATTTATTTTATCATCATCATCTTCATGTCCAAGTTGTACTAGTAGAGTAGAAACTGACCTGAAGATTATTTTCAAGTAGAAGAAAAAGCAAGCACGATGGCGCAGCGGGTGGGCGACAAGGTCGTCACGCAGCTTTACCAAGCTGCGATGGACACGGAGGAGCAATTGGATGAGGAGCTTGACCGGTTGAACAAGTTATCAACTGCAAATATGTCTGGGTCCTCTGGAAGATGCAAGCAAAGTTTGTCATGTAGGTAGCGCAAAACCCAAAAGGTTTGGCATGCGGGATCTAGCATCACAGGTTTTATTGAGAAGGCCCCTCGATGCTTATTCCGCACGAGAAATGTAGTTGCCTTCTGGTGCCCAAAAGTGGAGGCTTTTGCTGGTCATGCAGTACAGATTTTTGTATCGATCAGATCTAGCATGACAAACTCTGACTCTCCCAGGCCCAGGCATCATATTTGCAATGCATACAAGTTGAATGAAGACGATTTGGAGGAAATTCGCCGGAAAAGGCTGGAGGTATAATTCCACTTCTTTTCATGAAAAATACAAGGTTTTTTTTTCCTGGTTTTGTCATGCCTACAGGGGAATGGAATCAATCTGTCTGTCATGCTTTTGCAGATTCTATTCATCAACAAGCTACTTTTTACCATTGCTAAAAATTCTATAAGGCGATGAAGGACAACCACCGGAAGGCGCAGATATGCACTGCAAATATGTGTGAGTCTGGAAAAGTGGAACTTCTGTTGCATGTCTTGCATTCCTGAAAAATCTGTATTCCACAGCTCCAGCGGAAGCGCTTCTTTTTCTTCATGCAGGGACGCAGCTTGTTATGCGTGCTGGTGCTACGCATCAGACATGGCGTCAAGTAAAAAGCTTGTCATGCTTGGCTGCACTTGAGACGAGCGCCGGACTTTTCCATCCTTTAGCATCACAGGTTTCCAGACCCAGACATATTTGCATTGGATACCAGACAGCCATCCGCAACGGCTGTGGGAAGTACGACGAAATGAAAGATGATATCCTGAGCAAAAACGTCCCCACATTAGAGTCAAGATGGGAAATCTGCTAGACAAATCACAGGTTGTTTCGCATGACAGGTTGCCCTCGTAGTGTAGTCGTGTTTAGCTAGTTCAGAAGCATCACAGACCTAGCACATCATGCCGGTTCATTCTAGCGCCACTAATTCCGAGACACGACTCTAAAATGCTTCGCATGGGGGTGGTCCTTCCACCGGGTGAGGAACTGTTTTGGCATGCAGATTTGCATGACAGCTCTGTCTGGGGTGGGGAGGTTTTTCCTCACAATAGACGAGAAGGAGTTCTTCGACGCGGCAAAAGCCAACAAGAAGATGTATTGCAAGGAAAAATCCCCCCTACCCATATTGAAAACGTATCTATTGAAAATTTGTGATGCAGATTTGTGACCACAAATCTTGTCTGTCTTGCTAGAAGGCAAATCCAGGCTCTCTGCCACGCTATGCAGGCGATTTGTAATGCTGTAAGGACTACAGGGCAGCCGCGTACCATGCTAGGCGCCTACACCGAAAGGCCCCTAGCTAGGCTTGCGATCTGCATGCAGTCGTCCACTGCAAGACAAATCTGATTTGTGTACGCAAATCCAGCATCACAGATCTCCTTTTCGATATGGGGAGGGGGGATTTTTCCTTTTGACAAGATGGCCTGCGTCTTCTACCGGGTGGGAAACCTGAACAGCGATGTGATGACGAAGCACTTCGAGACGTTAGCGCAGCGGTACGTGACCACCCGGTTCTGCTGCGTGAACGCGGAGAAGGTACCCTACCTCTGCGAGAAATTGCACATCTGGATGCTGCCCAGCTATCCTGTGTAAAAACGAGGCCCACACGACCCCGAGGTCAAGATGGGAAATTTTTGTCTGCACAAACCAACAAGCTTTGCGCGTTGTTGCGCTTGAGAGATCATTCTTGGGCCTCGCAGCGTAATGCTGTTTCGCAAGTTGATGTGCAGTCGCATCACAAATTGGCCACCTCATCCTGATTCTGGCATAAGAAATTCATAAACACTGTAAGAAATTTCTGCTTCGCATGGAGTTGCGCATCAGAAACATTTTTGCCTTGCCGTGTTGCTTGACAAAAATGGAATCGCGGGGACGTTTTTACTCAGGATACCAGCATCGTCTTGATCAAGGATGGAAAATATCGAATGCAAATATTTCTCTGGGTATCAAACAAAAAAAGTTCGTCACGATCACTCATGCGCATTTTTGCAATACAAAACTTTCTTTCTGTCATGCGTAAAAATGCATCACAGCGAAACTTCCTTAGGGGTTTCCCTAGTGTTTCTGCAACACAGAGGAAAGTTGTGATGCTAAAAAAATTTGCAATGCAAAGCCCGCAAGTTAGTGACAGTGACAAACTTTTTTCTCTCCATACTGGGTCTGGATAAAGGTCATGCCGAGCGTTGCTTCACAAAGCAGCTTTTTCTCCTGCGTGAACGCATCTTCACGAGTTTGCTTTCGGGTTCTTTCACTGCGAGTTGATTCGTTTTTAGCATGACAAACTGAGCTCGCCTAAGTACTTATCCCCGCCTCCCAACACAGATCTTGGCGGCGCGCAACTTTCGCATGACAAATCCAGAAATCTTCCAGGGGTATTTGGAATGCATAGAAAAACCGAGTACACCATCCGTGGCTTCGACGAGCTGGGCGGGATGGATTTCTCCACCGATTTATGCATTGAGAAATATCCCTAGATGTCTGGAAGTTCTTTGTGTTGCTGATACTCCCAGTGCAGACCGGCCACTTGTACGGCATAACAGCATGAGAAGTTGTTTTATTCCGCGGCTTCTCCTTCTTGCGAATTCATTCGTGATAATAGTATGGAAAACTGAATAAACAGCCTGCCAGCACGACAAAAATACTGCCCAATCCTCTCCATGCATAATACAGATCTGGTTTCTCTTCGAATCCATTGCACGACAAATCCAGATATCTAGGGATAGTGATTTGCAATGCATACGGCCGGTTAGAAGCAGTGCTGAGCTTTCGGGAAATCATTCCAGAGCTGAACTAAGTTTGTTGGGGAGGACAGGGGAAATAAAGCTTGTTTACTCTTTGCTGGAAATGAAATAGCAGTAAAAAATTTTCGTGATGGGTAACTAAGTCAGTTTTTTAAGTCGATTCGTGGGCAGGAGCAAAGCCTTTTCCTGCTGCGACATCGCTGGGAATTTTGGAACCGATAATTTTTGTTGCAAATAATAAAAGAGACTAAAACTTCTTCTTCTACTATAAGTGGATATAATCAGAAGCAAAACAAGCGCCTGCATCAAATATTAAATTCACGCCGGGGAAAGAACAGAGTTTTGAGTCTGATTTCTTTGGCAGGACAAAAAGTTAAGCTTCAGAAGTAGATGAAACATTCACAACCCTGTGCGACATCGGTTTGCTTTCTAGCTCTGCCGCTCGTTGCAAATAGAACGACGAAGCTTCCCACCTTCGCTTCCCTCTCGCGGTTTTTGCTTCTGACGTGGCGTGCCTCATTCTGTCCAGCGTCGCACTGTTTTGTTTTTGGGCAGCGGCGGACCTTTGCGTGCGCTCGCGAAGCCTGAAGAGAGGTCGAAGCCGCGCGAGGTCTGTTTGCAAGTGTGCCGCGCGGCCAAATTTTTTATAAAGTATTGCCTTGCCCGCGCGGGCCCTCAAAGTTTTGAAAATAAAAAATTTCTCTGCCCGTGATTGTGAGGCCCGCAGCCGGATCCGGGCGCGGGGGCCGAAAATTTTTTCTTCGCCCGCCCGCACGCGCCCGCGCCCGCGCACGTAGCCAATTCTGGCTACCCAGGGCAGTGGCTGCCCCAGATGGGGAGGCTCGACAGCAGTCCCCGGCGGGACCGGGCAGGGACGGGAGGATGGGGCAGGGCCGCGAGAATCTCTTTGCCAAAGAGATTCTCCCTCATCTGTAGAGAATCTCTTTGTCAAAGAGATTCTCTCACTCGGCGAGCAAGCACGGCCGCAGGAGATTAACAAATAAAAGGCCAGAAACGCCGCTCCCTGCTCAACAGACGTGCTTGCACAAGTTAACAAATAAAAAGTCCGCCTGTGGTCGTCGTTGCCACACAGCCAAAAAAGTCGCTTCGCCGGATGCGGTCCTGCGATCTACTATCAGAATCGCGGAGCCAAGTTGTGAGTCAATTCCAAAAAACGTCTGCACCATTCCGGCCAGAATAAAATGACCCGCCATGGGATGGCGCGCGGCCTCGTATCGCGCGCCAGGCCATGCAACAGAACCCCTTTCCCGACGGAAAATCGGCGGAGTGAAAGGCAGGGCTCGCGCCTGCTGTGCCCCGTGAAGGGTGAAAAGTAACAGGGCGTAGCAGGTCACGGCGCAACCCCCCAAAAAGTAGAGCTGTGGGCCAGTGCGTAAGCTGAGGCCATTCCAGTATCATGCTGCGCGGGGCCGGTTTCGGTGGCTCGTTGCTCCGACAAAGAACAAAGCGGAGTGCGCTTTGTTCCTTGTCGGAGTAGTGAAGCCCGGCGCTGTGGATAAGTGCCTGCACACAAGCAAAGGCGGGCCTCCGACCAGTGCCGGGGGAGCCGGCGACCGAGCCACGGGCCGTTGTGGGGCCGGACCCCCACCCACACATCGGCGGGCCGGCCGCCGGTTTCCGGCAGTCGACCTACCTACCCCCCCCCCCTTTCGACCTGTCGAAAGGGGGTCCAATTGTTGCACAGCCTCTATAAGTGTCAGAAGTAGATGAAACATTCACAACCCTGTGCGATGAAAAAGGCAGTCACTGGCGCTGCGGTTTTTCTAAACCGCCCGGATGAGATGTTGAACAAGCGTTTGACTGTCGCAATCGCAGAGGTGTTTCTTCTGGATTCCGCTTCCTGAGAGCCGTTGGAGGACGGATCGAGCGCCCCGCTGTGGCGGGAGAAGGAGGGTACTAGATCATGGCAGCCGCAGCAGGAGTCAGAGGGAGAGAGCTTTTGAGCAACTAACACGTCTTTCAGGAGCGAGGTGAGATTGATATTCAGGCTGAAGGCACACGAGGTACAACTGGAGTTGTGCTACTGTGAGCGCATGAGAAAGTACTCACTGTCAAGACGGCAGATGAGATCTTATTGCGCCTTTGATGACCAGACAGAAGCGCTACTTACAACCGCTCTGTCCTCATGTCGTGACACAACCTCCAACAAGATGTCGTGTCAAGTGAGTACAACAAGAGCTTTATGGATGTAATGAAAATAACCCAATCGACAAACCATGACGTAAAGGAAAAAATATGAAAATCTTCTCGTTGCGTATGCGTTCTTCTGCTCGGCGTAAGGCTAAGGCCCACGGCGGTACCATAGGTGGGATAGGTTGGCTGTAACCTGCTCCAAGCTGCGCACATCGGTCGGTTGTGGCGAATTATCCGTGCTTCGCTGGGGCGGCAATACAATACTAACGCAGTGGTAGTAACTACTCACTCTACTGAGTTAATACTGTAGCCGCCAAGAACAGCACGACCAGCATTTTCACCATGCCGGGCTCCGTGACGAAGATACCCCCACCGCCCCCGATGGACGACGAGGCGCGGAACAACCTGAACGAGCTGATTAACCAGTTCGAATCTTTGTACGACGAGATTCAGATCGCGCTGCACAACGGGACCACGATCATAACCGCGCACCACGTTCCCAACGAAAAATTTTTGCAATGGCGGGTGTTTTATCAAATGTAAAAACGTCTGGGTCCTCTGGAAACTTGTGATGCTGGGTGGCGTCTCACGATGAGGCCAGAAATGCTGGCTCAGCATCACAAGTTTCTGAGCTTCTAGGTGTTGCCTATTCTGCATGACAAACTGCGTTTCTGCATCACAGAAAAATGGAGCTTTTGGGTAACTTGCATGACAGATTTAAGACTCATGCCAGACAAGCATGACAAACATGCATTCTTCCAGACCCAGACATTTTTACATTTGATATGTTTATCAACACGATCTGCCAGAAGGCGCTGAACCACAAGGTCCCGTATCCTAAGTAAAAACGTCCCCACCCCATGCTTAGTCAAGTTGGGAATGGGAATCTAGCAACACAAATCTCCAAGTTTTGGGAGCTGTGCATGACAAGTTTCCCTCTGCAGTAACTTTCTGGTTGGCAAGGGAAGCCGCATGAGAAAGCCACTTGTTTCTCATCCTGTTTACAGCATTACAAATTCCAAAACTCGATTGGTAATGCCTCTCATGCCGCTGCGCATTACAAATGTGCCTGTCATTGCACATTTGCATGACAACTCTGGGGTGAGGACGTTTTTACATAGGATATCCCGCACGTGGACTTCTTGCTCACGTTGTGCAACTACAGCGAGAAATTGATGTCGGACTTCCATCTTTACAGCCTCGTGTTGCAGGAAATGTACGACCGGTTTTCGGACCTGGCGATGAAGTACGTGCGCGACCGGAACTTCAACAACGCAGACAACGGACTTAAGCCGAACAAGTGCGTATCAATGTGAAAAAAGCCCCCTTTCCCATATAAAGACAAAAATTTCTGTTGCTAGATTTGTGTACACAAATGTATTGCAGCAAGCGCTTGATGCAGGCATTTGCATTTCCTACGCCTGGTTAGGTATGCAAAAGGATAGCACTCAGGCATGACAGACAGCTTTGCAGTAGGCAAAACCGCATGACAGCTTGGCCGTGGAATGCGCGACACGGCTCCCATTGTTTGCCTCATATGCAAGACAAAGCTGATTTGTGGCCCCAAATGAGCATCACAAATATCCATTTTGAGTATGGGGAGGGGGGATTTTTCGTCACAATAGTGCGAGCTGGACATCATAAACGACCCGGTCCGGTGTTGCCAGGTAATTATCATGAGAAAAAAGTGTTACAGTTACACACATAGTCTATGCAGGAGCCGCAAGACAGACAACCTCTGCCATGCAGGAAATGCTTGCCAACCTCATTTCATTCGTGTTTTCCCTTACAGTCTGCGGAGCACAGATTTTCCTTGCCATGTCGAGAAACTTTGTGATGCAGAAACCCCAACAAATGTGTAACTGTAACACTTTTATTTTCCTGTGATAGTAATCACGAGGTTTTTACTGGGTCGGACGTTCTGCGTGTTCCGCCTGACGATGCTGAAGGACTTTTCGCTGCAGAAAGTCGACTCTGTGGAGGACATCCGGGCGGTTCTGCTGGATTTGCAGAACGCGGTTGCGCTCCTGACAAACTTCCCGGACTTGGTCCATTTCGGGCGGGATGCAGAAACGGGGGGGAAAATTTTAACGGTCCCGGAAAACGTGTCGCTCCGGATAGAGGAAATCTCCTACCCGCTAGTCTACAATGCGTTGGTGTTGGCGCTGCGAATCGCGAAATTTCTCCGGCAGAATTCCTTCGCATACGTCGCGGTACCGATGCTCACGTGGATCAGTACTTTAACGAACGAAAGTTTTTTACCGCTGCAGAACATCCAGTTTCTGCCGTTCCGGGTCCGCATTGCGTTCGAAATCATCCTCGCGATGGAGAGCTGCCAATCCGGCGACTATTTGAAAAACGGGCTGCAATGTGTCGCGAAGGCCCTGGAGCAGGTGCAGCAACAAGCAAATTTGGAGAACCTAGTCGCCCCGGTGCCAAAGGAGTCGCTGGAAATGCTGCGGATCTGCAAAACGAGGCTGGAACTGCTGCAGTGCAAGTTCACCTACTGGACGGGCATCGTGTCGTCTGGCGCGGTTTCGGGCGACTTTAAAACGGTCTGCGCTGCGGTTTGCTCCGCGACCGAGAAGCCGCAGTTGTATCTGTCGGGGTTGTATGCCTTGCAAAAGTTGTATCGGTCTAGTATGAATTGCATTACAAATTTTTTCAAGAAGAAAGACGCAGCTTATCATGCTATTTTACCTAAACAGGGATCTTTGTCATGCATGGTAGCGATTACTACGAGTATGATACTTTTGCAGAGGATAGCGTGTTGGAGGCGATGCAGGTGCGGGGGGTCACGCCAAACGCGCGGTCGTTCTTCCAAGAATTCAGCGAGATTGCGGTGGAAGAAGCGAAGGCGTTTGGACTGGTCGGGAAGGGCGGAAAGTATAGAATGGGTTTTGATGACGTTCGCGCGAATTTTCAGATTTGCAGACAGGCTGTAGCTTCTATGGACGTCGACTGGTGCACCACTTCGCTTATGCTAATGCACTACTTGCTGTTCTTACGTCGTTTTCGTTCCTCTTCCTCGCTCTATGGGTCTCAGTTGTATTGCATGGAATTTTATTGCGTGCGGTAAAAAATAAAAATCACAATCAAGTACCCATCAAAACTCGTCGGTCTTCTTCCCAGGTCACCGCTTCCGCCCCGGTGTTTCGGTTCTTACCTCTCCGATTTGCAGAAAGATTTTATCCCGTTAGATGCGATCTCTTCCGCGAACCAGCTGCAAGCTATCAAAAGGAAAAATCCCTCCTCCCCATATCAAAAAGGAGTTTCTGATGCTGGATTTGCGTACACAAATCTGTCTTGCAGTGGAGGACGGCAGGCCCATACCAAGCGTCAGTAGAAGGGTTCTGACAAAGGCGCGTAGCATGCAAATATGTACGCTGTAGGGCCCATAGCATCACAAACTGCCTGCATAATGTGGCGGAGTCTCTGGATTGGCCTTGGTGCAATACAGAGACGATTTGTGGCCACAAATCAGCATCACAAATTTTCAGAGTTGTTCCTTTTCGGTATGGGGAGGGGGGATTTTTCGTCGCGATACAAGCGCAGAAGAATTTGCTGCAGGAAGCACTGGAATTGGTGAAGCCCTTCCTGTGTCAACTGCAAAAGTGTCTGGGTCTGGAAGAGTCGGGGCTTGTCATGCACATTTTGCATGACCCGTGAGGTCTGTGATGCTGGTGCTAGCATCACAGATTTTATTTTGAGAGCTTCTCGATGCAGCTAATTACGCATTAGAAATGCCCTGTCTGCGTGCCAAGAGCTGACTCCTCTTGCTGCTCATGCAACGCAGACATTTTTAGAATCCGCAGACAGCATTACAAGTTCCACTCTTGCAGACCTCCAGGGATATTTGCAATCCATATCCTGGAGCAGATCCGGAATTTGGTGATTTTACTCGAAAAATACACGTGTAACCGGAAGGAGAAGGAGCGGATTGAGCTGCTAAAAGCCTCCGGGCTGTACGAACCCCCAGACCCGCCGCCAGAGGTGAACGAAGAGGAAACGTATCCACAGTAAATTTATTCCCGTACACGACGTACAAATGCGGTCTCTGCAGGACAAAACTTGGCTCCGATCCTAGTTTAGCATGACAATTGATGTTACACTCCAAAGTGGCGACATTTGTGATGCATCTTGTACATGTACGGGAAATTTGTATTGCATAAAACGGACGAGTTTTACACGACACTCTTTGACCAGGCGATTTTTCAGAAGCTCCTCACCGAGTTCCCGATCCAGGCGCATAGGATTCTACTGGAGAAAATGGTGTTGCTGGACATGTTCTTTAACAGTTCGGCGGAGTATCCGGCGCAGTAAAATTACCGCATCTACTTCTAGTACACAAAGGATCTTCCTAACGTATTGGGCACTTTTTGCATGACACGCCTCATTTCGTGTGTTCGTTCAGGAGGAGTGGAATTTGTCTAATGCATGTTCTTGCACGTGTAGTAGAAGTTTTGGTAAATTTGTATTGCATACGAGCAACAACGGATTATTCCACGAATTGATGGACGCGATGGTATTGAGGATAAAGTACAAGCACTTCTTCGACCCGTATGCATTGCAAATACGCCTGGGTCTGGAACAGTGCCAAGTTTGTCATGCATATTTTCTATGACCCATGATGCCTGTGATGCATGCCCTAGCACCACAGATTCTGCGAGAGCTTTCTGATGCTCATACCGCATGAGAAGTTTCCTCTTGTTCATGTGGCAAAGAAAAACAGCACCGCTTTTGCTGTTCATGCAATACAGGTTTTATCATGTAGGATTCCAAAGTTCGAAGTATCACAAGTTGCATCCTCCCAGACCAGGCAGACATATTTGCAATGGATAACCCGCCCCTGGTGGCGATTGACATTCTGGTCTGCGAAACGCCGAATCCAGACATCCCGGGCGGCTACATTGCACTCACGAACGATTTGAACTACCTATCGTCGAAAAACAAGCGTGTCGCGGAACAGGATGCGGCCTTGGCGGCACAGGCAGACGACGCCGACGACAATCCGAAGAAGAAAGTGGAAAGGCTGATGGCGCTGCGCGTGCGGGAGAAGGGACGGCACGTGTTTCTGATCGGGAAACGTTTCGATCCGCTCACCAGCTGGCCGGTATCCTTAGGGTGGATCTATTTGTGTTCAAGAAGATTTGAAGATTTTTGATGAGGATGCGGAATGATCATGAGGAAGTTAGTTTGACGAGTACACGACCAAGTTTCATCTTGTTCTTCACTTTCACTATGCACGACCAAAAACCAGAAAAAACCCAGGGCGTCCCAAAAGTGAAACTGGAGGCGCACATGAGCAACAAGACGAATTTTGCCGCCTATCTCCCCCAATCCGGCCCGGAAACGATCGACGAGCCGGGAATTTTGGAACGGATTTGCAATGTGCACATCGAGTTCGCCGTGCGGCCGCCGATCGTGAATAACAAGCGCGAGCCGTTGGAGGCGGGGATCGTGGATGCGAATTCCCACAAACGCTTCGCTGTAATCGGGTCTTCTTTGCTAGATTTTCACGGAGATAACTTCGACGACGTGGATCTGTATCAGGATCCCACGCTCGGCAAGAAGAAGAAGATCGACGGATCGGAGACGTCTGCGACGCCCGCGTGGTTGAAGCAGGACTACTATTCCTCCGTGTCGGGGGACTCCGTCGTGGACAATCTTCATACCGAAGCGGAGGAGGCGCGGAAACACTTTTTGGAGGAAGGAGCGAACAACAGCATCTCGCACCGGTGCTTGCCGATCCCGATCGAAGCGCACCCGGCGACGGCGTTCGACATTGGGAGTGACAAAATCCCGTTCTTGACCTATCCTTCGTAAAACCGTCCCCACCCCAGAGTCAAGATGGGGATTTTGCAACACAAATCTAGGAGTTTTGGGAATCACGCATGACACGTTGCAGTCCGTAAGGTAGTGCAAGTTAGCAAGGACAGCCGCATTACAAATCCATCTGCTTATCCTGTTTAGAGCATTTTTACAAGTTCTTCCCAAACATGATTGAAAATGCCTGTCCTGGGGATGCGCATCACAAATGTTCCTGTCATTGCAAATCTGCATGACAAGAAGTCTGGGGTGGGGACGTTTTTACACAGGATATGACCTTTTCCGTGTACAGCGAGAAAGCGGTTTATGATGTAGACCCCTTCGTCCGGGCGCAAACGTTATCAAATGCAAATATGTTATTCGGGTCTGGAAGAGTGTAACTTGTCATGCTACATCTGGATCGTGGAACAATTTGTGTTGCATGATTACCAAAAGAGGTCCACTTTTGAACAAGTTTAGAGGCAGTTTCTCACGCAGGACCGGCATGATAGAGATTTCACACACCCTGTCATGCTAGGCCGTGCATGGCAGACCGCGTGGGTCATGGAAAACCTGCATGACAAACCTACCAATCTTTCAGACCCAGACATATTTGCAATGCATAAACGTATCTCAGCGGGCCGTACGCGGAGGTGGGAAACGACGTAAACAGCGGGAAGTACGACGCAACAGTGCCGAATTACGCCGACAAAGCGAAGCAGGAAGAATTGGAGCAGTCTTTGCGGGGGTCGCCCACCGCGAAGGCGAAGCTGGCCGCTATGAAAGAAGCGAATAATGCCACGGTGCTGCAGACGGTGAAGGTGAACCCCAATGTTCCAGAGCTACCGGACGAGTCGATTTTGCCAATAGACGCTGACAAGTTGGTGAAAAATCTGAAATTTCAGAACTGGACCATGATGCTGGACGATTTCGAACTCGCATTGACCCCAATTATCGACCTGGGAGTGCTGCAGAGTCCGCAGTTGAGCTGCTTAGCGGTACTATTTGTGGATAATTTTTTTTCGGCGATTGATGTAATTGTAGTTCCGCATGACAGGAGGTTTATTGCGTAAATGCATGTTTATGCATGACAAATTGAAATTCTCCAACGCAAAATAAAGGTTTCCACCGACGAGGAGGGGAACATCACCGGCACGGACGGGTCTACATCCATTGTGAAAGCGGATTTGCGACAAACGCCAGAGGAGCTGCTGGGCAAACCGTTTCAGAACTACTTGTTTCTGAAAGCAAAAACCGAGCAGCCGGCGGTGTTGGGGGTGACCAGAATGATGAGGCTGATGCGCCTGATGTCGGAGGTACTTGATGTTTACTTACTAGAGCTTATTTCTCTTCTTGGAACGGCGGATCAGGCTTGGCTTAGTCGTGCTTGACTCGTCCGAAGATAAATTCTCTTTGTCCAGAACATGCGGCAGTTTTTAATAACGTACTCGTGAATGCCCATGCATATGCATATGTAACACCACTGCGGTGCATACTTAAAACTAAATTGCACCCCAGGTCCTTCTTCCGTACACCGCCCCGCCGCCCGGCGAAGAAGATAAGTCCCCGGCGTCAGTTATCAAGTGCAAAAGTGTCTGGGCGGTCTGGGAACTTGTGATGCTAAGATGTGGATGATAGAAACAGTTCCGATTGCAACCCAGCATGACAACTTTCCAGGGCGCCTTCTCCTACTCAATCCGCATGAGAAGCTGCGTTTTTGCATGTACAAAAGAGGCCGCGATTTTTGTTGGCTAGGCAATACAGATTTCCTACGTATGCTGGAAAGTTAGCATTTCAGCTTCCAACCTTCCAGACCAGACATATTTGCAATGCATAGCAGTCCGATCTTCCCCCTGGATCCCCCGGATCGCGAACGAGAACAGCCAGTTCGACGCGAATTGTGTGAATACGGAGAATATCAATTGCAAATATGTCTGGGTCTGGAAACTTGTGATGCAAACCTACGAAGTGTGGGCGCACTACAATATGCAGCCCAGCATGACAAGTTTTTGCGCTGCTGTGTGTTTCGTTTTTCGCATGACAAACTGCGTTTTTGCATGACATGCAAGAGGCCGTTTTCCTGCTTATGCGTCACAGATTTAAGACCCATGCCAGACGAGCATTACAAACTTGCATTCTTCCAGACCCAGACATATTTTCATCTGATAGAGAAATTGTCTGAGTTCATCGAAACCTTGAAGCTTGCCCTGTCCGTATCAAAATGAAAAATGCCCCCACCCCCGAACTTGAAAGCATTTGTATTGCAAACCTTTCCAAATGAAACATTCGCCCTCTTGCACCTGTCAGCATCACAGGTTTCCAATCGTGAATAGCGAAAATCTGTATTGCAAAAGACCCCAGCAAGAGCGGCGCTTGTCATGCAAGCGATGCGATACACGCGCAGGCTCTGCATCAGAAAGATTCATACTCCTTTCATGCATGGCAAAAAGTTTTCATTTGGAAACTTCGCATCACAAATTTTTGCAATTTGAGGGGTGGGGGGCACTTTTCACTGCAATAGTCCGGGCTTTCCGGCCAGGTCTTTCTCGCGGAGAACGCGGATCTGCTCGAGGACATGCTGCTCAAATTGAACAAAAACTGCCTCCAGCCGCTGCTGAAAACGATTGAGGCGAGAAAGTTTCGAAACACGACGAAGGAGTGGATTCTGTCCGACTTGGAACTCGGGCAGATCTCTTCCTGGAGCAGTATTTTGAAAAAAGTGTTGCCGGTTTTGTTAAAAACCATGCACAGTATTGGGAAGTTCGACGCCTTGCTGTTGACCAACCTCTCCTGGTCGCTCGCGCAGCTGAACGCCGAGGATTCCGACTACCGCCTCGCGGCGCAGGCGCTGAAAAATGGGATTGCTAGACTCGAAGAAGATTTGGACAGCAACAAGCAGGGCAACACGACCAGGACCTTTTTCGACGACCACCCGGCGCTGAACATCAGTTTTGACCCACCGAGTTTGAGGCCGCTGTCTTTCGCGTATTACTCCCACTTATCCAACAACTACAGCGACCTGGACCAGGAGTTTCGCGAGAAAATTCACGCAGAATTGGGAATCGACGAAGAGGTCACGGTATCAAGTGCAAATATGTCCGGGTCTGGAAGAATGCAACTTTGTCATGCTTGTCCCACATGACTTTTAAATCTGTAATGCATGAGCAGGGACAGCACTACTGCCTTGCCTGTTGTCTGTCATGCAAAAATGCACTTTGCCATGCGGAAAGCGAAACACGTAGGAGCTCAAAAACTTGTCATGTGTGGCTGCATGTGTCAGCGCGTCTGCCATTCAGGAACTGGCATCACAAGTAGTTTATTCCAGGAGACCCAGACATATTTGCAATGCATACACGGACCGTCCATTCGACGAGGACTTTTCGGACCTAACTTCGTTGCTCCCGAAAGTGAAGAAGCGGGGCTACCAACTGCCCACGAAGAAGTCGCTTTTCGCGCACAAAATTTTCCAGGATACATCCTTGTCTTTACTCAGGGAGGACACGTTAATTTTACCCGTGCAGGAGCGGGCGTTTCAGGAGAAAACGGTATTACTGTTCCACATGTACGACTTCTTGATGCATGTGCAACTGAAGCAGGCGAAAAAGAACAAGAACGCCCTGCTCGGGGTGCCGATCATGTACAAGTTGTCGAAACTTGGGCCGAACAAAAAGTTTAACGAAGATCTGTACGAGGACGTCCCGGACACGACGTATGGCAAAATGAAGGAGCTGGAAAACCCGGTGAAAGAGTCCGGGAACGTCCTCGTTCCCGAGAAGACCTCCGCCGCGGAAAGGCGTAGAATCATCGAACCAACGGACTTCACGCCGGAGAAGTTGACGTTATCCGACCAGGAGGCCGACGTCGCGCAGCCGCTGGGACAGAACGCTTATTTGCGTATTGTGAGGAAAAATCCCCCCTCCCCATATCGAGACGAAGTTTCTGATGCTGGATGTCCGTACACAAATGCGCGCTGTCGTGCAATACGGCATAGCAGCCAGATCCTGAGCGTAGGTAGGGGAGTGTGGGTCTAGTTGTTTAGCATCACAAACGGGTGCCCCCTAGGCCCAACAGCATGCCAAATCGCTTCCATAATGGCGCGGAGGCCTCTGGACTTGTTTTCTTGCAGGACAGACGTGATCTGTGGTCTAAAATCAGCGACGCAAATTCTCGGAAACATGTCTCTTCGATATGGGGCGGGGGGATTTTTCCTTTTGGTATTGCGCGCCTTGTATTTTATCCACATCGCGCGGTTGCACGAGAACAGCAGCAACTTGGCACTGAAGAAGGCGAGCGAAGAGGCGAAGAAGTGCGAGCAGATGGAGCTAAACGCGTGGGAGTACTTTGAAAAGGGGTTATCGGAGGATCAAAAGCAAATGCTGGACGAAAAAGCGATGCACAATTTGAAAGAAGTAGAAAACCACTACATTCCGGGAATCAATTCCGAGGTGCAGAAGGGGTTACGCCTCGTGGATTCCGTGCTGAAACAGCATGGGGTGTTGAAGAAGAAGAAAAAGAAAGGTGAACTGCCGAAACCCAGGAACCCTTTGTTTATCTCCAAAACCTCGAAGGCGATCTACTTGCGGCTCCCGTCCGGGCAACCGGGCGGGAAAGGGCCGGATCAGCTGCGGCCGCAAGTGAAGCCGAGTCTGCGGACAGAGGCCAGTAGGATCGACATCCGGGAGTTGAAGAACGTGAACCCCATGCAGTGCTTGGATTTACAGAACAAGCTTCCCGGGGCGCACAACCAGTCAAACAGGAGAACCGATACGTACATGCTGTACGGGAAGGAAGCGGGGATTGTTATCCTGAGTAAAAACGTCCCCACACGAGAGTCAAGATGGGAAATCTGCTAGACAAATCTTCAACCAGCTTTCGCTGTTGCGCATGACAAGTTTGCCCTCATAGTGTGATCCTGCTTCGCAAGTTCAGCAGCATCACAGATCTAGCGCATCATGCTGATTCTAGCATCACAAACTCCAAAACGCGACTAGAGCATGCTTCTCATGGGGCTCCGCATGAGAAAATTTCTTGGCATGCAGATTTGCATGACAACCCTGGGGTGGGAACGTTTTTACTCAGCATAATTGTGGTGGAAGTTTCCGAGTTACACACCGCGGTGGAGGGGTGCGGCGCGAGGTACCCGGGGTACGATTTGGTGCAGATCACGGGCCTGACGCCAAACAGCAACTACTCTTTCGCGGTCAAGGAGACGCGGGGGTACGATTTCAAAAAGGGACTAGAGCCAGACTTGGAAAGGATCGGCGGCCCGCCGATCAACGCGGTCGGGCAGTATCAAGTGCAAATATGTCTGGGTCTTGAAGGATCCAAGCTTGTCATGCTGTCTTTGGATTCTAAAAAAATCTGTATTGCATGACCAGCAAGAGGAGCCCAGAGCCAGATTGTGCTACGCGGAGAGGGCATTTGTCATGTGGAATAGGCATCAGGAAGCCTACTTCCAAAAATCTGTGATGCTAAGCCATGCACTACCGGCATCATGGGTCATGCAAAATATGCATGACAAGCCTGGCAACCTGCCAGACCCAGACATTTTTGCAGTTGATAGGCAGATCTGCAGCGCAACGCCACCGTTGACCGCCTGCTACCCGATGCCGACTATCAAATGCAAATATGTAGTCTGGGTCTGGAAACTTGTGATGCTGTTTGGCGAATCATGTGGACGATGCCTTCATTGACAGCCAAGCATGACAAGTTTTGGAGTTGCTATAGTGTTGCCTATCTGCATGACAAACTGCGTGTTTGCATGGCAGAGAAATGTGGCTTTTGGTTGGCGGGCATGACAGACTTGAAGAGCCATGCTAGCCGTGCATGACAAACCTTGCATTCTTCCAGACCCGGACGTATTTGCATTTGATACCGATCAGCGTGATTTGGTGCAAAATCTTGCAGGAATTGATTTTGATCGAGGAAAAACATCTCCTAACAACCGATCCAACGAAGAACCCCACGTCCGAGGAATTCCTGAAAATCAACAACCAGTTGCAGAAGCAGGCGCTGCGGAGAATCCTTATGTATTTCACGGAAGCAACAAAAGCGAACCAAAGTAACGAAGTGCGGGTCCGGAAACTCCGGTTCGACGTGGTCGCCCGAAACCCGCCCTTCGTGCTACTGCAGTTCGCGAAGGTTTTGGTTCTACGGCAGAGGACGCGGGAGGGGATTCAGAACATCGAGAACTCTACTGTTTCGATTTTCACGACGAAAACGAGGCAGAATTACGACTGCAAGATTCTCTCCGGGCAACTGGGGCTCTTGCAGGACATCAACGAGGTTTTGCTTGCGTTGGACTGCGCACAGTATGGTGAGCAAAAACGTCCCCACCCCAGAGTCAAGATGGGAAATCTGCTAGACAAATCGCCAGGCTTTGGCTGTTCCGCATGACAAATTTGGGCTCGCAATGTAGTCGTTTTGCGGTAGTGCAGCAGCATCAAAGATGTAGCATACTATGTGGCTTCAAGCATCACAAATCTCAAAACACCAATAGACACTGCTTCTCATAGGTCTCCGCATGAGAAACATTTTCAGCATGCAGATTTGCATTACAGCTTTGGGGTGGGAACGATTTACAAATGATACACAGCGAGCGTCCGTCAATTTGAACGGCAAGACGAAGGAGTATGCAAGAAAAAAACTGTGTAAGTGTAAATTTGTGTTGCAGAACATGCGACAGAGTTACGCCTGTCATGCCAGACAGCCATGAAGTCCTCTTTTCATGTGCGTTTTCCCTTACAGGCCACGCATGACAGGTTTTCTCTGTCATGTAGAGCAAGTTTGTGATGCTGTTCCTCAAAGAAAGTTACACTTACACACTTTTTTTCCTGGATAAGGAGCAGGCGAAGCACATTGGCTCGGTGAACGACATATGAAGTGCAAATATGTCTGGGTCTGGGTGAGTGCAGATGTTTGCCATGCTGTTTTTGCATGACGCAGAAGATCTGGCATGGCAGCCCTACCAACACAGGTTTTCGAGAAGGTTTCACGATGCCTAATCTGCATGACAAATCCCACATTTTGGCGTCACGAAGAAAAAGGGGATCTTTTGCTTCCTATGCATGAGAAATTTGTGAGTGTTGTGAAATGCGCATCACAACTTCGTATCCTCCCAGACGCAGACATATGTGCACTTGATACGACACGGTGGAGCCCAACGAAATCATTTTCCAGGCGATATCCCTACTCCTGATCAAGTATCCCAGAGAAAAAATAAGCTGGGAGGGCATGTTTGTAGTGCAAAAATAAATTGTAATTGACAGAGAGACTTGTCATGGGTGGCCGCATAGCATGCTGTTTCGGATATGCAATGCAGTTTTTTTGTGTATTCATTTTTGCATTACAAATATGCCCTGCCAGCTTTTTTCTACGTGATATCAAGATCAAGAAGCTGATGAAGTTTCGCACCAAGCCGGCTTGTTTGTTTCAAACGCTGATGAACTGCGTTCTCGCTTTGCAGTCCTGCGAATTAAACCAGTGGGACCCGCACGCGCGGAAGTTAACCGTGTTTTTGTTTCACCAACTGCTCACGGTCGCGAGCCAAAGCCGGATTAGTCGGAACGTCGTGAAGTGGCTGGTGAACGGGGACGGGAGCGGGTCAACATCTTCTGGCGATAGTATTCAACGGTACCTGCAGCTCTGCACGGTGAAAAGATTAGAATCTTTCGAAACCGCACCCTATTACGAGAAGGAAGCGGCAGAGGTGACGATCAAGACAATTGTCGGGTCCGATGAATTATCAACTGCAAATATGTCTGGGTCTGGAAAGTTGTGATGCAGGCCACTGAATAATGACCACACTCCTGTAACGCGCCGCCAGGCATGACAAGTTTTTTCATGGTTCTGTGTTGCGTATTCCGCATGAGAAACTGCGTGCTTGCACGACAGGCCAGGGGAGCTCTTGGTTGCCACGCAGTAGTACAGATCCCAGAGTCATGCCAGACGAGCATGACAAATTCTCGCAATTATTTTCTAGACCCAGACAGATTTGCAATCCATACGAATTATCCCACTACTTGAACTACAGCCAGGGGTTAGCCTTGTTGACCGCGGAGTTGTCCTTTTTGAATTTCTCGTTGTCCAGCGAGAAAATCTATGCAATACAAATTTCCTGTACATGTACAAAATGCATCACAAATGTCAGCAACTTGGAGCATGCCACTTGTCATGCTGAATAGAATTGAAGGAAAGTTTTGTCATGCAGAAACCGCATTTGTACATGTACAGGAAATTTACTGTCGATAAAATCCAGAAAACCATCGGCGGCGAATCGTTGTTGTGTCAGGCGAGTTTTTTGTCCTCTACTTCCGTTGGCTCCCCGACCAATAATTCCTCTAGCCTGCTTATCGTAAGAAAAAACTGTTTCACTGTGATGACTTTGCAGTGTCATGCATCACAAGTTTGCTACACATGACACTGAAAATTTGTCATGCGCGCATTTCCCATAGGGAAAAACACGGTTGAAACTCCAATGCTCTATGCAGATGTAACAAGACAAAGAGTGTTGTGTTCCATTTTCTGCATCACAAGTTCACAGTGAA